TAGAGGTCTTGCATCCACTAACAAACTGCGACCATTTGCACTCAGACCCTCAGAGGGTTTTCGAAATAACGGCATCTAATTGGTGCAGGAGTTTAAAGGAGTTTAGTGCGAAAAGCCTTACCCCATAGGGTAAGGCACGAAACGCCCTCTGAGGGTCTGAGCCTGCTGAGATAACTGACCGCCTACTTTTGAGCTTAGCTTCACATGATCATTTCTCAACATTTCTTCGAATCGTGGGAATTCCCGTCGTTGACACAGTCTAGACTGATTAATGAATCAAAATTCATCAACTCAAGGACTAACTCGCAAATCGAGCAGTTTTCTTTCCCTTATGTTTATCATGTCTCCGGTCGTTTAGCTCGGAATTCTTGAAATTTGGGCCTGTCCGGCCTCGAAATCAAGCTGTTCCAGTAAATCAGCACAAGCACGTGTCGAAAATGGGTATATATTACCCATGTCGCATAGTGGACCCGTACCGCCTCTGACGTCGCGATTGCAGAGGCCGCAAGCTGAGTACATGTAGGTTCCGCGAAATGACACCACTAAATATGACTTGCATATCGATTCAGTCCTGTTGTGAACATCAGTGTTGCTTAACTTGCCGTATTTAAGACCCACTTCGGCGTGTGAACACCGTCATTGCGCGTTGATGCACCATGGGTCCATCACTAGGCCGACGATAAGGTATTATTTGGAAGTTTAGATGTTAAGCAGCAGTTTTAACTGTGCGGTCTTCATCGAAGCAACGTATTCACATCGTCATTTGCGTAAGCTGCCTTTGAATGAACTTCATATATATAGAGGTTCTAGTACTTCGCTTTTGCGGCATCGCATATCTTTCGTACTCAAATTGTCAACCAAAATCGCTTCATATATCGAGCCCTCTGATCAACAAACCTATATCGCTCTTCATCTCAGGAATTAACATTCAACCATGTCCCACGTCTCTGTCACGCCTCCTGTCATGATTTCAGAGAGAAATGCAAACGTGCTGCGACCGAGTTTACATCGGCTTCCTACTGCTTCAATGCACACCAAGCGGAAAATTATATGCTTCTCCGACTTTGACGGCACTATCTTCATGCAGGACACCGGTCACATTCTGTTCAACAACTTCGGTTGCGGCTCCGAGCGCCGCGCTGAACTCGACGAGCAGATCCATTCCGGAGAGCGTTCTTTCCGCGACGCATCGGAGGAGATGTGGGGTTCCCTCAACGTGCCGTTCGACGACGGTTTCGAGGTCATGAAGAAGGAGCTGGAAATCGACCAGGACTTCCGGACGTTTCACGAATTCTGCCTCAACAACGACATCCCCTTCAACGTCATCTCGGCGGGCCTCAAGCCGGTGCTGAGAAGGGTCTTGGACCACTTCCTCGGAGAGGAGCAGAGCGCAAACATCGACATCGTCGCCAACGACGCCGTCATCCCCGCCGACGGCGCCGGAGGGTGGACGCCCGTCTGGCTCCACGACACGGAGCTGGGGCACGACAAGAAACGCAGCATCAGCGAAGCCCGGGCGCGCGAGCAGCTCGCATGCGAGAACGGGACGGTCCCGCTGATCGTGTTCATCGGCGACGGCGTCTCCGACCTTCCCGCCGCGCGGGAGGCCGACGTCCTCTTCGCGCGCAAGGGCCTCAAGCTCGAGGAGCACTGCGTCCGCCACGCCATCCCGTACTACCCTTTCGAGTCGTTCGCCGACGTCCAGGCCCGCATCATGGCCATCGCCAAGGCCGACGAGGACGCAACCAAGGGCCGCGGCCTTCCCGCGACCTTCAACCCTAGGGCGAACATGTGGAGGAGGGCGAGCTCGAAGAAGGCCGTGCCGATCTACAAGGCTCTCACGCAGCGGGAGGAGAGCCTGCTCGTCCGGCCAGAGTTGACCACGCTCTTGGGAGCCGGCAGAGCGGCCGAGGGCACGAATGTCACTGCAGTTGCAGCATAACGGAAAAAGCCGCTTTTCTTTCTCAAGCGTATAAGTATAGCAACGGCGTTATTCTTTGTTCCTTTCTTTTTTTTTTTTTTGCTTTTATTTCTCCTGTGGGTTCTTGCTTTGACTTTTACGTGGTATACCGAAACGAGAGTGTGCGGCAATCAGTTGGCGTTTGAGGTTGAGGTGTATGTATTGTGCAGTCAAGGCTAGCTAAGGGATCGAAGGTGGCGGTTTGATGCCTTCAGTGAGACAGATTGAACCGCCTTCGTGTTTGGTTTTTTATTCCCCTGACCAGTGCAGAATTTTCCTGACTGGCGATGCTTTGAATCATTTGTCGCTAAATAAGATCAAAATCGCAGGTCCAGCTCCTCTTGTCCATGCTTTCAATTTCTTTCGCAACGCTAATGTCTATATGCAAGTCCCATAGTGTTCCGTTCAAACCGTTCCCACTCGGCGTTCCAGCCACAGCTGTCACTTTCTCCCTCACGCCATCTGTTGCTCGGTGGCCTCTGGCTCCGTGATCGCGGGGACGGCCTCCTTGCTAACTTGCTCATCAACCTTGTCCTGCGCAGCCACGTCCTTGGCGACCGGCGCAGTGAAGCCCGCATGGCTCGAGTGCTTCTTGTAGTAGTACAGGTCGCTGCGCTTAGGGATAAGGTGTTCGGGCACTTCGCGCAGGACCGTTTCAAGGATGCGCTGCTTTCCAGCCTCATGGTCGCCGTCGCGATTCCACACGGTGATGAGCATGCTGTTGAAGCGAACGGAGTAAGAGACGCCGCATATGTCGTCGAGAAACTCTGCAAAGTACAATTAGCGACCTGGTCGCGGCGTAGCACTCGGGATGAAAGAGAAAACGCACTCGTTCTGCCAGGATCTATCACCGCCTCTTGAAGTCTCTCCCCAATAGCTAGCAAGCAGATGTGCATCCAAAATTCGGGCGCCTGATCTTTCGGTACGCGGAATGTCCACGCGCCGCCGTGTACATTCCGCGGATCTTCCCACAGCGGTTTCACGCCCTTTTTGAAGAGGTGCACGCTGTCCCTCAGCTTCAACATGCTCTTGACGTCAAAGTTGTTGTGCAGCTCCCAGAAGTGCTTGACGTCGCTGATATCCAGGAGTTTGACGAGCCTTTGCTCGTACGCGGAATCTGCGTCCTTGGGTTGGCCGCCATCCGGAGCGGGCGAGTGCTTCCGATCTTGACGATCGTGCCAGAACTCCCATTGGTGTACGAGAGGGTAGGTTGGGCGGAGGCGCTTGTGGAGGGCGGCAACCATGGCCTTGCCTCGTGCTGGAGAGGCCGTTGCAGCGGCGTCGGGCTCAGAAATGGAAGGCAGCCCCACGGTTTGGAGATTGAGAGGTTGAGACGTCATTATTGCGGTGCTCGTTGCTTTGTGTAGATTGCTCGAGACTGTATTATGAACGTTTCCAACCGTCTTGAGTTTCGAGGAGGGTTGGGGGTAACGATTCTCTTATACTCGGATGTCTTGGACAATAGCAAGAGGACGTCAAGAAGGGGATCAATCGAGAGAAGAGGCTATTCTTCAACAAGCTCCGTGAGCTCAAGGCACATAACAACAGCAAGCCAAGCAAGGCCGATTGTTCTCGAAGCACGTCACTCAGCACGAGAAGAATCGCGAACCGTTGTCTTTTGCCGGCCTTTAAGACTTGTGCTTCTAGAGACGGCGACGAGACGAAGCTTTTACCAAGCTTTTACGCAATGCAAGATGACCTGTACCAGAAGGGTGATCGTCTGCGACTCGCGAAGTAGTGGGACTGAAACAAAGGTCCAATAGCCCACGAGTACGCCGCAGAGTGGTTTCTGTGTGCGAAACAGGCGGCTCGATGCAACGAGGATGGCGAGCGGAAATCTTGCGAGCTTGCGGAGCGAAAGCACTGGGGAGCGGCGCCAAGGACGGGACGAAACAGAAATGAGCGACGAAGACTCTCCCTCTGCTATTTGAAAGGCTCAGCTGGTCTGCGTACGTGTACGAACGGGTGTGGGAGTGTGGGTGCGATGAAGGGGCATCGGCAACGAGGACCAAGGTCGTCGTTTAAACGGCAGCCAGTTACAGCAGCCATCAGCCTTGCAGCCCGTAGCCGCCCATCAACCACTCACGAGCAGCTGAGACGGGCTGTGAAGAATGGTGGGGAATGTTTCAGCGCGGCGGAATGTCCAGCTCGGTCTGTCTGGCTGGGGGTTGAGGTGCGAAGGGCGAGGGGTTGGCCGACGGCTCTCGCTGGCATTTTGGCGGGTCCGCCCGTGGCCCAGCCGCAACGTTCAGAGGCTTGGGCCCCTCGCCTTGGCTCCGATCGTCCAAGGGCCCGCATCCTGTCGCCAAAACATTTTTCTGTGCGTTTCCTCTTGCGGTAATCCGTTTCCCTCTTCCTCGCTGTGCGCTCGACCTTGCACGTCCGACCTGTCGACTCTTCATCCCCGGTGGAAGCAATGGTGTCTAGGAAGCGCAATCACGAAGAGGTGGACGAAGGGTCGACAGAGTGGCCTCGCGACGAGCGCCATGGAAAGCAGCAGAAGACAGATCGTGCGGCGCAGGCGGCCATCGAATCGAACAGCGACTCGTCCTACGTCTCCGCCGCAGCAGCGGTGTTTAGCGAAAGTGAAGGAGGCTCTGCTGGCTCGTTGTCCTCGCTTGAAGAGTCGGACTCAGATCTGTCGACGTCGTCTGAAGAGCCGTCATCCGAGTCCGACAGCGACGAAGACAGCGACGAAGACAGCGACGAACAAGACGAAGACGAGAATGATGCAGAAGACGTTCGGGATGATGGAGAGGAGATAACAAACGTGCGCCCGGGAGGCAAGCCACGCATCACAAAGGAGAGCACGGATAGCAGTTTGCTGCGTCGCCTGAAGAATTTTCTACCCGAGATGCGGGCCGCGAATGAAGAGCTGGAGAGGGAGCGTGCAGCTGGGACTCTGGACAAGCGGAACATGGAGGCCTGTGACGACGAAGAAGGGCCGCATATTGAGATGGTGAGTGCCTAAGCATCGGGTGGATTAAGCTTGTCAGTCTAGACACTAACCCTCTCCGTGAAGAATCTCGGTCTTGGCGTGCTGGAAGAGAAGCCGCATGGTGAAGATGTGCATGATGAAGACACCAGTGCGGGCGAAGAGGATGTGTTGCGCAGGCTGATGGGCGAAAAGCAGCGACCAGCTCGGGAGACGATGATACAGGAAGTTGGTGAGAGCTGAGGTTCGGTGCCCACATTGCACGACGCATCCAGACCAGTATCACAAATGCGTAGTCTGTGACTTGGCCAAGCGGGCTTGACAGAATACACGGGCGACAAGAGGGGCCACTGGCTTATTGAGCGCCAGCGAGGTCGACATGTTGGATTATCAAGGGGGGAACAGCTCGTAGGCGTCTCCCAACCCGAGCAAAACCCACGCAGGGTACATCCGCTTATCAAAGTAGACCTTGATCGGGGAGAGTTTGTCTGATCAAGGCCTCCCCCGCATGCCATGGCTAAGCAAGCCAAGGCAAGTTCTGTTCTGCTGTCTACCGCTAGGCATTTTCAGCCCCAGCTGGAAAACCATCTGGCTGGCAGCGGCCTTTCTTCTCTGTAAATACGAGCTGCAGATGAGATAACCAGCGTTGACTCGCGTCCAAGCTGCCGAAATTTTTGAGACTAGAGACAAGTCGAAAATGCACGTTCCAGTGAAGACTGACGCACAAATCAAATACTCTGCAGCCCGAGCTTGTGTTCAACTCGTGAAAGCCATCATGGCTCATTGCAGATCAAAGACTGATGGCCAGCCTTGCCATGTCGAGAGACTGCAGTCGACTCTACTCGGGGCCCGGACATGGCTCTCTCCGCTAAGAACCGGTCCCAAGCAACTATGCTATACACATGCAGTACGTTTGACCCAACCTGACTGCACCTTGACAATGTCCGCCATCAGCCGTCGTCCGTCGTCGTCCCCGCTCCGTCCGCCAAGACAAAAGGCTAGGGCACGCGACACGACCTCGCATGCGATCATCGTCAACTCATCCCCGATCTGATGTCTCCTCAGCCTTTTTTCCCTCGACTTTCCTGCCGCTTGCCATGTCTTTCCCACGGCTCCGCGAAACCCATGTCAGGCGCCTGAACATGGGCTCATTGCCGTCGGTTTTTTCCCCGCGGGAGCTGAAAAAGACACAATGTCAGCTTATCGGGCGTGCTCCCCATGTGGATGTGCGATTCCAGGACCAGAACCCCCATGCCAGATCGAACTCCTCCTCATTTTTGCGCCTCGATTTTTTTCTTCGGTCCTTCTTTCTCAGCAAGGTTTGATGCCAGCCCGACGAACCCGCCGCACATTCTGAATCGCTTGCTTGCCTCGCCGCTCCCTTCGGCTCTGGCTGCGACCGAGCGCTTCCCAGAGCTTCTTGCTGGTACGCTGCACCATGGGCGACCGGACGTTCCGCAGCGGGCTTCAGGCGGGTAAAAAATAGATCCGGACTTTAGGACGACTGATTTCGGCCCTCGGTGGTCTAATCAAAGCTGATCGAAACTTGACGTCAAAAAAAGAAGAGATCCGTGGCGTGCTGACGTGCGATTGGGGGGCAGGCGGCGTATGCCGGGTTGCGGCCTAGCCTCTTTCGCGCCGTCGCTGGCTCGCTGGCTCGTCTCCCATCGGTTGGCCTGCCTGCCCGTGACAAAGCCGCCAGCAGTGCTGCTTTCGTAATCACAACAAACGTTCCCAAGTCGGCGGCCGTTATCTTTGCTGCCTCCTGTCGCTTATCTGATCGGTCCATCTTTCGTCCAAAGCCCGCAACCTCGACGACCGCATACTTGCATGGCCTCCAGCAACCGCCAAGAACAAGCTGCTCGCGTGCCCGCCGATGTTCTGTGCTTCCGTCGCCTTCCGGACCAGTCAAGCTTTCGAGCCCAGCCACTAGACCGGGCCAGCGCGTCCTCGGTGCCGTCACTCCTGTTCCCGGTAGGGTAACTGGTCAGAAGGCTGGGTCGTGTATCAAATGCCAAAACCTGCACAGTCGCATTGCTAAGGCGCTGCTCGTTCCTGTTGTCAGCATTTTCATTTCAAGCTCCGATCTTATACAAGCGAGCACGGCTGCCCTTCTCTCGTCTTACGGTCCTGCTCGTTTGCATTTGCTCGCTGGCCGATCTCCAGATCCCATCACACCAGCACACAGGCGCGGGACGAGATTCTAGTCACGTCGATTTTGATTTTCTATCTTTCCCTTCTGGGCCTGGTTCGCGTTGTCGCCGCCGGAACCGGGCATCACGAGAGGATGGGTTTGGGTGCCGTTTTGGAACCACTTGTGGTGTTGACCTTATTGTTTGGTGGGACCTACGTGAATCGCAACAGAGGCTACAAACTACGGCTCCGCCATCTCACAACCACGCGCTCAAAAAGGACCACCCACGGACGTGACGTTGAGGATCTCCCTTCGTCGCCTGGCTCGTTCGCCAGCGACGATCCTCTCATACCCGCCAGCCAGCCGTGTTCACCATCGCTTCTAGCAGTCGATCACGTCGCACCGTGGAGGGAGCGAGAGCTACGATTATGGGGTTTCAAGACTGTCGTACGGACGCCAAATTCGAGGCAATTCAAGGACCGATGGTTTGCTAGAGTATTGAGGAAGTTTCCATTTTTGCAGGAGGCATTCTACTGGGCCTTGATCTACTGGGTAAGTGCTTCGGTCAGGGATGCCCCGGTGCTCGCCCACCGTCCTACGAAACCGAGATTGCAGGCTAGCTGACGCGACGTGAAACAGGTATATCAGCTTGGTCGTGCCTTTACCGCTCTGACTCTTGTTTCATCCACTGTCGATGTCGCGCGCCAGCACGCTCTGCAGTTAATCCGCTTCGAACAGCAGCTGGGCATCTTCTGGGAAGTTCCGATCCAGCGGTTCTTCTTGTCCTATCCCGCCGCGATGCATTGGATCAACCGAATCTATTCCTTCATCCACATCCCTGGCACAATTCTCTTCCTCGTCTGGCTGTATTACCACACCACAACGCGCAATCGAATATTCGAGCGTGCGCAAGGTCTTGAGGTGACCAAGATCAACGCGTCGCCCGCTGGACCTAGGCTTTACGAAGCGAGAAGAAGGACCATGGCGATGTGCAACTTGCTTGCCTTCATCGTGTTCACCTTTTGGCCATGCATGCCCCCGAGGCTGCTTTCCGACCCCGACGTCCCCGGCGCGGAGGGTGAACTTGCCAGAAGTTTTGGCTTCGTGGATACTGTGCACAGCGCGAAAGGTGAATCCAGTGTCTGGACCCAAAACAGGTTCTGCAACCAATATGCTGCCATGCCGAGTCTGCATTTTGGATATTCACTTCTCGTAGGCTTGACCGTGATGACCATTCCACTTCCACCACACAAAAAGGGTAAGACCACCATCAGCCTGAAGGGCTCGCGCATCAGCATTCCCATACCCAGCTGGAGAAGAGCAACCTGCATGACGGTCGGTTTCCTGTACCCTTTCACGATCCTTGTGGCCATTGTCGCGACCGCAAACCATTTCATCCTCGACGCGGTGGCCGGCGCGATGGTTTGCGGTCTCGCCTGGCACGGAAATGATGTCTTGCTAAACTTGCTTCCGTTGGAGGACTGGTTCTTGTTCTGTTTGAGGACGCATTTTCCGGAAAAAGACGTGGTCGAGCACTCGGAGGGCCAGGAATCGGCCAAGCTTGTCGCAAAGGGTTTAGTACAGTAAAAGCTGCGCCTAAGAGATACCCAAGATCGTTGATTTTTTTTTTTTTTTATTTTTTTTGGTAGCTAATGTTGAATACATTAATGGGCAATTTCATTACCGTAAAGCACTACACCTTCTATTCCGAAGACTCAGGGGGTCATGGACCATGTAGCATGTGGCTTGCTTGTTCTGGTCATGGCGGGTAATGGGAGCCGTTTACGCAAGTAGGGTGCCAAAGGAGAGCTTCATGGTTTTGCCCCCAGCCAAAACCGCCGACAGGCCACATTGGAATGTAGCAGAACTCCTGCGCAATCGAAAACAAAGTAAGCGTTAGTTTGACAGTCCTCAGAGCGAGACGGTCGACTTACATCTGCAGCACATCCTTTCTCGCATCCCGTCCACTGATCCACCCAGCCAAGCCAAGCCATGAGTTCGTCAAGCTCGCCGAGCCAAGCCTTCGATAGCTCTGTCACGTCATGGGCTGAGGTTCTTGCGGGCAGGTTTGCCTCTCCGTCCTCGCTGTTGAAGCGTAGCAGCCATTCTCGCTCCACGCCGAGTCCTATCTTGAACATGTAGGAACATATGCCCGTCAGCGTTGCGTCGACCGCCCATGAGAGCAGCCGTTCGCCCTGACTCAAGGCGTCGACGTCGTCGATCGCGTACTGTGTGGAGCAGCGATCGATTCCTTCTCGCGCCGCGGGAGAGTGCATCGAAAACGCATGGGGTATGGACTCCGGCGTGTGCGGTCCAGGCGGATACTCGTAGTAAGGCAGCATGGCCCAATGCGTCAGAGAACGTAGCTGCCGAAGCTGACGCCGAAAGGTCTCATAGCTGGGGCTGCAGTTCTCCGCGAGGGACAGCATGGATCTGTGGAGGTCCTTTATGAGCCTGGCGTAGAAGGCGACAACCTCGTTCGCGATGGCGTGCCAAGAGGTCGTGCTGCAATTGGTTTTGCCGAGGACGTTGCGCAGACCTTCGTCGACGAGCTCGTACATGACGGCGCCGTCTGCTTCCTCGACGTGGTTTGCGCGGTGCGAGTGTCTTCGTCTCATGAGCTCTTCCAGTGCCGTCGCCTTACTGTCTCCGGAACTCCGCGGGCCCAGCCAGCGCCCATCCACGGAGACGTTCAGCGCGTCGCGCTCTTGCTCCAGTCTGGCGGCGAACTGGCCCGTCAGCTTCGGATCGTAGAAGGTGAACATGCCGCAGGCATCAATCCTAACTCGGGTCTCGCCGCCGCCCACGTCCACGTTCCCGTATGAACCGTAGCGCTTGGCACTTGACGCAAACCACATGTACGTTGCCGAACTGCGGAACGGCTCGCGAGGGTCCGTCATACCAGGACCGTGGGGTCCTTCGTCCGCCGCTTGCACGCTTGTGTGTACATCAAGCATGGGAACCTGAGCCTGTAAGAGTCCACCTTTCCGAGTTGACGTCTTTCCACGTGTGCTGTTCAGCAGTGGCGCAGAGATGTTCAAATTTGATACCAGCTTTAGCGAGGTCGAATTGAAGTCGCACCATATCATCTCGAAGCCTGCGTTCATTCTCACAATGCCTTCGAAGCCCCAGCCTAGTCCTCCGAGACCACGGTCTTTGATCCAATTACAGAGGCCTCGAGCTCTGAAATACTCATCTTCAAGCGGATTCCAACGGGGTCTTTCATCGTCATCCTCAGCTTGCAACTGACTTAGTGATGGCATTTGATTCCCTGGACTCGCATCACCTGGTGGCGGTGGTGGCCCATGAGGTCGTCTTCCATGGCCTGGCGGCCCTGGGAATGGTCTTGATGGCACTTTGTCGCTAGCTCCGTACAAAAAGGTCATCTGTGACTCTGTACCACTTCCCATTAACGAAGCGGACATGCCATCAAAGTACAGGCACTTCACGGCCCGCGTTGTGCGGTAAGTTAGAAGTCGCGAGTCTCGCATGTTCCCCATAATCGCAAAAGACATCTCCACGTCAAACGCAAGCCATTCTGGGCTGGGAGGCTCGTCACTGTCATGGCGGCCATGGTACAACAGCGTGTGCCTCGGCACCTCGCATGCGGAAATTGAATGCCCGTTTGGAAAGAACGTGTTCGACCATTGCTGTAACAGACCATTGAGGGAAGAAAAGATGTACGGCGCCGGCGACGAGAAGTTCAAGAACGTTGACTCGAGTCTAGGAGAAGCATGTTCCGAAACCGCTGCGCATGATACCACACCTATCACAAGAATGACAACAGAGACGGGTCTAAGGGCAGAACAAAACAGCAAATACAAGATCATTGTGAAATTTAATATACACGCAAAAACCAAATATGTAGAATCGAGACGCAGACGACGGGCTGTCTCTGGGCTTGCCAGAGGGAGTAGGTATCTGTTATCAGCAATGCGCGTCGTCTTGCTAAACTGTGCATCAAACAGGTCCAGGAGTCTTGGCATAATCCAAGAGCTTTCTCAAGCTATCTACGAAATCTCAAAGTACTGTTTATGGGTATACCAGTAATCAAACTGGAAACGTGGTATCAGAACAGGCCATTGTATCATCAAAAATCAAGGTTCCCTTATCCCGCACGTATCACTGACTTTCCATTGTGCCTGAAATTTACAGCAAAGGGACATACGTGTGAAAAATACGATTTATTATACCTATCTGCGTGCTCCTAGTGGTCGATCATTTATCCTTTTGCATGGCTCTTATTCTTTCTTTGATCCTCTCGTCTTCTCTGACGATCAGTAATCTCCCCTTCATCACATTCCACACTGTAAAGGCAAGATTGATGAAATATACAATGAACAGGATGACTATCAACAATGCGGTAGTAACGCGAAAAGCCGGAGAGTCCATATCAAGGGCAAAAAGGCTCATGCTCGAGACGAGCGTCCCTGTTGGAAAGATAATAGCATTCCACCCCGGAGTCCATAACAGCTCTCGCCTAAGCGCACAACGCGCCATGGAATAAATAGAAAATATGAGCCATACGAAACCTAGACCAGAAAGCATAAGTGCAATTATCGTGCATGATGCCTCAACAGAAACCGCAGCCTCCGCTGTGAGAAAAGTACCCTTGTTGTAGCCTGCAAATGCTCCATAAACCTGTGCGGCACGGCCGAGTTGCTGCAGCGCAGCGGCGCCTTGACCCATTGGCCCAATGAAGATAAACACGCTGGCGGCTTGTTCAGGAGCATGCCAGCCATGAGCCAGATACCCATGAAACAGGTATGTGGTCAGAATCAAGCCGAGAAGTGTCCCTATGCCAACGAGCATAAATCCCACGACGATGACCGGCACGGCAAGTCTAGGGCTTATTTCGTAGCTTAGACTAACAACGAATGCTCCTTCCACGGCCGCGGTGGACACGCTGACTGCTGGAAGGATAATCGGCATCGGAATGCGAGCTTCGCTGGCCTTATGCTGTTCAATCATGACTCCAAACGCCCAAGTGAGAACAACAAGACACCATGCTACCGCAACCCACCACATGACGTAGCCAAGAAGTGAAAAAGCATGACCTCCCCAGTATGCGTTGCTACATATCAGAGGTGTGAGTGTTGTCAAGGTCATCCAGGAGATGGGCCAGCAAGCGCAAAACATGAGATCGGTCTGATTCGAGACGATCTCAGCATACGCCAGGGATTTGAATATGGCGAACCTGAGGATGAAAAGCAGCGAAAAAAGGATAAAGAGCGTAAGATCAAAGACGTAGAGAACGGTGCTGACGATCTGGAGGCCTGGGAATTGATAAGGGCACTGGTGAGTGAGAATGCTGAGAATGCCGGAATTCATGCACCACGTGAACCTTAGTCGTCAGTTTAGGATCCGCTGTGCAATTCGTGGATTCCGGCTTGCGATGCGTACCATATTGGCGCAAAATCTTGAACCAGAGCGCGGAACGCGCTTCGGCGAAGCGGACCTGCATTGCACTGCTTTTCAGCATCCACTTGGCTCGGGGTTGAGGAGTGCGTAGTCTGGGCAGCAGTCATAATGGTCGCGCCCAAATGCTGAGGAGAAAACATTCATAATTGATTGTGAAATTTTTCGTTAATGTAGAGAGGTAACTTGAGGACGATGGCCTCGGCACGTTGATTGCTTGAGCTGCGATGACGTCTGCGGGCTGCCACAGGAAAACGCCATGACAAAGGTAAAGGAAACTCGCATGTTCTCTCAGCACGTGGAGTCTTTGAGGAGGTTCTCTTTTTACTACGAAATTATGAATACGAATCGGAGCCCTTTTTCCAATTTTCGGGATTCAATATCGTGTGGCGGAAAAGTCGGGAGAATGAGTGAGAAAAAGAAGGTGGAAAGTTCATACGTTCAATAACACTAATCCTAGTAACCCGAGATTAGGTTATGAAAGCTTGTAAGACAGAAGCCCTCCACTTTCATGCGGCAGAGCCAGAAGTCGGTTTTGGTGTTTTTTTGAATAATTCTTACTAAAATGAACAAACCCCGTCTCAATCTTGTCCATAGTGTTCATCTGCCGGTCGACAATGTACTTCGATCTTGATGGATATGTTGATCATCCATCGATTGAAGCAAACCCAGCGAAGGAAGCATGTAAAATTGTGCAAAGTCACTTTGTATCTACAGCGCTGTTTTCCTTTGTATGATTCTTGTTGTCTTTTGTGCATTTGTGGATGTGCAAAAGATTTGGATTGAACGCGGTGGATGAAGTCGTTGTCAAATCGAGGCTCTGAAGAAGAAAAGGTACATGACCGCGGATTTGCTTCAGATTTCTTAAATCGCATTGGTCATACAAATGACTTCCTACATCGGGAGTGAATGCATCCGCGTTTGCCAGGCAGGACGATATATCTTTGTTCGTTGCCAGGGACTAGCTCCATGTGATTGTTATTTCAAATGCTCCGTTTCCTGCGCGTACAGGAACTTGTGTCATTCCCGTTGGCACTGTATCCGCAGAGAACTCTGTATTCCCGTTAAATGCCAAATCACTACCCGATGCTGTGAAAAGGGTCGCTGTAACACCAGAGCCACATTCTAGCACACCGTTGTTGACGCCACATTGCCCCTTACTTGAGTTCAGCGTGAACCCAGCTCCTGTAATGTCTCAGTCACGTTGTCATCTGCGTGTTGTACGGGGGTCTCGGAAATGGAAAACTTACCGCTTGCTGTCGCTGTAAACGTTGCACAGGTTCCGCTTGTGTACCAAGCGCCGGAGGAAATTAGACAACCTGTCTGGCCGCTACTTCTGTACACTTTAAGCTCTCCCTTCCCAGAGAAAGGTATGCCAGTCGGAAAAGTACCTGGAGAAGATGTCGTGACAGAGCTGGATCCTCCGCTATTGCTTCCAGATTTCGGTAGGTATTGAATGCCAGAATCAGGGCAGGTCGACTTGGTGCCATCAGGATCAGCAGCGATAAACTGACCACCAATCACAGAGCCTTGTACGTTGAAGTGGTACCAGATCTCGTTGAACGCTCCGTTCTTACAGCCAATGGTGACCTCCTTTCCGTGCCTTGCTTTAAGAGCATTCTGTATGTCGTTGGAAGTGTACGTGGTCGTAGTGGAAGGGGTTATGCCGGCAGCAGAAAGCCATTCGTACGATGGCAGCGTCTTGAACAGTTGCACAGTCGTTGTAAAGAAATCTACCACTTCTTCAGTTGCCTTATAGTCGATGTAGCACGAGGGGTCCAAGGTATTGATGCATGTTCCGTGTTTGCCCCACTCATGCTCCCAGAATTGCTCGTCATTGCCTTGGTAATCCTTCCAATATTGTTGCATATAACTCAGGGTATCACTGGCGCCACCTGCAGTTAAAATGTCCGAAATATTGGTATAGGCTCTGGCAGGATCGCATGTGGCATCGAAGGTACCGTCACCTTTGAACGTCAGCTTCGAACCTAGAAAGCATCAAGTCACGTGCAGTGATCTGGCCAAAGACCATGAATAGTCCAGCTGTCGTCTGGACCGGTGGCTGGGTCAGTATCCCAAAATTGCGTTTGCAGCAACTGGCCGCCTGGTGAGTTGAAGCAGCATAAGTCTTGGATTGCTGTGGTGTTCTGGCAGCTGAGAGGCAAATCTGATGGGCACGATACCGAGTTGTTTGTAGCAAAACTAAGGCATGAAGCAGTCTTAATGACAGATGATAGCGTAATAAGAGCAAAAGCTCGAGCAGCACAAGAAAAAGCCATTGAAGAATTATTCGGGTACTGCAAGTTTGGATTCCCCGCGTACACTTTAGATGCATAGTCTACTACTCCGGCTTTTTATACATACGCTGCATGCGACAGACTCACAGATCCTTCGAAGATCAGCATGAACATCTTGATATCGAAGCCCCACCTCGGCCGTACCCGCAAACAGAGCATGTGTGTAGCAAGGCGTCGGATTGGTGTAGTGAAATAGTCAATCTCACCAGGCTGGAAAAAGCAGGTCAAACTTCGATGGGGTAGCAGCGCGGACATCTTGAAACCGTGCGCGGGCCAATCTTGCGTGAACCAACGAGAGTAGCGCGCACCAGAGAGGCAAGTTGCAAACGAAACCGGCTGATGGGTACTGTGGGGCATGCATTCATGGATGTGTCTTGTTAGTGGTCTGGAGACGAAGAGGATCTCCCATGCCGCTTGTTGCCCAAGACGATGATGACTTTCGTGGTATGCTACTGAAAGCTAGGTGGCTGAGACTGGGGATGGCTTCGATAGCAAATTGCTCACCCTTAATAGAACGGCACCTTCGCCTTGAAAGCCGATCTTTCTTGATAACAAGGTGACATTGAAATCTCGCTATTCAGCACGTGTTCTTGGGGTACACAAAATGAGAAGACCACAAGTACTCGTGAGCAACTGTACTTGGCGAATGCTAGACGGCGTTCCGCATTTATAAGCTAAACAAGTTGACCTAGAAGAAAAACAATTGTGAGTGGCAGCTCTGTAATCATGGCTTCAGAATATTGACATTTGGAGATTTGGCTTTTGATCGCAGGATCAGATGGCGGACAAAGAGGTAGAGAAGGTAAGGCCGCCGTTAAGCTTTGTGCCTTGTCTAGCCGAAATCGCAACACCTAAAAGACATCGCCGCAACCACCGTCGCAATTGTTGATTCCGTACGACAATAACGTCTGGAGAGCAATGGCAGCAAGAATGTCGGTAATGCGTGCAGTGCGCCTGGCGTCCCCAGCCAAGGTGTCAACTGCAGCGTTGAGGCCTAACATCTGGATGCAATGCTCGCACAGAAGCCGCCAATTCTCTGTTGCATCTGCTCGTGCGAAACCACTCCCTGTGCACAAATGAACACGATTAACCTTTATTCTAGTGCGCGCAAAGAAATACTCGGAAGACCATGAATGGATCGAGTTGTCGGAAGACAAAAAGACAGGTTTCTTTCTCCTGACGTGGCTACCCGCTATGCCGTCGCTAACAATTCGATCATAGCCACTCTAGGCATCTCAAAGTACGCGGCGGATGCCCTAGGCGATGTCATCTACGTCGAACTCCCACAAGAAGGTTTGGAGGCCAATGCGGGCGATTCCATCGGCGCAGTTGAGTCGGTCAAGTCAGCAAATGATATCATCACTCCGGTGACTGGAACTGTAGTCACCGCCAACAACGCACTTGAGGACGAACCTAGCAAATTGAACATAGACCCAGAGGGTGATGGGTGGATTGCGAAGATAGAGATTGGCGAAGACGGCGTGGCTGCTCTCGAAAAGCTTATGGACGCTGACGCATACAAGTCTTTCACGGAAGAAGCAAACGAGGAACATTGAGAAAGAGCTAGCGATAAGGAGGCATGGTGTGATAGAGCAAGGAGATGGTAATTCAACAAGACGGCCGTGACTAGGATTGAGCGTGCGGCTTTGATTATCTATTAAGCAATAAGTGCACTAGGCAGAACAACGTATTATCCAAGTGAGTGTGTTTTCGTATTGAAGCTCGTGTGTCCTTTTGCGATTTTATTCACAATTCCCCCGCGATGCTGTCCAAGAAGGGTCCCTCTACGCATCCATATAACCAAAATTTGCAAATATCATAGCCGGTTGCGGGTGATGGCGCAGGTGGGATTTCCTGCTTGCACCTCATGCGTAGCCACAAGAGTAAAAAATAAAAAAAAATTAAAAAAAAATAAAAAAAAAAAAAAGAAAGAAAGAAAGAGCCTGAGCCAAAAATAAAAGCCACATGAAAAAGCAGCAAAACGAAAATGCAAGAAAAAAATCCAAGCTGCAGAAAAATAGGCATTAAAAATTGAAAAGGTAAAAAAGTCATAAGGGAGCTTGCCTCCGGCCAAAATATATAACCAATACTTGATCAAGTTCCAAAAAACCTTCGGGCATAGTACGAGGGGTTTCTCAGCTGGTCAAGTGGTGCTGAGTTTTTGCCCCCTCTTTTTTTTCTCATACTCATATCGGGTTCAAGCTGACCTACGTTTTTCATTTGGAGTATTCTTGTGATACTTCTAAAAATATCGCCTCCCTGAGAGTCTCCAACAGCCTTGGTATCAAGAAGGTCGAATACACGCTTCAATTCGTTCAAGCCAACCTTTTTCTTGTATCTTGGAGAAGGCCGAATGAGCTTCGACAGTTCGTGATCAAAACGTGGTTTCAATAAGAGACTTCACACACTGATGGATCGCAACGTGAACTTGAGCATAGAGGAAGCGGACATCGGTACTCAAAAGCTATTGTCTTTGCGATGTGCAGATTGAAATCTTCATCCGGATTTAATGTTCTGGATTTTAAAGTCGTATTGTTCCGTTTTTATCCTCTCGCTACGATTCCCCTATGCTCTTTACTTCATCATAGAACAATGGGCTCTTTCCAAAACAATCGCATTTCGCACAATCAATCATTAAAATCAGGCCTCGGACAGAATGTAACAATGGTCTGCACTGCATTTTTAAAGAAGAATTAATTTGAGCCTAGATGCTTTCAGCTGACATGTACAACTGACCCCAAGCGCAAATATTTTCAACTTGTCGATAAATCTTAGTTATGGTTTAAAATATGCTTATGCTACATTTGCGAAAGGCGCATCTGGGTTATTTCTGTGCCATTCTTCGATGTCACTTCGAACAACTCCGTCATTGCCATAGCCAGGTGTAGCCTCACCGAAGACGATGTTGTCATACCCTACCATGATCTTAACTCCCTTAGAAGAATCTACGAAATGCGCAGTGTCCCCTTCGATAAAATTAGCATTTCATCAATAAAATCAATGTATGACTCACTATTATACACGGCAAATTCATCACTGTGCATGCACCTTTTGAACTGTTGAAGGTCTTTGACCTACGCAACGTTACTTAAATTAGCGTGCCTTAACTTTCAACATTCTCAATTTGGGTCTCACCCAAAATTCAGTCACAGCATCAAAATCCAGCAGCGGTCCATACTCCATGCTCTCAGCAAGCTTCTTTGCTTCGCTATCTTGGCGAAACTGGTTGTAGCGAAGAAGATTGTTATTCAGGTAGGCTTTTGAAGCTGTTACGAGATCTGCGTGGACATGGTGCCAATGTCGATTAAAGTATTCGTCCGAGATGCCCGGTTTCTTGTAAAAGAAGAGCGAAACTCTCCAATATTTCTGCTTGTTTGGAACGTCTTTATCATTTCCATGATCATAGGAAAGCTTTGTTAGCCGAAATTCGTGTTCAACCTGCTTGGGATCGGAATCCATTGTTCTCTGCTATTGACACAGGATAAGAGGTTCGTTTTCAGAAAGTGGTTGAAGATTGCAAAATCTCCTTCATTCTGAGGCGCCGCAACCACCACAAAAGCAATATTAATACAATTTAGAGGAACTCTAATCTTTGGACAGATAATGGAACTCATGAGGCTGATAGTTGCCGGTCAATCGGGTGTGTTTTTCCAGTTGGTGATCTAGATATGTTCAATCTTCAGACCAGAAAAGAGTCCCCAAGAACACGATGGCCTGAAGTGAAACTTGTTGAGAAACCAAAGAACACAAAGGAGTCGAAGATTTTGAAAACAGAAGTCAATACGTTCAGTATTCAGCAGCAATTCCTAAGCCTTGTTGCAGCTACAGCCAATTTCTTGGATCATCCAATGTACCTTAGATTAACATAAGGTAAGTATATCTTCCGAAGCCTCTGATTTCCTGTATATCAGCAAGATTTCAGAACTTGAAGGTATTATATCAATAAGTGCTAGATCTCGAGAAACTAAACACAAAATTGTAAACGCTAGACGATTAGTTCACATGACTCGAGTCCAAACTGCCATGTCGTGAACGTAGTTCTAAAGTGAACTCTTTGAGAACGACATGTAGTAGCCTTGTCACTTTCAGTCATGTCTTTCACAAGGTTATTTCTCGGTTCTCTAAAAGCGTAACGTTCACGTTCACCTTTTACAGGATAATTTTAGGAATGCGTGACATGTTAGCTCCCTCGATCAGAGATTTGACCAAGTTGATACAGCTCACTCTATTTGACAAGACATACACGAAGTCTCGTCTATAAGAAAATTTAGCAGCACTGGTTCAAAATCATAGCTCATCCAGCAACCTAACAAATAGTTTTCTTCCATAATGGCTTTCCACGCCGAGATTTTGCAGGCAGACAGCCAAAATCCCGAAACCCACTTTCTGCTGTATCGCTTCAGCTCGGATGAGCGTTTGACTAAAACGCTCCCAGATCAACTGCAAACAGACTTTCTGGACGTCTTGGCCACCGCAAACAGCCTGGAAATCCCATTCCTTCCCATAGTCTGGCAAATGGCTCGCACTAGCATTGGTCTGGGCGGAACGAGCAGCATTCGGCGAGCTCCTGTTGATGTTCAAACGGAGCTGGCATTTAAGCTTGTGAAGGAGGATCAGAAAGCTTTGCAGTCACAGAGCAACATTCTCGGGCAGATTCGAAATGAGCTCGAGCTGATGAGCCACCCGCGGCTAAGGTCGCACCCGAACATTGTTGATATTCTAGGCCTTTGCTGGGATATTCCAGACCGGGACCACGTTTGGCCGGTGTTGGTTATGGAGAAGTCGTATTTTGGTGATCTAAATGGCTTTTCAAAGCTTCCAGTTTGGCAGGATTTAGATGCCTGTGATAAGTTAAAAATTTGTCTTGGGATTGGCAACGCCTTGGCGGAGATGCACAGCTGTGGTAAGCACGTCTCCTCGTCAAATTTCATATGGACATATTTAAATTGAGAGACTGTACTGAACTGAGCCCTAGACATTACCCACGGGGACATTAAACCTCACAATGTTCTTATTTTTAAAGACGGAGACGGATTTACTCCTAAATTAGCAGATTTCGGATACAGTCACCGCTACATCGATAAAACAGACAGCTGTTGCTTACCCGTGTCTAGACCATGGCAGGCCCCTGGGGTGGACGGATCAGACAAAACCTTCACATTATCTCAAGCGATGGCAGCCGATATTTACTCTTATGCTTTGCTTTGTGCGTGGATTTTCAGGAATGATCAAATATTTGAAAATAGCGTTGACGTCAACATGTCATCACAACTTGTGACATTAGATCCACCAGAGTCGAAGTCGATTGCGATGCTGGAGGTTTTGAAGAGGAATGAAACGCTTGAACAAGTGATCCTTAAATGTGTAGAAAATGAACCTGGTCTAGAAGATGCGGATAAAGACGCTCTTAAGGAATTATTCAGAACGGCTTTAGGAAAAAGTCGAGAAAACTGTGGTGATATTTGGAGTTGTTTCAAATTGCTGAAGAGGTGAGCGTGCTCAACAACCAGCTGTTCATGAGACGACTTTTCATACTCTTGTCGCAGGCCAGAGTCTGAGGTTGATAAATTGACACAAGCGGCCGCAAAGCCTCAATTCAAGGTTTGCAATGCCCATTAGGTGACTGAAAGCAATTGCTGATTTATCAGATCAACGCGGCTATCTTGGATTATTACAGCGCAGACTACCGTCTCCGCAAATATATCGCTAAGTGCCTGGAGTCTCGCGTCAATCAACACGCAGTTAAAAATGCCGAAAATGATGCTGTCCAGCTGGCAGTTTGTTATTATATTGGATTTGGGGTCCCTAAAGATGATGAAAAGTTTTTACAGCTCAGGGATGCAAACGAGAGGCTAAGATGTCTAATCGAAACTGAGATCAAATCCCTCAATCCAAAGCCTAGATCTTATGATCATCCGCTTGTCGCCCGTATCTTTGCGACTGGCCATCTCTCTCATCTTCATCAAAACCAGCAAAACCGTGACTTCAGTCTACTCAAGGATACAGAAAACTCTCTCAAACGAGAATTAGACGACTTGAGCGCAAGTATAAACAACGCAAGTCTGAGATGGATTCTCTTCGACACGTTGATAGATTGTCTCCGCATGGAGGGCAATTTCAGTCTCGCTGAAGAGCTCGAGAGTGAACTGCTTCAAATGCGAGAAAAAACGCTCGGCCATGAGAACTTTCAATCAATTGCAGGTATGACTAATTTGGCCCATGTGCATTGGCAGCTGGGAAAACCACATCTTGCATTAGAGGTTACTCAAAGAGCACTGCAAACCAGCAGAAGAACTCGCGGGATGGATGACATTCTAACAATGATGATCATGGGAAACATGTCATCCATCTACTATAGTTTGGGCAAATACCCAGAGGCCGAGGCCTTGGAGGTTTACTTGGAGGAGAAACGAAGTGCAATGTTAGGCAAGGATCATCCGGATACGATCACCAGCATGGCGAATCGAGCGGCAATCTTGTGGCGTCAGGGCCGACTAGAAGAAGCTGAATCTTTGGCATTAACGGCGTTCCGGATGCGTGAGAAGATATATGGCATTGAGCAAGCGGATACTTTGGTAAGCATGTCGAACTTGGCTTTGATCTATCAAAGTCAAGGAGAATACAACAGAGCGGAAGGACTTCAGTTGAAAGCGGCTGAAGTCAGCAAAAAGATCCACGGCGAGCTTTCTCCAGCAACGCTTATGAACATGTCAAACCTGGCGCTGACCTACTGGTATCTTGAGAAGCTTGAAGCAGCTGAAGATCTCAATCTTCATGTCATGGAACGCAGACGCCTTGTATTGGGACCAGACCATCCGGATACTCTCACAAGCATGGCAAACCTTGCTTTGGTTTACGAGAGTCAAAAGCGGTTCAAGGAAGCAATCGATTTAGAGACCGAGGTTCTACACAAGCATCGAGCTTCGAGTTCTCTGGGAGATAAACATCCCGACACGGTCCTGAGCATGGACAACCTTGCAAACACGTATCGGAATGTGGGCCGACTAGAAGAGGCCGCTGACCTTTTATCCGAAGCATTATCAATACGAAAAGAGACTTTAGAGGATCTTCATCCTGAAACGATGGAGAACACCCATAAACTCTTGCTTTTGTACCAAGAGCTTGGAAGGGAACAAGACATACTCGAGATCATTAATTGGTTACGTTCACTAGAGTCGTGAAGAAGAGAGACTAGGCATCCATTATTATTATCCGCCATTTCTGAAGATTTTCTGAAGATCTCTTAGTCTCGGGATGATCAGCTCCAAGAACTTCAGTACGACCTGATACAACTTCTGTCATCATCCGAACAGCCTCCTCCACTTGCCCAAGGTCTTTCAGAGTGTGTGCCAGATTATTCTTTGCTGTTAGCAGATCCTGATGCAGCGGACTCAGCTGATTGGAGAGGGCGATGACTATGTGTCTTTCTAGTGGCTCAGCTTCCTCGGCCCTTCCTTGTAGAGCATAATCTGAGGCAAGATTTCCCATAGCCCGAAGCGTAATTACGTGATTTTCCCCAAGTTGGCGTTTTCTCGCGGCGACTACCTCGAAATCCAGTTTCTCTGCCTCTTGAAACTTCTTTCGCCTGCGATAGTTATTTGCAACGTTATTCATGAGTGACAGCGTGTAATGGTCATCTTCACCATTTATATCCTTTGATATTTCCAGAGCCTCCAACTTTAATTTTAGAGCTTTGTCGGCTCTACCCTGGTATTCATAGGTGGACGCTAGGTTGTTCATTCTTGTCAAGGTCTTGAAATGCCTCCTTCCACGAGTTCTTTGCAATAACTCCAAATGTTCTGTTTGAAGCCTTTCAGCTTTGTCCAATTTTCGCAGATTCCAATATAGGACCGCCAAGTTGCCCATACAGCTTTGAGCTTGCTCACTTTCATCTCCGAAAACTTTCTTACTCTTCTCTAGTACTCGGATCTGCAGAGATTCGGCCTCTTTCCAGGAACAGAGGTCAATATAGACCAAAACTAGTTGATTCTCAATCGCAAGCATAACTGGGTCGTGTTGTCCGAACTCAACTTCGGCAGCACTGGCAAGGGCTAGCAATGTTGCTTGGGCCTGACGTGGCAGACCTTTTTCTTGGAGTATTCTGGCGTAGATGAGACGCAACCGAATCACGAGTGTATGTCCACTACCAAAGAGTTGCTCCAGCCGGGCTGCGGTATTCTCATACTCCTGAAGCGCAACTTCAAGAAGATTGAGGTCTCTGTACTGATGGACAAAGTCGATCACATCGATCTCAACTTCTTTGTCTATGAACTGAACTGCCCGTACTTGCTTGATTGTCTCCACCTCTCTAACGAGGTCCATCTCGGATCGCCCGCTTCCAAGCAACCATGTCGCTGCTTCATCATGTTTGTTCGAGGTGCCAAGATGCAGGAAATGCAGAAGCGCTAATCGAAACGCGGAGTCTGCACGAGAAGACTGATCCAGGTAACTGCTGTCAAAACGAGTTTCGTAGCTATTTTTTATGTGCTTCCATAAACGGTAGTCTGAAGCAACGAGATGCGGAATAGCATCAGTAAGCTATCCAATTAGTCATGTTACTCCTTTTTATTCAAGTCTGTACTACGCACGTTGAAGACTTTCGAGTCGGCATCATAACCTAAATCTATGGAGCCTGTTTTGAATCGATAATAGCTTGTGGATCATTAGCGTCGGCGTTTCTTAACGTCGTCTCCACAGAAAGGATAATTCATCGTTGAAACTTACTGGATGAACCCGAAAGGCCTAACGTGACCTTCGATGTCTTCGCATTGAATTCCTACAGAACTTAACGTTGCAGAGGAAGTGATTTCTTCATTAGATGTTGATGAAATTTCTGCATTTTTCTGCTTGGCCAAAAAGTGTTCTGCGACTGCGCGAGCATCATTTGGCAACTGACGCTGGTATGGCTCTGTGGCTAATGTCCAGCCAAAGAACTGGACAAGCCCTTCAATTTCGTCGGTCGATAAGTTTTCGACATTCTCTGAGCATTCTGCGGCAAATGAATAGAGTAAATCATTCTCTTTTAGTGTTTCTATCCACTCCAGGTCCTCCATTGAGGCGCAATTGTCGCCTTGTACGGATTCGAAGCGATCGTAGAAAAGGATCCACAGACAGAGCAGGCCAAAAGAGTATATGTCGGCTTTCCTTGCCCCATCTAAGGAGAACTCCGAGTTGCATTCTGTTAATTCTGGAGCATTCCACGGCCGCGATATTGGTAGTTGAAATTTCGAATCCTCGCTACGTAGCAGTGAAAGACCAGAATAGCCAAAGTCGACAACCTTTGTCATGAAGCCGTTAAGCGGATCTTCGAATATGAGGACATTCTCCGGTTTGAGGTCCCCATGAATCATATCTGGCCGATCTAAACAAAAAGCTGGGAGGACTGGAGACGTTCCAACTTACGGAATGAATGCATCGTCATAATTGCGGAGCCAATTTCGCTGCATATCCGCAGTCTTTGGGCGAAATTAATTTTTTTCCCAGCTTTTGAGAAAAGAAATTGCCGCAGGTTTCCATGATGCGCTTTTCTAAAGACCAAGACAGGAACCACACCGTCCGTGAAATCCCAGCAAATACCTTCCAGTCTAATGAAGTAAGGGAGTCGCCTAATGACAGGATGTCCTAATATTGAGATCTCATTTATCAAGATGCGAAGAGCCTCGGAGTTACTTTCTGCTGTTGCATTATCAAGATGTAGACGCTTGAATGCAAGGCTGACTTTGTTGTTCACAATCGATTGTTTCAAGCGAGCAGTTCCTCCCACCCCAAGCGAAGAGAGCATTTGCTGCCATGTTATGGGCAAGAAGTCGATTTGTCTCCATTGGGTGACAGCAAGAAAGTCGATAAAGTCAGGTAGAGGCCCTTTTGCTGTAGATGGCTCACCTAGGCTTTGCCCCGATGAGAGCTCACTGATCGGTCTTTGACGATAAAACGAGGTTTTCTCAAGAGACATATCTTCTTCACCACTCATACTGCTGGCGCTTGAGTTAAAGACCCCTCAATAGCTTCAGAGAACAATTACTTCCAGTACAAAGTTCAACATGGTCGTGAAGCTCAGGCAACAACAGCTTCGACAACTGAGGCGGTCTTGGCGGGCTGGATGATTGGTTTCTACATGGACACAGGTCTGCACACTTTAGACAACGAAGCAAGTGAGCGCACGTGCATTCATATCTGCTGATCTCAACTCTTAAGCTATAGAATCGCAAGCGACACGTTGATTTATATTATAGAAGTCTATTGTTTCTTTTTGGCAAGCAAAGTCATTTTGGAAAGATGCAGCAGTTCGTTTCCAGAAGATGTCATTGGACTATCAGTTCATGCTGTGAAATTGGACTTAAACTTTTTCAATTTTGATACCAAAAACGTTGGAAGTAAGGTCATCATGGTCATCACTGCCGTGAGTAGAGCATACATCCAGAACTGTGATGCAAGCCTGAAGTGCGTGGGCCCACTTTGCGCCGAGGGGTTGCCGTCTTCGACGAGCTGGATGAGATTGGAGCTAAACAAAGTCTGCACATTCGTGAGCACATGAATGAATGTGTACATATTGCAGGAGCTTACCGCGAGCAGCGAGGCTGGCAAATACATCGTTGCAATAATTGTAAGAAGCGTAAGTGTGTTTGCTTCCATTCTTCCTTGCTCCGCCACGTCGGCGTTTTGGGCCGATATTTGATTGAGCATGCAAAGGCTATTTTGCATGGCTTGATTCAGTTGTACGACGGCGTAGTCGTTGCGAAGCTCAAGAATTTTCGACAGCTGTCTTTTTAGTTCTTCTCTCTAGCACAACCACATACGCTGTGAAACGTACCAGCTGATCTATTCCAACCATCCGTTGCAAGAGGATGGCAATGCTTTGTTGATGCCTTTTGCAGGTTCTCGAAAAGTTGTCGAATTCCATGAGATTTAGGTCCTGTTCGTCCACGGAAAGAGAGCCGCTAAAATGCCTGAAGTGAGACTTCAGCGACTCTATTACGGTAACCGTTGCCTTAAGAACGCCTTCATAGCGAAGCAGTTTTTCTCGAAAGCGCTGCAGCTTTTGCTTGTCGCTGAATGCAACTGAATAGTCATGCGGTTTTTCCATTCCGACACGAGAAAAACAGGCTTTATCTTCCTGATCTATACCGTCAGCGCTGTTCGCTGGCTAGAACGTGTCAGTGGATATCCTTACCAACTCTGAGAGCTCGTTCCTTAGGTACTCGATATGGTGATCCCAATTATTCAATGTTACTGACAATATGCTAAGATGGAGGTCAACATCTCGCCCTTTAAAACTCGCTTCGTCTGGTGGTGTAAACTCCATCTTTGACTTCCACTGTTTATAGAGCGTTCCCGGGGGCTGCACCAGTATCCATACCGAATCTTTTCCCGCATTCTTTGCTTTGTGATAAACTCCAATTTGCCGCAAAGACCATGGGTTTTTCGAATTTCGACCATTCAGATGCACGTAGCGAATCGAATAACAGCATTCTGAGTTTGTATCAGTCTCAAGAGACAACCATGGACGGGCAGGAAATTAGAAAAATAGCTCACCAAATTCCACATTCATGTTCTCACTGCTTCGGACCGTTCGAGCATTTGAATGATAGCCATCCCAGACTTTGTCATCTTCGCTGGTTTTGAAACCAAAACCACCAATGAGAGCATAGAACTGAGGGAATATGTGATGATGTGATATGAGAGATTGTAACGAGGAAGGCGATATAAGAAGTCGGCCCCATGAATACTCTTGCCGAATAACGCTGCACCTTTCAGTTCCAAGCTTGAATCAAAGACGGAAAAGCATACTGAAGGAAGAAACCGCCGTCGTTGGCGTTGTCCTTTGTGACAACCAAGAATCATTAGACTTTCAGACACTTTCACTCTCTCATACGCTCAATGCTTACTTGATCCCATTTCCCGATTCTTTGTTGAAGACCTGCCGATTCTGATATCTTGTCAGGGAAATATCCAAGCCAATTTACAGTCGTGTTCACAGAACCGACCTGATGCTCCACTTGGGAGATAGAGCGTCTCGACTTCATCGGTCTTCGTAGAGAATAATCTCGACTCCTCCTTGAGGAAATTTTGATGATAGTAGTCGATTTCACAATCTCTTGAGCCTCGACCGACATTTGAGGTTGATGTACACTCTGGTGGGGAATATGGAGCCTGGCCCGCCATCTCGCGATTCCTAGAAGACTAATCGAATATAAGGCTTGGAAACCTCTACGAAACGGATAGGTATTTGGAAAAGATCGAAGCTAGCAGTCCAAAGAGTTTGGAAGCATCATACAACAGCTGCTGCGTCAGGAAGATGAGGGGTGAAATGGGAGCTTTCCACGGGCATACTCTTTGCTGGTCATGAGGCGTCAGGCTGTTCCCTGCATGAGCCTCCAAGGGCGCCTTGCCAGATTCCGCATCCTCTACAACTCAATCACACCAGCAATCTTCAGCACAGCCACGCGATCTGAAAACCATGGTAAAGCAGAAAATTGCCGAACGATACCTAGACAAGAACAAGCTTCATCGGCTTTTGACTGGCTTGTTTGGGGCGGGAACCTTCGAGATCGAGGTAGGCTGCGGTGACTAAGCCTAACTCGAGGCAGCCAACTTACGGGCTCTATCTTAGGACGAGGATGATTTTGTGCTGATCACGATACCGCAAAGCACACAACTGACAGATGTGAGTGCTTGCTAACTAGAACAAAGCGCGAAAATATTCAACTATTTCAGGCGCAAATCGAGTCCGTAAGGACATACCACAAATAAAAGAACGTAGGGAGCAACAGAGCTGTAGCCCCACCATAGAACTCAGGGTTCCCGCTTTTTCGGGGGGTGGGATCGGATCAGGCATGTCGTCACCTCGAAGGGAGACTTGGATCACATCGACGTCCTTGTGATAGTGATTGCTTACTCTGAATCGAGCACAAAGATCGTAATTACTGTGCTGTTTTTTGGTCTATCACCAGTCTTGATGTCTAGTTCTACTCTCCTCCTTGAATCGCCAGTGACCCCCCTCAGTCTCGCCTGCCCTCTCTTTTCTGTACCAAGATCACGAGACTGCGCATCGACATCAACAGCGAAACGTCATGTATTTGTCCGTCTTTGCTTCGAGAGACGTTTAATAGGTTGATCGTGTAGATATATTGCATGGAAATTTGATGCCCGCAAGCAGCAGGACAACCATCAATTTGCCATCATGTCTTCACGGGTTCTCTGGTGGCTTAGAGAAAATAACTCATCTCAGCCTTTCACAACGTCCAAGGCATGTCTAAGGGAAGAAAATAAGTAGTTCTACACTCGGCTCGCTCGGAACCATACCTCCTCATCTTTGCTTTTGGAGACGAGACAAAGCATCAGCGCTTAAAATTGTCGTTTCGTAACACCGATTACCTTCACTTCGACGGGAGCGGGAACAACTCTAGGTCGCTCCGTCAAGATACGGTAGAAACCATGGCTGCCTCACTCCGCTCCCAGATGCTCGCACTTCGACGTCCGATCGCCAATACAAGCCTAAAATTCATCCCCCACCGCTCGCTCTTTGCGACTCTCACTCTCGACAAGATACTAGCTGCACTCAGCTCGGCGGGGCTGTCGCCAGTGCAGATCCCAAGCCTTGCTGACCGCGTCTTGGCGAACGGCCGCAAGGTCTTCGCTGTCTTGATCCTTTTAAAAAACGAAGAGGCCCAGATTGTACAGTTTGTCAAACATGATCAGCTCGCGTTGACTTCGTTGGACTCCAGACTGCCCTTTACTTTGCCAGAATTGGAATCGATTGTGCCGGAGATTGCCAGTGAGTTTTTCGAGTGGCAGTGGGAGGTGTGTGCACCTGTTTTCACCAAAGGCATCCTGCACAGGGAGCTTCATGACGCAATACGCATCCCGTTTGTGAGCGAGGAGAAGATCGGTTATGGTGGCTTTGGAGATGTGTACTGTGTCGAGCTGGACAGAGACCAACAGATCCTGGATCTCACGGAGCCTGATGATGTAAGTGTCTATAGATTCCCACATACCATGTAGTGGACTGTAAACTATGGCAACAGGTTAACGGCCATCAGAAGCTTCGCGTCGTCCGTAAAGAGTTTAAAAGCACCACTGAAGGCGAAGATGACTGGGCTAAGGAACTGCAAAATCTGAGCCTTCTTTCAGAGTTGAAGCACCCTAACATGGTGGAATTCTTATGCTCGTATACGCACCGTCGAAAGCACAACTTACTGTTTCGACTAGTTAAGCATGGAACTATGTCATCCCTTTTTGAAATGCCTCGCCCCGCGGGATTCTCAAGTGATGAAATAATTCTGCACTCGCTTGCACAACTTGCTTCGGCGATATGCTTAGTACACTCCTTCACCATCAAGCGTCTCAACTTGAAGTTTATTGGTTGTCACCATGACCTGAAGCCTAAAAACATCTTATTCTCTGGTCAGGCATTTATTCTCTCTGATTTTGGGCTCTCGCGATTCCGTGACGCTGCAGAGTCATCAAAAGAAGTGTTTGAAGTGGGCCAGGGCCACTACCTAGCGCCCGAGTGTGAGGATGCAGAAAATGCGTTCCAGAAAGGCCTTATTAGCCGACCAAGCGACATCTGGAGCTTCGGCTGTATTATCGCAGAGGTATTAACTTATTTATGCTATGGACCGGGATCCGTTGCGAAATTTAGATTCGCAAGGCGAGTTAAGATCGGAGTATTGACCACCTCGACCTTCCATGCGGGATCTGGAAAGGAGAATGCAGGACTTATGACTTGGTTAAAGAGCCTTGAAGCCCAAGAAGAGGAAATTTACGGAAAGGGCGTTAGCCTCGTTCGCAAAATGCTGTCACTTGAGCCTGAACGTCGACCAAAAATCGCAGAAGTTACGTTCGAACTTGGTCGGATTGCCCTCGTGGCATATTGCAAAGCGGTAGAAGAGATGTTTCAGAAACTGTGTAATGCAACACACTCTATAGAGGCAGATATGGAACAAAGACGGTTTAGAATATGGAGACACACTTTCGAATCTATGCTCCTCGAGGAGACTTGTCCGTACCGAGAACTGGATGATCCAATGCAGAAGCTCGATCCTTTGCTGTACTGCCTGTCAAAGTGCAAGAACGAGGCATCGTCAATCCTGGAACACTACGAAACTGCATTACAGCCGCTATACTCGCCTCTTCGAGTTATCATTGACCAATTACACAGCTTCCTACCGGACAGTCTCTCTAGATTAGCCGCTTCCAAACTCGAATCTGAGCTGGTGCAGACAGCTGATATCGAAGCGGTGAGTGGCATGTCCGAAGAATACGCCGCAAACCCGGTAGCTGAGCGCATCCGCATGCTGCTCACGATTAAGCGCATGTCGATCCTCGCTTTCCAGAGAGAGAGCTGCATTAGACCCGATCTTTTCATCAAAGATGCAAGTCAAGTGAAAGTAGACGCCACAAAAGTTCTCGGCGAGCACAGTCTCGCGGAATTGGCACAAGTCGACGGCTCTCACCGGCGCGTACTGGTCGAGTGGATTTCCTACTCGCCTATATGGGAAGGCCATGTTAGCGAGGAGATGATGGCTCGAGTCGAAAGCATAACGACACTATTGAACGACCCTGTTAAACCGATAGAGCAGGTTTTACATAGCTCAGGATACTTTCATCAACCTCACAGGACCGCATTTGGCGTCGTTTATGAACTTCCGCCCTCCGATGTGGCTCTGGTCCCACGTACGCTCGCGACCGTGATTCAATCGACTATGGACGCCCGGCATCGACCGCCCCTGGAAGACCGGTTCACACTCGCTCGTCAGCTGGTAAAGGGCATCATCGACTGTCACAAAGTTGGCTGGATGCATAAAAGCATATCAGCCCATAACATTGCCTTTTTCCACCATCCAGCTGCACCCTCGGCCACGTGGATTCGAGGTGCTCACATCATCGGATTCAATCACAGTCGACCAGACGATCCGACGGCGTTCACCGTGGGACCTGGTACGTCGCAATTCAAGGTATATCACCACCCAGCCTACGCGTCCGGGGCAAGATTCGAGTTGGCATTCGATTATTACAGCCTCGGCCTGGTGTTGCTGGAGATCGGCTTATGGATGCCTCTGCAGAAGATCGTCGACGGCTGGAAGTTCGACAGTCTGTGGAAGCTGAAGGACATGCTCCTCTTGCGGAGAGTCCCACTGTTGGTCCATGCCATGGGCAAAGAGTATCATGACCTTGTTGAAATTTGCCTAAAGGGCCATGCGACGCAACACAACTCGTCTCATGGCGAACCAGAAAGCACTGCGCTTCTTACAAGGCTGGGTCGACTGCCTTTTGCCGACACGTACAGCGTACCTTGAGTCTTGAAAGCCGAGGATCCACACAGTAGCCAAAGACAAAGAAAGAAAATGAAAGAAAAGAAAAGAAAATCATAAGAGCGTACATGTTCAACAGAAAGAAGTAATTCAATCACTGGGTATTCCTTTTTGAATACGTAGCGTGCAGTTCCCGTGGACCGATCCCATTCGGTCACATATGATTTGCGTCTTTCAATAACTGTATTTGACCAGCGGACAGCTGAAACCGTCCCTACGTTAGCAAAAATTGCCTTTGTTTCATATACTGATCTCTGCGCCAGACAGTCAAATATCCTGCTCCTGCGGCGACTCTTTCCTGTCTGCGAGACCAAGCTTCTCCAGGTCAACTGCTAAAGGGTCCGTCTCCTTCGTCACTTCCCTTGGCCCCTCTACGCCGTCTGGCGGCAGAGCCCACGTAGGCAGTGGCGATTCGTAAGACCACGTACCGTCCTCACTCTCATATCTCAGAGCGTGAAGATATATGCCCAATTCATGGATTCCCGGGTCGCTAAAGAGCGGCGTGTCGCAGACCTTACAAAGCTCTCCGGTCAGCTTCTCCGCTTTACGCTTCTGGTATTTATCCACCATCTCGTCGTGGTAAGCGACTGCCTCGGCAACCTCCTCCCTACCCATGCGTGAGAGGCGCGAGATGATGTCTTCGTCGCGATCGGAGTCGCCTTCGCTACCCTTTGCGAGGGAGGGACCGAAGACTCTCTGGTTGCAGTATATTGGGTCATTAGAGATGGGATGTCCGAGAAACTGTAAGTGCACTCGGATCTGGTGGGTGCGGCCTGTTAACGGACGGCAACGCACGATGGAGTAACCGTCGAACCGCTTCCACGGCAAGCTTGCCTTATCGTCCTCAGCACTTGAATCCTTTGGGAGCTGCTCTTTTCTCGATGGATAGTACGCCAATCTTTTGAACAACGTGCGGGCTTCTTTGCCATTTGCCCGCACTGCGTTGAGGCCTAGCTTAGGACTAATCTGCAGGATCGGCTTCTCGCAAACAATGTCGCCCTCCGGAAACTCGCCAAGGACCCTGGCAACGTACTCCTTCTTGACCGTGCGCCCTTTGATCTGAACGGACATCGCGTCCGCTGCTTTCTGAGTCTTGCCAAGGAGCATGACGCCGCTTGTCAGCCTATCGAGCCGGTGGCAAGGCCGTGGGTTAAACGTATATCCACGCTGCGCTCGCAGGATTTCGACGACAGAATTGTGGAAGTATCGTCCAGCGGGGTGCACGGGCACGCCAGCAGGCTTGTTGATGACGATCAAATCTTCATCTTCGTGTAGGATGCCGATCTCGTCCGCTGTGACTGGTGGCTCATGCCGATGTAAGGTATGCGATATCAAGTCTCCATTCTTGAGGATGCTGTCAGGTTTTACCTCTTTCCCGTTGACTTGTATGGCTCCGTTCTCTATGGCCTGTCTCTGTGTATCTAGCATTAGAACCGTAAGCGAAATTAGCAAAGTAATTTTGCGAACAGCCCGCGTACATAATACTCTTCTGGCCGATCTCTGAACTCGCTCGTGAATATGTCTAGGATCGGTCGGTTGCGCCACCGCTCTTTCACATTTGTGTAATATGTAAAGTGATACGGCTCAACCCTGCGCAGCCCATCTTCCAAATAGTACGGCTTCGGCCACAAGTCTCCACAAGGCGTGTTGATGACTTGAGGTGGATTCGGAGGTGGAAGGCGTTCATCCTTGGGAGACGGCTCTTCAACGACGGTAAGAGCCATCGCCGAAGAAGGGATCTTGCCCTTCCTAAGAAGGTGAGTGAGAATTCTAGGTGATGGCGCCAGCTCAAAGACTGAACAAAGAGAGGCTGCGAGAAAAAGATGAGGTACGAAACGATGGCATGAATGCTGATGCACAGGGATTGTGGCTTCAAAGAGGGTACACGGATTTCACTTCAGGTCAAAAGTGGCGGTGTTGATTAGGTAAGATTTCTGTTACTTTTGCGCTCCGGCGCAGGAACAATACAAGATAGAAGATTCAGCGACCCGGAGATCGTCATTCTCGAAAGTTTTGTGCTAATTTTCTCGACATATGTCTTCTGAGAAGCATGTGCACGGTTCTGTATCGTAAAATGTTTACGGCCCAAGCCGATGTGCGTTAAGTCTATTCCAGCTCACAGGAACAAATCAATAGCGTTGTGTGCACCCAAGGTCAGAGCTGGTCAGAAACATAACGTCATGATCAACTCCGTGTTCACCGACACTGTTGTTATTCAGATTTGGATCAAACCTTTTTTCACAAACTTAAGTTGCCCATGTACTAGATGACGCTCCACCACCAGCGTCGGCATTCGATCCGCATATTGTGGACTCACGCAAGGGATTATGGAGTTTCGATATCGAAACCAACGGCGAGACTCGACTAAAGTCAATAGGGGAATATTCAAAGATCGCAAGGCACGAGGGCGGCGAAACTGTCTCATGGACATGTTTTGTGAAATCCTGTCGTCTTGTGCTGAGCTGGTCATGAAGCACAATCCATGTGATCAAGAAGACACATGGAACTGGATGAACAAGCGGGAACAAGCGGTCACAACCGGGAGAATTTAACCAGCGCCGAAGTGCGGGAAGAGAAGGCCATCCGCAAGAGCATCAGGACGGTTTCCGGGAGCGGAGTGAGGAGCCTTCAAGTGTATAACTAGCGATAGGACGTTACAATACACAGAAAGACGGGGAAGTTCGAGCAGAGCCAGGTCCGGATCTGGACACAGAGTGAACGTTCAGTTCAGAGATAGTTACTCGATGCATTCGAGAAACAGTATCTATGGCATGAGAAATGAAGCCTCGTGATTGGTTCACCCCGGCGTATCCAGCAGCCTGCGCTGCGATATGCGGGCTGAGCCCCCACTAACGGGATTCTTTATCTCTGCAATCCAAGACAGTCGACGGGAAAGGCCTCGCACGCGTCTGGGCCGGAAGATATCCTAACAAAAGGATGCAGTTCGCCGCGTGGAATCCGAGATGGTCTTCATCTCGATCGTCTCTACGAACGCATCTTCGTTGTTTGTTCTGGATGTGGCCTTGTCAGAAAAGCGCTTCTACACCTCGTCTCTGACCAGCCTAACAGCCTTGCTTGATCGCCGCCAATCTTAGATTCCATCGAGGCGTTCGCCCGCGCTCTTTACTCGCCCGTAAGCTCAGTCCTGCCAGTAGGGTTCCGATCCCCTGGCGTCGCTCCCCTGACAATCATGTCGTGCCTAACCAACACTCCGCTTCGCATAGCAGTCTCCTGAACGCTTCAGATCTTCTTTTACAGCTCTCGAGCATCGGGTAGCCCGTGTGCTAGCCTGCTCTCTTTTACGCAGAGCGCATGTCTCGGCGGTTGCAGTCTCTGCATCCGGCTCAGGTATTTTATTAATGCCTTCATCCTTGCCACAGAACGATGTTGAGTTGGACGAGTTCTTTAGCTCTTCCCCTATAGGTTCTTTTTATAGTTTGAGGACTGTTGATTCCGACGATGACCAACGCGAGCAAGAGCCTCTCATCTCTTCGGAATCAACCTCCTATGCCAATACACCACGAACGAGGAGCCCCCGACCCCATTATCGAACTACTGGTCCATCATCTCATCCAGATGCATTCTACAAGCCAAACAGCGGTCAGAAGCATACTGGTTTTGACGCCATCCTAGAGAGGTTCCGAAACTCCAAGGTCGTAAATTTCATCGACAACTTCGCCGTCGAGAATGAACCCGGTCTCAATAGCACCCAGTTGATGTTGACTAACCTCGACCTGAGACCTGTCGAACCAGAGCGTCGACAATGGGGCGCTTGGAACTACGTGGGTTTTTGGATCGCCGATAGTTTCAACATAAACACGTGGATGATCTCGTCTGCCATGATAACAGAGTACGGTTTGTCATGGTGGCAGTCTTGGGTTTGTGTTTGGATTGGCTATACCATTTCAGCCTGCTTTATCTGTGTGATGGGTCGAATTGGCGCTATCTATCACATTGGGTACCCGGTCGTTGCACGCGCCTCCTTCGGTATCTGGGGCTCGCTATGGCCAGTCTTCAATCGCGCTGCGATGGCCTGCGTCTGGTACGGCGTTCAAGCTTGGCTGGGCGGTCATTGCATCAAGATCATGATCTCCTCTGTCTGGAAGAACTACGAGACCGTGTCGAACACGAACGGAGACCCACCTACCAGGGAGTTCATGGCCTTCTTTCTGTTTTGGCTTCTTTCCCTCCCCGCTCTCTGGTTTCCTGTTCACAAGATTCGTCATCTTTTCACAATCAAGGCCTACTTTGTTCCCCTGGCAGGCCTTGCGTACTTCGCATGGGCCATATCCAAAGCCGGCGGCCTTGGACCAGTCGTGCACCAAGGTAGCTCCGCAAAGGGTAGCGACCTCGCTTGGGGTATCGTCAAGGGTATTATGAGCGGCATTGCCAACTTCGCCACACTCATTGTGAACAACCCAGACTTTTCTCGTTTCGCACGCAAGCCAAGAGACGCGTTCTGGTCCCAGCTCGTCATCATACCTGTCGGCTTCGCGTTCACAAGTTTTATCGGAATCATCGTGTCTTCGAGCTCCGCTGTCATATATGGCGAAGCTATCTGGAACCCTCTCGATTTGCTGGAGAGATTTCTAAATGGCGCCAGCTCGGGCGAGCGCTTTGGCATCTTTGCGATTGCCTCAGCGTTTGCTCTCGCTCAGCTAGGAACCAACATTGCCGCAAATTCCGTCTCAGCCGGGACAGATATGACCGCTTTGATGCCGCGCTATCTTAACATCCGTCGAGGCAGCTACATATGCGCCATCATAGGTATCATTATCTGTCCATGGAACTTGCTCAAATCCAGCAACAAGTTCACAACATATCTATCCGCATACTCCGTGTTCCTTTCGTCCGTTGCGGGCGTCATTTTTTGTGATTACTATTCAGTTCGCAAGGGCTACCTACAGGTCAAAGATTTGTATTCGGATCGCAAAGTTGGCCCATATTTCTACACACTCGGTTGTAATTGGCGCGGTTATCTTGCTTACATTTTTGGCGTTCTCATCAACATCATAGGCTTCGCCGGCGCGGTTGGTGCCACGGTCCCGGCGAGTGCAACCTACATCTACAACTTCAACTACTTTACCGGGTTCCTCGTTGCGGCCGGCTCCTACTGGTTGATCTGCAGAATCTCGCCTATAGATGCACTCTCTCCCACAGGACAGTGGTTTGAAATTGGCGATGACTCCGTGAATGCATGCATGGCTTACGATGAAGAGAGCTCCATAGACGTGGACGGAATGACGGAGTCAGACAACACCCTGTTTGGGAAAGCAGACGAAAGCTCGAAAGCGATAGATGTGTGCAGGAGGCCAGCAACAGCTTTTTAACGCATATAGGAAACGTGTTCATGGATTTGTATTATGCGCTCTAGACTTGACGATTATGATACCATTTCTTATGGATGGAAAGAAGCCAATATGCACAGTTAGCGAGGCGAATTTGGAGTTAGAATTCAGGGATCTGTGTAAGTGAGGCCATAGAGAATTTGATGTAGACATTGGCGATTCCCAAAGTCTTGACCTGCTCCAAAGTGTGAAAACGTAGGATAGCATTTATGCACGCTTATGAACTCTCCAATCTGGTTATTTCAGGCAAGCTTATGTCTGGCGTGTGATTTCACCTACTGTAATTTGTCGATTTTTGTCTTACACCCTAGACATGATTGGGCTGAGGAGACTCGTCCAATTTAAAGGTTCATCAGCTGGCCTACCTTTGCAAGAATCTGAGGCAAGAATTTCTACACGATAACCCACAACAACCTAATACGCGGCCGATGATGACGCCGAATAAAGTGCCTGTCAGCGAGGGGAAGATACAATTTAAAAATGACGCTGCAGGAAAGGAGTGTTTGACGTGGTACAAGCTGGTTGGAGATCTATTGAGTGGAATAGGCCGCTGATTGTTCTCCACGGTGGTCCTGGAATAGGTATATCTTCCCGCAGCCTTCAAGACCGTAGCGGAATTGCTCATTGTGATTAATAGGGCACAAGTACCTCCTCAGCCTGACGGATTTGACCACGGACTTCGGCATTCCCGTGATATTTTACGATCAGATCGGCTGCGGAAATTCAACCCACCTGAGGGAGAAGAATGGGGACTCCGGCTTCTGGTCCGTCCAGCTGTTTGTAGACGAGTTCCACAACTTGGTCGACCACCTTGGGCTAGCCAGCTACGACGTGTACGGCAAACTCGTGGGGCGGCATGCTCGCGGTAGAGATAGGTATCAGGCAGCCGAAGAACCTCAACAAGCTGATCATTGGGAACGCGCCCGCCAGTGTACGGGACTGGCTTGAGGGTGTCGTCACGCTCAAGAATCGGCTTCCGCAGGACATCCAAGACGTCTTGGACGGCTGCGAGAAGAAGCAGGACTACGAAAGTCCGGCCTACAAGGAGGAGTGCACGTATTTCTACAAGCTGCACGTGTGCAGATGCGAGCCGTGGCCAAGGGACCTTCTAGACGCGTTCGAAAATCTGCGCGCCGATCAGACGGTGTTTAGGGCGATGAACGGGCCGAGCGATCTAACCGTCAAGGGGAGTCTAAAGGACTAGAATGTAAAGGGGAGAATAGTGTCCTTTTGCTGAATGGCAAGTATGACGAAGCTGTGGACATGGCGATGGAGCCTTATTGGAAGGAGCTAGGAGGGAGAGTCAAGTGGTTCACTTTTGCCGGATGTAAAAAAATGTCCTGTCCGAATTTCGACGTATTCGAGTTCACTAACAGAAAGACAGCTAGCCATATGCCGTTTTTGGAGGAAAGAGAGCACTTCATGAAGCTAGTAGGGACATTTCTGAGAGACTAACTGCTCGTTTGATAATTAGGACACGTTCTTTTGAGCATGGCGAGTGTGGATCAGCAAAAAGTTCATCTTTGAGTTTGAGTGAGCAGCAAAGAGGGTACATCAGTAGAGAACATGCAGCTCAATAGACAAGAGCCTCATGATTGATAGTCCTTGGCCCAGACATGACCAGCAAGTGATCCATGTAGAGATTCCCGACTGCCGATGCAGAAGTGTACGTCCGTCATGGGTTTCTGCATACCACCTCAACGCCTCCCAATGCTCTTATAATACAGCTGGCGCATGTTTTAACGTTGAATCAACTCAATCACAGTCCTCTCGCCGCATTCGCAAAAGCAGAGTAATCAATCCTCTTCATGGTCGTCCCCTCTGTCGCGTTTCTTATCCCCTCGTCGACTGTGAGCCGCTGTTCCTCTGAGAAACTGATTCCTGTGCTGCCTTCATTCCCTTCGACATGCGCCCACTCTTCTGCCTTGCCTCCCACGTCACTGATGGCCTTGAGCGTATCCCCCAACTTCACAACGCTGAAACGAAGAAGCCGTGGATCGCCGGCCCACGTCTTTCGAAGCGTGTGCTGTGCATGCGCCGAGCTGTCGAAGCGCATGATAAAGTAATGCCCAATGGTGTGCTTGTTGCTCAGGTTTGCGGAATACGGATCCGCCGTGCGGTTCGAGCTGTTAGAAATCGAAGCGGACCTGTTGGGCAGCGGTTTGGGAAGCGCCATCACGCCCCAATTTGTGAAGCCGCGGATGACACCGCCATTCTGGAGGATCAGGTTGCCGGCGGTGCGCGCAATGCTGAAGGAAAGTGTTAGTTGGGCCGTGGTTGAGGCGACTGAAGAACGTACTCCTTGACTTCGGCAATGCTGTGCGGCCGTACCTACAGAAGTATTAGCAGATAGATCCATCAGCTGCGATCAATCGAATTCCTCGTACGGTCGCTATCACTTCGTACAACATCGTCGGAAGTATGATCTTATGCCTTTGTCAGATGAGATCTTTCCAATGGCTCAATTGGGAACTTTTGATGCCAAGCCCACCCCGGTCACGATGCGGACCTCCGAGACCCTCAAGCGGCTGGTTCAACTCTACCAGATACATACTCCATACCAAATACGCGATTGTCATGCTGCGCTTACTTATTTGTTAATGTCCATATCGTAACACAACGAGCACTGGCAGGTTATCCTGCTGCCACAAAAAAGTCCCTGCAGCTCTTCCAATCTCCTCCATCGGCTACAATCTCTTGCCTCAAGCATGCCAGCCTTGTATGAGTTATAGATGTAGGTGACTGGGCTACTGTAAAATCACTTAAGATAGTCCAGTTTTGCTGTGGACGTGTAGCTAAGCTTATAGGAATCTTCTAACTCTTTCTGTGTACGTGCTGTGAGTTTATTGATTCTTGTTGGTCTGCACACCGCTAGTCATCGTGTTGGACAAATCACGCAATAGTCCTTTTTGAGTAGTTTCAGTGCCCACCTTCCTCCGAGTATTACGCTCCCTTCAAGCAACCATGTGTAGATTCTTGGTACGTTATTTCTTATAGAAAGCTAAGACTTCCAACTAACCTGATCTTAGGTTTACAAAGGCCGCTCAGATATTCTCCTATCAAATCTAATCCTGTCACCCTCGCACAGTATCCTAACACAGTCGTACGACTCACGTCTGCGGCTGGATACAAGACGTCCGCACAACGGTGATGGTTTTGGTGTAGGATACTACACGCCTCCAGAGCTGGGCCCGGAGCCAGCCATATTCACATCAACGATTCCGGCATGGAACTGCATCAACCTAGAGCGATTAGCCAGCAAGACGCAGTCAAAGTTGGTGTTTGCTCACGTGCGAGCTACGACTGAAGGCAATCTCAGCGAGCAGAATTGCCATCCCTTCTCCTGCGGCAGTATCATGTTCATGCATAACGGTGGCATTGGGGGCTGGAAATACATCAAGCGAAAGGTCGGGCAAAGCCTGCGAGACGAATGGTATATGCTTGTACAAGGCGGCACGGATAGCGAGTGGATCTTCGTGCTATTCCTCGATACCCTCGAGTCCATGGGATATCACCCGATTCGCGACGCCGGGCCGCACGGCTTTGGTCATGCCGTCTTGCGCAAGGCGTTGCTGAAGACCATTGCTCGAATTAACGAGTTCACGCGCGATGGCGTGCCTGAAGATGAAGCTAGAAGCTTGATGAATTTTGCCGTTACAGACGGTCACAGCGTAGTGTGCACGAGGTACGTGAGCTCGAAGACAGACGAGGCAGCAAGCCTCTTCTTTTCGAGCGGAACGGACTGGACTGAGTTCGTTGACGTCGACGGAAACAAAGACTGGAAGATGGAGAGGAAGGACAAAGGTGCAGATATTGTGCTAGTTGCCTCAGAACCTTTGACTTTTGATCGAGGTACGTGTCCTTAACCCCGCAATTTCGGTAATTCGAACTTTAACACGTTACCATTAGATAACTGGGTCACTGTTCCAACAAACTCAGTCGTTACAATACACAAGCAAACTGTCATGATTCATCCGATCATCGATGAATTCTGGAACCCAAACCCGAGCCACGAGCGAAGCACACAGTTTGCTCAGACTAAAGGCCAGACGACTACGAACGAGAAGAAAGAGGTTGTTGTGCCGGGTAATGGTAGCATTGTCACTGGAGGTGTAGGTCCTGATCCGGGGGCCCTTAGGCAGAGGGTGGAGGCGTTGAGTGTGAGGTAAAGTCTACAAAGACTTATCACGGCAATGGAGGCGTAAACCATGAGACATGTTTCAGATACTCACTGTTGGGCTTTTCGCAGATCCCCACACATAATTGGCCCCTTGCACCCTAATGAAATATCTTAATAGGACGTCATGACATTTTGTATTCGGCAGCTCGCGTATTTAATGTTAAGTTTCTCCATTTTGCCTTCCTGCAATGGACGGGTTGCTGAGAGTTCCACAATATATATGTATATATATAGAAAAGCAAACACGAGGGAAGACCAAGACCAAGTCTTTCATGGTTTCAAGGTTTCAACCAATATGGCGAGAACTCGCGACTCCCTGCTTTCAGATAGTCCGAGATAAGTTGAAGACCTCAAAGCTCGGAAAGCTCAGACGGTCTACGAATCGGCATCGAAGCGGTTGTGACTCTTTTGGATCGCCAAACAACAAGAGAATGAACGCCATAGGCCGTACTCTCAAAAGAACGTCATGCCTACACGCGTCTTCACCAGCACGGCACATAGGTTTTTTAGTTCTGTTAGCCCACGGACGAGAAATGAAACGGAAGTCGAGGCTAGCCCCGCCTAGTGGGTGACTCGAGAGTTTTCGCCTTGCGTTTTTCAGCTGGAAGGATGAGCTGAAAGTTTGGAAAGGACATGCTCCTCGAATGGCCTGCGGAAAGTATGCGCCCACTGCTCCGCGCCGTAAAAGCTGCAGCCGCGGATTTCGAAGGCGCATAGCGAAGTACCGCCTGGATCCCGTTGCCGTCTACGTTTTGAACGCGCAACTCTTTCTCCGCAAAAGATTGTACCCGGAGCCTTTTCCCTCGAGGTTCAAACGAGGTGGATTGCAAAGTCCGAAGTGAAGACTCGATCAACCTCTCACTGATAAGGACATTGATCGTTGTGCTACGTTGTGTTTAATACCAGCTTGCACTTTTAACCAACCAATTCTAATTCGTGAAGCAGCCACGGGACACAAATTTACTACTCAAGATATTCGTACTTCGCACCACTCAACCTCATTCGATATAAGAGCTTCTCCATACATGTACCCGTGAACATAGGCTGAACCGACTAAACGGGATGTCTCTCTCATTCTCAACACCCACGGTGCTCTGAAACCCTTAAACAAACACATCTTATCTCCTACCTGTACCTCTGGGCACACCCAGCCTAGATATCCTTTTTTGGTCCTGCATAACCGTACGAGCTCCTGCGGTGCCATTAGCTCCAAATAAGCCAACTTTATATCATCCAGGGAGTCCTCAGCTTCCTCTTCGCCCTCAAAAGGATAATCCAGGACACGAGGATCCAGATAGCTATCGCCAAAACCGACCTCTGCGCGTTTTGGATCGTCGCCATTTGCGGTATCGGCAATGAGCAGTCTCCAAAAAACGTGAGCTAGACTCTCCCCAGTGGGATAGCTAGTCTGGGAATCGATCACAATATTTTTGATCGCTTCGCGTCGTTGATAGCTCAGCTCAAGGATTCCAGGCACGTCTAGATTGTATATGTGCTCTACATCGTCCAAAAAATATCCAGCATCAATTATTAGAACGTTCCCATCTGTTCTCGCAACCGCTCGCGTGTCTTTTGAGCCTCCAGCGCAGAAATGGTCTTGAACATATGACGTCATCGTGGGCGCATCTACTGACACGTCTGGGACCCAGGAAGGCCAATCTTCTCTAACGGGGTGTTGAATTGTTAGTGCTAACATGTCTTCAAGAACAGCACTAGACCGTAAACACCACGCTACAGCATTTTGAAAAACCTCTGCGATTCCGAGCTTATAATCGACCGAGCATGGTACGTCCTCTGGGCTACAAAGACCGTATAGCGAGAAAACACGATCTCGAGGATCCGTTGCTTTATAGCCTCTACTCGTGATGCGAAAGACTTCAGAGAAGCCCACGTGACCAACGTGTTGCTGATCGTTCCGGAGAACGAGTAGCGTCCTGAGAGGCACAATCGACGTGTACAGCGTATAAAAGGAGCAGACTTGGTTGCCGATGGTTTTCCTTAACACAATATCTTGCAGCTGGTCCATCGCCTCTGCTGAGAAAGTATCGTGACTGCACATAAAGAGAACCCTCGGAGATATGCTGAACTCTTGTACGATCCACACACGGTGAAACCAAGGTACGCTGAGTAGGCCATGAAAGGACTGCGCAAGGCCATTGATATCTCGTGTGTTGTCAAGGTGTGTTGCAAAGTCATCCATTGCTCTAATCCGTTCTTCAGCTGGTAAGCTCAACATCCGCTCAAGAGCGTGCAAGGCCTCGATGACAGGCAAGTCCTGATATTCCTTTTCCTTCAGCCATACCAGCGTTCTTTGGGCGCGTCTGTATATGTTGGGCATGTCTTTCACTTGTGCATTTCTTTCTTCGATGTTATCCTGGTCGATGCACAAAGTATCGACCCATATCGTCCTCTGAGCATCGACGTTGCGCATATATCTCAGGATAGTATAGAGATTGTCCCGAACAAGGAGGACGTGGCCGTCGAGATAGATGGGTTTCGAAGGCTGGCCATCCCCCCAAACATAGGATATAGCCTCGTACGCTGTTGATTGAGAATGTGACGGATGCCATTCACGAAGGTGACAAGAAATGGGAGATTCCCATGGTCCGGGATGTATTACGAGGATGCGGATGCTGTCGTTTCGTTCTAGGGGGGAAAAAATGTACTGAGAGCCATCCGGAGCTGCACCTAGGCAGCTATCATCCATCCTCACAAGCAATTAAGCTATTAAAGTCAAAACGAAACGTGGTGGACGTAGCACATGGAGAATGACAAACTCGTTCAAGATAAAAAGGGTTATATTTTTCACATTCGAAAAAGGCCCAAAATCGATCGCATTGCTGTTTCAGCGCTACGTTGGTCCGGAAAGGGAATAAAACATGACTGCGGCGGCTGTACAGATACCCAGCGGCTATTCAGCGGCGCAATATGCAGGATGTGAAACAGTTGCATCCCATGTGTCAACCAACATCCAGTCCATTTGCAAGAGCGAATGTCAAAGTCGTAGACAGTGAAACTCTGCTCGATCTTGCCTTGCTTTTGAACCATCCTAACGGCACAGGAAAGCTATGAATCCGATGTCGGGCATTAGTTCGTTCGATGGAAAGCGATTGCTCATTCAATATGTCAGCATCATAATCCTGTGGGTCGCTTTCAAAGCGACTAGATAACATCCTAGCGGTATCAGAAGATGGGCATTGCCGCAGACGCCGACGTACAAACAGCTGAAGGTTCAGCGTGATTTCCAAACGACTCCGCTACATGTGCGTAATCCAGGCTGCCTGCAGTCACGGACATAAGCTTTTGACCGCTGGAAGCCTCGTCAATTGCGAGAGCGACGCGTAGCTGCAACGAATAGAGTGGCGGGAGGCTCTTGTTCTTCCCGTGTCAGGTTTCGCGTAGCGGCTCCAGCCGAGAAGTCACGGCTGAACCGAATCTGGCGAGGGCGAAGCTCGAAGTTTTGGGGAGGCTGTGCCCCGCAACAAGTTCGTGCTGCGGCTTGAAATGCACTGCCTCCCCTCGACACTTTTGACGAGACAGCTTTGATGTGCTAGCAACTCTTCGCTGCGCATATATAGGTTTGCTTTGCGAAAATTCAGCTTGCTTTTCCTTCATCAAAATCCGTCTGTACTGACATAGTTTGACATCCCACCTTCTTGGCCGCCTTCTCCGGTTCATACACATCAGCCTTCCACTGCATCTTTCCTCGTATTTCCAGCAGTCTTACAACATCTCACCATGTCAGATCCATATAACCAGTACCCGCCTCAAGGACCATACGGTCAACCAAGCTACGGCTCGCCAGCGCCTGCTTATGGTGGTTACCAGTCGCCGCCACCAGCGCAAGGCTACGCCCCTCAGCCCGACTACTCCCAGCAGCAGTATGGAGCACCCGCGCCATATGGCAGCCCGGCGCCGCATGGCTATGGCGCACCACCACCAGCCCAGTATCAAGGCCCAAGCCAAGGGCAATATGGTCCGCCGGCAAACGGTGGCTTCCAACATGGCCAGCAGCCTCCCCACGAGTACGGCGGCTACCAACAGGAGTATCATCGCGGCGACTACAATAGCGCTGTGCCAGCAAATCAATATCCACAGCAAGGCCCGTACGGTCAAGCACCATCAGACCCGTCCTACAACCCATCGAACCCGAACTACTCAAACTTCGACGCCAACTCTCAGGCTCCCGGCGGCGCCCAAGAGGGAGAGCGTGGCTTGATGGGTGCCATTGGTGGTGGCCTTGCAGGCCACTACGGTGGTAAAAAGGTTGGCCATGGTCTAATTGGCGCAGTAGCTGGTGCTATCCTTGGTTCGAAAGCGGAAGACGCTTTGAAGGACAGGCACAAGCACAGCCATCATGGCGGAAGCAGCTATGGCGGCAGCACTTTTGGAAAATGGTGAAAAGCTGCAATTTCGTCCAAGTCTTTTCTGCGCAAGTTTTCATTGTATCATTTTGACGATCATGCTGTTCTCGGAATAGCTTGCCACTGGCGTTTTTGGGATTAATTCAGGTGGATATTCTGTGTTTGAACGACTTTTCAAAGTGGCGATGACGAATTCGCTATGATGTGAATTCCATTCCGAAGGTCTGATGAATGTTATTAGCATAGCTTGTTATTCGCAGGTAACATCGCTTTGCATGCCCTTTGTCAAATGTTTGTTCCACGTATAGTTTGACTTAGTCCCATATGTTTCAAGAAGCTCGGTCCAAGTTCGTCTCGATGGTCTGTTCGTCTCAAAGCCCGGCATTACATTTCCGACTGGTTAGCAATATGAGATTTCTAGATATCCTTCTTAAACGCTCAGAGCCATGGAAACGATAAACCACTTAAAGTGGGGAATTTAAATATCTTTGTTCATGTCGCATCCAAAAACGTGGAAATCGACGGCGACGGCTACAGAAAGAACTCGCGGCTGGCCAGGAGAAAACTTTGGGAACTCCGACGACATGGTTTCAGTCACGCGGTTGCCAGCTCAGGCGGGTGTTAGCCTGCAGGAGTCATAGTATGTCACCTTCTACCACGCGATGAACATTTTAAGATGGATGAGGTCACCGGATTCTCGATGTTAGACGGCCAAAGTCATGGCGTAGCTCTGCGCTGCATCCAGTGCCGAAACTGCGGCGTGAACGATATATTACTCACCACGTTCAGAAAGAAGCCCTGCTCGAACATATCAGATATTAGCGAAAACCTGAGTGGATTACCCCGCAGACGTGATGAAGAGTTGTATCGACTTTCAATCGGAGAGAAGGGTGCTAGCTTGGGCGATCCAAACTTCGTGAGGATCCTGCCGTTCCAGACGATTAACTGCTCAAAATAACAGATTGAATTCCAACAAGGGCAGGAAAAACACCATTGATAAAGGATTCAAAAGACCCACATTTCCGTTCGTCACCTTTGTACATAAATAGCCACGATCAGTAAAGTTACTTACCGGCTCACATGATCTGAATATAATGTTGATCTCGTCTTTCACGTTTAGCTCGATCATTCCAGGTTGCACAGTCTGTTCCACATAGTCCATACAACTGACCTGTCGACGGTTCAAAGGTCGAGACCAGTGGACGTGAGCCGCACCTTGGATTATAGACAAACGCCTTTTATTATCCCTATCATGTTGTCGTTACCCGTCCACGTTCGGCTCCAGAATCTCCATTCTGCGGGAACGGACTGAATGCTGGTCTTCCAAGATCTAAACTAGGAATAGAACGTTGCGCGCCAATAGTTGCAGATCCTTCCGTGACGCCTGCCAAAATTGGCAGACGCGATGACGAGACCGCCTCATTATTGTCTCATGCTCATTTTCGTTGATTTCTACGTGCCTTGGCGCTTCAACACGGAGAGACGACCTGACGCTAAACATACGTGATTGCTGATGTTCAAGAACGATCTGAAAAAGATTTAATGTTTGACCGTTGTTTGTGCTACCGAGCTGTGTGTAGACTCGGGGCCTGTTCCCATAAACTTTGTGAATGGATGTTCAAACTACGGACAAGAGAGTAGTAGAGAGGCGAAGTACGAAGCCACCCAGGGTACTTCTGAGTAAAATCAGAAACGTTGTTCGGCGTGAATTAGAAGCCGGAAAGTTCATCTCGTTGTGTGCCTAAAACTGAAATGTCTGGATACAGTTTCCTAGACACGGAAACACTCCACGCTGCAAGCTCCAATGGTGCAAGGTCGTGTCCCCGATATTGTAGTACATGTAGCACACGATCTGTGCGCGCATGCAGAGCCCTGAACACGACAGGCTCTGCCATGGGCCGGCAAAGGTAGACGGCGAGGCGGCTACGCACGAGAAACAAAGCCGGGCGTACGATAGGGACAGGGGAAGTGAGGGGGACGAAGGAATGGAGAGGCGTGAGCGACGGCGCGAAGCAAGGGCGAAGGCGCGCACCACGAGGCACGCACACGGCCGCACACACATACACACACAGAGAGAGAGAGGGAGGGAAGGAGGGAGGGCGAGGTAGGAACGGCGTGGCTTTGTGCCGGCGCCACTACCACCACCACCACCACCACCACCGCCGCCGCCGCCGCCGCTGTGATCTTGCTTCCAGACGGAGGTACGCAACCGCTTGACGAGCCCTGCACGTCAATGGATCCCACACGAGACAACGACCCATCGGCACCAGCTGCATTTTCGAAGCGCGAACGAACGAAGGCCACGGCCGGTCGGTGGGTTCAGAGAACCGCGCCGCTCGCCTCGTTGCCCGGTGACCCGCTGCCGCAGCGGATCACGCGCATCCGGCAGCATTTTCAGCACGGCTGAAGGAGCGACACCCGCGTCGGATGAGATGATGCGGGAACAGTGCATTTTGCCTCTCAACCCCTTCCTCCGGGGGACGCTTGCGTCGACCTCGAATATTGAATTTTTCTTCTTCTTTTCTCCAGACGAGGGAGCATCAGGGCGCTCGATCTGGTTGAGAAGAGGTTCGGTAGCATTTTGCGGTTTGAGTTTTGCGCCTGAGCTGCTTCGAATGCCTGGGTAGGTGGTGGAGACACTCGCCGAGTCGAGCTGCTGGTGCTTGTGATCTTCCTTGTGGCTCAACACGGCCCTAGGAATGGTTTGGTGCGCGTCCGCTGATCGTGCTTAAGACGATCCTGACGATGGCAATAAGACAAGACAGTCAGCCATGGGTGTACTTCAAGTCGAGATAAGGGTCAGCGTGCAATGGCCGATCATGTTCTTGATGCTGGGCCTACGATGTTCATAGACGTGGGGACAGAGCTGGACGATGCTGTCGAAGAGCCTGGCCCAGACTGTCGGACCATAGTAACCAAGTTGGGCAAGCGAAGGGGGAAAAAAGCGAGCGTGTACTCGCTTGTATCGCGAGTCTAAATGGGAGGGTAGACTTTTCTCAGCGGATCGGAAGGTCCAGCCCGCTCACATTGAGTCTCGCATGCCCCGAAGATTGGTGCTGGACTAACAACGAGCAGGCTGATGCCCAACGACAAAAACGCGCTGGTGTTGGCGCCGCGGAGAGGAGGCGAAACTTTGTTACTTCTAGGGCGGTTCTAGAAACGGCAGCGGAGGCGTTGGATTGGCGAGCAGACACGAGCGGCGACGCCGGGGTTCCTGAGCGAACGATGCGCTAAGCGTGAGTTGCATGGAGAGCATGGTGCGTGCTCGTGCGACTCAGCAGCTGGCGCGAGGATCCAAGCGCGCACGCGTGGATGTGGGGACAAAGCAGTACGGGGACGAGGGACGATGATTATCAGCACTGTGTGTGTGCGTGCGTGCGGGCTCGCCAAAGGAAAGACAAAAAATGGGGCGGTAGCAAAGGAAGCAGGCAAGGAGAAAAAGGGGGTGGTTCAACCATGGAAAGGATAAAATTAATGGTTGCATGGGCCGTCGTGGAGAAAATGGGCAATCATGGTGAGGGCTCGCGGATGGTGCGTGTTGTAGCAGCAGTGCAGGAAGGGAAAAGACAAGAGCAAGAGGAACGATAATGCGCAAAAGATGACCAGGCACGCTCTTTGGCTGGGGCGTGAGCGTGGATGGCATCCGTGGCGGATTTGGCACGGGCCGGGAGATGTGATGAAAGAAGGATTGGCAACGACGAATAATTGAATCGGCGGCACGAGTTGGTTCATGCGTGGGGATGGGTAGGTTTGCTCGGGCAGGCCTCAGATTGCGTTTGCCGACGACAGTGACGAGTTCGACGAGAAACGACGAGCTTTAACGGACAGCGCGACGAAAGGAGAGCAGAGGGGAGAGCGATCTTTTGCGTCGGCATCCGCATTGCGCGGAGCAGAAGACGCTATGAAGACGAAGAATCAGCTGGTGCCGTCAAGAGCGGAGGGCGGAGAAGACCTCGTGAGCCAATGTGACCCGAGTCATTGAGAGCGTGCGGTGACGAGCAGCCGGTGACGGTGACGAGGACAGCGAAGGGAATGATGACTGGTCGTCTGGTTACTCTGTTTGGGGACGGGATTCAGAGCAAGCGTGCCAGGTCCATCAGTGGAAGGAGCCAGTTCAGTGCGGCTGGAGGGGCACGAGGCGAGGTCAAGTGGCAGTAATGAGGATGGCCGCGAAGAACCAACCCAGGGAAACATTAATTTCAAGGCAGAGCTTTGACTGTAAAGGGGAGCAGCGCCTTATTATTGTGGTTTCTGTTTGGACGAGCGGGAGCACAGCTTCGGTGTACAGGACATGGCAGCAGCGATGTCCGACGTCGTGGCTGACTGGGGAATGGGCCTGGTTCGATTCAAGACGCCACTGGCAGCGCAGAGGGGAAGCTGCGACTGGCCGGGTCCCGGTCGGGACTCGATTCAGACCCTCGGGAGCCCCACTTTTCTCTGGGACGAGGCTTGCGCTTGCTCGATTGGGAGTAGGGTCCTGCGCAGCGCCCTAGACTCCCTCTTTCCCGCAGAGGCGAGGCAAGGGTGCGAAATGCCAGCGCTGTGCTGTGCTGTACCGCGCCGTGCTGTGTTATACTGCGCCGTTGCTGCGTAGCACTGCTGCTGAAGGCGATGCTGCTCCTGCTCTGCCCCCTGCCACCACGGCCGCTGCTGTGCCTGGTGCTGCTGCGGGTGCCGCGTTTGCGCGTTTGTCCACTGCCGAACAAACACACTGCTCTACAGTACATCCAGCGCGGATACCTGCTACTACGGCCAAGACTACGATTCATTCTTCTACCCTTCGCCGTTCTACTGGAAACCGCACTCGCTCTATCTCAGGCTCCCGTCCTCCCTCGTCCTCTCCCGTCCTTACCACAACCACACTCACTCATCCACTCACACACACACACACTCTCTCTCTCTCTCAGTCACGCTCCACCCTCCGTCTCTCTCTTGCTCCCGTCACTCCCTGCCGACGGTCCATTTCATCTTGTCCTGTCTCGATCCACGCCGTTCCGTCTCAGTTCCTGCTCGCCTGTCCCCCATCGGTGGGTCATCCACCGTGCTCGCCAGGAACCACACTCACGCCATCAGGAGCAGGCCTGGCCCGCCATCGGCTCAAATTACTGGCTGGCTGACATCCCTGCCCCGAAAAAAGGTCCGTCCGCTTCTTCTCCCAAGCCGTCTCCTGCACTCGTTCCCCCGATCCCCATCTCGCGCGGCAAATCTCATTAGATCTCCTCGCAAACCTCTTTCCACCTTCATCATCACCTTCGCCATCATTCTTCATCGACCTCCCATCCTTTCCCTCTGTCGGTGTCGCTCTTCGCGTCGCTCAACTCCTTCTGCGCCGTCCAATCGCAACCGTGGTCGCTGTTCACTAGGTGCGTCAGCATACATCCCTTCCCACACCCCCTCCCCCCTTCCCGCCTCGCTTTCCCTCCCGCAAAGTGCTTGTACGTGTCTGCGTTTGCTGTTTGCTTCAGTCGTTGTTCCGCCTGTCTCTTGTCTGCTTGTCCATCCAAGAGAGCGAGAATCGCCCAGATCGTGCTTGTCGGGGCGAGACAGACTCCAGCCGCGAGCACAGCAGTACGAGGCATGCTCTAATCTCTATCGCACTGTTTTGTCTTCACTGACCGAAACGAACACCTGCGCGTCTGCAGCGCCAACCATAACCGGCCCAAACCTTTAACCCCCTGCCCCTACCAAAACCTGCGTTCCATCGCTAGGACCCCCCCATATTTCTATCCAACCGTCCGTCAAATCTCCCTCACAAAAGCTGCTCCCATCAGCGATCGCGCCCTCGACCTGCACCGCCTTTCCTCTGCCCCCTTGTACTCCGATCCTGCAAAGACATGCTCATGACCAGATCTGGATTTCCCAACGTACTGACCAAGCTCGCGTCGCTATAGAGGACGACAGTGCCAGAGACACGGCGATCCTTGTTTCCCTCGCCTGGAAACCCTTTTTTTAAAGCAGTCCCCTGACGGATTCGGCTCCGATCCATTCTCTCAACCACCACCACTCCCATCACCAGTGGCATCCCGCCCGCTCTTTCTCCACCACACTTAGCATCGAACACACTCGCAAACCGTCGACAAGATGGGTTGTGGAATGAGCACGGAGGAGAAGGAGGGCAAGGCCCGGAACGAGGAGATTGAGAACCAGCTCAAGAAGGATCGCATGATGCAGCGCAACGAGATCAAAATGCTTCTGCTCGGTATGTATCTCACCCCGCGACTCTCCCGCGCCAGTCAAGTGGACAAGGTCGGAACACATCGCGCATGAGCTAACAACTCATGCTTTTCTTTGAATAGGCGCTGGTGAATCTGGCAAATCTACCATACTCAAGCAGATGAAGCTCATCCACGAGGGTGGCTACTCGAGAGATGAGCGCGAGTCTTTCAAGGAAATCATCTTCTCCAACACAGTTCAGTCCATGCGCGTCATACTCGAGGCCATGGAGTCATTAGAGCTGCCACTGGAGGATCAGCGCGCGGAGTATCACGTCCAAACCATCTTCATGCAGCCCTCACAGATCGAAGGTGACCGCTTGGATCCTGCCGTTGGCAACGCTATCGCAGTCCTATGGAGGGATGCTGGCGTGCAGGCCTGCTTCCAGCGATCGCGCGAGTACCAACTCAATGACTCCGCCAAATAGTATGTTTTTTTCCAATAGCTCTTCACCCCATCTCCTTCCTTTTCATCCTCAATGGGGAGTGGGGTTTGAATGTCGCGGCTGACTAATGCGTGCGCAAACAGCTACTTCGACTCAATCGACCGCATCGCCGCACCGGACTACGTGCCCAACGACCAGGACGTGCTTCGCTCGCGTGTCAAGACAACTGGTATCACGGAAACCACCTTCATCATTGGCGACCTGACGTATCGTATGTTCGACGTGGGTGGTCAACGCTCTGAGCGGAAGAAGTGGATTCACTGCTTCGAGAACGTGACCACAATTCTCTTCCTCGTCGCCATCTCCGAGTACGATCAGCTGCTGTTCGAGGACGAAACAGTGAACCGCATGCAGGAGGCTCTCACTTTGTTCGACAGCATTTGCAACTCGCGCTGGTTCGTCAAGACGAGCATTATTCTGTTCCTCAACAAGATCGACCGCTTCAAGGAGAAGTTGCCTGTCTCGCCGATGAGGAACTACTTCCCAGATTATGAGGGAGGCGCGGACTATGCGGCGGCTTGCGACTACATCCTCAACCGCTTCGTGAGCCTGAACCAGCACGAGACCAAGCAGATCTACACGCACTTCACATGTGCCACAGACACCATGCAGATACGATTCGTCATGGCTGCTGTGAACGGTGAGTCTTCCTCTCTTCCCATTCTTCTCCCTCGGAAACGTTATTTTAGTTCGCTAGCACCCTCGCATTGGCGTTTTGTGGAACCGCGAAGCTAACGCTACATGCGTGCAGATATTATTATCCAGGAGAACTTGAGGATGTGCGGTCTAATTTAACGAGACATCGTCGACGCTGCGTTCAACACAAAAATCTTCAACGTCACGCAATTGTTATGAGAAGAGGTTCATAAAACTCACAACTCGCACAACCTTTTTTTCTCCGCCTTCGAGACATCTGAGCCACGCGAGAGGGCTTGCATGCAAAACTTCATGTCATGGCTACCTTTCGTCCCTGTCGTTCACCGCGTCCTAAATTCCACGCTCCGCAAACTCCCTCCAGCATCACGGCGTTCTTTGCGGAAACATCACGAGCCTGTTTTCTGTGGTTTTTACTTTAAACATCACTTATGTAATCTGATGGGTGGCTTTGCGGGCTCCCTTTGCGGTATGCGCCGCCTCTTTTTTTTTTTTTTCTGTCGGCAGACGCAAGAAGTTGCTCGCGAGTATCCTCACTTGTCTGTGAGATTTCTCTTTTTTCTCCCTGGCCTTTTTCATCGTCGGGCGTGCTCGTGTAAACGTGTCTTGTTATTCGGAAACAAGACCCACTTCCATCTTTCACTACCACCATCCAGCTTCTCTGCGTGCGTCTGTGTTATGTATGTCTTCTTTACAAAGGCGATAGGGAGAATTGGGCGAGGCGCGAGGAAAGCGGTTCCCTTTGTCTTTGTGTGCTACGTCCTTTTTTTGTTCGTTCTGCAATACTATACAAACTCTGTCGCGCACAAGCGTGTGCAGAAGAGACGGGAGAAGGGGGTTGAGGGTGCGGAATGGAGACGGCTGTGGAAAGATACCAAATAATCGTACCGACGCACTGTGTGTAGAGGTCGAAGGATGACAAAAATGTATTCCATTATTGCATATCTATTCTGTTTCCCACTTGGGTCTACCATGGTCTTGAGTCGGCTTCGTATTCTGGCGACTTTGACTCCTTCGGTGTTCTTTTTTATCTTCGGGAGTCTACACTGTGAAAGAGCTTGGGCCGAAAAACGTTCCAGGGTCGTCGTCCTTGTACCTTTGGCCTGTCTTACCGCTTGAAATACAAACGTTTGCCGTTCGTTTAAGACGCTGATCATCGTCCAGACGGCCCAGCTGACCCTGCTCTGACGGATCGGCGTGCCAGCTGGCGCAAACCTCGACATGGAAAGGTCCACACAGGGTTTCTTTGTTTTTGATAATACCCACGTGATTCTCACAACAGATTCGCTCTTAATCCAGTCTCGAAAGCGGCCCTCTGCCGGTGCGGGCGAGGCAAGGATGGTTCTTGCATGTATTTTGGATTAGATTCTTCCTTCTCCCATTTTTTCTCTTCTCTTCATTTTGCTTTTCGCTTCCACACGTCATCGTTCACAAGGGGGCTGGGTCTCAGCTTGACCTTGCGGGGCTGCACCGACATACTGAGCACTGGCTTTGTCTCTCTTTGTAGGATGCTGTGGGCGTGCGATTCATGCAGTGGTGGGGACTGGGACTGGGTGGTATGCAAGAGAGTGCAAGAGAGTGCAAGAGAGTGCAAGAGAGTGCAAGAGAGTGCAAGAGAGTGCAAGAGAGTGCAAGAGAGTGCAAGAGAGTGTAGGTTTGGAGGGAGGAGAAGGTGGTTTGCGAAAGCATGGAGACCCGCTCAGTTGAAGGCCTCGCACGCCTTTGCGAAGCTGCGCTTGAACTGCGACTTCACGCCGTCAACCTCGCGGCTCAGCTCGACGGCGCAGGCGGACGCTCGGTTCTCGACCTCTTTCATCATGCCGTCCAGCTCGAGCTCCATCTGGAACTGCTTGTCCCTCAGCTCGCGCAGGCCCGCCGACAGCGACACGTTCAGGCTCTGCTGCGCCCTGTCGTCCTTCGCCACGTCGTCAACGTGCTTCTTCAGCGTCGTCAGCTCCTGCATCACGGTGTGGAGGCGCCTGCTGCACTGGCCGAGACCCGCCTGCACGTCCTCGAGCCGGTCCTCCATCTCGTTGCTCTTGTCCTTCAGACCGTCGACCGCGCGCTTTAGGTCGTCCAGGTCGCGTTTCCGCGCTTCGTCATGCTGCTCGATGTCGCGCTCGAACGCCCTGCGCGCCGCCTTGACCCGCTTTAGCTCGTCCTCAAACCGCTCCTTGGCGTCCTCGACGTTGGCATCCACGAGCGCCATGCGAGCCCGCACCTCGGCAACCGACGCCTCCGCCGCCTCGAGCCTCGCGTGCGGCGCCCGCAACTTGTCCAGCTTGGCCTCGACCCGCTCGAGCTTGCTCTCGAGCTCGTGCCGCGTCGCCCGCTTCCGCAAGCTCTCGAACCTGTCGCTGAGGCGCGCCCGCTCCGCAATCGACTCTCGCAGCTGACAGCTCCTCTCCGCAGACGGCAGACTCACCTCGCGCGCGGCCAGCGCGTCGGCGTCCTGGCTGCACCGCACCGCGTTCGCCAACACGCCCGCCACGGCGTGCGCAATCTTGGCCGCCATGCCACCGCCCGCGAGGTCAGTTGGAACGCCAGCCTCGACGAACGCGCCCATCATTTTCGTCTTCATCCATTCCAGACTGTCGGTTTCGCCTGCCAGGGGGGTCGGAAAGCGTGGTGCTTCTGTCGCTTGGAACGCCGCACGCTCGTTGCGCTCGATTCCTGTTTTGAGACGCGGGCCCTCTTTGACGCGCGATGCCGAAGCTTGACTTTTGTTTTCGTCCGCTAAGTGGTTTGCATACGACCGCTGAGACTGATGAACACGCGGCGCATCGTTCACCAGCATGCCGTGGAAGTCCTCGACCGTGTTGGCCTGCGAAGCAGCGCCTGCTGGCCCGGAGCCTTGAGATACCAATCTGGCTTCAACTTTAACAGCTGCGTGTTCACACCTAGCTCTCTCCGCATCGACTCCACCCGCCTTCTCTGTGGAAACGGCGAGTTTTGACTGCGGAACAGACGGGCCCGGCGGGGTTGACTCAAACGGCGGCAGAGACGAAGATCTCGTCGTGCTCTTGACGTCTAACGGGGAAACCTCAGGCGGCGGGAGAGACGCCACTCGCGCGCCGGTGTCGACATGCATCGGAGCTCGATTTCGACGCGCGAGCAGGCCGCCGCTCGCAGAAACGTCTCGAGGCCGCCCGGCGTTGCTGATGCCGGAGATATAAAAGTCGTCTAGCTTTCGTTTCGTACTCGGCTTGGACTCCTCCGGTGAGCGTTCCACGGAGAAGGTGAGGCGAATATTGGACTAGGTCAATCAGCTCGTGTTCAGATTGGACACTGCTGTCTAGGGCGTTTGGCCTGTATGCACGCACCGTCATGATTTGTTTCGTAGAATGGTCAGTCTTGAGTAAGTGAGTTGTGTTTGAACGCAAAGGGATATATATTTGTATCGTGAACAAGAGATTCTACAGAGGAGTCTATATGTAAAGTCTACAATTGAAACCGGGGGGGCTGGTCTCCGTTCGACGTGTTTTGCAGCTCCAAGTGAGCCGACTCAGTGAGGATTCACATAGATATCGGCTTCACTTCGGACGCAGCCAGCATACCTCAATCGTCAAGACGCCCTATTGTCAGCGACCGCTCCCGCCACCCACAATACGAGTCTATTGTAAACCCTTGCCAAGGAGCTCGCTAGAAATTTCCTTCAACGTTGCGTCGTTGTTATTGAGAACCAGCTTCCTCTCGACCGTCGACCCAGCGTCCATTGCGCGGCACAAGTCCAACACCTCACCGTCCCGAGGCGCACAGTACGCGAGGAGCCCAACGGCGAGAGTGAGGCCTTTGACTGCCTCTTTGCTCTCCTCCTCCCGCTTGAGCGCCTCGAGAACACTGGCCACGAGCTCGACCTGGTCGTCGTCGCCCAGCAGGTCGGTTTCCTTCTCCATCCTTGACCTGTGATTGGTGGCGGATATGTTGAAGGCCAGGCTTGCCGCGGCGATGCGAACGTTTGAATGGCCTTCGTCCAGCAAGCTGGAGGTGACCAAGGCGATCAGCTCTTTGACCACCGAAGGCCTGGAAAGCACGACGTGGCTGGCCAAAGGCGACGCGAAAAGGTTGCACGCGACGTGGAGCGAGACGATGCGTAGATTGTACGGAGCCGTCTCGCCCAGCGTGTTGACGTGCTTCAGCAAGCGCAGCACGGTAAGGTTCTCCTTCTCCTCCGAGTAAAAGGCGCCGACTCTGACGTCCGCCACGACGAGTCTGAAGAGATCGTAAGCTGCGAAAAGGTCTGCATCAGGAAGCGCCCTCAGGCATTGCTCCAGGAAGGACGAGAATGCTGGCAAAGAGGGCAAGGGGCCCTCTTGTGCGACGGCTTTGCCATGTGTGGCTTCGATGAACCTCTTTATGTCGCTGACGATCGCCTCGTTGCCCAGCGGCCCGAGCTTGGCGATAACCTTGTCAAGGGGTGGAACCTTCGTGTACGTGATCGATCTTAGACTTGTGCTCAAGAGCTTGGGTAGTCTCAGGTCGCGATGCGGGTGCGGCGGGAATGCTGAGCCGATCAACAGCCGTACGGCGCTCCTCAGCCTGTTCGGATCGGCTCCGGCCCATTCGTCTTCCTTTTTGCCCTTCAGAAACGTCACAAACGTAGGCGTGGCGCGTACGTTGTACTGCGACGCTATGGCTTGAGCGAAGTTGATGTCCACCTTGATCAAGGTGGCCCTTGAGCCGGCTTCTTCGGCCAGCTCGTCGTAGACGGGATAGCAAATCTTGCACGGGGCGCAGGTCGAACTGGTGAAAAAGATGACCGCGCAGGATCTGGAGGCAGAATCTAGAAGCCTTTGCACATCTGACGGACTCGTGACGTTGTGCACCTTGCCAGCGCTTGGCTTCGCTGTCGACGGAGCGGGTCGTGCTTGCTGCGGGGACGCGACAGGTGCTTGGGTGATTGGTCGCATTGCTGCGTCCAGTTGGGGCTTCAGCATCTGCCCGAACGGTGTATTCATCACGGTTTGCGGCAGTGAAGTGATCCGCTCCGGTATGCCCTTGCCTACCAGGAACATGGCGAAGTCGTTGGAGAAGTTATTGCAGTTGTGCAGAAAGAGGTCATAGGCCTCCGCGGTATAGATCTGCTTCAGCGACTCGAGGTACTCTAGGATGATTTCCATCGGCAAGTCCGTCCGTCCAAGATTGATCCTTTCCATCGGTTGTCCATGGTGCGTGGTGCCAGCGTAGGTAGATTGCACTCCTGCGCCGTAGAAATATTCAATACCGTCCAGGACAATCGAGGTGTGATAGATGGCATCTGGAGGAGCTTTAGCACCCGTCCGAATTCATAGCACTTCAAGAAGTACCTATATAAGTGCCTAGCAATTGGCGTGAGAACTGCAGGTACGACGTGATCAGCCTAAACCCGAAATCCGCCTCAGGCGCTTCGTGTTATTCACCTGTCTCGCGAGGCCTCTTGAGAGGTCATATACGTAAAGTTGAACGTCCATATTTGATAGTGCCACAAAACTTCTTGTGTAAGAGAGGATATCATGAATCTGCTCTTTGAACAGCGTACTTTAAGGTGCCCTGACTAAACCAGCTGGAATCACTTTCGCAGGCTGCACCTGATGACGAAAGAAAAGTCACACGCGAAACCACCTTCGTGGCAAACAAAGCTCGGTAGCGCTTGGGCTCAACGATGGAAAGCATATACAGTAATTTAACTCGACAATCAATAGGACGCATTAACCGAAGAATATCGGCTACCGTTCTGTCGCCAGAGAATGTTCGCGAATGCAGCCGTTGTCGACTTTCGCCTTCCAAAGTGGATGTACCGTTACCACCCCGTAGGTTGCTCTCTAGCTCCCAGAGACTCGTAGTTCTATTCTATTTCCGTCCATTTTGAGCCTCACGTACGGGACTTACCACCGCTCAGTACTGGCACTCGAGTCGAACGATTCGGCCGTCCAGCTTCTCCAGCGTATTACATTTCAGCACAAAGTAGAAGGAGGCGCTTACTGCGTCAAGGGCGGACACGAGCATATGCGCAGGACGTAGTATATCCAGACAGCCAAGCACGTGCTCCAGATCTGCGCTGGCCTAGGCGAAACCGTGGAGTTTGGCGTAGCTCCACCAAAAGTCCGGATGTCTTAAGGCAAGATATCGTTTGATGGAGATGTGGCACGAGTGAGAAAGTTCATTGCCCGAAAAGGGCCTTCCTGACATGGACAAGGGACTCTAACGTGATTTCGTTGTGGTTCTTGAGATAAAGCGGCCACAGAAGAGCACGATGCAAGGCGACTCGAACAGTTCTCGCCGCAGATGCCATTCCGCCTCAATTTCTACTTCGAAACACGCGAGCGTAGGCCATGCATCGTAACATCGACTGCTAGTCGACTATCTTAAAGTAGTGCTGTTAACAGCTGTGCAAACGACTGTTTCGCAACGCGGCTCCAGAGGCTGAGTGTGCTTTGCCTCACTGAATGTAGGTAGCAGCATAATGAAGGGCATCTTGTGATTGAAAGAAGACAAGGTGATATAAGGATAGTGAGTGCCGAGGAACTTTTGACGCTCACCGCAATGACAATGGACGGGCAAATTCATCAGTAGCTAATGTTTTCCTGTAAGATAACACACTAACGGCTACTGAGCGGTGTGTTGCTAACTTAGGGACATTGTGCTTTCCTAGTAGATGAAGAAAAAGAGTGTTTTGTTCACTCTGCATAAAAATGGCATGGTGGCCACGGTTCGTCAATTGATCAACTCACGGTGAAAGAGCAAAACCATACGGGCATCTTGTCGAACAAGATACGAGCTGATAAAACGCTTCGATGTGCATGAAAGACGTGATTAAAAAGTCGGGGCGTTTGCTGTCAGTATTCAAGGTTTCTACATGCTGCCGCTGATTATTTTCTTAGCAGTTTCGCGCACATCGAGCACGACCTGTAAGTGCTTTGGCCTAAGCGGTATACCCTGATTCCATGCTAAGACTCGCGCCGTTTTAACAGCACGTTTGATATGGCGTCCGTTTAGCTCTGCTTTAGAGAGGTGGTGGATGTCTTGTTCACTAATCTCTAACGAATCTGGAGCTAATCCAGCAAAGAAATTCGTCTAAACTTGAGCTCGCTCCTCGACCCCGAGCCCCCCGTAGGCAAGCACGACGTCGATACAAGACCCGAAGGCCAGATCAATCGCAGAGATACGATTCTTGTTCAGGATAAGAACGCCGGGGTAGTATTCTAGAAGTCGGAGGAATGTTGCTCTGGAGTCAACGCGGCGTTCTCACGTCAGAATGGCAAGCGGACATTGTAGACCTGAAACGAGCTCATTGCGCTGAAGACTGTTGATAGCTCGAGCTTCAAGGGGGACATCCGCTTCGTCAATGAGTTAGGACTGCATTACAGTATGCGCAGCGCTCAAGCGTCTCCTTCAAGCGCTCCTCTACGCTTTCGACCGTCATCCCTAAGTCGCCCGCGCCGAGCCTATGCAGTGGTTGCTGCAACCTCTCGGCAACTTGATGAAGACATCAGCTTAAGAAAAAGATCATCGCGTAAGAACCACAAATCACTCAGCTGTCAAAGTCTTGCCGACTCCCGGAGGGCCGCACAGCCGTATAATCAGAGCTCGACCTGCAAATGGCATTTCAACATCTCGTCCCTCCTGCTCGTTTTTATTTCTCTTAACTTTGCCCGGAACGAAATCATCAAAGGTTTGAGCGTTTTCGTTGTCTTTCGATGACATAATAGCACGGAGAAGGCTATTTTTTGTTTTTTTTTGGCAGCACCGATCGGTCTTTGGCATCTGACATCCTAACATATTTCTTGAACGTCCGCAACGTAGAATTTACCTTGCGCCGAGGAATGATGACGTTTCACGGCTAACCTGGTTTTCTTGCCCACCGGTCAAACCTTACTGATATCCTTTATGCTGTTCTCACCCCAGAAATGTGTTTGCAGACCGCCACTTTCTACCTCGAGAAGAGTAGCTCGAAATACGAGAAGGATCGAAGGAGGATTGCTGCTCTCACTAGTCGAAACCGTCGTCGCAATAGATATATTGAAAACGCCGAGGGAACTAAGCTGAGCCAGTCCAACAGGTGAGAAAACTCAATTATGTCGTCGATGGCATGACATCCAGCGCAGCGCAGCGTTTGCAACTCTCTCGGGTCGCTCAAAGCAGATGCTATTCCACCTCGAAGACTACTGGCCAAACTCGTGCAACACACGAGAGTCAATGATATTTGTCCTTTCGCGGCTAAATGAATGCAAGAACAGCCATAGATCTTGCACGCTGAACACATCTTGTGGACGACTTTCAACGCCTCTCCGACCCACTTATTGCGGGAAGATTCTAATGGAGAGATGTGCATGATACTGAGATAACATTGTTCAATGCTTTGGCACGTAAAGTGGATCAATGATATTTCGCGCTCTTCGTCTCTCCCGTAAACGTCGTCTATCTTGACACGATCTCAAAGTGAATTGTGCAAAGTGCATAAAACCGTTAGGCTGCCCATGTATCTGTGGGCTTTTCGTCCCCGTCTTGTCCACTGGACTGAATCTCTCTTGCATTCGCATCAGGTAACGCGTCTTAGGGGGCTTGACGCGGCACGAGAAGATCGTGTCTTTGAAGTTGGTGATCGTTGATCACCTGCTCCGGGGTATGATCAACCCACACAAAACTCATCTCTGTCTGTCTCGTCTGGACCTTGGACTTCTTCACCACTTTGGCGCCCACCTTTCAGCCGCCCGGAGGAGCTAGTAGGCCACGAACCTTCTCGATGCGATTCAGGGCACTTTCCAGTTTCTCAAGACGCCTTCTCTTTTCAACGTCTCGCTTCTCTAGTGTCTCGATCCGTTCTTCGAGCTTTGCTCTTGCCTTGCGCTCGGTAGCCACCATCTCGTTTGCCTGCTGAAACAGCTGCACGCTCAAATCCTCGATCTCCTGATTCATCTGCGATACCTTTGCGTCGGCCATGCGTCGCGCATTTTGCTCCTTGACAAGTGCGGCTTGCAGATCGGATTCTCGACTCGTGCCGGGAGTATCCGTAACTGGTGCGGACTCAGTAGGCACAGCGGATGCTGTTAAAGGCTTGCGAGCACCGAACAAGGAGGCACCAAAGCGAGACTGGAACGATGACGGTGCTGGTGGTTCAGTGATGGCAGGAGGAGTAGGTGGACCTTGCTTCTCAGCCTGCGCCCTCAAGCGCCGCAGTTCGTCTTCACAGTCTGCGAGTTTGTCCACTGATTAAGCAAGTGGTTAGCGTAGGGCGTCCCCAAGTAAAACCTTGTTGTCTTCCATGTCTCGGGCTTTGTTGCTTAGGAAAGCTCTACATAATGCCAGATTCTTCAGGGTAGCCGCACATACCAGCAGAAGATGCCTTCTCCGTGAGAAGCCTGATTTGCGCCTGCAGCTCCGCAATGGTGGACTCGGACTCATGCAGGCTGCAGGTGGCGCCACAGTTTGGGCACACCGTTGAGACGGTGGTCACAGTCGCCGTAGCCATATGCGGTGGTGAGGGTGTCTTGCAAGTGCTAACTGATGGCGAGCTGCGACTCCTGACGTGGCAGGATGCGTGTTATGCACGCATACAGCGAAGCCCCGTTTCATGACGGAGAAGGGAGGAGACGCGGCGATCGATGAGTCTTGTTTAGTCAGCGCGAGACCGTTTTACGGCTGCCCTCTTGCGTCACTCATCACGTGCGTCTGCCTGGAGGCCCTGTTGCCTGGTGGCTGCAGACGCCGCAGTGGGGACCCTCATGTCTTGGCAAACCCAGTCCTGGACCTGCCGTTACGTACCCCGTGAACGCTTCTTCATGTCGCCACATGTGACATCCACTCGTAAGAACAAGCTTGGATCACGAATGAAAAGTGGCAGAGAAGACCCAAGACGTTCGCAAAACAAGGTCCGGGACAGCAGAAAAGTGGGCCGGAGTTTATTCCCTCGCTTCCCCTCCTCGGTTGTGACTCCGAAGCGAGCTGATCTTCAGCCTGCGCTTCCGTGAGGGGGGCCAAAAAAAACGAAAGCCAGGAAGTCTGTCCACTTCTGCATTTGGATGCCTTGAGACGATCTGCGACATCGTTGTACAAGTACTTGTACAAGTACCTCCCCACGGCACTATCTCGCGCGTCCTGGGCCCGGCGTGGCACCTCAGCAGTTAGCCGCAAGCGTTCTAGTGACGCGAGCTGGGCCAATCAGCCCACGTGGAGGGCGTTCCGATGACGTAGAGGGCAAGCTGCCCTCCGCGGCACCGTGAACGATGAGCGTGTCTTGGATCTGGCCTTTGCTAGCACGCAAGCTAACCTGTACCACGGACATGCGCAACAATGTGGGCGACAGGCGCGAACAAGACGAGCGATCCTACGGGCGCACCGGTGGCACGTTGGGTCTCGATTGTCGTACTAGTGCGCGAAGCGAGAGCTGAGTCTGTGTCTGATTTCGGGCCGACACGGAGGCAAACACCGCAACTGAAAGCCAATTCGGGGCCAGCAGACAGGACGGTTCTTGGACAGGAGATGGGAAACTCGGGCAAGAAATGGGAAACCGCCAGGGAGCAGACGACGGATTCTCAAGGGCAGGGAGAAAAGAGCATGATGAGCCATGCCCTGGTCGACGAAGACGCGCACCAGAAAACGGCACATGCCTTCGTCCTGTCGAAACAGCCATGGCCGCGGTGGGCTCGACGGCCATCACGGCTGAGACTAGCAAAGGATCCCCATGCACGGCCGATGGCTGCGATGGACAAGAATGTGGCGATTGGCCTTGCAATCGACGATCGTGTTGCAGGAGCCATGCACTCGATTTCCAAAATGTGGCTAGTGCCGTCATTGCTTGGCTGGTGGGCTGGGTAGCTGGCTGCTTGAACATGGCATTCTGAAATGCCATCTCCCGGCGTTTGTCGTCCCCTCTTTCTCTCTCCCACCTCCTCAACTACACTTCACCTCTCCCTTCCCCCCGAGAACGCCTCGTCTTGAGAATCCATCTTCGTGCCTGCACCGCATCCAAGTCTGCACCTTGTGCTTCTTGACCTCTCGAGCATCTGAGCTCGGCTGCCCGTATCGACGACCAACGCACTGCCTCTGCTGATCTTGAGACAGCTTCACGGGGCGAAGCTGCTGAACCGGCCAGAGGTAGCTCTTCATTTCAGGCGGCAGTTCCTGTCTTGCGCTTTCCAATTCGTCTCTGCTCAAGCCTGCTAGTAGCTTCACCATCGCGTCGAAGTCAGCGATAAGTCAAGCTTGCTTGAAGATCGCTTCAGAGCACATCTGCTCCGGGAGAACCAGTGACAGATTTAGTTTTTCACCACAGAGTAGCGGGAAAAGGAGTCCCCTTAAAAAAAGCTGCAAGTTTGCCCGAAGACACGAATCTTGCTTGCAATCAGCAACGATCGAGAGTGGCACTCCCAGGTGCCCGTCTTTCAAATGGCCTCAACTGACTTCCGCAATGAGCCAACCTACGACAATCCATCAGCATTCTTCGAAGCCATGGACTACACAGACAGTGCAGCCATCAACACGGACATGTTGCTGTACGACACACCAGACTTTGACAGCTTCAAACCAGACCTCAAGCAGGCGGAATCCACTAATCCACTTCTGAACACGAGCGAATTTGCTGGCTTCAATTTGGACACCGGATACTGGAATCAACCGTCACAATTTGGATCCCTCACGTCTATAAATCCAGCTTTGTCGCCGCTGGACGGCAACCAGAGCTGTGACACAGGATACGTATCACAAGAAGGGTCACCTGACAACTCACCTGTCGGCATCTCAGCAATGCCATTCGAAAACACTAGGCCTTCTAACACACACGAAAACGCATCAATAAAGGCAAGAAAGCGCTCAAGCACCAGCTCAACGAAAACAAAACAGCCAGAGACCAAGCCGCCTCGGAAAGCAAGGCGCACGAGCAAAGCAGCCTCCACAGACACGACGGCTGAGAGGACCGTGGATGACGAAAAACGTGAGCAATTCCTTGCACGCAATCGAGAAGCTGCGTCGAAATGTCGGCAAAAGAAAAAGGAGTGGACACAAGATCTTGAACAACGGGCCCGCGACCTTGCAGCTCAAAAGCAGATGCTCACGACATATCTCGCGATGCTCAAAAACGAGTTGCTCATGCTCAAGTGCAAGTGTCTCGAGCACAGCGACTGTGACTGTGAGGCCATCCGCAACTATCTTAAGAGCACCGTCACTACCATGCCGCCTGCCAATACGGCACTGTATACAAAGTTAAGCGACAAGGACGCAAATGCAATCAGTGGAGAGATTGCAAGGAAGCAGAGCTGCATTGATCTTGACGCTATGAGTCCGAGTGACCTGGTGTCCTCGCCAGATTCTGGTGAAGATGGCGCAGGTTTTCTGAATCTACAAGCAGAAGTCGATGCCTCTGGAAAGGACTAAGCAGACAAGTTTCGGAATTGCCTTTTCTTGATACATCACCTAATCGCGTACCCCTTCCTGCTTCACCTACGAGGAGGGACCACCTGATCAGGGAGGGAAAAAGAGAAAAGCGGATGGACGCTTTTTCGGAACCAAATAAATTGGCCGCAACTTGTTATTGCCGTTGTTGAGCGTTCCTCGTCTCGTCGTTCATCACGGCAATTGTACCAACACCCGCTTTGTTTTGCATCTGTTTGGGGTGTTTTATCACTAAACATGAGGGTCTAAAAATAAGTCTTAAGACACAGCATCGATGGCTGACTTTTAAGGGATGAGAACAAAAGCGTGTATATTGATAGGTCTGAGGGTAAACGAACTTATGAATGTAGCAGTCATTGTAATGAAACCAAAGCGCGCTAAAATTCATCGCTTATGTTTGGTAACACCGCCAGTGCGTCTAGTTCATGTACACTGTAGTATGCTCTTCAGGGAAAACTTGGCTCTATCATGTCCGCTCCTGGGCGAGAACATGGGGCATGTGAACGATGGCGATATAAAAGAAGAAGAAGAAGAAGAAGAAGAAGAAGAAGAAGAAGAAGAAGAAGAAGAAGAAGAAGAAGAAGAAGAAGCGCAGCCGATGTCGTTAAGCGCGCGATCAGCATTGGCGGCTGCTTAAGCTATATTTCCCAAGCTTATACCCTCCTCACTTTGAAGTATCGTCACATAGCTCAAGGCAGTCTTTGTGTCAAAACTCCGCTTGCTCAATCGACGATTTCTATCTTCCTCTCGGACGCTTGAAAGGCTAAAAACAACATTCTCTCTTCGAACGCGTCAACATTCGACAGAGCATGTCAGCCATTGTTCAAGTTATGTGCGGCGCATGAACCTCAGGGTTCTCAGCTTTCAAATGTATTGGTGTAATATTAAGCCAAGATCTGAAGATAGACGGGCAAGGTTTGGGGGAATGGGATAGTGGAATACGTTCACTACCTCGTTATACATTCCTGGAGTACATTCCTGCAGCAATAATGAGGCACTAAAGCTGCTTTTTTTGTGCTTTTTTTCCCCTTCTTCTCTGCTCTACTTTACACGTCGAAAAAGTCTAATTGCCTCCTCATCTTCAATCAAACACATCTCTCGCTTCGTAAATATCCTAGAAACCGCCACGGGGATTTCACCATGCAGTATATCCACCATCGATGACCAAACTGCTCCCCGTCATGAAAGAGCTCGCATCACTCAAGGCGAACAAGGCCGCGCCTCTGTATTCCCTCGCATCGGAAATCCGACCGAGCATATTCTGGCTCTCCCACGCTTCCCGCAGGCCCGGCTGGTCTTTGAAGTTTTTCTCCACCATGGGCGTGACGATGTTTCCAGGGCACAGTGCGTTGACGCGGATCGGCTTGCCGTGCACCACCTGACCCCATTCCATGGCGAGGCTGCGGGAGAGCTGGACGACGGCCGCCTTGGAGGCATTGTACACGGACGTGGTGAAGCCCCTGTTCGCGACCATGCCGCTCATGCTGGCGACGAGGAGCACCGAGCCCGGCACCTCGTACCTGATCATCTGTCTCGCGCACGACACCGCCGAGGCGTAGACGCCGCGGAAGTTCACCTCGAGAATGCGGTCGATCTCGTGCGGTCGGAAGTCGACCGCCCTCTTCACGTCCTGGATACCGGCGGCGGCCACCATGCCGTCGAGGCGCCCGTGTTTGCTCGCAATGCCAGAGAACGCTTCCTCCACCATGTCGGCATTCCGGACGTCGATGCGTCTATAGCGCAGGGCGCCCCCGTACACGGGCGCCAGCCGTTCCTGAACGTCGACGAATTCTGGCCCGGGACAGTCTTTCCGATCGAGGCAGTACACTGTTTCGTTTGCACAGTAAGAAAGCGAACGCGCACGTGAGAGCTTGCAAAGCGTGGAACAGACCTTGACCGCCGGCCTCGACCAGTGCTTCGGCAATGGTGAGACCCAGACCTCCGCCACCGCCCGTCACGATGAACACTCGATCCGCGAGTTCAAACTCTCTAAGGCGGTACCTAGCCTTGTGAGGATCAGGCAGCCTTTCCGAGATCGACGGCTGACTTCGCTGCGGCGTATTACTATCAATTCTTTGCTTGTCGATCGAAGATGAAATGCCGCCATAACTTCGCTGCTTCGGAACGTGTGGGATCACACGTGCCGTTGAAGCTGTGCGAGGGCGTCCACGGGTTTGCAACGATTTTGCGGGCAAAGCGAACTTTGAAACGGCACGACTCGACATCGTGGAATGCTTTTCGGCCAAAGAAGGAAGGGCGGAGTTTGAGAGTACACGGGACAGGTCGCGAAGGTCTGAACAAAATGCCAGGTCGACGATGACATCCAGACCTGTTTCACGGCGCTACTACATCATCCAATGCAAGATGTTCCGAATCTTCACCCCACTTGAAAAATGTACCGTCTTCTTGATGCTTCGCGACATGCTTTGGTGCTTCGTAGGTGGCTGATCACGCAAGGGAAGAGTATCAAAAATTGTGGAGAGGTGAGCTCATTGCCAGGTGTAGAACGGGTGCATAAACCGTTGCTGCATGGGACATAGTGGAGCGCCGTGTCTTATCGTTCAAGATTAAGACATGATCTACGAGTGATTTGCATCTTTGCGCATATTGATTTGCTGTCTGGACGAGTGCGTAATGGCTTAGTGCATCCGCTGGACGCCTGTGTTTTGGAGAAATTCCATCTTCAAATTTCGATCCTTTGCATATGGCATTCTCGTTGCCCCACTAGGTCGCTTTCGGCACAAGGTCGGTTTGACATCATCGTTATGCGGTCGGGTATTTATGCAACAATTTTAATTGCAAATGCAATTAGAAAGGACAATCGAAGTTACGCTCACGAAGAAACGAAAATGAAGCTTACAGGATCATGCTATTGCCGAGCCATCGAGTACGAGCTCAACCTCGGTTCACCTGATGATGCTAGAACGTCGCTTTGCCACTGTCACAATTGCAAGGTGCCCATTGCTTCTCTTTTTTTTGGTCGAGACACACAGTTGACAACGAAAACAGAAGGTTTTCGGCGGCAACTACGGATTAACGGCAAAGGTCTCGAAAGACTCCTTCCATTATACGAAAGGGAAGCCAAAGGAACACGTAATGGACAATGGCAGCGGGGTTAACGTGTTTCGAGAATTCTGCGACACATGCGGCTCATTCATATTAGAATACGGAGTACATTGTTCCTCTTATCAAACGTGTTTGTTGACGTTGTCTGATATTGTTTTTAGGAGCCGGTAAAGGACAAGTTTCGCTACATCGTTTGGGGGAGTCTTGATAATCCAGAAGCCTTGCCACCGAAGGGAGAGTTCTTTTGCAAGGAGAGAATGACATGGATGCCGGAAATTCCAAGTATGAAAGAATTTTAAGCTTTCGCTATCTCACTGCATGCTGACGTAGTTCTAGATGTCTTTCACAAGCAAGAGGTCAAGGAGTGATGAGCTTTGTCAAAATATGCTTCTAATTCTCCAGCACCACGAAGAATATGTCTTCAAATGATCTACAGACTCATACCTCGTACTATACTTCCTTTTCGGGTTGACGCTTGCTCAACATCATCTTTGGTTGTAGCTTGCACATCCTCGCTACGAACACCTTGTTGCTGAAGTCTCTTGAAATTTTTCTCGGCCTCCCAGTTCCATACGCTATCTGCGGCGAAAAGTAGGTCAATCTCTTCAAGCGTGCGCTGATTCGTCTCTGGATAGAGCGCCCACACCATGGGAATAGTGATGGCGTTACAAGCAGCGAATATATAAAGCGTCTTCTCGTTGATGCTTCCAAACATGACCGGGCAGAGGAGCGTGAGCCAGCCATTTCCGATGCTCCAGCCGAAAACACCCCATGCATTTCCTTTGGCACGAATTTCGAGAGGAAATATCTCAGCGGGATACAGCCATGGCACGGTGAGCCATGTCGCACCAAAAACAGAGGTGAAGATAAATACCATGGAAACCGCGGCGTTGCCGTAGCTAGAAGCTTTGCTCAGGTCCCCATTCGCGGTAGCCTGTTGGCCGAGATATGAAAACGCGCCTGCCAACGCCATTGCGATCCCTTGACCGACAGAGCCCCAATAAAGCGTCCATCGGCGCCCGATACGATCCAGGGTGAAGACACAGATCAACGTGGCAAACATGTAGAAGATGTTGTTCAGACCGGATATCCATTGGCGTTTCGATGGGCTCATTCCTGCGATCCCGAAGATTGTTGGCGCATATATTGTCACGCCGGCTATTCCAATCCATTCTTGCATGATCTGAAGCCAAATGACCAGTTGAATTCGGCGACCGGTATGAAGCTTGCCGGATCCCTTGCCGAAGAACATGTGGACGTAGGACTGCTTCTTGAAATTCGTCCGCTCAAGCTCGCAAGACGCAATGATGTCCTGGAATTCGAGCTCAGCTGACTCCCTGTCTTTCCCAGTGTCGCCTCGAAGTCGACCGAGAATGTATCGTGCCTCGTCTTCTCTTCCAACCTTGACCAACCAGCGGGGAGATTCCGGGAAGAAAAGAACAGATGCCATCAGTCCCAGGAGCATGGGAATCTGAAACGCGATTGGAAATCTCCAAATGAAAGATGACGTGCCGTCCCCGTAGAATGAACATCCGTACTCAAGCCAGTAGGCAATGACAACGCCGGCGATATTCAACGTGAACTCAATCGCAATGAATTGGCCGCGCGACTTGTGTTCGGCTGTTTCGGTGGCCCAAACCGGGACAATTGCATTCAGAATTCCTGTGCCCCAGCCATTGACAAGTCGAGCGCAGATCATCCACTCCTTGTTCATAGCCGAGCATTGCAAGCTGGCTCCGACCACGGCGACGGCGGCGCCAATGAAGACGGTCTTTACTCTTCCGAACCTGTCCCCTAAGGAACCTCCGACCAAGCAGCCGACAAGTGTTCCCAGGTAATAGACGGACACGATCCCGCCTTGCAGCAGAGAGTCGTCAACGACCACGGCACCGTCGGGACCTCGGTGGCCAAATCCCATACGAGTGTAGTAATCGTAGGCGGTATTGACACCGCCCATCATACCTTGATCATAGCCAAAGAAAAGAATGGAGAGGCCCGCGACGCAATTGATACTGCGATAATAATTACTTTCATTTCACTTGAATGAAACTAAGAACAAAAGACCCCATACGTACGCTATCAGCAGTTGCCGCTTCTCGAGTCGGTGCACGACATTAAATCTGTGTATCTTATCCATGACGGCCTCGAGCGGAAAGAACCTCCGGGAATGCTATAAGCGTACCCCAGAAAGACGTTGCAAAAATGCGGAGAGTGGGCAGTCCTGTCAGCCATCGCCGGAAGGTGTGGAGCGTCGTATATGTACTGAATGTCTTTGGCAATGTCGAAGGCCGAATCCATGCGGACGTTTCTTCGTAGAGTGTCTCCGTCTTGTACAAAGTGTGGAGCGATCATACGCCGCGAGTTCAAAACAAGTAACGATTCGACGAACTTGTTCAGTTCCCCCCTCACAAAGCAGGGAGATTAGCACGTCATTCGAGGAGCCTCATGCAAGCCTTGCATCGTCACGGAATGACTCCTTTTGGTCTTCCATCGGACAATTACCAATTGCGGGAGTCGAGTCTGCTGATCTTGCTCCACTCAGTATGCAGCGACAGAGATATCGCAGAGTAACGTGATCAAAAACTCAGTTGATGGTGCCGCTGAGCGACGTCATTTCCGCTAAAGTTACCAATTTTTGAGGGTTGTAGCGAAGTACCGCCACGCACCAACCCTACGCTAACAGGAAATCGGGCTAATAACGTCCGAGATATAATCTTCCTCTTGCCGTCCATCCCGTGTCCAATGTCGATGGAGAAAACGGGCAAGCTGCACGCTAACTCTCATCCCTTTCCTAAATTGAGGTCGAAAAAAATTGAGGCCAGACAGTTGAGCTCTGATCTCGACGCGATGAATGTACTTAAAAACTCAGCGCGGTCGAGTCCCATCCGCGGAGACCAACGGTCAACAGGTTCTCTTCCACAATCCTGTCTTTCATATCCACGAGCTCGTCAACATCCCTACACATGTTAGCCCCAGGTAACAGATAAAAGTCCGATTGAGGGTGTAACCGATGGGCAAGAGCAGGCATGATTGTTGTGAATCTCTGTTGGGCGGGGACGTTAGCAAACATGAGAAAAAAAAGAGTCTGAGCCGGCTTGAAACCCACTACCAATTTACATATAGGAACCGATTCTGCAGAAAATCGGCGTCTCCGCCAAGTAGCCAGACGGAGAAATCGGCGGCCAATTCAGCTGTGAAGAAATCGGCATCAGCGTGTGGATGCTGGCTTCACTCTGGGACTCACCCGTGTCTTCGGTCCTGCTCTTCCCCTCCTTTGCCATGCTCGTTGCCACAACTCCAGGGTGGATGTGGAATACCTTCAAATCCCTACCGGACTCCCGATGTTCGTGCCAGAGGTACGTGAACATCTTCAACGCGGCCAGTTTGGAGGCGCCATACCCCGACAGGCCGGGAACGAAGTCGATGACCGCTGCGCCGGACGTCAAATTCAGTATCGTGCCGCCAGTCGGCGACGCATGTCGGAGGAAGGCCGTTGCCAACGCCAATGATCCTCTGACGTTAACCTCGAAGTGGCGCCAATATCGCTCGAAATTGGCCGTGCTGCTCTCCAGGTCGACGTTTGGCTCCGCGACAGTTGGAATGGAAGCCAAATCTGCCGCATCTGCAGCAAGACGTTAGCTTTTTCCTGCTCCACTGCGTTTCTCCCCTCGCGTGACCTTCTCTATCAGAGTACGATCGTCTCACGTAAAACATTTTTCTCTCAGACTGGGATGTGGGCTTGGTTAGGGTCGCAAGAGACACAACCGGTGAAAGAAAAAAAGAGCTGCGGAACGTCATCTTACTATCGAGAACGTCAGCAGCGTGTAGTTCAGGCAATGCACGAGCGTACCTATTCACAAATATATCTATCGGCGTTCCACCGTTGAGCTTCGTCGCCTCTTCGAAAACCACGTCGACTTCTCCCAGCTTGCTGGATATGTCGAAGACGAATTCCTGCACCGCCGTGTCCGGATTCACACGTTTGATCATTTCCTTCGTCTCCGCCAGCGTAGATGCTGTTCTTCCGGAGAGGAAGACTGCCCTAGCGCCTGCCTTGGCAAAAGCGATAGCTGTTGCGCGCCCGATCCCGCTTCCAGAGCCTGTGATGAAGGCTGATTTGCTGGAGAGGGAAATGCCGCCTATTTTCGACTGCAGGGCCGAGTACGTATCGTGGTGGAAGGTTTTGGTGAAGTTCCGGCGAGTGATGATCGGCATGTTGTTCACAACGTAGTAGACTCTTGGGGGGCTTTTATCTAGTTGCTCGAAGCAATGAACTCTATATGAATGAATGAGAAGGTGCAAGATCAATTGAGACTCGCGGTTTGTGAATGACGGGCGTCAGCGAAGGGAATTTGTGAGCCAAGAATCGGATCGAGTGTTCAACTGGACCAAAAAAAAATTAAAATCCCCTGTCGTAAAATACGTATGGCTGAGCTAGCACAGAGGTACTCGAGTAACGTTAGAACGACGGGTAAAATGGTTGCGAATTCCACTTTGCGACTCTTCAAAGCGAACAAAGTGTTTTTTAAAGCCATTCTGCTGCGTCGCACTGAACGCACCCCCGCTCGTGGATGGGAAACAGTATGCCTCTAGCCGACGCCGGAGCAGTTACCCGGCGACGTCCGGTGAGAGAACACCCCGGTAAAATCTACATGAGCTCGTAAGTAGGACGGCGTTCACGGATCCGGGCCCATTTTATTTTTCCGCCGAAACGACGTCCAGAAACAGATGACGGATATGCGTCGTTGATCAAGGGTTCAATCGAAGCTATCACTTCCGCTGTTTGCGAATTTTTGCTTCCCCTCTGTTTGTCCACCCACTCAACAGGTTACGTGGGGCACGCGAATGCTTAACAGCCGTGTTTCACGCTGCTCGGGATCTTCGCAGTCATGGGGCAAGATCGAAGGACGTAGATGGATATCCCATTTTCGGAGAGACTGCAGGAGGTTGCGATATATTCTATCTGCAGCAACCCTCGGACTGCACTTGAAAGCTATTTAAGAAAAACCCTCATAACGAAACGCCGCTCGCTATGCACGACAAACAGAGGTATGAATACAGAATGGCGCCGCTTGGCTCCAAAGTGCAGCGATCGCCGTGTTATCATGAAGCTGAAACCATCCTGCTCCCCATAAGCAAACTCTCGTTGCTGTTTCCTTTGTTTCTATCCTCGGAGAACTGATTCGAAGTGCGCATACGTATCGCTTGGACGTGTTCGCGCGGATAATCGACTACCGCCGCTAGGTGCTCATCTGCGACGCTGTCGAGGTCGCTCTCGATGGCCGATTCAGCCACGGATTCGGGTGGCGTAGGGAGCTGCCGAGGTGAACCATCAGGTTTTGAGAACGAGCCATCACCCAACGACGTCACGATGGGCTTTTTTTCGTCATGGCTTATTGGGACTGAGATCTCGGGTTCAAGATCCTCTTCTAGATCCTCGTCATCATCAAGAGGAAGAGGTACGTCGGCTGGTTCTACGGCAGAAACCGCTTCCAGCAGCGGCGAGATTGTCGCCATTGTCTTTTGCTGTTGTGGTAACTCTTCGATCTTTTCATAGAAAAGCATGAACACGCCTCCCTGCCTCAACACATAGTCTTCGCCAACTTTCGTCACATCCTCGTCGCTCAGTCTCCACCACGTTTCTTCGGCCACATCCGCGTCTGGAGTCCTGGAAGCAGTCGGAGGGGGACTGAACTTGCGGTAGCACACGTAATGCCCGTTCTCGTGCCGTCCAAAATGTGTGACTACAGCTCTCAGCTCGTACCTCGCATCCGAAGCTACCAACTCCTCTGCTGAGGGTAACATCGAGGTCTGCGGATCCATCGCCCAGTACTCCTCTTGCCCGTCCGCTTCACGTTCCCCAGACAACGCTGCTTTTTCTCTCAGGGCTCCCAACATCCACGGTCCAAGTTCAAATGTCGCTGGGAAATGGACCACGGCAGGATTCTTGATCTGCGCACCCGTGAACTCATTGAACATACTCCTGTTCACGTGAAGGACGAGGCCTTGCGGGGCTCGCGCCACAACGGCCTGCTTCGTCTTCGTACTCTCAACCCACTGCTTCTTCGGAATCTGGCACTTTCTTGTGATTGCATTATCTGAAAAATCTTTGCTGTCCAAGGCGTCTTGGACCGCCTGCAGGCGCTCTTCGAGCTGCTGTTTGAGCGTTTCGGATGACGACGCGTTTGAGACCATGGTAGAGAGTTTGGCCTGGAAGGCCATCAGTGTGCACTTCGGACACTGGACTCCATCGATATCTTCGAGTGCGGTGTAAGCGTCTAGGCAGTCGCGGATGTCGTAGTGGCTTGCTCGTCCAAGAGGGACGGTGAGACAGTTGAACGGGAAGAGGGAAAGACCGTCGGAATGGCCGCAGGTCTTGCATCCAACACGCTGAGCAATCATGCCATCTAGGGGGTTGCGCAGCTCCAATCTGTTTCTCGCTTCGTGGTTGTCGCCGTGTAGCCTTTCCTCCAACCCTGTGCTCCTCGTGTCGTCCAAGCTGAGTTTGACTGGTTCCTTTGCCGCGGCGTCCTTCTTTGCGACCTCCATAGCCTCCTTGTCCAACTTGTCCAGAATCTTGGAGAAGTACTCCTGCGCGTCTTGCTGCTGCCATGTGCTCATTGTCTTCAGCTCAGAAGGCAACCACAGTGCGCGCCCACTGTAGGCCACGTCATTCAGCTTCGCCAACATGTCCAGCAGCGCTTCGTTCATGCTCCGGCCCCCGTTTGGGCCTTCTTTCGCGGCCATCTTCGTCGCGACACGACCGAGAAAGTCGGGCAGACAGCGAAGACTGGCGAGGCCTTGTATGACGCTGTTTTGGTAGCACGAGTTGTCCCAGTTGCCCAGTCCCGCTGGCACGACGGTGTCGTCTCCACTAGTGCTCTTGGCCATGATGGATCGAAAGCCCCCGATACCACGCTGCAAAGTTTCCGAGCCCAAAGTCTTCAAGCCGCCGACTCCGGCGTTGTTCTTGACCCCAAAGACGGTAGCCAGCGCACCCGTCTCGCTGGAAGCCGGCCTCCGCACCAACCCAAAGCCTATCCGCGACGCCATATTCCGAACAACATTGAAGAATTTGCTTCCGGGATCAGTTCCGTCCGAGAGCAGAGGCCAAACGAGGCAGGCGAAAATCGAGAAGAGGACGACGGCGACGGCGGAAGAGGTGTAGTCTGTACTGTGGGCTATGCGAATCGTGTGCTGAGCAGCGTGCTCATAGATCTCCTCCAAGGTCGCAAAGTTGCCGTTCATGCTGATCTTTATTTCATGCGCATATGTTGGACCGCTACGGTCCCCTTCTTCGCTTGGGAGGTTGAGAACAGGGTGGAGGAAAGAGGTGCTGGTGGCGCCGAAAGTATGGGCGCGCTGACATGTGGAGGAACACGAAGGTTCTGGAACGAGACGGTCGAGTACAGCGCGTGTGTGCGCGTGGTGAGATCAAGCAGGGCGTTTGGTTATAAGTCAGTATCTGGCAGACACAAAAGTTAGTTAAGTAGGGTCGTGACGGATCTAGCATCAGCCCGGCGAGAACGCTGGACGCACGGTGGATCCCCCTCTTTCACGGTGCTCGGTCTCCTCCCAACAACCAAAACCGCCCTTTGGGCTGGTTCCCGGCCGCACATGTACCAATCATACGCTACCTGAGCTAACTCACAACATGCCATGTTCTGCGTCCAACGCTGTTCAAGACGCAGGCCATCCTACAGGTACAGGCATATGCTGTCTGCGGCCAGATCTACCCGCACAGAGAAGGCAAACACATGCGAAGGATTCAACGTACGGCAGCGGCAAGCAAAGCTGGAACGATGGCTGTTGGACGTACGACAATGGCAATGGAGAAGCTCGCCAAGTCCAAAAGTGTTACAGCTGGGAATTGCGCTGGTTAGTATCCAGCAGATTTTCACACGCTACTGGCCTCGAGGCTCGCTTTCATATCAGTCACCATAATTACGCACGACGCTTCCAAGGCGATGAGCATGATAACATGCACTGCCTGCACTTTGGAACAGTAAAATGAACCGACAGGCCTGGTCTGTGATGGGCAGTTCACTCGATAACGTAGACACGGCCAGCGAGTGTGCAAAAGGCGTGCCAGATGTCCCACCCCTTTTTCTCAAGTCACACACAGATCCATACCTCACGGTCCACGTCTTCTCGACGATGGGATCTGGCGAGGTGTTCGCCCAGCCAGATGCGTGGAGTGTGTCGACGTAGTGTCAAGAGACTCTCTGGCATGCATTTTCCCTACTTCCGTGGCGCCGCCGCCCGTATACTGAGCGGGAGTACAAGAGGCGCGGGACGCTTGGCGGCAACCCCCCACTGCAGCGCCCGCACAGGACTCGCACCACCAACACCACGCCAACAAACTCGACCCACCAAAATTTCCACCATCCTGGCGTCGTTTTTTCTCCCCGTCTCTCTTTTCTATCCTACCACTCGCCCTCTCCCCTCCTGATCCGGTCGTCTCTTCCACGACGCCCGAAAAACAAGACTGTACAACTCCGGCACAAATCCGACAGCAGGAGTATAGAATCGCACCGCCCTCGCCCCCTCCAAAAAAAAAAATAAGAAAAATCTCCCACCTTTTCCTTCTTCTGCTCCGTTGCGCAGCGCTGGACGGAACCGCTCGGGGCACGATGAGCAAGACCGCCAAAGCCAAGACGCGCAAGCCGTCGATCCATTCGCGGGCGGCCCGCCGGGCGACGTCGCCGTCGCTCGTCGGCAACGTGGATAAGTCGCTCAAGGACGTGCAGCCGCCGAAGCGGACGTCGCACGCGCACCTGTTCGCCGGCGCGCGCGACGCCGGCGTGGCGAAGCGGAAGAAGGGCAAGCAGCGGACGCGCGCGCAGCTGGAGCGCCAGCGCCGCGGCGCCGAGCGCGCAGAGGCCGTCAAGGGCCAGCTCGAGACGAAGCTGGAGAAGAGCCTGGGCAAGCTGAAGACGATCCGCGACCGCCGCAAGGACTGGGACGTGCTCAACGCCGACTCCGCCGCCGCCGTCGGCCGGGCGTCCAGGTTCGCCGCGCTCGACGTCGACGCCGGCCACGCCCAGGCGCACGGCCACGAAGCTGGCGACACGCCTCCCAGCGACGAGGCCGGTACCATGACGCTCGATCTTCCCGTCAGGCCGAACGCGCAGGAAGACCGCGCCGCGGCCGAGAACCCGGACGTTCCAGACGACGACATAGTAGAATGAGCGGGGGCCGGCCTGTGCATCTCGAAACTGCCGATTGTCTTCTTTTCGCACGGCGCTGCGTCGCGTCAATTTGGCGCGCAGTCCTTGCGGTGGCCTTGCCCGCGCCAGGGTTCCCATCCTGAGCCAGAGGCGAGCAAAATAAAAAGGGCCCGAAGATGAAGATTAAAAAAAAAAAATAAAGAAAAAAGAGCCCCAGGTCCACGACTTTGCACCACGATACCCCACTGAAATAGCATCATGAATGGAGGATGGTTAGAGAAAACGGTACAAGATCTCGGGAATCTTCCTCAAAAGGAGCAGGCGGGGATTCTATCGACAGGCAAGAACTCTTTGCGCTTATGATCGACACAACAGGAATTTTGTGAAGGGAAACATGCTGTCGAGTCGGTTCGGTTGTGCCGGTCGCCTAGTCCATGCGAATGCTCCAGTCGCCTTACAAAAATCTTGACAGCAAGCTAAAATACAAGTACAATGTTTCCTTTCGTTGCTTCTCCATTGTCACGTTCTCTTCTTCCTCGTTTTTTTTTCAGCCTGTGGACAGCAACGCCAAACGCAGATGCAGAGGCGTGGAGCAGAAGGCCGCCCGTAAACAATTGGATTGCACATGTCGGGGTATCATCTTAATGCAAATAACCCCGCGCTGACCGTTCGTTTTTCTTCTTAATCTGTGCTATGACGATTGCGACCCGCCTGCCACAGAATCCAGGCTCGCGGGAGCCACGTTTCGAGGGCCTCCCGTTGTGCTTCTCCCCGCTCCCCCATCCAGCACAAAAGGTCCAATGTCGTTACGCGGTGTGAGCACCGACTCCGAGTTCAGCGCGCCTCCAGGGGTGAGATCCAGCGTCCTTGCCGCCGCAGGAATGGCTCGCGGCCCTGAAACCGCTGCGGCGCCGCTCGCATCCTCGGAGATATCGACCTGTGTCGCGTGCTCGTCGTCCTCGGGAGGTGTGTCGTCCTCTGAGGAATGTGGTGGGTTGTTGGTGCTCGTTTCGGTCAGACTGAGCGCGTGCAGGGCAAGATTAGACACATCGTCGTCCTCTGAAGAACCGTCCCTGTGACGAGCTGGCTGCATGGCTCGCGGCGTCCTTTGGCCTTCGGGTTCGTCTGAAACGGCTGCTGCTGATGTGTGACCACTGCTGCCACTGTTACTGGGACCCGCTGCCGCAGAAGCACTCTCTGCGGCAGTGCTGGCAGCTATGGCGTCTGCTAGGTCGTCGTCTTCTTGCCAGTCGCCTTCGTCCTCTTCTTGCTCGTCCACCTCGGCCTCGAGGTCTGCAACGGCGCGGCAGTTGGGACACAGGAAGTTGGGCCACGTGTGACCGTTGAGGATGGGCCGAATGCATTTGTAGTGCCAGACATGGGAACAAGGAGCAACGAACAAAGACTGACAGGGCTGCATCACTCTCCGTCAGCTCATCATGTCGTTCTGAACGACGAAGGGAGCAAGCGAAACGCTTGGGGCTGAATACTTACTGCAATAGACATGAGGCAAATAGAGCACTCTGAAGAATTCACTGACGCCGTGTCCGAATCTCGTTGGGAAGTGGCATCCTTCGTACCCTTTTGCCGCGCCAACAATTGCTTATGCGTCTTTTTACTGTTGAAGGTATCAGCGCTGCTCAATTGCAACCTCCCGAGGTTTCTCTTTGGAATAAAAACCAAAAAAATAAAAGAAAAAAAACAGCAGAGTCAGTCTAAGCAATAAGGGCCACGTACTTAAAGTTATTCGGATGCTTCTGCCATCCTCTGTTGCATTCGATCCGTATCTTGACGCACCGGAAGATCATCTCCTCGCCGCCGCGAAAGTCAATGCCCAATTGGATCACGTCGCCGTCGTTCACAGCAAAAGCCCTGCTCTCTTGGCCTGGTGGGCTGAGCCTCACGTGGTTCAAAAACGTGCCGGACGAGGACTTCACGTCACGCACGTACCACTGGTTGTTCTGGCACCAGAACTCGCAGTGTCGTCTGCTGACGACTTTGGACTTGAAGCCCACTGGTGCAGAAGACGGGACACTGCCATTGGCGGGGAGCGAGTCTGGGGCATTCTCACGCTCAGAGTAGCGGCCAACCTTAATGACGGAGTTGGGAGTGGGTAGAGTGCGAGTCACGGCGGGGAAGGACAAGGACGGCCTGTTGGCACGAGGGTCAAAGTGAGGGATGAAGCGGATCGTGGGCAGAGGGTTGGCTCTGGCCTGCGAAGCTGAGTCTGAAGCGTCCGCACTAGAGGAACGGGGGCCGCTCTGCTTGCGCACTGTGAGCACCGGGCCCGTCGTGTCTGCTCGAGAGCGCGTCATTGCAGCACGGGCAGGCGTGGACTCGGCCGGCGTGGTGACGGTGGGCGCAGGAGCCGACGAAGGGGTTTCGTCCGAGGTGCTCTGCTGGCGGATGCGGGAGCGGGGCGTTCCGTCGCTTTTGTTGCCGCTCGGCACCCAACCGCTGGCTGCAGGCGTGGACGCAGTGGAGGACGGTGTCTGAGATGTTGTGGTGGTGGTGGTGGTGGATGTGTTCGTGGTGGTGGCGGTAGCGTTGCGGGCGCTACCCAGTGGGCTCGCGGCTCGTCCGCCTGGTGCTGACGTTGACGTCGAAGGAGGGAAGCCGGCGGATGCGGGAGCTGGCGTGTCGTGGGACGAGGTTTGGTGGCGGACAGAGTCTGACGAGGGCTGACTGCGAGCACGAGGGAATGCTGGCCGAGTGTTGCGTGAGGCAGAGTCGCTGTCGGAACGACCGTGAAGGTTCTGGGTGTAGTTGCGCAGATAGCTCAGGCCCCGAAGGCGGGACGTGCGCGTTGGGGAGGTGGGAGGAGATTGAGCGGTCGTCGCAGTCGTCGTGGACAGCGTGGGCACCGGGGTGGTGGTGAACATACTAATGGAGTGGGAGAATAGAGGACTTGGATTTTATTGTCGAACACGGGGGGAAGGGCGTGGGAGGGCGGTTTGGGAGGACGGGGGAGGCGCCTCGAATTCACCTGATCATTCCTAGTGGTCTCGGTGAGCAGCTGGGACGGCAGTCAACCGGTCACGAACGAGACAGGAAAACACGGCGAGGGCGAGCGTTGCGTGCGTGAGGGCTCGAGGAAGCACAAGACCAAAAGAGCGGCAAAGGGGGGGGCGCATCAAAGCATAGGAGGATGACCGCGGACGGTGTTTCGAGGCATGGGAGATGAGGAAAGGCGACAACATTCCAGGCGGTGGCTGTTGTCAGGGCGCGGACAAGAGAAGCGTTAGCGCAGGAGACTTGGGCGATGCGCAGGCGACGGCTGTGGTGGGTGAGGGGAAGGCAAAATATGGGCGGACGGCCCGCTGCTCGTCACTGGGGGTCCCGCTGGGCCTCGCGGGGTCTTGCCAGCGGCGCCGGAGACGCTGTGCCACGCCCGACTCGTGGCCCCGAACCACGCCCTTCCGTGCAGCGAGCGAAGGACAAACGTGGTCTCTGTGCCGTGCTGCTCCGTGCCGTGCTCCGCCGTGAGGACAGAGCACCTTCGTGGTGGAGTGTCGTGTGCGAGGCGCCGCCTCCGTGTGCACTCTGCGTTCGCAGCTCGCCCTCCGGTTCACGCCAAAAGGAACGAGCTGCAGTAGTACGGCCCAAGCACAGAGCCAAGATCAGACCCAGAGCACGTCCATGCAGGGCACGTAGCATTGGAGAGGGCGACGCTGTTGTGTCGTGCAGCCATTAGCCCGTGGCAGCAAAACACGCCAATGCAGGCCGACGCAAGAGATGGGAATGGCCAGCGAGGGGGCAAGACGCAAGACCGGAGACTACATGGTCGGCGGCTATTAGCAAGCGTGTGATGATGCGGAGGAGGAGGACGATGACGACGGTGCAGAGGAGGGGCTCTGAGCAGGATGAGCATCCAAGCAGAGAGGGCTCGCTGGTGCGCTGGAGGGCATGCACGCGTGTTTTTGTGCGCTTGTCGCCCTCGTTCCCGGTGTCATGCAAAGAGCTCCGTCCAGTGTATTGTGGCGCTTGGTCACCGATATCTGGCCCCAACCAAGCTCGCACGTCGCCCCTTCTATCGCGTTTGTTCTCTGGCCTCCCTTCACACTCGTGTGCTGGCGGAAAAGTGCCAGACCAGCCGAGCGGAGCGACGAACAGAATTGGCGCACGCTGGTGACGATCACTACCGAACCGACTGTGCCAGTCCTGCCAGTCCTGCAACCATCACGACCTCTTTCGCCCGAAGAGGTAAGTTGGTGCTAACTTGACTGGCGTCCTTTTTGTGCACATGTCAGCCTCCGCTACCCGCTCGACGCAGGCCGAGAGCAGTCAGCAACAAAGCAGCTCGAGTGACGTTTCGGTAGACGCCTGGTTGACACATAGGATCGAAAGAGGAGATGCACATGAAGCGGCCGTGCATGGGGACGAGGTCTTCTGCAAGGACGGGTGACCTGCAGGACGCAGTCACGGGAGAACATGCATTCCCACAAGAGACACGCAACACCCAAGGAACACAAACACGCACGCGGTCACATCGCCGCTTTGATGCCTGCAGTCGAACACACGTAGAAACATACACAAGTGCTTGCAAAAAGCCTCCCTCCAGCCGGATCGTACACAAGCGCGGTTGTGCTGCGCTTCGCGAATGAAAGGCTCGCATGCAACGAGCGTTGGCAATGGCCCCGCGTTTCGAAACATTCGTACCAGTCGGAAGCCGGGCAAGCATAAGGACGTATTACACACCTTTGGTCTTTTTACGGTCAGGTGCTGGCAAGGAATTGCGCAAAGAGACGCGGCTGTCCGGCGGTCAGCCTCGTGCGAAACCGGCTCAGCCTGGTCGAAACGAGCGCCAGGCGGACACAAACTGTCACCAGTGGCCTACCACAGGACAAATTCCGCACTTGAAGCCAAGAGAGAACGGGGGCTTGCGTGTGCAATAAGACAAGGGCTCGATCTTCCCCATTGAAGTCAAGAACACTGGGCGCGGAGGGGAGCAAATGCATCTGCGTGCTGTTCCCAAGGATGAGGCTGAGCCCCATATGGTATTCTTTTGTCCAGCGATGGCACTCATGCCCACAACCTAACCTAGAGTTGGTAGAAAGTTATGGAAGCCATCGTTGCCATAAGGAGTGGGAAACCAAAAAGGAGGGCCAGAAGCAGCGGGGCGTGCCAAGCGCGGACGTCTTGGCGGGATGGGCGGAATGGCGGCGGAAACGCCGCGGCCATCCGACGTACGGAAGAGGAAATCCATCAAGAGGCAACTTTTCTGAAGGCGCATTGCGGAGTCGCGCCATCAAACAAACTCCATAATTCACAACGTGCCATGCTGCGACCGGCTGCGACGCGAGCAGCGTCACGGCTGACACGGCATGTTCCCAGGTGCTCAAGGGCGTTCGCCTCTGCCGTGGCAGAAGAGAGGGTGCGTAGACCTATTCAACCCCAAATGGAATCTCCGACGCAGACGGCCTTGCTCTGCACATCGCTACAATCATCCTTTGCAGGTTGAAACTGACCGGAGATCTGTGCAGGACCCCGTTGACCTCAATGAGATAACCACACTCCCTAATGGCGTCCGCGTCGTATCCGAGGCCCTCGCTGGCCATTTTTCAGGCATCGGCGTGTACATTGATGCCGGATCTCGCTACGAGAATGAGCATCTGTCGGGTGTGTCTCACATAATGGACCGCCTTGCCTTCAAATCCACAACAAAGCGCTCCGGCGACGAGATGCTAGAGTCAATCGAGACCTTGGGCGGCAACATACAGTGTGCCTCGTCGCGCGAGTCGCTGATGTATCAGTCCGCCACGTTCAACTCCGCCGTCTCCACCACCGTCGCGCTGCTTGCGGAGACGATACGCGACCCCAAGATCACGGACAGCGAGATCGAGCAGCAGCTTGCGACTGCCGACTACGAGATCAACGAAATCTGGGCCAAGCCTGAGCTCATTCTCCCCGAACTTGTCCACGTGGCGGCCTATCGGGACAACACCCTCGGACATCCGTTGCTCTGCCCCAAGGAGAGATTGCCGTACATAAACCGTACCGTTATAGACCAGTACAGACGGCTACTGTACAAGCCAGAGAGAATGGTGGTAGCCTTTGCGGGTGTGGATCATTTGACCGCCGTACGGTTGACGGAACAGTATTTCGGCGATATGAAACGCGGCGAGGGAGCCGTGTTGCCTTTGCTGAATGCCGATGGCTCGGTTGCGACGTCGCAAAACGCTCCGCTATCGAATGCAGATGCATCGGCGTCGGCATCGTCATCCTCATCACACCAGTCTCTGCCTACATCGGCTGTGCAGAACGAGTCGCGTCTTCTAGATAAGATCCCATTCATCAAAAACCTCTCTACCTCAGCATCTCGCTCTGCCTCCGTGAGCAACCCATCTACCTTCACTCCACCAGACCTCACGGAGCCCTCCCACTACACCGGCGGCTTCTTGTCACTACCCGCAATTCCTCCTCCCCTCAATCCAGCCCTACCCCGATTGTCCCACATCCACCTCGCTTTCGAGGGCCTTCCCATCTCACACGATGACATCTACGCTCTTGCAACTCTGCAGACGCTTCTCGGTGGCGGCGGCTCCTTCTCTGCAGGTGGTCCTGGCAAGGGAATGTACTCTCGCTTGTACACCAACGTGCTCAACCAGCACGGTTGGGTCGAGTCTTGCGTTGCCTTCAACCACTCCTACTCCGACTCCGGCTTGTTCGGCATCTCAGCCTCATGCGCACCCGCTCACGTGGCCAACATGCTCGAGGTCATGTGTCGGGAGCTGAGCGCACTCGGCTCGGAAACGGGCTGGCAGCGCCTCAAGGAGGGCGAGGTCGGACGCGCAAAGAACCAGCTCAAGAGCAACCTGCTCATGAATCTGGAGTCGCGCATGGTCGAGCTCGAGGACCTGGGAAGGCAGGTCCAGATGCACGGCCGCAAGATCGGCGTCAAGGAGATGTGCGACAAGGTGGACAGGCTGACGATCGCGGACCTCCGACGGGTGGCACGGCAGGTCTTTGGCGGCGAGGTAAGAAACGCTGGCGGCGGGAGCGGAGCCCCCACGGTGGTGCTGCAGGAGGGCGACGAGGAGGGTTTCAAGAGGAAGGACTTCGAGTGGGCCGAGATCCAAGACAGGATCGCGCGCTGGAAGTTGGGCAGGCGCTAGGCCATCGGGCATCGACGTTTTTAATTAAGCGATGTAGAATAGCACCTCATGTAAGAATAGACAGAGATCCTTCTTCAAGCACATGTGAAGCTTTGCGTTTGCGGCAACATTCTTCGTCTTCCCTTTTCCTTTCCCCGTTCTCTCCTCCACCCCCTTCCTTCAATTAGCACTTTTGCCAGTTGTCATTGTCGAGGCCAGGCGATGGTCCAAAAGAAGCGTCGAGAGAAGCCAAAAATAAAGGAACCGCCATGTAGTAAAACTACCGTCCTTTACAAAAGCACGTCCGGTCGCTAGCTTGCGCGCAATGAGAGCCGTCGCAGTGTTGAGGGTTTTTTTTTTTTTTTTTTTTTTTTTTTTTTTTTTTTCAGTGCAACAAAAGAATCGCCATTGTAGACCCGCCGTACTTGTTCTTCTCTCTACTGAGTTTCCTTGAACCTGCTCCTGGTTTACGTTACGGACTCTGTACTTCCGCAGGTCCGGAGTAGCCGTCTCCGGGGTCCTGCTCGCATGGCTTTTTTGATGTTCGAAAATTTCGCAAGCATTTTATCCGAATCGATTGTTGTAGTGCTGGCTGATGTCCCCATTACTGGTTGTGTCGGAGGTCCTCACTGATTAGCTTTGACTTCATTCCGAATTTTTGGGTTGCTTCTTGACATTTGGACATCTTACCTCTCGAGCAATTATTCTGCCAGATCACGCGTTAAGAAACCATGTCTCCAGCATTGAAGCGCGCCATTCGTGTAGGCGAAGCATCGAGAGGCTTTTCTGACAGAGTACATGCCGTCTCTCAGCTTGCCAAAGGAGGTGAATGCGATGTCATCATGGGCGACTGCATGTCCGAGAATACCATGACGCTGCATGGCGCTGGCAAGATTACGAATAAGAAAAAGAACTCATCAGTCGCAAATGCTCCCATCGAGCAGTTGGCCAAAGAAGCCATGTTTGCTCTCAGAACTTCGTCGACTGTTTCATACCCGCTATTCCGCACCTCGCCGCCAAATTGAGTAAAGCTTGCCGTCAACGCAGGCGCAAGTGACACCGAGATCCTCGCCAGATACGTGGTCAAGCTGTGCGAGGATGCCGGCTGTCCAATGAAAGTGGCCTGGGTAGAGGGTGACGACGTTACCGACACGATCCATAGGCTCGTGAGCGAAGGCTTGAAGAGTGGGGATTTGAGCCCGTGTGTGCGCAAGCTTATTTGGGAGGACTTGAAATAGCCGCTGCGTTCAAAGAAGACGCCGACATAGTTATTTGCGGGCGCGTTGCGGATGCGGCACCAGCGATAGGAGCAGCTGCGTATGTGTGCAAGTCCAACAGGGAGCGGGACTTAGACTAACCCATACATTATCGAATAGATGGTGGCACAAATGGACGCCGGAGATGTTTGATAAGCTTCCAGGTGCTCTCGTCATTGGCCGTATGTAATCGACGTTTCGAGCAAGTCCAAAACAGCTAACTATACCCGACGTAGATCTTATCGAATGTTCGTCATCAGTCTGTGGTGGTTACTATTCAGCATTTAAGGACCTCTTGAAGACCGGTAAACATCTCAATGTTGGCTTTCCAATTGCTCACATCGACAGCAAAGGAGAGTGCATCCTCACAAAGGAGAAGAGCACCGATGGATGTATTACTGTTGGTTCGGTAACGCCACAGTTTGTTGCATAAGATACAAGGCCCGCTCTACTACAATTGCGACGTAACAGCCGATCTGGAAGGTATCCGAATGGAACAGATAGGGGAGGATCAGGTAAATATTTCAGGGGTGAGAGGGTTGCCACCTCCCCCAACCACTCAAGTTGGGCACGTAATACAATACCCAGTGAATGAGATGAGGCTAACTGGTGTAGTATCACCGCTCCTGCTGGCTGTCAGGCGGAAAATCATATCTACCTTGTCGGCTTGGACATTGAAGAAAAGGCAGCCTTGCGGAGGCTCAGATCCGCAAAGTCATGGGCGAACAGATTATTGAAAAATGTTCCTTGCTTAAGTTTCACGTGAACGGGTCGTCTCTCATCAACGCAAAGAACCAAGATGTAGCCACCGTTGATTTCTGGATCTTTGCTCAGACCACCGATCGAGATCTGCTCCGTATGGAGAACCCGTACGGTCTATTACGACTGTGTATGACCACTTTTCTCGAGGGCGTTCCCGTATGTTCTTTTACACTCTAAATTATGAGCCGTGATTGACTTGGGACAGGGAGCGTCTCTTGGTAACGACTTCCGTTTGTCGGAAGGTTAACCGTACTACGAATACTGGGTCGCTCGGCTACCGCAGTCTGAGCTAAATCATCGCGTTCATTGTCTATTTGGGGCCAAAAAGTTCATCACCATGCCACATCCAAAACAGACGCAAAAGTATCTTCGTCAGCAAAAGCCGTACGAGACAAAGGATCCGGTGAATCTGTCTTCCTTTGGAAAGATGGTTCATGCTCCCCTGGGCTATATCGTGCTTGGGCAAGGCGGAGACAAAGCTGCAGACTGCAACAATGGGTTCTTCGTCCGTCATGATGACGAATGGGACTGGCTGCGGAGCTTTTGACCATCAATAAAACTAAGGAGCTTTTAGGCCCCGAGGGGTACAAAGGAAAGCCCATTGATCACTTTGAGATACCTCATCTGCGCTCAATACATTTTTTGCTCCACGACCATCTTGACAGGGGATTCAACTTCTGCTCGACGTACGACACGCTTGGGAAAAATTACATGGAGTACTTGAGGGCCAAGACTGCAGATCTTCCTATAAAGTTTCGGATCGTGGAAGGGTATAGAGAGTATCTCGTCGTTAGAATGTCGTCGCTGTCAATTCAATATCCCTTTACGCACCCTACTACGCTCAGAACCGATGTTGTATCACTCTTGGCCGTGTTTTGCTTAAAAAAAAGCATAATTGCATGGCTGAATTCATCGTTTAGTGGAAATTTCTTCCGTTCTAGTGTGAAGTAATCGCCAGTAACCGGTTATCTCGAAGTCAACAGTGTGAACAACGCAATGCTACACGGTCAGGTAAGTCTTTCGACTTCCAATGTAGATGAATTATGATATACTACATGGATTTGCCTCGAACTAGCCATACAATGTCGGAAGATCAAACTCCTGGGCCTGCCGAGGTCGTGTTGCTCGATGCTGTCGCCAACAAATTCCAGGATCTAAAAGGCTCGAATTCAATCTACAGTCTCACTTACCCGAGGAAAAACATTAGAGGTTGGAGTTTTCTCACGCATCATGGCTTCTTAAAATTGACGATGTTCAAGGCGCGTGGTACATCAAGACGCTTCTACAGATTACACGAAGAAAATATCGCGGACAGGCGGAAAGGACGGAGTTATGTTTCTGAAGATACAAGGAAGATCGATTCAGACCATTATCAACACCAAAGCGAAGGAAAAGTAGAACAAGTAAAAGAACAGCGGTTTTTGATGTCGCTAAACAAAGATTTTTGTTCATGTTCGGTGAAAGTGGTGGTGGTGAACGACAGTGCACGTGCACTTGCGCTAGTGCGGAAGAGGCTTAGCTTTTCCTCTCAACTGCACACCAGAATTTCGCAAAGACTCTGTTCAACATTTGAACGAACGAACAACCCAGCTCGCCACACCTTCGCATACCACCGCCAAAATGGTCTCCGCGAAGAAGCACATTCCTATTGTCAAGAAGCGTACGTTCGATTGCCTCGCTGCTCAGTACATGGTCGGAAAAATGTTTGGCATAAGGACGTAAAGCTAATTTGTGTGTGAACGACAGGCACTGCGCGCTTCAACCGACACCAGAGGTATAACACACCAAAAGATTGAGCGGCCCGGAAAATAATACTGACGGTGGACAGCGACCGCTTCAAGTGCGTTGATCCGTCATGGAGGAAGCCGAAGGGTGAGAATTGACATGGGAATGTTTGTCGGGAATGGACGTTGATGATTTGAAGGTATCGACAACCGCGTTCGTCGACGATTCAAGGGTGCGTAAAATTCTCCTAATTCTGCATCTGAACAACAGCTAATCAAGGAATTAGGCCAAGCTCCTATGCCAAAGGCAAGTTGACATCCATCGCGGAAGCCACCCACCAATTGTGTCGAACATCGAGCATAAAGCGGATGGCGATCCCCGCGTGATGGACGACTCACTAACACGCAGATTAATAGATTGGCTATGGCAGCAACAAGAAGACTAAGCACCTGACTCCTTCCGGCCACAAGATCTTCCTTGTCAACAACGCTAGCGATGTTGACCTCCTCCTTATGCACAACCAGACTTACGCTGCAGAGTACGGCCTGCCTATTCACTGTGAACATGCTGGCAGAGATCTAATTGGCACGCAGGATCGCACACGCAGTGTCGGCACGGAAGAGAATCGAGATCATCGCGAAAGCGAAATCGCTGGGCGTTAAGGTTACGAACGCGAAGGCCAAGGTCACCACCGAATCATAAAAGTGTGTGTATGGATGATATGTGGGAGCAAACAGCGGTCTGCATGGGTCATTATGGAGTTTTTTTCATCTTCCGAGTCGCATTCCGCCCCGAAGAGGGCGGGCGGCTCTTGGGCATGTGTATCTCATGGGATAAAGGAACTCTGAGATGAGAGACAAAAATGCAATCTCTTGACTGCCAAGTCCTGATTGTCCGTAATTTTTGCTATCGAGCCTCAAGTTTTGTCGCTACGTTTTCGTAAGATGGAAATCGTCCACGTGACTCCGCGCTATGTCGCATCGCGAAGCTTTTTGGCATCACACGTCGCGTCTGCTTCGTAGGCCGCTTTTTACCGAGATATTTCATGAAATAAATTTCTTGTAATTCTGCTACCATCTAGTGTCTTCATATCCAATGCGCCAGTCAGGCTATGGCCATCTGAGTCTAGGGTTTTCTTCCACGTTTGCGTCGGCACTTGCTTTCTGGCTATCCGCTCCGCATTATAACCTTTTTATCCGCAAATACCGGCCGTGACAATGGCCCGAACCAAAAGGCAGGCTCGTCTTGCTTTCAGTCCAGTACATACGTCGTCGCCATCGAACTCGCACGCAATTCAGGAACATGGGCAACGCAAATATGCAAAAGTCTCGTATGAAGGTTCACAACATGACAAGAAGCGGAGGCGTCTGGACCTTAGCGATGACGATGTAATACAAGGTGTGTTCGACGCTTTCTCTAGCACCTATTTCATTCAAGGAGCAGTCACAATTGTGCGCATTGGTAGAGGTTCAGCGCAAATATTCACGAAGATCCGAAGCAAGCGTTTGCTCGCCGCAGGAAGTTAGACATTACTTTTTCTACAAAGCGACAACCTCCTAGATCTTAATATTCTACGCAGAATAGTAAGGCGAGATACTTGCGGAGAACTATTGCTGACAGGGTTACCATACAGAGCTTGGATTCCCAACGCCGGACAAGTCTTCACAACTCCCCCCGCCGTCAAACCCTCCTAATGCATCATTACTATCAGATATCCATCTCGAAAGTGAATCCGTATCATCTTCGGCCAGATTGTCTGGACCTTGGGGAAAGAGACGCGCGAAACAGGGCAGACTGAACTTTTCGAACCATATCGGCACCAAGCTAGAAGAAAGTGAGAAGGAGAATAACGATGGCAGTCGAAGCGATTCATCCAGTGGCAGTGATAGAATAAGCCGTGTCTATTCAAATACTAACAAGAGAAGAACTTCTGGACATAAGAGTGGCATATTCTCTTCTCAGAAACAGAGAAGTCAGCCTTCTGACAACGATCAGTCCGAGGATGAAGCTTTGTCATCAGCACATTCCACTTCAGACCAAAGTTCGTCATTAAAGCGACTTCGAAAGGGTACTCGCGGTTCGCAGACTGAGTCTAGCACAAGACGACCGCACAAAGAACCATTTGATCCCAAAGAGTCTAATGCAAAATCGTCGGCGACCTCTACCAGGCGTCAAATTTCGCAGATCAATGTGGATTTTGCAGAGTCTGAGTCTTCTGGAGATGACGCTCCTGAGCTGTACTCTTCTCCTACAAATAAGCGCAAGTCTAAAAAGGAGCTGTTCAAGAATGATGGTTTCGTTGTTTTCTCAGATAGTGATGAGACTTTCGACGCCATGTCCAAGGCCGAAACAAAGCCTCGGAAAGGTCGATTATTACAACGTCGGAGAGAATCAACCAAGAGTGAGCAGAGCGATGTCGAGGAGGTTGAGAAACCACGTAGAAGAAGATTAAAGCGTAAACCACGCACGTTTACTCTTCAGGAGCAAGAAGACTTGGAAGAAGACCTCGAGTTTTTGCAAAGCAGTCCACCAAGTGCGAACGCGTCTTCAGTGGCAAGGAAGGCAAATCCTAGACTCGTGGCCCTCGAAGCATTAAAGCGAAAGCGTGCAGGTCTTGATCCTACAGGTCCAACAACGTCTCGGCCAGATGATGCCAAAAGTCAAGGCTATTTTGTTAGCGACGCGTCCGATGACGAGTCTGCCAATGGACAAGACGAGCACGATGAAAATGAGTCCATCACCTCGGCCACAGCTAGCAGACATGCATTCGCTCCCGAAGATGAAGATGACGACTTCATAGTCGAAGACGACGAAGATGAGCCATTAGGTGCACCTGACGACGATATCGAACTTCCCATCTATCTCACCGGCATTACGCGCATGAAGCCGAAACAGCTCTTCCGGTATGCTGTTGAGTGGATGGTCCAGAAGAAGCTCAATCCTGCCTACAGTCAGGACCGGGAAATCTACGCAATAACATTTAAGAAACTCAATGACGAGGTCAAAGGTCTCGCGGGTAGTACATTCACGTCAAGCGCATGGACGCGCGATTTTACTATTAGCCTGCAGGCTCGTCCGGGCATTGAACTTACTGAGATGGGTGGGCTTGGAATGGGGTTAGAATTGGACAAATGTCAGGCCTGCAATCGCAGTGGTCATCCTGCGACTTTTCAAATTAAGTTCACAGGTCGTCCATACAATCCTGAGACACTTGAGCCACTTGAACAAGACGGATACTCTGATTACGAGTCAAATGATAATGAAAGTGATGGATCGTCTATCTCACGTGAAGAATTTGATGCAAAGGACAGGCTTGTTCCATCAGCTTCGCGCACTTACAATGTGGGCCGCTTTTGTAAAGACAATGCTCTAACTGCACACGCACTCGAACATTGGAAGTACCAACTTAACAGTTGGATCGTGGATTGGTTAGAGAATGAAGGGTATTTGACTGATAAGAAAATTGTGAAGAGAGACCGTTGGGATGAACCTAGACGGAGAAAGTATGCGAAGAAGGTTGTTGAAACAATGGAAGCGACTGGTCAAATTAAAGCTTTGTGGAGGCAGTTTAGGGACGAGGTCGATGGGGCGAGAGGGATGAAGGTCTGTTAATTTCCTCAATTCTCTTCAGTGTGAAGTTCGGTGGCTAACGTTCCAAATAGTCTGGATGGACCGGCGCTCAGGACAATGACTATTAAAGGCAGAGATGGATACTCTTACGAATCAAGTCAAAAGATGAAAGTAACCACGTCACAAACCGCTGTAGGGATTGCAAACGAAAAGCAGGAGATGAAGTTCTGGCTTCAAAACGTTAAAGACTGAATGAAACATTTTGCGCGCGTTGCAATCGTCGCCACTTGCTTTTAGAGCTAGAGAGCTCTCGCGCGAGTATAACTGGTGACTTCAAATGGCAACCAGAGAATGACCTGTCAGGAAGGATGACGGGGGTCATGTACTTCCAAAAGAGAGATACGCGCGACCGAATGTCGTTCGAAAAGTCATGTTGCTCCCACCCTGACCTTTAAGAGCCTTCACCCATCGACCAACTACTCCTTTCGAGCCTTCCTTGATATGATCAAGCTTGCCTTCGACCCTGATACTGCCAACCGTTGTTTCTCCGTACAAGCTCCCTTCCCACTGTTCAGGATACTGCATTCTTAATTGCCCTGCAGTCGTCACATGTGTGCTTCTGAGGTTGCCGATTGAGGTAATGTGGCTTTTTTCAGGAATTACCAAGCGAAAATGTTGACTGCCGAGGGTGCTGTTCGTTATGAGTGTTGAAAAATTAGTTACCAGGTAAGGAAGAATATCCGCATCGATACTACCACTGCTTGACTTGATCGACGTTTCTGCTCCCAGTAGGTAGCGGCCTCGGACAGATCCCGTTTCAGTCGCTATCGTAGTGAAATACGGACGCTCAAATATATGTCCAAATCCGGCATACGGGTATTCTACATGTATCAACCCGCTCTCGGAGGTTATGTCCAAAATGCTGGGCACGTCGGTCCTTGACATGGCGCTGATAGGGGCTATTGATGCGACGACAGCACCAAAATTGGTGCGGATGTTGAGTGAGTCTTCTACGGTGTAGTTTCCAAATACAGAGCCGTAGCGCATATGAATTGAGGTATGCGAAGATTGGAAAGGCGCCTCTACTCTCAATGTTCCGAACGTTACTGATATCGATGTTTGCACGACCCTGAGGTCAATGCCTTCTTGTACCAATACTTGACTTACCGAGGCGTCTAAGCCAAGATGTTGCAGTTCTGTACCTGGTCGAACGAAGACATCAATGACGAAGTCGAGGCACCAACGATTTGGAGCTGAACTATCGTTTGCCTTAGCAGGAAATGTGACGAGCAATGACTCCTCAAGCTGTTCAATCTGTGTCTTCTGGATGATGGATTCAGACGACGAGTTGAGAGAAATGTCGACCCGAATGTCAGCACTTTGATCGGCTTTGCCAGGGCGAAAGAAAATGCTGCCATTCACATTCGAATCCCACGGAGCATCGTTGGCGAACAAGCCAAACCCTTCCAGAAGAGAAAAGCTTGTCAGGTTTTTGAACTCATAAGTCTCCGAGCGCTCGCTCAGGCTTGGGCAATACTTCCTCTCGGTATCAATTCCCGTTGGTAAAGGCGTCTGTTGACAATCAATATCAGAGCCGCTTTGAGGACATTCTCCACTCACTCCAGCTCTGAAAAACGACCTGGACACCTGAAGGAATACAAAACCAACGGCTGCAGTAGCAAATACAACGTGGCATGCTCTCTTGAAGCATGAGGAATTATGGGGACGCTCCAGCCGAAAAGGCCCAGGACGCAGTTCGCTTTTGCCTCCCATTTCAAAGCCAAATCAATAGAAGATCAGTCGCTGCAGTAAAATTTGTTCTTCTCGTCGCTTCTCTTCTTGGTTCGAGCGTCCTTCTCCAAGATCGCTTTTGTGTTCCCGCATACGTTCCAGGCAGCCATGTTTTCACATGCATGATTGGACTAAGCATATATGCTTGCAACAAATAGGATGTTTTTTTCCTGCTCCATCAAGATCACGCACACGTCGTAGATGCGTGGTAAAGTGGTGGAAAACTGCAAAAACTGAACGGAGAGAAGATATCACGTGGCTGAATATAATCTCCTTGAATACCTTTCCCCTGTGCTCTAGCGAGATTGCTGAGGCTCCAACAAGTAGCGTAGTGTATTGTCGTTCAGAACTAATGCATTCACAGGGATAAGATTCTTTGGACGCTTTTCCAGATCGTGACCTTAACAAGGATGAATGGAAGATGGATCTGCGAACTGGCCAGACCTTGCTGTCCTCTGCAGCGCCAAGTGTTCCTTTCGCTGGCTATGTTGATCTTGCATAAAAATAATCTGTAAATGCTACTGCTTGTACTTGTTGAAGAGGACTACGTGAGCCATTCAGGTCAGGCAGAGCACATAGCTGACATGATATAGGACAAAAACTCTCATATGGTGAAGCCTGCACCACAAATATGGATCATTTCTGATCGCAGGGACGCACTGGAAGTTTCCTCATGCAGTGAATTCCACTTATGGACTCCTTCTAGGGAAAAGGAATCACGCTCTTGATGCAAGGAGAAAACGCGCCTCATACTTGGTCAACAGAGCACAATGCCGCACATGGTATTGGACCATGTTCGAAGCAGAGGGAGTCCAGCTTTTCTGAGCATTTCTGATCAGAGAAGGCGATCAGGGAGATATGATTCTCACGATCGGCCATCTTGCGGAGAAGCACAGAGGCGTGGGCTGAAGGCGAAGTAGTGGGTTTTCTGAATTTCCATTACTTTTAATGCTTGGTCTTTGGGGGACTTGGCTGAAATAAATCTAAACTAGAAAGGGAAAGAATTCCTTACGTTCGCGTGCCTTCAGCTTTTCATTTCGCATTCCTTTTTCTGGGCTTAGAGAAAGTCGTCGCAAACCAGCCTGCATATACACTTTCAGCACGACCCAGTCTTGCGACTTCGTAAGAACACGGATCACAAACCTACAAAGGTCACGATATGTCATCATTTTCTCTCCAGCAAAAAGGATTCGTGTATGACTGCTCATTTAACACCGGAGAACGAAGAGATCCAATGGGATCAAAGCCAAATGCCTTCGCCGCACTGGGCTTGTTTGCACGGGATCTCACGTGGCGTTTGCGAGAGATGATTTGCATACAAAAAACACTAAGAACCGAGTAAAACAATGGCCTTTATCTCGATCCTTGCGCCATGGTCTTGCTGATTTGTGATCTCCGGCCGGTACCACTGTCTGAAGCACGGAGTCGACCGTCGCATTCCCCAAAGCTCGGAGCAGGCCAAGCGTGCTTAAAGCTTGGCTTCCTCAGTCAGCGTCGCTTATTGCTCCATGAGCCGAATGCCATGACCCCAACGGAGCACCTTTGCTCCCAAAAATGCTTGGATGCTCGATAGAACTCGATGGACCCAATGTCCGCGTTATCTGCCCGCGCAATGAGGCGTTGAAGAGATAACAGGTGCTCAGCGTGTCGGCGAGCTGGCTAGAGCGTGCAACTGTCGTGATGGATACAAAATGAGGGCTCCTCCTTGAGGATTTTTTTCTCTGGCACTCAAGGTTGCAGCGCTAATCCTCAGTACGAAGAGGATTGATCCTGACCCGAGGGCAAAAGAACGAGTCTAGAAAAAAAAATTCCTGCTAGTCTCCTCACGACTAGATTTAACCAGCCCACTCTTCCGAACATCCCGTCTTGCGAGTTCCATCCCTACTCGTGCCCCCCAGGATGGGTTATCAAGAATATGTCCACAAGATCAACGCAGCAGTTGCGAGGAGCAAGATTGGGTACTACTTCCGCCTCGATGGCTCTGGACATCCAAAGGAGCGCAAAGGCTCCTACTTTTTCACCGAGCTTAGAGCAGGCTTGGCGACATTTTTCGCTATGGCCTACATCATCTCTGTGAACGCTGCCATTGTGTCCCAGTCCGGGGGTACATGTGTTTGTCCAAGAACGGAGGCCGATCCAGTCTGCGACAACGACACGGAGTATATGCTTTGCGTGCAGGAAGTCCAACGCGATCTCGTCACGGCTACTGCTGCCATTGCTGCTTTAACCACGTTCTGCATGGGTCTCTTTGCTAATATGCCGATTGCTCTTGCACCAGGCATGGGGTAAGTTGCGGACAGTCAAATTAGCACATGTATACTGATTTTCAAAGTCTGAATGCTTATTTCACGTACACGGTCGTCGGATATCATGGCTCTGGCCTCATTCCGTACGAAGTCGCGTTGACTGCCGTTTTCGTGGAAGGTTTTGTCTTTGTGGGCTTGACATTAATCGGTCTACGGCAATGGCTTGCTCGAGCCATTCCTCATAGCATCAAGCTCGCAACGGGTGTCGGCATTGGTCTCTATCTTACAATCATTGGTCTCACCTATTCTGCGGGCATCGGTTTGATCACCGGTGCTGTAGACACTCCTGTGGAGCTTGCCGGTTGTGCTCCTGAATACAGAGATCCAGACACCGGCCTCTGCCCCTCATCTCAAAAGATGCGCAGCGCAACCATGTGGATTGGCATTTTCTTGAGCGGTATACTTGTCGTCATCCTCCAGATGTACAGGGTCAAGGGCGCTATCATTATGGGCATTTTGCTCGTCTCGATCATTTCCTGGCCACGTCCGACCCCGGTCACCTATTTCCCCAAAACCGAGCTAGGAAATTCCGCATTCGACTTCTTCAAGAAGGTGGTGACTTTCCACCCAATTACCCGCATTCTTGATGTTCAACGATGGGACATCTCCGGCTACGGCGGTCAATTCGGTCTCGCTTTCATCACTTTCCTCTACGTCGATATTCTCGATGCTACAGGTACCCTGTACTCCATGGCGCGTTTTGCTGGTGCCATCGATGAAAAGACCCAAGATTTTGAGAACTCCGCCATAGCCTACTCAGTCGATGCACTTGGTATTTCGATTGGCAGTCTCATGGGAACTCCTCCTGTCACTGCGTACATCGAATCTGGTGCAGGTATTTCCGAAGGCGGCGCGACCGGTCTCACTGCCATAACTTCAGGTTTCTGCTTCTTTATAGCGATATTTTTCGCACCAATCTTTGCATCTATCCCTCCATGGGCTACTGGTCCCGTTTTGGTCATCGTCGGCTCTCTTATGACGAAAGCCGCAAAGGATATCAACTGGAGTTACCTCGGCGATGCTGTTCCAGCTTTCATAACCATTGCCGTTATGCCATTCACATATTCCATCGCATATGGTTTGATTGGTGGTATCATGTCATACATACTTATCAATACTGTCGTCTGGCTCATTGAACTGGCGTCTGGAGGGCGAATCGTGCCAGCGGACAAGGAGCTTAAGGATCCATGGACTTGGAAAATCCCTGGTGGCTTTCTTCCTCCGTACCTTCAACGTGCTCTCAAGGGTAAAAAAGACTTCTGGCGTGACTGGGACGTCAAGGATGGGCAGGAGGTTGACTCCAGCGTCAAACGTAACTCTGATGAGGGGGTTCACAGCATTAGCATTGAAAACACTGAGAAGCGAGATGCGCCAGTGGCCGCACATGATGTTGAGCCTCAAAAATGATAGGCTTGCTTGATCTGTTTTTTTAATATCAAACGATCTTGTATGATGAGAATCCAAGCACCACCAATGCCTGGCACGCGATACCCTCGCTTAGTTTTGATCATGATGTAGTTTTACTTTCACTAAGTACAAACTTCTATTTGAAGCTATTAGGACTATGGCAATCTGATAAGAGAATATTCACTGCTCCATTAGATTGCGCTACATATCTCTAGAGTACAATCATTGATACCAAGCACTGTCTGTGCGACCAGGCTAAAATTAGAAGTTCGGACGGCTCCACTATGCTCCAATGGTGTTCTAAAGCATTGGTCATAAGCATAAAAGCATGGCAAAACTCATTCTAATTTAAGTCTGCCGACGGACATTAGCAATTGGAAAGGGCACAATCCATGTGACAACCTCACTGCGGATCTTGCGCCAATCAGACAGATTCTTGCGACTAGTCCTTCGCGGATTTTTCGAATTCACCGACCCGTCTGGTCGACTACATCAGTGGAAAGCATCATCAAAGTAGACGTCTTTGTTTGTTTACAACTACCCAGGTCCCGTTGATTTACTACAATTTGAGGCATATCAGCAGCACATATAATTCATCGCTAGTCTCTAATATGCTCTCGTCATCTCTTTACGACACATTAAAATCAACTGCGGAAAGCTTTGTTCTCGCTTCGTGCTTTAAGGCACCTGCTCAAGGCCCTGACGAGCAAGCAATACGAGATCTTTGCAGCAATACGTACTCTCAATCATGGGGACACGATTATTTTATCTCTTCAAGGCCGCATCTCAACCAAACACTCGATTTCGATGGCTTCATGGCGCACCTGAAGTCAATGACATCGAAGTTGGAATCTGCGGAGGCTAAGATCACTGATCTGACCATCGATGAAAAGCAGCGCAAGGTGGTCGTCCGCGCAACGTATCGTCTCCGACCAAAAGGGTGTGATGAGACAGCAAGTAATGACCTCGTCTGGATTCTGAGGCTGACGGAAGACGGAAAGAAGGTGACAAGTGGGAAAGAGTTTATCGATGGAGAGGCTGCTATGAGGCTGGCACAGTTGATGCGGGCAGCAAGCACTACGACATAGTCTTGCTCTGTCAGGAATCTGATGCCGTCTGGAGATGACTCACGATCTGGGATAGATTTTAATTTCCTTGCACGCTAACATGCGAAAATCCTGGCTCTCTCTGATCAGCCCTCTTAGTTGCCATTGTCTCATATATCATCTACGAGACGTGGATGCGATCAGAGGCAAATCAAGCGGTTTCACGCATATTTGCCAATTGTTGCGTTTGCTACATCTGAGCCATAGAATCTGTCTTTAAGATTTGCGCTACTCGTCATTATTGTGCCAATACATTCATCCCATTCTATTTCTAGTGAAATTTGGATGAGTCAAAGACCACCTTTCTACAAGTATACTACAGGGTTCAGAAAGCACTATCTTTACAATCTACGCTGATCTAGACTGAAATGAGGAAAAGCTTCAAGCCTTGTCGACTGGGGGCACCGTAACGCCACACGTGCAAACAATTCTTCTAACTCAATTATTGAGAAAACAAAGCCGAAAGCTCAAAGTACATAGGACTTGGAGACTGGTGAACGTTTCAGAGTTGCAATCTAAAGCCGTTACTGCATGATAGTTGAAAACCATTTGAGGTGGATTTTTTTTTAAGAAATATCGTAACTATTGTGAAGCTTACAACACAAAGTTGCTCGACTAAAAATGAGTCAGAATTCTTCAAGTAATGCATGAATTGTTCATTCAGGGGCCAAAAGCCCCAGGCGATTATGCAAGACAACCGTCGACATATCGTTCGCCATTCGTGGCATCATGAAATGTTCAGCGGGGATAGTCTCGCTTCTCTACTCGAACCACCATGGCCGCGGTTCGGCGCCGGGATGAAATTAACATCCGAAGCCGCCGAATAGACTAAAACACGTAATGTTGGAACTGGAGTAAGTTAGTCATTCTTCAAAGTATATTAAGACTCGCAAGGATAACGATTTCGTTTTCTCACAAAACAAGCCTGTGCTCGAAGATTTTCATTCATCAGAGATCATATTCTCCCGCAACAATCCAACCCACACGATGGCGGATATTCCAGAGACAAACAGCCACAACTTCATCGAATCGCTTACCGAGCTCAAGCCGGCTGCTAAGGAACTATTGATTGACTATGCTGGCGTACCAGAATCGGAGGCTTTGCAACACGTCCACAAACTGGTATGAAGCTCACCCAAAACTATGGTGGCAGAGAAGTGGAAGCGCTGACCGGAGGCAGAGGGACAAAGCCTGGGAAACCTGTCCATATGGCTGTGTTGGTGTTTTTGCATTTACGTGGTGTTAGGGATTCTTACTTCAATCTTGTTTTGAAGTCGTGCTAACTTGTTTTTAGAAGCTTACCTTAATCTACATTTGCATTCAAAATGCTCGCTGGGTAGTTGAAGATGTCGAGAGTCATGAAATGCATTTCTTTGCACAATATGATTAAACCAAAATCTTGCAATGTTCATATATTTGATGTCGTACCTTATGCCGGCTGACGATTTCGTAGGCCAGGCATCAGTCGAGTTTACGTTTATCAGCAAGTCCTAGATCGCGTCAAGTCTGGAGATAAACTTCTGGATTTAGGCTGCGGTTTTGGGCAGAACATTCGTAAGTTAGTGTATGATGGAGCTCCGTCAGAAAATATTACCGGCGCAGACATTTCTCAGGCGATGGTGGACTGTGGCTTTGAGTATTTCCGAGATCGAGACAGGCTCAAGACCAAGTTCTTCATCGGCGACGTGTTCGATGAGGACGCGCCAGCGTACAAAGACGTGGCAGGACACTTTGACCTTGTGTATGCGTCCATGTTTTATCATCTGTGGGACTGGGATGGCCAAGTCAAGGCATTCATCCAAACAATCAAATTGCTAAAGCCTGTCCCGGGATCTATGATTTTTGGTTTCCAGCTTGGAGCGACACCTGCTGGAGAGGTTCAACGAAAACGAGCAGGCAAAGAATCGCTGAAACAGATGTACACTTATCAGCATGACGAGGAAAGCTGGCGGGCCATGTGGAGAGAAATTGAGACCAAGACCAGCACAAAATGGGATGTAGACGTGAAGGGCATTGTAACTCCAGAGATTGAGGAACGGAGGGGTATTGTGCCTACTCGAGAGGGAAGCAGCATCATCGGGGTGGTCTTCACTATGACAAGGCTCTGAGGCAATGGTTTCAACACGAGGAAACGGTGTGTAGTGGAACGAGATGTCATTCGGAACTAGAGTAGAATGAGCATAGATGCGTTGTGGAGGTCTTCTCATTATCCAATCGGGACCAGAACGGATTACGGTTCATGAAATAGCGTGTACCGAACGTTCCGTGACCTGTTCAGCACATCTGTCGAGTGTGACAACGTACTCTTTCGCGTCTATACCGGCGCAGTTAGTTACCACAAACGGAAATCGGAAAAAATTTGGGACAGTTGCGGTCTAACCTAATTTGTACTAGCTGCAGCACAGCCGCCGAGGCTACGCAGGAATGTGCTCGCTTTTGATTGGATCGTGTTGTGGCAATGACGATGCGTCGATCTATTGTGGGCTGCCAACTTGGCTGAGAGGATGCAAGATCTCTGCTAAAGGCGATTATATATCATGACGCCGATCCCCCAGCTTCTTGTAGTGATATAAGCTTTGCGACCACCCCTTGGCTGCTCTGATTTGATGATTAGTTCTAGAACACTGCTCAGCATGTCCTTCGGCAACGCACTCTCACAACCGTTCAACGTCTTATGGCGCTCTGCCCTTGTCAAATTGCCTCGTGCTGTCCCAAAGGAGATTTTAAAATGGACTTGTCCGCAAGGACCGCATCCGATTGTGATAGACCTGCCTTCGCCAAGGGGAAAACACAAGATCCCTGTTTTCGTGTTTGTGCCCAGATCTATCACGCCAGAACGCAAAGATCCGGTGCCCGTGGTCATTGATTTCCATGGTGGCGGCTTCTGGATGGGAAGTTGTCTTGAACAGGCGCCCTTTTGTACAACCATGGCAAATGAGCTAGATGCAGTGGTCGTCAGCGTCGACTACAGAATGGCCCCTGTGGACTCATATCCGGCAGCGCAGGAGGATGCCGACGATGTTCTACACGCAGTGCTTCACCAAAGCGCACCAGGATACACAGTACTAAGAGACGGTATCCGCAAAAAGATTTTATCAAGGTGGAAGCATGCCCAGAAGAAGTCAAGCACCTCGTCAGTTGATCGAAGTCCAGAGCGGGCACCCTCACTTTCTCACATCGACCTGGACAAGTCAAAAATTGCTGTCACGGGTTTCAGTTCTGGGGGCAACCTCGCCATGAACATTGGCATGCATATTTCTGGAAGCGACGGCCAGAAAGAATGGCCGTCCCCATTTCCTCCAGACCATCCGTATCCTTTTGCTCTGGTCTTATACTATGCGGCCATCGATCTGCAGCAGCTGCCGTCGGAACGCACAAGGCCACCAAAATTGCCAGCTCCCAAAGGCTGGTGGTCAGAGCTCAACGACATGTTGGCTCCGGCATACTTACCTCGAGAACGTGCAGCAGAATATCGCGCGTCGCCGGGGCTAGCACCCATCGAGAGCAGCCTCCACAAGCAAGCTCGTCTACAATTTGTCCTAGCAGAGGTCGATGCTCTCACTCCGCAGAATGATGAATGGCTCTCGAAGGCATCGAAAGCTGGTCGATCAGATGACATTGTGGTGCATCGCTACGAAGATCAGACGCATGGATGGACGCAAATGCCAGAAACATGGCTCAATGAGGAGCAACGACGGACGAGGGAAGATGCTTACAACAAAACCATTGCCTTCATCAAAAGCACGTGGACCAATGAAGACCTGAGCCCACTTAGGATGCAAAGTTCGTCGGGGTTTCTGTCGGCCGACGTATCGGAAACCCAAGCGACGACCAAAAAAGGTCACAAATTTTGGAAGAGGAGTCCTCGAAGTAGCCCTCGGCCAAGCCGTACGCCGAGCCCAATCCAAGAAGCTGGTGTGGAATGAAGATAACTCAGAAGATCAAAGCACGCATACATATGCATCTTTAAAAATTTATGCACGGCTACCCATTGTTTTTGGTGTCGATACGGCGAGCAGCGGATGCTTGGGTCATTTAAGGAACTGTTATGAATCCCCCAATCGAAGGAAGGCACAGCATGCTACAAAAGCATCGCTCATGAATAGATTAGAAGTACTTACAGTCAGGTAATGATTTGGTGTAGATCTGCCGGTGGATAAGCGCCGCAAGTTGTTTCGTTGACCAGTAATGTAATGAAGATACCTTACAAAATAGTAGCAGTAATGTTAATTCAACTGGAAAATATATCTGATTCACTTGCTACCGGCGGTACCCCTCGATCAGTCAAATGGTCGGTCAAAATTTACAACGAAATAGAAGTAAAAGCTCTGTTCCTTTTCATGGCTGTTGGTTCTTTGAAAATCACCAAACGCGTCCAGTGTCCTTAGTAAGTGACAGACTTTCCTCAACATCGAATAGACAGGAACGCATGCGGGAAGGTCCACGCAGGGTATCTTTTGCCCGCCTAGGGCGGAAGGGGGAAATAGCGAGGGCAAAAGCCGTGAAATGCATCTTGAGGCACTAAGCAAGGGAAATGCTTCAAATTGTGTTGACCGTATGAGTAAACAAAAATCACGATTATTGAGTAGTAGTAACAAAGTAAAATCACCACAACTTATGTCGTCCTCCATCAGATTAGAAAAGAAAGCCTATAGGTTAATTACGCTACAGCCAAAGAAACACATGCTGCTTACATCGTCCATCAATAAGTTGGAGAAGCAGACCCAACTGGCCGAGCAGAATCAGTTCCGTATTCGCCAGATGCGAGGGGTGCAGGTGCATTTGATGATCCCCCGAAACCCGAAGGTGCTGCAGGTGCTGGGGCATCTGGAGACGGCCCAGATCCTGCTTGTGCAGTCTGTGCGTGTGTGTCAGATAGTCCTCCGTACTTCCCCATGCCAGGCACTAGCTCTGATGTGTCAGGAGGGGTGGCATTTCCGTCTCCCGGTTCATTTGTGTTCGGACAGGCGGCTGGATTCGGCGCGTGTCGGCGATGACAGCTAGCGCAGTACGGTCTTCGCCAAAGGAAAAACAGAGCGGCTAGCAGAAGCAAGAACAGCAGGCCAAACACAATTATGAGCACGACGATTGCGATGTCGTAGTCGTGGTTTGTGTGGCACTCGGGTATCAGAGTGTTCGTAATCAGGCCCGGCACGAACGTTGTAGTTGACGCGTGACTTTCCGTCACGGTCGTGGAAGCTACTGTGGAATAAATAGTGAGAGTTGAAGTTTCTCCCGGCACTCGAGTGGTGGAAATTGAGGTCGCGATGATGCTTGCCTGCGTAATTGTCAATGTCGTAGTCTCGCCTATCATCAGTCAGTGAAGCATAAGGCGAGGGTAGTCACGCTTTGTGGCAAGGACCTACCTGGAACACGGATGGTGCTCGTGATAATGCTGGGGTTATCGAGAGTTGCGGCTGATATGGAGGTTTTTATTATCGTCGTTGTTCTTCCTGCTGCTGTACTAGTTGTTGTGAGTCTAGCCACCGTCGTAGTAAAAATGCTGCCAAGCAGCGTTGTTGTGTATGTCAATTCTGGATTGAAGACAGTCAAGGTGGAGCCAGCAGATGTGATCGTTGAGATCAAAGTTGGGTCTGTAACAGTAGTAGTCTCTACTGCATCCGTCGTTGTTACAGTTAAATTAGGATTCGTAACGGTGGTAGTAATCGTCTCAAGCGTAGTCGTAGACGTTCGGGTTATGCTCAACGTAGTTAATGAACCTAGTATAGTGAGGGTTGGAATAGAAACAGTTTTCGTAACGGAGCCGATGTATGAGATGGAAGTGAAGACCATAGTTGTGGTAATTGTGATTGAAGCAATAGTGACTGGCACAGGGACGATAGAGGTGCTGGTAAGGGTAGACAACACGGTTGAAGTAACATTCGAGATGGTGCAATTTGTGTAGATGTTGTATTGCGAGGTAAAATATTCTGTTGTGAAGTTCTGGTAATACGTCGTGCCGACCCCACAGATGGGCTGATAAGTCTTCGTAATTGTGAGAGTATTCGGAGACCTAGACGGACAGCCGCCAACTGTTGTAACTGTCCGTGTCAAACATACCACGGAGCTTGAAGTCGAGAGAGCCGAGCTAGATAGATGGGCACTCGAAGCTATGCTATAAGCGCTGCTGCCCGATGGCGGGAAGTATGAGTTTGAAGTCGCTGGTACCTGAGACCAGCTTGCAGTTGGAATTTGTTGATGCAATGATTGCTTTGGCGTTGAGGTCCAGCTATCGCATTCTGAAGAAGACCATTGGAAGCGCAAATCTTGCCGTGATCCCTCATAATCGTGCCAATGTCCACTTGGAGAGGGCTTGTTGTGATCTTCAGTTTCCTGAGAGCTTGCTATCGTCGCGCATGCCACCGCAACGCATACAAGGGATATTGCGAAGCAGTGCGAACTTCGCATTGTTTCGAACAAAGCTCCTTTAACGACACTGCAAATTTCGTACGGCCTGCCAACGACGAGTACGGCAATGCTGCCTTCATATTTACTCTGTTCATCGTCGTATTTAGATCAGCTGGACAGCACATCGCCCGTAAAGCTTGATTCAGTGCGACTCTTTTTGGGAAGCGAGAGCAAGCTCAGCTCTTGACCGCTGCACCCTGGAATGCATGCTCAATGAGCTGAACGAAGTAGACAATGGCCTGCGATGCTGTTGTCCATTCGTAGGCCTCCACATATGCAAGACAACTGCGGCGTGACGAAGATCGCACTAATCCTCAAATGAAAAGCGAGAGGTTGGGTTCACCAGAACGCAAAGATACTTTCAAACGGTGATGAACTGCCCTGCATTCGCAATTAGGTGTCCAGTAGGATTGCTCTGTTCCTGCTCTAGTCTTGCAAGTTGGCGTAAACTGCTGCGTATCGTCACAGAACGAGTGAGCCCTGTAAAGGCAGCCATGGTCCTGCGTCTCGGTTACGCCACTTCTGGTCTTAGTTCCTGGGAGGCTTCATGGAGTCGTGATTCAGCTCGGGGGATTTTTTTTTTCAAGCAGCCATCATATTCTTCCCTCTGCGTGAGAAAGCGAAGCACGGTCGGGCATCGGCTGTTTTGAGAAGAGTCGTTCAAGTTCCACCGCCTTCGAGGCCGGATATGAACGTGACCAACACATGGAAAAGATGAAGCTGCTTGTCACCAGTGCTTGGCTTATACGCTCGAAAATATCAGAGAAGTCCAATTAACAACAGTGCGCTCATTTCCACTAGTGTGCGACGGAGGCGAGCATAAGGTGTTTACAAACAACGTTTGAACGCCTGATTCCTTCGACAGCATGAGCTTATCCCTCCGTAACAGTTGAAGCTCAGCGCATCCTTCGATCTCGAAGCAGCTCAAACACAAGGCTCCACACTCTGCCTTCGATCAGAGGGTTTAGAAACCTAATCGACGCCTATCCTATAGGACACAATTCGATCGCTAAGAGAATTGATGGCACTCATACACCTAGCCATGGTGATGTTGCTTGCGTATTGGGGGATGCAACCATTTTACTGAGTGACACGTGAGTGCAGCAAGTCAGATTAAGATCAATGCAGATCTTGGTGACTTTAAAGGAAAGCCCCTTCCATTCAAAAACTGCGTGACTGATTGCAAAAGCACCTATGCGTCGGAGGCAATTAATGCTTCCATCCTTTGTTGCCATGGCTTTCATATTCTTGCTCTATCTGTGCGGGATTGTTCTGATCTCGTTTGATTTCGAGTTTGTTTTGTGGCCACAAATCATCTTCCAAGTTCCCCAGTGTAAGATCAGACTACCATGTCGTCGATAGAGTCAAGCTATTAGTCCCAGTGGGATTCTTGGTGACGATGACTTTTGAACGATGCGCACCTTTTATATCAACAAAGACGACATCTGCGACACGTAGCTATGTCGATGCAGAAATTGATTCTCCACGTGGTCGGATGGATGTTTGAAAGAACTGGCTCCTCACTCCGCAAGATTCGCTCTGATTGTCGCCGGCTCTTCGCCGCCTTTGCCAATTTCAACCCTGTCAACGTGCCTCCCGTCTGCCCTTTTCGAGCATGAACAACCCTCTTTCTTCATCACAGCTGCCAGATCTTTCTCCAACCACGAGGCCAGATCCTTCACTTTTCTCACCGCGGGGTCGTTGTCGCTTGCGAAGGAATGGCTCCTGAACCAGTCATCGACGTTGCACTCCACAGTCGCCACGGCACAGGCCTTGATCTTAATCAGCTCGTCTTTGATCTTTGCAAAAGGCTCGAGCTGGCCTAGCCGCCACGCGTCCACTAGCTTATCGCGACGATACATGAACCGAAGACGAAATGTTCGGATGTTGGTACGGTTCTGGAGAGTCCTTATCCATGAAGCAACAATGTAATGGCAGCGCAGAAAATCTGCACCCAGAAACTCCACCTTCAGAGCTAGAACCCTGGCGTACTTCAGCACGCAGTTGATTCGCCTCTCGTTCTCTATTGTCTCTCCGGTTCGGACCACCAGGACCACAGGATTCTCCTCCAACAGGACCGGAAGTGACTCTTGGTAGATTTGCTTGCAGGCGAGAAACAGACTTGTGTCCATGATCGTAGACTCGAATACATGTTCGTGCTCGTCCGGCGACTTACTGGGATGCGGCCATGGTCGTATCATGGTTGCCTTAGGAAACTTGGGTATCATCCTTGCGACCCATGGTGGGACTGGTCGGATCCATTCTGCATCGGAGACCAGTAGCTCACGATAGATTTGGCATCGAATCTCCATTGGGAGAGATAGGAAGGGGAATGCCCTCGCATCAGGGCGGGTTCGCTGCCCAGCATCTGAATTAGGCGGCGAAGCTGTTCGGTGTGTCCACGTGCAGCCTGGCCCATGTGAATTTGCCATCTCAAAAGTCCTATGGCGTTTCCAAGAAGCGTAATGTACGAAAGAGTGGAGACGAATCGCGCGCTTCTTGCAGGATGGGTGATCGTAGTCGGAAAGGCCTCGCCGAGAGAGATGAGATTCAAAAGAATCCGTGAGATGAGTCTTGAAGCCAGAGAGTTCCTCTGACGTGGTAGACCAGATTATTTTCCCCTTTGCGTTTTACAACAGGTGAAGGCGTATCACGGTGCCCGCTTGGAATCCGAAGCGGCGCTCGGCGTAAGTTCTAGTTTCTGCTGATCCCGAGCTCTCGAACCAAAAAGCTGCCGCCTCAGAGGCGCTATGCTGTTTTAAAAGGATGGAATGGAACGAGCGCCTTTTTGTCCCAGAGTGACCAGCACCAATGTAGGATCGTGAGGTTTGCTTCATTCACAACAGCGTGAACAGCGCCTGTCAAAGAGGTTCTAATCTGGGTAGCGCCTTCAGCCCTTCCTTTTTTTTTTAAGGAACATAGATTGCACTGCTCTGTACCAAATGTACAACTGCAAGTTAGAACAAATTTGCACTCAAATCTCCTAAGGCCCAGCAAGAAGTAGATAAGAGACATGGGAGGCTCACTGAGGCCGCCACGCACAGGTAGACTCAGCCACCCACCCACGAGTAGACGAAGTGCATCCACGATTCGTCAGCATAGGAACAAACAGAAGAATTTGTTTTTGACCGAGTGATTGGTAAGAAAACGCCTTGGATTAAACTCATTTTTATCTACACCAAAGTGTTTCCAAAATGCTGCTACCGCCACTCATGTGCTTGTGTTCTGTATAAACGCCAACATAAAGGACAGCACTCCCGGCCCCCGCCTAGGTGAAGTGGTCGCGAGACCTGTTTCAAACCTACCCCTCCTTTGTAAAGTTTATAGAACAATACTAATACAATATACGTTCGTTACCCGTCTGGTGTGACGCTGTCCAAATCCACAAACTGCGGCGGAGATAGAAGAAGAAATCAAGTGCTGACGATAGTACCACAGCGTTGACAGCTTAGTTTTTTTGTCCCAACATCTGACTTCCTCATTCTGAAAGCCGTCCCCCCACATTTGCGGCATCGCAGCGTCTGTGTCTCTTCGAGTTCTCTCTCCGGCGTACTCTGACCGTCACTGCTCAAGCTGCTGACTACGGTGACCTGACTCGCTCTAGAGTTCAGATCGGGCCTCAGACGGTCATTTGTCCCCAAGGGGGTAAGCCTCTTGAGGGCTTGCGAGGCGTACTCCTTCATGTTCCAGCTCAGAAATGATTGTCCATTCTGGAGCCAGAGAGGGTTGGGATCGGGCGAGGGAGAGGGAGTCAGATCCTCCGTGGCCAATTCACCGTTACTTGGAAGATTGTCTTCTCTAGTGTTCTGTTTCGACAGTGTCGTGATACTGCTGCTAGCGTCGTCGTTTGGACTGGGCGGCGAGGGCGATGATTCACTTCTCTGAGGCCGCGACGACGTCGATGTACTCTCGACGTGCACACTCGGTACTGTCATTGGAGTCATAGCATCGATGCTGTCTTGTCTGATGCCGAGGCCGTTGCCCACATTCCTTCGGATGGATCCCGACCGTCGGAAGGAGTAGCCACTTTTCCCGGGAGACATGCTCCGCGTGGACTTTGCATCGCTCTGCTTTCGATCTAAGCTATTCGTGCTGGATATTCCCTGTCTCCAGGTCATGATTCGATCGTTGGGCGGCTGCGTGCTCAAACTGTCACTTCGGCTAGGGGGGTTTCTATTCGTGCTTGAGCGAGACAGAGCCCGGGCCATATAGAGCGAGCTCGGTTTCTTGACCCCGAACAGACTGCTCGCGTCATCGGCGTGTTTGCGTTTTGTGAACGCGCAGTCCTGGCGATACACGCGTACCACACCAGTATTAGATGCAGTGACAATGATATTGCCTCCAGGATGCGATTGTCGCGCTATGTAAGCGGGATTTTCCACGGCCTTGTTGTGGGGAGACTCAGTTGTACGCGGCGTACCTGCGAGGCTATTCGTCCGACTAGGGGGATGGGAAGAAGCCGCAGATTCGGAACGTGAGACAAGCGTGACAGGAGGAGGATTGCATAGGTCATATATAGGGTCGTCGGACTGCGCTAGCAAATGTCTCGTCTTCGTGGGCGCAAGAGTAGCACACGTTGTCTGGCTCGTCGTGGCTTCAAAGAATTCCACGGGCCGCTGACTGGGCTTCTCGCTCTCACTTGGGCCTAGTGACCACAAAAACGCGCTCTTGTCTTCACTGCCGCTGATGACGTATTCGCCAGTATCGCCAAACTGCGCCTTGATCGTTCGCTCCTCGCTTCGGTGCCCTTTGAATTTTGTCTCCAAACTCTTATCTCGAAAATTGTAAAGCCTAATTCTGGAATCGTTGCTCGAGATGAGCAGTTTGATGTCCGGTCTCTCGGTCTGCGACATGTTCATCGCCTCAATAGAACATATCTTGCTTGGCCTTGCGTTCTTGCCGTAGGCCGACCGCACTTGGATTTGGGTCTGGTACTTCAGCCCCTCCGTCTCGTAGAAGTTGCATACGCCATTCACGGTTCCTGCCATCGCGGTTTTGCCATCGGGCGTGAAGGCAACAGCAGTGATGATCTCATTGAGCTGTTGCCAGTACGCAACACTCTTGTCCGGAATCGACCAAAACCGAAGTTTCATGTCGCGGGATCCAGCGAGGAAAAATCGATCGTCTCGTGGGTGGAAGCGTACTGAATACACGTGCTCGGTGTGCTTGAATGTGCAAAGACATTCGGCGCGCGTCGTATGCCATAGCCGGACCGTTTTGTCTGCAGATGCGGAGAGGAGAAAGTTGTTCTTACTCCAGCTGAGGTCGATAATCGGTCCTTCGTGCCCTTCGTACTCCCGTATGGCTCTTCTCTGGAAGACAGGTGCATCCAGTCTCATCCTGTGATGTACGGACTGGGCGTCGTCATCCTCTTCTAACTCATTTTCTCTTCTCTCTTCAGGCGAGCTGAGGACCTGCCAGACGCGGATGATCTTGTCTTGTCCGGCGGCAGCGAGGTACTTGCCGTCCTTGCTGAACTCGAGCGCCCACACCGCATTTTCGTCGCTCTCTAGCGGAGTCCCTTGCAACGCTGGACTGTTCAGAGTCTGTGTCGTCCCCCGACGTCTGGGAGGCTTTGCTCGCCCTGCCTGTAGCTCCTGCGCCAGGAAGACGTGGTCAAACTCCCTGTCCTTCTTGTACTTGCTTCTGAATTTGATATACGGCGGCGGCTGCGGATACTTTGGATGGTACTCAATTCCATCTATATCGTCATGCTCGGCGTGTGAAAAGAGTTGTGCGTCCATGCCCTCTGGACGATTCGATGACCCGTTGCTCCCTTCGTGGTCATCCTTCTCGTGCCTTTCGTGTATGCTATCCAGCTCGGGCGACGGCGCGCTCTTCTTGTTGCTCCCGCCTCCGGGTATGAAGCGACTCAGGAAGGAGACACCCTTTCTGTGTTTTGTTAAGACTTGTCAGCTTGTCCTCGACTAGCTTGGATTCTCGGTTTTCTCGGTCTCGTATTCGTAAGGGGGGTCCGAGGCCAGGGTAGCGTGTCTCGACCATGTCTGCGGGCTGACTACGCTCCTTGCGCAACATTGCTGCACGTGCGCTCGTGTATCGTGTCATTCTGCACGGCTGACGGAGAGCAAAGAAAGGTTGTCGCGACACTTACTTCTTGTCTTTCCCTCCATGATGGGCATCCACATCAGGACCTTCGAACGAAGCTCTCCCTGCACGGTCGAGCGGGAAGGTTGCAGCATGGTGCTGCAACAACGGTGAACGGTTTGCTTCTGAGGCGGGTGATTTGTTGGGCTTTGTAGGCAGAGTGGTGGGTGTGCGACGGGTCAGGAGCTGACGATCCGGAGGGATTCAACGGTCAGCCTTGTCACAATCTTGCGACACTGTGTATCGAGTCATGAGGAGAGCAATGGCTTACTGGAGGTCGTGGGCTTTTGGCGCCCGCCTGAGCGATTCCATTGGCATCGTCGTGCGATGCGTCCTGCGCGCCGTCGCCGGCGGTCTGCTGCGCGGGGACGGGCAGCGTCCGTGAGCGTCGCATGTTGGGGGCAGCGGCGAGGCTGTCTAGCTGTGCTTCAACATGTCGAAGGTCGTCTGTCGCACGGTTATCAGCGCACGCAGCGGCGCGAATAAAACAAACAACTAAGTTGACGGGGGAACAGAGGACAAAAGAAAGACGAGGTTGTGTACCTTTGGCAGGGTTATGGTGGGAAGCGGAACCATGGTTGCTGCCGGGCGCGGCGTCGTGCAAAGGTCGCGGATGGAGCGCGCCGGTGGCGATCGGCGATGAAACACTGGAACTGCTGGATCTCGCGAGGGAGGAAGAGGATGGACTACAAGCAACAGAGACGACGCTGCTCGAGCTGGTGGCCGCTAACGTCGACGTTGACGTCGCCTTGCCGTAAGGGGGATTGTCCATGATTATCTGGTGGCATCCCGTGGTCTTGGCGTGTATCTCGCTTGCCCGTCGACGCCGAATTTCTGTGCGACGACCTTTTCTACGCCAATCTTCAGCGCAACACGCCCAGTTCGCGGGCTGGCCGCGGTGCCAGGCCTTTGCCGTCCTATCCACAGTCTCCCTGCCGCGTCCTTCGCAGCCGGATGATCGAGCGTCGCAGCACAGAGCCCCCCTCTCTCGCCGCAAGTGGCCTGACAGGTGCGCCGCTACCTCGTGAAGATCTGGGGAGATGCGTCTCATCTCAACCCGGACGAGCACGCCTCTGGCTAAGTAAGACGTTCGAGGTCGTCTTCTCCCGCCCCGGCCTTGCTAAAACCTCATCCCCTCATCCCCTCATCCCCTCCTTCGCTTGTCTTTTTGCCGTCGACCTTGAAAGCTTTGCAAGCCTTAATCAGACTGGACGTCGCATCGTCCAATCCGGCCTTGCACGGAACCTATGCGCCTTGCTGAAATCAGCATCGCGGAGTCAGATAAGCCGATTGCGCATCATCGAGGCCCAAACTTAGCCGGTGGAGCCGCTCGTCCCCCCGCCAGCTCGTGGCCAGGATCGCCGTCATATCCGAAACCTTATTTGGCCGCTTCTTCTGTTTGCGCGTAGACGACAAGCCCAGCACGGCGCTCGCCCACACAGGTTGAATAGTGAGCGTGTAGGGATGCAATCCCAGCTTGTACATGCGCCGTGCATGGCCGAACACCCGCTCGTCTAACGGTTGCATCTGCTGCACGTCAGGCCATCGCGACGAACCTGCTGCGTCGACATCGCACACTTGCTGGGTTGCGGGATATGCCACTGTATGCTGATTACGCACCTCCCGCAACGCCTGCATTCAATTCGCTCAATGGCGTGCTTTTTAGCCTGCACGGAAAGGAATCACCAAAATGCATTCCCCAGTCTGTTAGCCTCGCTGCACAATCGATAGTCGATTCATCGTCCATTCAAAAGCTTCCCGTTTGCCTGGTATGCTCCATCTGGGACGGACTAAATACGTATGCCCGAACACGCTGCTTTCTCCGTGTTCTCCGAATCCATCCCTCGTTTAGAATGAAATAAACTCCGAAAGTCTTCCGCTCACAGAACTTCGATTCAGAAGGAGACGTACGTATGCGCCTTGTACCCTGAGCGTTGCATTTCATGAATCTCGTCAATCAAAAGACACGGCCAAGGGTGAGCTCGACTACGAACACTCGTCACACCGGCAATATTTGACAAAAAGTTTGAATCTGGCTACGCCGATCTTCCGTTCACGCATGGGGTGTCAAGCCTTTGCGGGAATCGACTCGCAAAAACATCTAAACGTGACAGATCGCTCTGCCCGTGACTACAGAAGGCGAACCTATGCAACCTGTTGGAATTTTCTTTTCTACACTGGCTGCAGAACGTTGCTATAGTATCTATCAATTCGCCCTCTTCCTGGATGCTGAATGTATTCGTACCATTTGTCGTCGACTGCGACAAGCGCAATCAGCTTCTGACACACTGCATATTGAGCCACACGCCTCAAAAACATGAAGTCTAGCACATCCAGACTCGTCTCTACGCTACTTTAACAAGCAGATCAACGGTCAAGCTGCCACGCCGTTTTGGTCCGCGTTGCTCTGACCGTATATCAACTCAGCAATCAGTCAAAACATGCTTGGTTCTGAATATCTTGGAGGCAGTGATCTGGCCCCCGCCAGAGTCCTGGCGGTAGAGACGTTAGGGGAATCGCTCTGCTTATCTTGCGCCCTCAGCAGATATAATAGCACAGGGTGCTCACTGTATGAACAGTCATGAAGACACAAGTGTTGATCGAGGATGGCAACAAGCTTCTAAAGCAGAAGTGCTTCCTTAAAGGCTGAGAGGCAAAGGACACGATTTGAAAGGCTCAAGCTTTTTCAAGGCATTCGAGACGGCCAGGGTGGACCGAGGTGCATCTTCGAGACGTGATGACCCATGCGCAACGAGGACTGAGATTCCAGGTGTCCTGCTACTGCCAGCTCGAGCCGTTCATGAACCGTGCTTGGACGGGCAACGACACTGCAAGAGTAATCTTGGCCTGTTCTCTTAGCAATGGATACATGCCGGCTTGTTAACATCACCACTCCTGCAGCATTGGCTTACCATGCCTTTCGCTGCTCTCTGTTCGGGGATCTCTTTCCAAAACGGACATGAGCGGGAAACTGATCGTCTTCATTGCATCTTGAAGGGGCCTACTTCGATCAACAGTGAACGGTAGTTACAGTACTCTGCCATATACAGAACATGAGGAGCAGCAATGCACATGTTATTCTTCTTCGTTTTCTTAAATACTTTTCTCGACTGACCCAATCTTTGGCGTCCTTTTACTCTATGCATGACCTCGTAGCGCTCCACTCGTCATTCCGAGTTCCCAATAACCAATGCACTTGGATGTGAAAAGATTGCTGGTAGTATCTATAGACGCGAGTTGATGATTTCCACAACTGCGAGCAAAAAAAAAAATTCAGCGTGCGAACCAGCAAAACGATGCACGGGGGCAGGGAAAAAAAACTTACACTCCGGCTTCAAGCTGGCTCCGCCGACCAGGAATCCATCGATGTCAGGCTGCTTGGCAAGCTCTTTGCAGTTCTTTGCGTTGACGCTGCCACCGTACAGGATCCTCGTCTTCTCCGCCGCCTCGGGGCTGACGTCGGTCTTCAGCCACTCCCGGATGGCCTGGTGGACCTCCTGCGCCTGCTCCGTCGTCGCCACCTTGCCGGTGCCGATAGCCCAGATGGGCTCGTACGCGATGACGATCTTGCTCCAGTCCTTGACCTTGTCCGCTACGGCCTTCAGCTGACTCGTGACGTGCTGGACCGTGACGCCCTTCTCGCGCTGCTCCAGACTCTCGCCGCAGCACAGGATGACGCCAAGCCCACCCGCGAGCGCGGCCTTGGTCTTGGTCGCCACGAAGGCGTCGTCCTCGTTGAGCAGCACGCGACGCTCAGAGTGGCCGAGGATCGTCCATGTGATGCCGCTGTCCTTGAGCTGCTCCACGCTGATCTCGCCCGTGAACGCGCCGTTGGGCTTATCGAAGACGTTTTGGGCGGCGACCTCGATGCCCTTGCGGAGGTGCTCGCGAGCAAGAAGGAGGTATAGCGAAGGAGGGGCGATGACAACCTCTTGAGGCGATCGCAAAGTCAGCACTGTTGGACGGATCCTGTAGCTCCGCTACCTGAGACCACATACCGGTGTTTGGGTCCAGCTTAGCGTTGTTGAGGTTGTGAATGATTTCGCGGATGGACTTGATCGTCCCGTTCATCTTGAAGTTTCCTGCGACGTCGCTGTTATCATTCGTTCATGTGGTGCGCGATCCACAGCAACAAATGTGTCGCCGTGACTCGATTCCACGGTGGGGTAAACTTGCGCACCTCCGACGAAGAATTGGCGCCCCATGATGAATATCTAGCGTTGATCTTTGGTGATAAGTGGTCGGTTAGGCAATGGAAGAGCCAGGAACTCGCAGCGTCTGTAGAAACACGTCAAGGATAAAAGCCGCACAATTGCTTTTGAGTGAACTGTCTGTACGGAATGCACAGTGTTTCAAAGTGGGGCAGTTTTCGAGCTTCCAGCCGGACATTCGCCGGCGTCGCTCTGGGCATCGTCCAACACATTTCACGCCTTCTCCTATGTTTCCCGACCTTTGGCTTCATGCGTTCACAACCGGGTGCATTCGGTACCCGACGTCCATCAATCGTACCAGAGGTCTTCTGTACGCGACGGTAGACGATATACGCTTCGCGCCTTTGCACTCTTGAGGTCCTTATCAGTGGCTTTTGGAGCAAAATATTCTGATTCCAAGGCGTTCGTCCTCTTCGCGAATCATAAATAACTCACAGATACACGGCCTGCCCACTGGAATGCGGGTATGAGATACGCCAGATGCAGCGTTATTGATACGGGCCATTGCATCCTACTCTCCTCTACTTTAAAGGACCGTTTCCAGGTTACACCAGGACAAGGCACCATGATCCTGTATTGTAGCTCCCGCTCTACATACATAACTTCACTCTCACGGAAACGTTGAACAGATCTAGCGATCGATCCTCGGGTGAGAAGCGATTTAACCTTCTGGGAAGATGATCAATCAGGAGAGCATATCCGGAGCCAAATCCCTCGGAGAAAGGCTGTTTGATCTCTCGACATTTGCCGACAAATCCAGAGCCCTTGGAACTTCGACATGAAGGCCTCTTGCCCAATATGATCTGTGTACCAAAGTTTCCTACCACCTCTGGAGGCCCAAGATTCTTTGCGCGCTAGCTTATGTTCATCCACATGTGCAAGCAAATGAGAAGGCGACAGAGAGACGACTATCGAGGTCAAACTTGTGTGACCCAAATCTAGGGCCCTTTTCTGAACCTATTGTTTATACCTCCGCCGATTATGTCGTCCCTGTGCAAGCTCACAAGAGAATGTTGGACTTCTCTTGAAGCTCTATCTGGCCACTTCGCTTGCTTTTCATGCCAAGCACGCTGCAGTTCGCTTTGCGCTACACTTCAATGAAGGTCAGATACGTTGGCACGCTTTTCGCTGCAAAAAATGCTAACCGCAGCTGTTGCAGCGAGCAGATCTGCGTGATAAATTACTTCCCGCGCCTTGTGATGCTTCCTATGCAGTAGGGGACCTCAAGCTGCCATGATCTCCTTACTTTCTTCCCCAAACTTTAAGAAAGAAGTTCCGCGGCTAAGGGAGTAGTATAAAGGTGCATGATTTGAATCCGCCTCTATGATCGGCATCTGCTTTTGCTTGTAGCCTGGAGCGTCCACTTAAATGAACGGGCCTGACATCTCTCGCGAACTCAAGGAAAATTCGCAATAGTCGTTCTCTGCCTTCACGATCTGCGGTGGCGTCTTTCCTCATATCCCCGCCCGACCCAGTATTCAAAAAGGCCGCTTTGCCGTCTAGAAAGCTGCCTCTTGGGACTTACAGACGTCCAGGGATATAGATACCATATTTGTTGGTTCAAGGTGAGCTAGCTCCTGGGACATGCTGGCGAGCCCGCTCAGCGAGTGCAAGATCGTGCGGCACGGTGCTTGTCAGCTTGCACGTCGGCAACCTAAACATCGGCGATCTGGGCGCTGTACGAGCCAGGCCCGCCAGTTCTGGGACGTTGGAGTCGGAATTCTCTGACTTCGCCAGGGCAAGCCGCAAAAACGGTGTGGCCAGCGAAGCTTGCGGTGCCTAGTCGAAGAAGTCGATCTCCGGGACGAGCTTCTGAATCTTGAAAGGTCCGATTACTCGTCAAGGCTTGGGGGACGAAGAGAATTCCTTTGCCTCAAATCAAAAACAAAAAAAAAAAAAAGACTGTCGAGTGCATCCGGACCACTCGCTTCATTGCTCTCGATCGTCTTATTCCGACCTGTGGACGCAGAAAGAAACGCGCCATAAGCTTAAGTGGACGTCCCGCAAGCTTTGGCAAGGTACACACGCGGTTCAAATAAGAATGAAAGGGAACAGTCAAGTTTTCAAGCAAAGCCTCTTAACGACAAAGCCATCGAATTGAAGGGAATTTTCATATGTATACTTTTTTTTTTTAATGTTTGATATCAGGAGAGACTCCTCGCACAGTAGGAAGAGTCTTCGAGGCTTGCCCAACTTTCACCTAGGTATGCTTTGACTTATATTGTGCTGTTTGCTGATCTCGTTCACTCGATCAGAGCCGGACGGCCTCCGTCTCACGTTTGCCCTGCACCTCTTAAGGTAGAAAGAACCATCCGTCTCACGCTGAGATTACATCACCGTTCGTCATTTGGAAAATTATGAGATGCATGACTCCTAAAAACATAGCTTCGTCAAGAATTGTAATTTTTTTTTGTCCACTTTCAGCTGCCATTTCTCGCCGATCATAATCCATGCTCAACTAACGGTTTTGGATGTCTCGCAAATAGCCACTTAGTACCTTGGTGGAGCAGGTGGTTGGCCGTATCCACCTTGTTGCGGGGGATACGGGCTGTATCCACGTCCCTGGCCTTGCTGGGGAGGCTGTCACATGAGAGTTAGCCAAGTTCTACTACGCTGCTTGCTGGAAATTGGCCGATGAGAGACCACAGTAGAAAGGGTGAGATGGGACTTACGTATCCGCCCTGCTGAGGAGGATAACCGCCTTGTGGCGGAGGGTAGCCCTGACCGGCGGGTGGGTGATATCCAGGCTGAGCACCATACTGCTGCTGAGGTGGTGGGTAGCCCGGCTGACCACCCGGAGGGCCGTATCCTGGCTGGCCACCATAGCCTTGAGCCGGTGGCGGCGCGTGGCCACCTGCCTTCTCATCCTTGCGATCGTAGGAGGAGTCAATCGCGCCGAGAAGCAGCTTGACGAGCCATAGCTCTGGTGTCAAGTTCACACCCTGGCGCTGCATCTCTTCGGATTCGTTCTCGTAGTTGCTCGTGCAGTCAACCAGCCGACCGACCACAGGGTCCTCGTCAAGCTTGCCTAGGAACTCGCGTGCCTTGAGATCGTTGCCCACCTGCGCGACTTGGAATGCAATGCCACCCGGACCGAACTGGCGTGACACCTCTTGGCTGGCGTACTTGATCGCGTCGAAGATGGCATTTTGCGGCTCACCCGCCGGCTGACCGTCGGTGATGATGATGACAAGAGTCGGCTTGCGGTACTGCTGAGAACGCAGCTTGGGCACAATGATGCCGTCAATGACCTTGTTCCTGAGTTCGGTGCCCATGGGAGTCAGGCCCTTGAACTGCACGGTGCGCATGAGCTGGTCAATCTGCTGCTCGGAACGAATGTTCTCGAGCATGCGTGGGTCGTACGTAGCATTCATGAAGCGCAGGGAAATGCCATCGTCATCGAATATGGTGGCGACGCTGGCAACGCGCTCGAGGATCAAGCGCAGGTCCTTGATGCGCTCGCCACCTTCCTCAAACTGCATCGAGCCAGAGTCGTCAATGTAGATGACGATGTCGTACAGTCCGAGCTTGACAAGATCGTTGCCAATCTCTTGAGGAATCCTCCAGCGCTGGCACAAGCCGGCCACCTGCTGAGCTGCCTTGTTCGCAATCTGGTCGACGGCCGGCGAGTTTGGCGGGTAGAACGACTGAAGGCCACGTTCTTGGATGCATTGCTGGAGGGCTTGCTTGTAGCTGGCTATCTGAGCCGGGCCGGCCTGCGGCGGAGGCGGTTGGCCATAGCCCTGCTGACCGGCTGGAGGAGCGTACTGAGCCTGGGGAGGTGCTTGTCCTGGTTGGCCCTACATGAATTCACCAAGTCAGTGACAATGTTTCCCGTGCCGCATGTGCAAAAACGCGAGTCGAAAGAATGACGAACGTAGCCGTAATTTGGGGGTTGCTGATAGGGTGCTGGACCGCCATATGCGTTGTGTTGCTGCCCATATGCCTGATATCCTTGAGCTGGTGGTGCATTGTACGGAGGCTGCTGCCCATATTGTGGTTGTTGCCCGTACGGCGGATGTTGTTGCGGGCCGGGAGGATACGGAGAGCTTGACTGTGGATAGGGAGGCTGTCCTGGCGCGGGTCGGTATTGATTCTGAGGAGGATACGGCGAAGAGGATGGTGGATATGGAGATACTGGCTGCTGGCCAGGCCTGTTGCCAGGAACGGGCGGGGCCTGTCCGCTTGCGTACTGCTGCTGGTACGGATAGGCCATTGCGCGGGGTTGCGGGTTCGACGACGTCGCGTGCAACGACAACGACGACGAAAATGACAGCGTGCACGGAGCCCTCAGTGGAAAGGGAGTTTGTTCGTGCGTCGAGAGACTGGACAGGTTTGTGCGACAAATATTTTCGCCTCCTCGAGAGGATGGGAAAAAAGGTGTGGCTGTGGGGTTCACGTCTGACGGGTATGACGCGGTAGCGGCAAAAAGCCCAGGATGCAGCGCAGCACAGCCAGGCAGGAAAAAAAAATCCAACAGGTGACCGAGCTCAGGTCAGGCAGCAACAGGCGCGCACCGGTTCGGTTGGCAGCGCGAAGGCTGTCGGTCGGCGCCGCTAAGGTACGACGGGAAATGCGGGCAGGACAGGAAGCAGGCTTAGCGTACGCAGTGTGCGCGCGCGGATGTGTAGGATGTGTAGGCGGGCGTTGTCGTTCTGGTAAACTGGCCATTACTTACGGTGGCTCCTGGGTACGCTTGGTACTGTCCTTGACCGGGCTGTTTTGGCGTGCCGTCAGTGCCAGAAGAACCAGGCTGGACGGGGTGCGCGATGCTCTCACATATTGGCTGGTCCCATACTGCTGCTGGCCCGCTGGAGGAGGAGCTCCCGGATAACCACCGGGAGCGGCAGCGCCAGCGGCCTGGAGTTTGGAGGCTGCGGGCGCGTCTCAGCGTCAGCGTTTGCTTGCAATCACACTCTCGCTCTCGCGCTGGTCGCGGCGCTGCGGGGTAGCTCACCTAGACCCATTGCTGTGTGCGTGTGTGCGTGCGTGCTCGTCGTGCTGCTGCGGGCGAGGGCGTGGGGAGAGAGAACGGACGGACGAGAAAAAGACGAGGGTGAGAAATCGGCGGGACGAGACTGCTGGCCGGGTTTGCTTCTTGATATACGATCGGCGGATGGAGCGAGATCCAGTTGCTGGATGAAGCACCAAAGCGACAGCCAAGGCTGACGTGCGGCAGCCAAGAAAGCCGCGTGGCGCAGCTCCCGCCTGTGGCTGTGTGCTGCCCCTCTGTCCCTGTTTGGCTGCTCGTCTTCTCGACGGTAAAGTCACCTTGCGTGCGCGTGTGCGCTGTAGCAAAGACCTCCGTAACGAGCTGGACATCCGCAGCGGTGAGTCCGCTTGTGGACAACTGCAAACGTGAAGCAGCTCGACCTTCGCTGAGAAATTCACCTTTGAGCTGCGGCGCGCGAGGCAAAGAGTCTGCACGTCTGACGAGCCGTGACTTTGCCGTAGTTCTACGTGGTGGGCGTTGGTGGCGCCAACCTGTGGCTGAAGCGACCCGCAAGCCACATCGATCAGCCCATCCCCCACTACAACCACGGTCCTGTGGAGGCTGCGGGAAAGCCGACGTTATTGTGCAAAGTCCATTCCAATCCGTGTGTTCACTCAATGCGGCGCCATCTAATCCTCTGACCCGTCTCATCCGTGACTGTGCTTTAGAACTAAGTCAAACGTTCCCCGGACCGGATCCAGCGTGCCGTATGTGACCGCTGTGCTCGCTGCTCACGAAAGAGTGAAGGAGTTGATGTTGCGATCCAAGAGAAGAAAGAGCAGCAAAACCGCCGGGATGACAACATTCTGCGTGATTGTTGTGTTCGGCACTGTTTGCTTTCGGCATGCCTGCACTGGCTAGCCACAGTCATCAGCATGGCCGTGCGTAACGAGCATGATATTCTATCTGGCTCCGCGCCGATGGTTCTCAGACGAATTGATTTGCAGCGCATAATTCAATGCAAGTGGAACAAAATTTAACGTGTTCTTCATGGCTACTTCACCCTTTTTTTTTTGAGAGCTACTGCAGAGAGGACTAGATATAGAGTTCGGCAGCAGATCTGGCATGTTCAAAGTGCTCAATGTTGCCACCTTGGTCTCGTTCACGAAGAAGCTCATCAAAAAGCTTGGAAATTCACAATGCATCTCGTCTAATGTAGCTTTCACATCGAGAGCGCATTCAGTGTCTTGACACGCTCCCCGCGTACTGTCACTTGTTGAGGGCCCCCAAGGACCTGAGCTACGTGCGTATTGACTAGCGAGCAAAACCAAAGTGAAGCGTAACTGAAGCTGCGGATTTTCCTCTCTCCACACAACCCTAACATAACATAAGAAAGCACATGGGGATGGAACCCCTCTTCCAGAGAAAGGGGTCCTCACTTGGGCTGCAGTTTCAATTATGTGCGTGCCTCAGATACGCCAACGGGCGGCGAACTCGTTGAAGATCCAACACCGGCTGTCGACGAGTGTTGGCGTCTTCTCACCCGCTTAGACACCAGACATGATGCTCGACTGCACGCAAAAGGACAGCGAGAACGACAGCATGGCAAACGCAAGCCGAGTCCACGACCGGGTGCCTCCACCGGGCTGTCGGCCCCTCGACGACCTGGTCAACGGGCTGCCTCCGGAGATCGTGCACACAATCGCCGAGCGTCTTCGGCCAAAGGACATCGGCAGGTTGCGTCTCGTGTCGGCCAAGTTCGCCGTGCAGACCGGCTTCGCGCTGGCGGCGTACGTCGTGCCGCTCGTCACCATCGACGAGGACGGCGCCGAGACGCTGTGGCAGCTCAGCACGACCTTCAGCAAGCGCCTGCCCCCGCTTTCGGCTTTCATCTCCAAGATTGGCTTCATGGATCGCACGTGCAACGACCGCGCCGACATCTGGCGCGAGGTGCGCGTGGTCCGCGGTAAGTACGTCGTCCCTCAACCCAAGCACGACGACGGTCCAGGCTCGGACGGTAGCGAGCACGAGCAGAGCCGGATCGAGACCGAGCATGTCCACCGCAAGGCCCGCCAAGCGTACGATCAAGCCGCCTGCAAATGGATCAACGGCCACCTCTTCCAGCACCAGGGGAGTATCCAGATGGTGTGCAGCGAGCTGAGGATGGCGAGGGACACCATGGCGCCGACCAAGGAGCTGATTCACCGGCTGGCCCACCTGCTTCACAAGTTCCCCAAGTGGAGGGCCTTCTTCGTGGACGGCGTGGCTAGGGAAGACGTCGAGATCCATCTCGACGTCCGCGGCCGGCTGCTGGGCGTCGAGCTGGGCGCGCGCCAGCTGGCCGACCCGGGCGCGCGCCGCCCTCGCCTTGTCGAGAACCTCAGCCCGGCGGAGCTTCCGTGCGCGTGTCCGTACGTGCGAGATCCCCGCGACAACGAGTTTGGCTGCGACGACGCCGAGCACGAGAACCACCCGCCCAACCCCTACCGCAAGCGCTACCTGCGGCCCGCCCTGCTCGACCTCAAGGCCGTGGTCGACGTCGCCAAGATCACCATATGCGGCGTCTAAGTAGGAGGCGAGGACGTGCCGCTCTAGCTTGCCGGAGAGCGAGATAACGAACGGTACGCCATCGTTTGCTGTTGGTCTATCCTCTTTCCATTGGGGACGTGGCGGCCGCGCGCTGACAGACGTTTTCCCAGGGACGAATACCGTTTCATCTTCTGGACCACGACACTTTTCAAGACCGCTATGCCGACGATGGTCACGAAGGAATGTCAAGTTACGAAAAAAAAAGAAAATCTACTCTGCTGAGAAAATAAAAAAGACCTTGTCCGGAGAAGAAGCGCGGAGCGGAGAAAAAAAAATCAAGGACGAGGAATTCGAAAAAGGGGGGCGATCGGTCTGTTCGGTGCTATGCCACGATGATCGAGGACGAACCACAGGAGCGAATTCCTTTTTTTTTTTCCTTATTTTCTTTTTCTTTCTTCTTTTCTTCTCCCCCTGTTCCTTTCAGATCTCCGTCTCCGCACTCTTTTCTTCCTCGTATGACGCGCGGGCTCCTTCTCTTTCTTTCGCATCTACGTCAAAGATGACAATAACGTGTCCGCGCATCTCGATCTCGCTTTGCCGAGGACGACGCCCTTCGTCGAAATCGTTGTCGTCATCGTCGTTGTCATCGTAGGCTTTGCGTCTAGCGCGGCGAGGCGCTGTACACACGACCAGCTCACGAATGCTGCTCATGGCTTCGTTTTCTCCAGACCGACACGCAGCGCGGCTGAATGCTTGGAGGTCGGGGAATGCCCTGTGCTCCGCGTTTTGAGTGCAGAGCCAGTAGAGACACCAAGAATGGGTGTGATTGGCACGTGTAAGGACGTGAGCTAGAACATTGGCGACCTTGCTTTAAGTGTCGGATGCGAAGAGACACAAGCGAGACTCGTCCATGGTCCCGAAAATGCAGTACCAAAGACCATCTCCAAGCACGTGCTATTACACCCCTGATTGACTTCGTGATGCGTTCACAGTTCGAGGAGCCTAGAACACGTGCTAGCCCCTTGCAGCGGTTTTCCTCTTTGCTCTCCCGCTGGCGAGACTTGCCAGCCCACCCGCGACGTTGGAAGGTATCGCGTCCTTTACGATGCCGATGCTCTCAACTCTTGCCACGTCAACACCCTCGCCGTCAACCTGCCCACCCATCTTCCTGATCAACGCCCTTCTCTCCTCCACGGCCCTCTCATCCTCGTATATGATCTTCTGGCTCGGGTCGGGCACCGAGTCCTTCTGCCCAGACTCCTCCTGCGACACGTTCGAGCCTATGCTGTCAGCGCGTAAAGAAACGAGCGAGCCGCCGCTAGATGCGCGCCCTAGAGGGCCGCGACGCCTCTTGCCCAACGTGGATATTTCCTTGGGGATGGGTTTATCTGAAGTTGAGCGTCGTAAGTTTGAATTCTGTCTTGCCGCAAGCAGAGACGCGATCGCGTTGTTTAGCTGTTCGTTCTTCTGAGAGGTGTCTGTCACCGTCGTGGCAAGATTTTCGTTTTGCGGTAATGATAAGGAGCTTTCATGCTCCCCACGTTCATGTGATTGATCGCAATCCGAAGGCCTCGCTCGATTGTTTTGCGAGTTTTGTCTCTCTTGAGACAAGGCAGTAAGCGGCTGGGATGATGAATGCTTGCCGGGACCCTGAGTCTTCCGAGTTTCAGGTTCAGCAGGAAGACCAGAGTACTGCTCATCGTCTTCGTCTTCATAAAAAGGTCCCCGTGACGCCTTTGCATTTGCCCGAGGCTTCGCAGCAGGTGTCGTCGAGTCTTTGGTCCTTTCAGGATTTGAAGCCGTGAATCCGAGGGGAAGTGCCCTGCCAGTCGATGTGTCAGACATCGTCCTGCTTCATGTCGCTGTGCTGTCCTGGACCAGAAGCAAAGATCTCGCTGTCCAGCGAAGAAAATGGAGATATGCTACATGGCCACAGTGAGCCAAGCGCTCCCGCATTCTTCAGAAAGAAACAATCCATTATAATAACAAACGAAAGAAAAGGAATCTACGTACCTGCCCTTTAAACTCAACCTCGACATACTCGTTTTTGCTTTGATGGTGGGGACGTAGTCGACCGGAACCGTTGGCGTCTCCATTTTGATGCAATAGTCTCTAGTATCTTGCCTTGAATATTTCGATATGCTGTGGTACAGCCATTGCTCGCTGACAGCTTCGATGTTGTTCTCGGAAGCAAAGTCCAACTTTTCTTGATTGATCGGGGCTTGGGTGTTGCAAACCAAGACGTTGACTTTCGCATCGAGTCGCTCGGAATAGGTTGCGCCTGGTACCAACGCGTCAGTGTATGCCGCAAGTCGTATTTGACAAAGAGCTTGAGTTACCCATGAGATTGACGACCCGCTGAATATGCAGCAGATCCATGCCTTTGCTGCTGAAGCCGGTTGAGCTGATTACCAGACCGCGAAATCCCTCCACAGAATGCTTCTCGAAGGGCCTGCAGAGTGGGTATGTGGCAGGATCCACGAGCGTCTTGTTCTGGAGGCAGTTCTCAACCCACCATTCAGTCACCCGCAAGAAACCTGACGCTCTTCCCGGAATCTTCGGGAGCCGATCTTCTGGGACATCGTGCGGGATGACTGCGTAGCCAACTTCTGACGACTCGACTTCAGCATCCACCAAGTTGGGCGAAGTATAGACGCGCGCGCCATTTCCTTCCAGTACAGCCTGCAGCAGGTTGAGCTTGTCGTTGGGGAAGCCGTGAACATATGTGACGGCGTTCTCGAATGTTGAGTTGCTTCTGCTCGGCTGCGGCTCCGGAAAAATGACAGAGGAATTGCGCTTCGGGGGTTCAGCTTTGAGCTCGGGTGTGGGTTCCTCAGATTCATAAGTTTTTGCTCCCCCTGGACCGACACCATCAACCCCAGACGGCTGCCATTCATCCTGGAGTGTCTGTCCAGATCCAGCCGAAGCAATGTCGGCCCAGATGGTTTCTCTTTGGCTCTCGATCTTCTTGCTCAACGTGCGTCTGAGCTTTCGCCTTGCAGCAGGTCCGGGTGCCTTGTCTTCGTCGCGCTTCCGTTTGCCAAGCTGAAGCGATTCATGATAGGCCTCCATCGCACTCTTGTTGTAGGCATTCTTTCCACGATCAAGGGGCGCCAGGATGGGGTCGTACAGAGACTCTTCTAGGACCATGGTGCGTTCTAGGCTGTGCTGCAACCACTCGAAGCCGACAACCTTGATCTGCCATCGGAGCGCGTGCTCGTACTTTTTGCCCTCGGGCGCAGCGCAAATCAGATGCGTGACAGCCTTCGTGAGATCACCATGGAACTCTGCACCGTTGCTCAACGCGAGCGACTTGATGTTCTCCCGCACCTTGGGGTCTTCAAATCCCGTCAAGCAAATCTTCAGACCCATGAAGGTAGGTGCCCTATGCTCGATCTCCAAGGCGGGCAGATCCACATCTCCACCCTCCATCCACACCTGCTTCACGGCATCGATAAAGCTGGGTAATACCACTTTTACGTCTGGTCGCTCTTTGGCGACATACTTGTACTTTGGAGTGTCTACGTCGCCGACAATAAGGTGCGTGACGTCGGAGGTAAGGTCAAATTTGTGCACGGCGCCCATTTCCTCACCAGCAGTGGCGATGAGGTGCTGTCCAACTGCGTTAGCGGTATCTGATGCAGTGTATGAAGCGTGCCGTTGGAATTGAGCCTACGCGTGCTTCTGGCGTGATGGAGGTGCAGCATAGCACAGCACCAGCCAAGGGCGCATGGTCCTTCACTACACGGATTTGTCAGTACAGCGGTGCTAGGCAAGGTGCGAGGCTCAAGTACCAAGTTCTGTCGCCATACTTTCCTCCCATCAATACAGTGAAGACGTCGGGCTTGTCTTGAAATGTGGCGGTCCTGACATTTCGACGCATTGGACGCGCCGACCCGTGTCTCAGGGTCTAGTCACGTGTCAGGCTGAGGCTGTTGCCTCGCCCGTTGAGTGCAGACGAGTTTGTGGATTGATATGCATTGATTCCCAATGGGACGCAGGCTCATTTAGCAATATATCTAAGCACGATGGAGCTTTTTTCCTTCCTTTTTGACCAGGAGCCGTCAAGGAATCCTTTGCTTTTATCAAGACGCTCCAACACGAGCCTTACAGGCGACTATATGCATCGTCTTTACGAGATTCCGGCTCTGAAGTGGCAAGAAACCATACTCTCTCAAATAATACTCAATGGGAAAACTAATCAAATCGTGCAGGTTGAAAAAAAAATCAACATGCATGTACTGGTGGAAGCGGTGTATACGCTTGCCACGTCTGGCACCTGGATGCTACTTCACCTGTGGGCTATAGGTTACATGAGGTCTGGCACTTGCCTCACGCTCCGGTCCGCTTAGGCGGTTCATCGAGCAGAATGAACAACACGCTAGTCGCTCACCATCACACAAGACTGAAGTTAAGTAAGTGACGTGAATTTGACGTACAGCCCCATCTGCATCCCTATCCGCAGGTCGATCGTCACGGACAGTTCTTCCACACGGCCAGATGGAAACTCGTTGGAACGGAAGGGAGCGGCTGCAGACGTCGCGTAGCGAGCTAAGACCCGCCGATAAGGCACTGCAAGCGATGTGAAGGGAGATTTCGATGCTGCTGCTGATCAGTTAAAACGGCTCGGGATCATGTCAGGAACCACGGCCTCGGTCTTGCTGAACGGGAAGCTGTGCTGATGGAAAGACGTAATGTGCGTGTAAAAGACCGGTCCGGCGTTGCTGCTGGAAATATTTCCAGACGGTGAAGGTAGCGACGGCTACGAAGTCGCGGGGCAGATCCTTTTTGTTGAGCTAAGAATGACGTCCAGCTCGGTCGACCGCACGAGAGTGCGATGGCCACCCGCGATGCGCGGCCACAGGCGAGCAGATACGGAGAGTGTGTAAGCGTCACAAGCAGGACGAAGATCGGAACGGCGTCGGTTTCTGCAGCGCACAAGCACGAGACAAGCTTTTCTCCGCCGTGACGAAGACAGCGCCAGTACTGGGACGCCGGACAGCAACTTTTGTCCAATTCCGCGGGAGAAAGACGGGCCCCTGGGTCAGATCGCTGGCTGGATAAGCTAGCAGGAACGAAGGGTGTCGAATGATGTTGCGCCGATTTGCTGCAGCGGGACTACCGGGTGACCCGGCAGCGTCCTCCAGCAGGACAATCGAAAACGGAAGCGGATAGAAAGAAAAAATTTTCCCCTTTGGCTATTTCCAGGACGCATATCTGGCTAGCCGGGGCCAGTTCGGCAATAATCAGCAGGGAGAGAGAATTCTTTCTCGGGGTTCTCTGTGTCATCTGTCGCGATCGATCCAGCCCAGCAAGGCATGAGCAAGCCGGAACGCGATAGCGTAAGCAAGGGTTGTCAGACTCTGTACGTTGACGGCGGACGCAGGGCAGGCAAGCGGGCAACCGGCATGCATTTCACATCAACTGATTTTATTTCCTCGTCTGGTACGGAGCGGGGGTAGAAACACTGGTTACGGGCGTTGCGAATTTGAGGAACACGTTGCGCTGTGGGTGGCAATGGGCGGTGTAGCAGGCAAGAGTCAGGAGATGTCGTCACGGCTCTGCTGACGTCGATGCCGCGTTGTTTGTTGTTGTTGTGGTTGTTTTTTTTTTATTACTATGGACAGTGGTGCGAGCACTATAGGCAGCGGATGCTGGGTGAAAGACGGCGGCGAGTCGAGCAGCGGCTGCAGGTGATTGGATGACGCAGCCGAATCAGCTTAGTTACATAGATGAGAGGCAAGTGCGGCAACAACAGATCAACAACGGGCATCACGGGCCAGGGAGAGTGGCAGCATGTTGGGCTGCGAGCATGCGATGCTGAAGCTCCGGCATGGCCTCGTGAGGACGGTCAGGCGAGAGGAGAGCACGGCAGAAGACGACGACGATGTCGCGGTGGGCAGATCGCGGAGAGGCAGCGCGACGAACAGGCGGAAGCGCTTCAGAGATGACGAAGCAGAAGGGAGCATCAGCCAGCCGGAGGCAGAGACTCCTCGCGGCACGCGGACGGCTGCTGCATCGACACATGCGGTGTGCGAAGTGCAGTGCGTGGTCGACACCGGCGCAGGCACTTCCTGTGCGAGCACGTACTGAACGAGTGCCGCACCAGGACGGCGCCAGGGCGGCACCGGGAGTGCGCCAGCACGTCTGCTGTGCATGGAGTTGCCATTGGCAACGGAGAGAGTCGTCGACGCAGGCTGCCTGGCCGGTGGGCACAGAGAGTCGTGAGCAGGCGCCTGGTGGAGGGCGCCCGCGAGGACGATTCATGTCCACGGCTGTCCCCGCCCGCGCCGCTGATGTCACCGCGCCGACGCTTGTCTCCCGCGGCGTCATGAAGCCAACGGCGCAAGCTCACCTGCGCGTCCAGCCAGTGCAGCCTGTCCATGCGTGCCTTCGCTGTCTTCCCCTCCTCTGGCCGCTGCTCACGCGTCGCTTGCATTCCCCACGCCGGCTTTGCGGCGCCTGTTCTGGGGCTCTGGCGCGGACGATCGCTGCCTCGATCGAGCATCGGCCACCGCCGGTGCAGCGCAGTTTGGCTGTGCTCTTGCTGACCTCACGCGCGCAGCCAGAACAGCAACGAAGGAGAACGTGGAGTCTCTCCAATTAAACACCTCGGACAGCACGAACGGCGCCCTGTGTACGGCGCCGCGCTGCACGACAAAGGCCGCCTCTCGCCGCGCCGCGAGCTGGAGGCGTCCGCGCTGTGCGTCTTCCTCGCCCTCGTCCCTCCGCCCCCGTCCCTTTTTCTTGTCCTGCCTCCAGTCCTTGCTGCGCTCCTCGTCGCTGTCGTCCCCGTCGTCGTCATCTCGCCCGGCTTGGCTTGCTCGTCGCCTTGTCATCTCGATCTTCTCACCTTGCCCTCGCCCTCCATCCGACCCTTCCGGGCGGCAGCGTAGCACTGCCCCGGCCACGCCATCACCACAGCAAGCCGCCGTCCGCACGGCAGCTCCATCTCAGACGGGAGCACGCTGCCCGCTGTGTACACGGTACAAGCACCACAGATCGGCGCCGCTGCTCGGCCAGCGCCCGGTTACCTGGGGCGTTCTCAAACCCGCGGGCAAGGACCAGCCCTGCTGGCGGGCGCTGACAACTCACGCCCGTTGCAGCCCTGCGCGAGTGGAAAACAAGCCCGGCGACCAGCCCGTCGACCAGCCGGCGCCGTCAGTCTCGACATCCGCTCGCGCCCCAAGCCCGGGCTTATATCCTCGCCCGATCTCAGAGCTGGATAGATCACCTTCCCGCGCGCGACGTCCAACCCCCCCCGACGGATCTTCCCTCTCATCAGTCCTCTCAATCTGGGACACAGCACATCTCGCCTCCAATTTCGACTCTCCCATGCAGCTCCCTGCTCGACCTTGTCCCATTCGAATTAGCATTGTGAGTTATAGCCCCACACGTCCTGCACCCTAGCATTGCCCTCTCACCTTGCTTCCTTGCTTCGTGCTCTTGTCTATTGCGACCTGGCGTGCCCAGTCCAACATGTCATCATCTGGTCCATGCCTGACATGACAACGATAACAAATAAAAAAAATTTCTTGGAAACCGGACTGTGTTGTCACATGTTTCAGGATTTCTACCGGTTATGCATAACATGCTTCCAGAAAGTCCTTGGTTTGTGAAACATCTTGAACCGTCTTTGTCTGTTTGACTACATTTCAAGCCCTCGCCCCAAGGAAAAAAAAAGATTTCTTCGCCATCCTCGCTCTCCTTCGCTCACTCTCTCCTACAGACGGTAATTCCGTTCCTTCGACTTTCCTTTGTTGAAATGTTGTTGCTGTAGTCATGCCTCCCCCATCCCATCCTTATGCCAGCCAACCACCCGCCGGCTACACTCAAGTACAGAGCGATCACGGACGACTTTTGTACTTACAGCCTTCAGTTTACCGCAGCCTCGGCCTTGACCAATCGTACCGGCCAACCCCCTTCCAACCCCGAAGAATCAGACCGCATCGTATACACATCGCAAGAGTAGCGGCCGAGTCGCCCAACCGGAGTAGGCTCAAACGCACCAAAACGGTATCTTTTCTCGCCGAGAAGACGGTCGGAAAGCTGGCGGCCCCAAAGGAAAGCGTCCAGCGGTTCCTTAAGCACATCATCTCGCACGACTCCACCCAGCCGGCGAGCCTTCCACAACCCTCCGAGCCGGATTTGACAACGACCACGTCGGAGCGCGGTCACGAGCGTCGTACGTCCTGGACACCTGGTGTGGTGCCGGAGCCGAGGGTGAGACGGAGACCGACGTCCGGCCTCTGGGCTGAAGCAAAGAGGCGGTCGTTCCTGAGCAGGGACCCGGGCGACTTGTCGAGCGAAGTAAACATGCGACCGTCGCTGCGCAGCTCGATCGCAGCTCCTGTCGGCGTTGCCACTGCCGTGGCGAACCCGCTTGCGAGACCGTCGCTGAGCGACACGGCCTCGGGATCGGGAGATTCCATGTCCTCCATAACCACAGCCCCGTCCAACTCACATGCGCAGCCGCAGCCGCAGACACACTTCAAGCTGCCGCAGGAGCGGCCCATCGCGTCGGGAAACGGCGTGAGCGTACTGATAGCGACCGCGGAGCCGTTCCTGTTCCTGCAGGGTTTCGACCATGGGGATCTTTCCTCAAACAGGAGCACAGCCATGCTTCGGGGCTCGCTGATTCTCAAGGTGTCAAAACCGGCAAAGATCAAGGCTGTCACGCTCCGCTTCCGCGGTCGCGCAACGACAAGGTGGCCCGAGGGCATCCCTCCTAGAAAGACGGAGTTTGAGGAGACCAATTCGCTCATAAACCACACGTGGCCCTTTTTCAACGCTCAATTCCCCACCGCCGAGGCGGGTACCGGAGCCGACTATGTGCAGCTTGCTTCGATTGGGCCCGAAGTGCACGGCAAGAGTCGACCAGCACTCGACATTTATGGCAGAAATTCGGCGAGCAACTCAAACACGAATCTGAGCACGAAGGAGCTCAAAAAGCTATCGCTGCAAGTCAACCAGTCGAGATCGTTTGGCAAAGGCGAGTCGCCCACTGGTGGGCCTACCGTGGCGCAGAAGGGCTACAGGACTTTCCAGCCGGGCGAATACGCCTACAACTTCGAGTTGCCGCTCGACAGCTATCTGCCGGAGACGATCGACGTGGATCTGGGTTTCGTCAAGTATGAGCTGGAGGCCGTCGTTGAAAGGGCAGGTGCATTCAAGACGAACCTGATCGGAACCAAGGAAATCGTCGTGATCCGGACACCAGCAGAAGGCTCCCTCGAGCAGGTCGAGCCAATCGCCATCAGCAGGAACTGGGAAGATCAGCTGCATTACGACATTGTCATTTCGGGCAAGTCGTTCCCCCTGGGAGCGCAGGTACCGATCGCATTCAAACTTACGCCGCTTGCCAAGGTCCAGTGCCATCGGATCAAGGTGTACGTCACGGAAAGTGTGGAGTATTGGTGCCACAACAAGCGCGTGCATCGCATGGAGCCCGCTCGAAAGGTCCAACTCTTCGAGAAACGAGCGGACGGACCTCCCGTCAGCACGTTTCCAGGCAGCTCCATGCGCATCCTGGCCGGCGGCGGTGTTCCATACGACTACAGAGCGGCAGCGGCTCGCGGTGAGGACGTTCCCGGCACAGATGCGACGAATCTACTTGGCAATCTTGAAGGCAACTCGAATGTTGGGCCCACGGAGATGGAGTTCAGCGTCCAGCTGCCTTCGTGCCCCAACGTGGGCAACAAGGACAAGAGCACAAGACTGCATTTTGACACTACCTACACCAACATCCAAGTGCACCACTGGATCAAGATCGTCATGCGCTTGTCGAAGCCAGACGTGAACGATCCCACGAAGCGTCGTCATTTTGAGATCTCCATCGATTCGCCCTTCCATATCCTGTCGTGTCGAGCGACGCAGGCAAACACGTCTCTCCCAGCTTACTCTTCCCCGCAAAGCGCCGACGCACAGACCCAGCTCTTCGAGTGTGGATGTCCTGGTGCTGCGCCTCGCAGGATCACGCCAACGTCTTACGTACCGACCCTCGGCAGTCTGAACATGAATAGCGCTGCTTCTAATCCAACCATGGATCCGGTCTCACGAACCGACCCCTTGGGTTTGGCCAGACCGCCCGCAGCACACATTGGCGGACCGGTCTGCAATCCGGCCCTACAACGGCCCATGCATATCATCCGCGCGCCTAGTTTCAATCCACCTGCTTTCGAAGACGAGGAGCCTCCTCCTCCCCTGGAAACCCCACCCCCACAGTATGATACCATTGCTAGTCCAACCAGTGGCCTGGCAGATTATTTCGCGCGCCTTGCCGACGCGTACGACGAGAGCCCGACCGATGACGAGGAGGACGGCCAGAGGACCCCGACGAGATCAAGTCGGGTCGAGGTACCATTGACTCCCGGCAGCGCACGGTCGAACCGCAGCATGGACGAAGTAAGGACATGGCCATCGTTGGGCCCGGTGAGCATGACGCTACCAACCGCACCACGTGTGCTGCATACCACGAATGGCCGTGCATAATCGAGAAACCACATGTCACATCTACATAACGCTACTTGAATACTTTTTCTTTAACGATTTCTTTCATCATAATCACGCCTGACGGTTTGACTACGCGATCATTAATCATCTTTTTTTTTTTTACTCTTTGTACATACGCACTAGCTCAGGGTTAAGAATGCATACAAAGCATAATTGAGATCAGAGGGGCTGGTACGTGGGGTTTTACTCAAGCGACTTTGTATTCGCTATGGAACACTTGTTGGCGTAATGATGGACAATTCTCCCGCGCTGGGCTAGCAGAAGGGGGGATTCAAGCATAGATACAGGTTGTCTGTTGAAAAAAAAAAATACTCGGTGCGACGCATAGCATTATGAATGTCTTTTCATCGCAGCAGCAGTCGCTTGATGCACACGTCTAAACCAAGAAAGAAAAAATCCCCACCACCATGGTCATATCCAAGGCCCCGCCCCGTATTCTATGCCTTGACCCACTGATCGAACCAGAGCGTGGCTTGCGTGAAAGCGGCCTCCTTGGCGTACTTCTGCTTGGGGTCGCTCAGGTCGCACCGCACGGCGAAGCCGTGGTTCGTGCCCGAGAAGACGCGGGACTCGTACGGGATGCCCAGCTTGGCGAGGATCTCCTCGGTCTTGTGGCGCTTCTCCGTCGGGAAGATCTGGTCGACCTCTGCGCAGGCGAGCGAGAGCGGGCCCTTGACGGCATCGAACTCCTCGTCCGAGACGAAGGAGACGTGTGCGCCGAACTGTCGCGCGTCAGCGCTGCACTTCATTCCTCAATCACGCTTTGCTGAAACAAGCAACCCGCTGGGATATTCACGACGAAGATGGATTAGGGGGGGGGGGGGAAGCTTACGCCGGCATCGATCAGGCCGTTGCCCAAAAAGCGGACGACGTAGCGGCCGCCGAAGCAGTAGCCGACGGCGCCGAGCTTCTTGACGCCGTACTCCTCCTTCATGCCCTTGATGGCGGCCTGGAGGACGGGCTCGACTCGCTCAGGCGGGTGGCTGTGGAACCACTTCATCAGGTCGAAGGGCGCCTTGGCCTGGGGCCCGAGGGCGTCCGCGGGGACGGGGTCGCCGTGGAAGATGTCCGGGATGACGGTCGTGTAGCCCGCGGCGGCGAAGTCGTCGGCCAGCCTGTGGTTTGTTTTAGTCCTCGTCAACTCGCCGTCTTCTCTCTCTCTCTCTCTCCCTGGATTCGCGCCTCGTTTGGGAAAAAAGGGGGAAGAAAAAGGGTAAGGCAAATGGGATAAGAGGGAAGATTTACGTACAGTCTGTTGTTCGTGAGCTCCAGACCAAAGGCGTCCGGGATGTATAGGACGCCGTATTCTGAGTTCTCGGCTTTGGCTACGTAGCACTTGACGCCGCCCACCTCCTTGATCTCGCCCTTGGGCTCGCCCTCGTGCTTGACGCCTCGGATGCAGCACTCCTTCATCTTGGCGTTCGACAGGTTCGCGTTCGGTTCGGGTACGAGAGGTATGTGTGTGTGTGTTTTAAATGCTTCGCTTCGAAGAGTCGGCAAGGAGTTTCGACAAAAGGCGAACACAGTTCTGGTGTCAGAAGCGATTGTGCGAAAAAAGCTTAAGACGCCGATCGAGAGGGACCCAGAGCTCCATTTTTTCTCTTCTGTCGGCTTCTAAATGCCGGCATCACAGGCCCCTGGGGCGGCAATGATATACCCGTCTTCTGTAATCAGCCCCGCAGTCGTGGGTTTCTTACGTCGTTCGAAGTCTGGCGGTCGGCCGATGTCGGCTCCAACGGTCCAAAGCTCCAAATGCTTACATCGACTGTGCCAACATTTACACCAAGCCTCGCCCATGACAGCTGGGCTGTTTGACCGACATCGGCCGCGCTGGATGTTTATTATTAAATAGAGGTCCAATGTGTTTGATGAGTAGTCAGACTGAACGTTAAGGGCGATTTTGCGTAAGCCTTACTCCGGAGCTGCTCATTATTCTATAACTCTGGCTGTAATTTTGTATCCCGCCCATTTCCATTGCCTCAAGACGCCGCTCAAGGGTTACCCGACGCCTGTGGTAATAGGCCCGGTTGTGCACAAGGCTGAGCTGGATTCAACCTAGGACTTTCGCACCATCTACTTGTTGTCGGACGGCAACGCTCTTCGCAAGGTTAGCAGTCTGCCATGACTAGCAAGAAAGAAACAGCCATATATACGCATACCCATCATTCGTCGGCAGTTGGCGATCATGCTCGCCGTGGTGCTGCTGACTCTGCTGGATTCCTCATCCCACATCTAAAACCTGACTTTAAGGTTCTTGACGTCGGCTGTGGGCCCGGCACGATCAGTGCGGACCTTGCAGCTCTCGTGCCGCAAGGTCATCTCACCGGCATCGACGCAGTGGAGGCTGTCTTGGAACAGGCGCGAGAGACGGCACGGTCTCGCGGCGTCACGAACATTGCATTCCAGCTCGCCGATGCAAATAGCTTGCCGTTTCCAGACGACACCTTTGATGTAGTCTTTTGTCACCAGGTTCTACAGCACGTCGGAGAACCCGTTTCGGTCCTTGCAGAGATGCGACGCGTGGCCAAACCTGGTGGCATTGTCGCCGCTCGGGAGGCTTCCTACGGTTCGTTCTGCTGGTTTCCTGAGCCTCCTTTGATTGATCAGTGGCTGCAACTGTACACCAAGGTTGCTCGTGCCAACGGCGGCGAACCGAATGCTGGCAAGTACCTGTTCAAATGGGCGCGCGACGCTGGATTTAGCTCTGCGGACATTGACGCGACCTGGGACACGTGGAGATATTCCGGAGAGAGGGCAAAACAATTCTCGCACAGTCACGGGACCCGAATATTACAATCCGGATTCTTGAACACGGCGACGAAAAACGGGTTTGCGACGGAGGAGGAAGTGAGGGAGATATCGAAAGCGTGGTTAGAGTGGGGCGAGCAAGAAGACGCGTTCATTGCGATGCCATGCAGCCAGATCCTGTGTAAGAAGGCGCCATGTTGATGTTATGCTCGTGGTCTGTTGAAGCTTTTGAGCTTGAGGTTATGCAGTTTATATTTCAATGTTAGCTCGACTAATGCCCCAATTGGGAAATTTCATGCTGTATGCACATTTGCTGAGTAATGCAGAAGAAGCTGACAATTCTGCTTGAAGGAACGGAGGCGCCTATGAACGATACTTATATCTCGATGTTTTTTGGATTTTTTATGAAGCTCGTGGCAAGACTGTTGGATAGATAACGAGTTGCTTCTTTTAACATTAAACGTCACAATGCATGACCGGCTCGTCTGTCACTCATAACTTTCTTTTAATCTTCACTGGCGAAGACTTTCCTTTTCCACTATTTTACTAGACGAGCTTTAGTTGATTCTCCGGAATTGTAGATTCCTCGCAGGACCTTCCGCTTCGATCCCCAGGTAGAAATAGTCGCGGACTATATGACTGAAGAGTGTCTGGATACTTGAATAGTTTGCAAGCATCAAGAGAGTTTGCGCTGCTTTAGGGAACTGAATCGTCGACTAAGAAAATATTGCGTTGATGGAATTGCTTGTTCACTTGCTCTTTGCCTGTTGTATCTGCGACATCTTAATAGTAATGGGAGCAATGCAGTTCCTTCTCTGAGTTATGTACCTCCCTGAAAAATGAAATAACTGTTAGCAATGCAATCTGTTGTCAAAAATATCAATGCAGGCGTATTTATATGTAAATTGCTTTGGGATAGTGAAGACACTAGGCTTATACTACTTATGCAGATATTGAATGTGGGAAAAGGGGAGAGCTTGATATCGCTGGTTGGCATTGGGGCATCATCCGTGCACTCGGAGTCCACTTGTTCACCTTATTCTTCGAACGTAAGACCTTTCTGAGGCATTCCCACTCCGACGTCGTAACTCCCCATGCAGTCGCCATGAGATAGGATTAACCCTGGCCAGCTCATTGCTGATTCGATTGGCGCCGCGCTGTCCGCGGTCAGCGATTCGTGGCATTCTCCGGAGGTGGAGAACTCCGGATAGCTGCATCCACTGGCTTATCAGTGCTTCTGACGAACGCAATCAAGGTGACTGGATGCCCTTATATGGCTCGGCTTGCCCTGTGTTGTCCATTTCTTAACTTAACAGATTTAGGACGTTGTCTACAACAGCTGGACATTTGCCACAATGCTTGAATCAATTTCGAAAATGTCTTTTGACCAGCCGCTATTAATGATCTGGTTCCCGCTTGCTACAATTCTGATTTTAGCATTGTGGAAGATATCAACAACTACAGATATTCCTCACATTAAAGGATTGCCGGAGATACCAGGAGCACTACCCATTGTTGGGCATTTGCTTGCGCTCGGCGACGATCATGCCACCGTGTGTGAAAGATGGTGGAAGAAGTATAAGTTCTCAACCTTTCAGATTCGTTTAGGAAACACTCGTGCCGTCGTGGTCAACTCGTTTGAAGACTGTCGGCGTATGCTCATCGGTAACCAGTCCGCAGTAATTGATCGTCCGACGCTTTATACTTTTCACGGAGTCATTTCCTCCACACAAGGTTTCACGATCGGATCGTCGCCATGGGATGAATCTTGTAAGAACAAGCGGAAAGCCACTGGTCAAGCGCTTGGAAGACCAGCCATCAGGACCTACTGGCCAATGTTCGATCTAGAGTCATACTGCATCGTTCGTGATTTGGTCAAGGACAGTGAGAAAGGCGAGAAACTGCTCAACATCAGACCGTACTTTCAGCGATACGCTTTAAACACTACGTTGACGCTGTGCTACGGCATTCGTATGGACTCTGTATGGGATGATATGCTGCGAGAGATTTTATACGTGGGCAGTGCCATCAGTTTGCTGCGCAGCGCATCCGAAAACTTTCAGGACTATATCCCGCTCCTAAGATGGCTTCCAAAAAATGAAAAGAATAGAAGATCGAAAGAGCTAAGAGAACGTAGGGACAAGTATTTGAACGAATTGCTTGACAAAGTGCGGAACATGATCAAGAAAGGGACCGACAAGCCATGCATCTCTGCCGCTATCCTGAAAGACGAGGAGACAAAATTGACGGGTGTGGAAGTGAGTTCCATCTGTTTGAGCCTTGTATCTGGGGGGTTCGAAACGATTCCAGGCACTCTGACTGCTTGTATTGGGTCCTTATCCACGCCTGAAGGGCAGAAGTTTCAAGAGCGGGCTTACGACGATATCCTCCGTGTATATGGGAGCGTTGAAAGCGCCTGGGAGAAGTGCTTTCAGGACGAAAACGTACCGTACGTGAACGCCATCTGCAAGGAGGCTGAGCGATATTACACGGTTTCCGCCATGTCACTGCCGCGCAAGACCGTGTCGGAAATCAAATGGGACGGTGCTGTAATTCCACCGAAGACCATGATTCTGATCAATGCCCAAGCTGCCAACCATGACGAAGCACGTTATGGTCCCACAGCGTCAGAATTCAACCCTGAGCGCTGGCTTTCGTCTCTGTCGCCCCCAACAGAAATTGAGGCAAAGGGCATTCAGCACTTTGACTTCGGCGCCGGCTCTCGCATGTGCTCCGGCCAGTTCATAGCATCCAGGCTCTTGTATGCAGCACTTGTGCGTGTGATTACGAGCTTCAAGATTATTGCTAGCAAAGAGGAGCCGCCCAACACGGATTATGTGGATTATAATCAGTTGAAATCCGCGCTCGTAGCAATCCCGGTGGATTTCAAGGTCAGGCTAGTTCCACGCGATGGTGTTTCTCTTGAAGCTTCTTTGATTGCTGCAAAAGAGAGGACGAAAGATGCCTATAGAGAGGACTAGACCTTGGAGGTTGTCTAACATGCCTGCAGCACTGTTTTCCGTTTCAAGATTTTCATCCAGGCCTCGACTCTATTTATCATTAGCGTTCAGATGTTGAGTTCATACTGTGGATGATCAACGATACGCAATCTTGCCAAATTCATCTATATCCTTGCGAGACTTTCCCATTTTCTTCCTCAACCCCCCTGATCATAATTGCGATGGGAATAAGCAAACATCAGTTTGAGTCATTGTGTTGGGGACAATGGGCTAATCAGGTACCAAGAGGGACAACAACAACAAAGGGCTTGCCAGCAATCATTCCAACATATACACATCGCGGCGTTGAATGCATAGTTTCTATTCGATTTTTAGTGGACGCGTGATTTGAATTCATGAATAAAGGAGACGTACTGGACCACTGGCGAAAACTGCCGTTTGGGAATGGAAGCAAAGATCACCAGCAACTAGTATTTGCAGGACTACGGCGATAGTGCAACTTCCGGGAACCCTGCCGAATTGGTTGAGTCCTTCTCATGAGTACCTCTATCCTTTAAGCAAGCTTGGCTAGCCACGGGGTTGCCTCGATACCAAGCTTGAAGAAAAGCTGGGAATCTAAGGTCGCATAACAGCTTTGTATAATGGAGATTCACTTCGAGATGTGTACACATCCATTACTCTCATTAATACCCGAAGAGTGGCGAAGAACAGGGAATTATCCATGGACATGTCGACATCAAAACCTACTTACGCAAATTAATGCTCTGATATCTGATGCAAGCATAGCAATCAACGCCTAATTACCACAGGCACGAATCCAGTGTTTTCCGGACTTCATTGATGTGTTAGCCACGTCAAGTTGTGAGACGATGTGAACATCTCAAATCTTCGCATGCAGCAATTCTGATAACAGACGAAGCAATTGATACCAAAACGGAAGCCGAAGTGGAACATACGGAGCATATTCCATCTCACGTAGGGTTCTGAAAAGCTGTCAGAATTATCATGCAGCAAGCTTTTGCATTGGTACTGATTGATCACCTCATCGGCTGTGCCTCCAAAGTCCACCATTCTCCTGTTTAATGCTCTTGACTATGCATTTACTTCTACCGCATATACCCGTGCTGTCGATACGCAAGTTTATGCAGACTACAAGATATAATATGGGGAAAGCTCGATTTTCTCTTACACGATGTCTCATCGGGCGCTGGACTGTTTTGTGATCGAATCGTACGCCTATAGAATCTTTGATCCGAGTCAGTTTGATAATCGATTGGGTCTATTGCACTCCGGGAAGCTCCATAGCTGCCTGTCGCTTGCCATCAATCAAGCTTGGACCAAGATCATCTGCCCACTGAAAAGAATATTGAAGTCACTTCACATTTCTTGCTCTAACTCACGTTCAACCCCCCCACAAACACACTTGGCCGCAGAGCAATTTGGGCTCGTCTTCATCTCGCTACCCCCTGCGTTTGTCTTTTTGACTTACTTCGTTACGTCCGAAGGACTTAGTACACGCTTTTACTCCACTGCCTTCAGACAGCCTTCAGGACATCGGTCAAGTCGAATCATTATGCGTGCCCAAACCACCCGTGATCATTACACATCCCATCCGTACGCTGCTCCCAAGGAGTTACGAACCAAAGAGGTCTTCTGTGGCACTTGTGAAAGTTCTTTTCCTAAAAGCCGCTGGGTTGAACACAAACATTCTGAAGAGCACAAGAATGCGAAGCTTTGTCTTGACATCAAGGCTACCCAAGGCAAAGTTCGAGCATCTAATAACCTCACCAATGACTCTATCAATCCCTGGCTTGGAGGTTCGAGCAAGACAGCGATTCTAAGCCTCACCAAAATCTATGACAAATTTGATAATTCTTGGGGTAAGCCGGCAGTCCTGTTTGTCAACACTGGTCTTGACTGGACCCAACATGGTGGCTTAACTCTCAATGCGAACAAAGGCTATGGCTTCACGAACCAAGCCCGTCCAAGTGGAAAAAAGAGAAGATCGGATATATGCTTCAAATGTGGCAATCGTAGGTCCTCCGTAATCTTGACAACGTATTCAAATCTCATTAACTAACAACGGCATAAGCTGGTCATTTCGCCATTGTTTGCAATGAAAAAAATCTTATATGTTTCTTTTGCAAAAATCCGGGCCACATGCGTCGTGATTGCCCTATATGGTGGGAAAAGTTACGTGACACTGGCTACTACCCTCGTTATGGTCAATTGAGCTGCCATAACTACTATGGCCAGCATTTCGGCACAAACATCGCCGACGCTTCCGTCATGAATAATCATGGCCCAACTGGCTGCCCAAATACAAAACACCAAGGTGGAATGCAACACTACAACGGTACGAGTTTCGGACACGTTTCCAATGCGTACCCGGCGATCCCTTATCTCCATGAAGTCAGATGCCTCAAATGCAATGAGCGTAAGCATTTCCCGTCGCTGGTTTGGAAAACCTCAGCTAACGCGCTTCCAGGCGGTCATGAGCACGGCTCCTGTCCCTTGGAGACGAGCGACAACGTCGAAGTGGATGAGCAAAAAATCAGTGGCGTAGATACCAACGTCAGCTCCAACTTCCCTCCTTTCAAGAGTCGCTGGGATGTAACTCCCGAGCAGATGGCCGCTGAGCGAGAATGGCTTCGAAAGGCATCTCATGTTCTCGAACCCTGAGCTCGTGTCTTTCCAGCTGATTGATTTCTCACGACGTTCAATCGTGCCGCTGATAAATCTTAGCTCCTTCCGTCTGGAGCACCATCGACATTCACGATCGAGAGTCGACTTTCGTGGCGCATGATAGTAGATACTGGGTGGTCCTCATCGATTCTGGCCTAATTGAAAGTCTGCGACTGCTCGATCTTCTAGCTTCAAGCTGGGAATGTGATTCACAGAGCATTGACTGCGATTCGCAACAGTAGGAACAAGAATAGATCTTGAAGATTCATATGAGGGCAACAAAGAGTAGGCTTTTAACGAGGAACTTGTACTGAGGAAGGGCATCAGATGAGACAAGTGGCGAGGGTGGACGAAGCATCCATCATATCAAGAGTCGACATTTTTGAATTACTTTAGGTCATGATGGCGCATATTTCACGTCTCACTGTGATACTTCCGTCGATGGTGACCTCCGTCAAGGTCTTAACTTACCTTCGTAATACGTTGTAAGCATCCCTTCTCGCCAGACGCCTCTCAGATTCAGCGTGTTGTCGATATCTTGCGTCGGGTCACCCTCGACCAGTACCAGATCCGCCCGAAGCCCTTCCTTGATCATGCCTCGGTCGTAGAATCGGAAGCAGTTTGCCACGACGCTTGTCGCGGACTTGAGCGCCTCCAACGGCGTGAAGCCGCACTTGTGGACGAAAAGGTAGAGCTCGTGGTGTAACGAAAGCCCCCAGGCGGTGCCCAAAGCAGGCTTCGCTGAGTCGGAGCCACTGATGCCTTGGTTAGGGAAAGTCGTTTTATGTTCGAAGCATGACCGGACCTACCATATGATGTCGATCCCGTTCTTCTTGAGCACCCGCACAGACTCGTACGCGTACTCGACCTTGGAGGTCGGTTTGCAGAAATTAAGGCACTGGCACATCCGCTGCCTTTCCTCCGGGCCGAGCAGGTCTTCGCCGACGCGGGGATCGTGCGCAAACTTCTCTGCCAGCTCCCGACCCTCGGCCGTCAAGCTGCCCACCGCTGCAAGAGTCGGATTTAGCCATGCATTGTTCTTCTTGTACGCGGCGACCAGCTCTTCCGTGGGCGGCTGGTCAAAGAACGTGTGCGCCATGCCGTCCACGCCGGCATTCAAGATCTCGATGTGGTCTGCCATCGCAAGCGAATGGCATATCGCGACCACGCCATGCCTGTGCGCTTCGTCGATGAGCGCCTCCTGGATCTCCATCGAGGGCTTGGGGAAGTCGGCTCCCATGGCGGCGCCGGACTCGTGCATCAGCTTTATGTAATCCGCTCCGTCAGCCAGGTTCTTGCGCACAAACTCCCGAGCATCCTGCGCGTTTTTGAGCTTCGGATACCACTTGTCGATCTCGGCCTGGGTCTCAGGCGACTTGTCGTGCGCGACAATAACGGGGATGGGCCACCCGTTCTCAATCGTCGCCGCCACTCCGGCGCACTTGTAGGCTGAAGTGCTCCTCGGCTCCTCGAGACTGACTTTACGCAAGTGCGTGAAAGAGGGATACTCGTTGTGCAGATCCATGAACGTCGTCACCCCAAAGCGAATCGCCTGATACAGTGCTGGATGGTAGCTATAATGCGAGTGATTGTGGGCGTCTATGAAGCCGGGCAGCAGCGTATGGCCAGGTTTTGAGTATATAGTTCCTATGGGCTGCGGTGGCTTGCCTTCGCCGACGTCGTGGATCATGGAGCCTCTCACTATCACGTACCCATTCTCGATGACTTGTTCGCCGTCAAAGATTCGCACATCCTTGATGGTAAAGGACATCTTCAGTGTCTTTCCTACTGAGCAGTTGGCAAAAGGTTCTTTCCCTCTTCGAGGTCTTTACCGTCTTTGATCTCTTCCCGTATTTAGAACTGTATCTAGTGGTTAGCCGTTTCTACCACCCAGTCAAAATCCTTCCTCGCGATGGTTCACGTAATAGGCCAAGAAAATGGGTCGACCAGAGTATGTCTTTCGACTGCTCGAAGAGTGCACTCCTCTTTTCTCAGACTTTGAATACGCTCCGCACCTCACCCGCACCAGACGAATTTAGCGATGTGCTGGCATGAAAATTCGCCAACCGGAATAAACGACAGCACGTGAGCGGAGTTTACCTACTTTTGCAGCTTCTCGGACTCGGAGGCCCGAAACTTGGTCAGCTATTCCGGACACCGCTGAGGAAGCAGGAATAGAGAGTAGTTGTGTACAATAAGACGTTCAGCTTACGCTGATGCAGCAGAATAAGCGGCTCGACGTGTTTTGACGACATTTTGGCTGCGTAAGATGGATCTTGGCTCATACCCCTCAATCTCACTGTGCACGGCATGTCTGACCACACAGCCTTGTCACGAACCTGATGTGCTCTGCGTCCTTTGACAACAGATCGATTCTAGCGAGACCACCATAGAATGGTCCCATGTTTCAAGAGTTGTTCGCATGTGAGCGTCTTTCCTTAACAAAAGGCCGCTCTCTATGAAGAAGATTGAAAGATTGTGCCCTTTGGCCATGGTTTCAAAGTATGTGAGGAACGAGACATCACTTGTTTGCATCTTATGCAGGGACCACAATCTGCCCTTTGAGGGTTCTCATTACTTGTGACCTATACTATGCCAAACAAAGAACGCCGTCCATTCCATTGATGCGGTGTACCATAGAATATGGCTCACTAGACTCTTCCACTATTAAAAAAAAAGCGAACCCTGAAACTGGATTCTGTCTCCCATTGTCGATATCTCGCCCCCATTTTACATACCAGACTTCGCCCTCGGAATGACGCCACCCGCTCAAATGAAATGCAAGAGAGATGAGGAAAAGCTGCGTTAGGCTCACCAACGATCGCTGTGGGTCGTGCGGTGCTGCGCAACAGGCTGCTGGTACAGACTGCTGGAATACTCCGACTGCCCATCATGATACATCGTGTTTCGCCTATTCTCATCGTCGAGGAAAGGCTCCTTGACTTCCCAGTTGTTCTGTTTTGTGCCAACGCTAAACTCAAGATCTTCCTTTGTAATTGAGTCCCAATACTGTACAAAAACAAGAAGGATTAGCTGCCCATCCATAACAGATGGTATGGATATACCACAAGTGAAGTAACGTACCTTGTATACCATCATGACTGCGAGTAGGTTGCAAATCGTGCCCAAGAACAGGCCGTCAAGGTAGTGCGAGGCGCCTTCACAAATAGGCTTGCTCAGCGTGTACACCATAACCTGTCCCACGACAAAGAAAAAGACGCCAAAGGTGATGTCGCCCAGCGGCCAACGATCCTGCAGAGTGTTGACCACGAGCAGGATCTGCATGACCACATAAACGGCCAGAAAAACGGCGTTGAAGATGTACAAGACCACAAACAGACCCATCGTGCTTGTGGGGCTCAAGCCAGCCCAGCCTTTGAAGGTGAATAGACTGACGGCGCCAGATATAACGAACATGCCGAGAGAGCAAAGGCGCAGTAACCAGACGGAGAGGGGGGTTCCATCCTCATATAGCTGGAAGCCCACGAAGCCGTTGATCATGAGGCACATGCACAGGGCGGAGGCAAGGCCGTTCTGCGCAGCGGTGAAGTAGGGGAAAGCACCGCTGCCAGGGGGGACCACTCCGGCGTCGAGGATGAGCGAGAAGACGGTAAGGAGCATGTAAATGTAGAAGAAGGATGTGATTTCTTTGCGGCCTGTTCACACGAAACTTGTCAGTAAAGCACGCTCTTGCGCATTGTCCGCAAACTGTACTGAATGGCGCTCGCCTCGAGCACGCAGCGGTTATGAAGGGCGCGAGGGGAAAAGCGTACCAACGGCCGTGTACTTGCTCCGCACATGAATGATCATGATGACGGTCATGATCAGAGCGCCGATGTGCACGACGTCAACGGCACCCTGGAAGATAATGGTGTTGGCGAGCTCAATAGACCGCGAGTAGCAGTCAGCCTGTATGCCCGGGGCGCCGGAGATGGGCGACGGCGGCCCGACCAGCGAACATAGCGGGAGGGCTGCCTGCTTGCATATCGAGTCGAAGTCACCGAAGCCCATTTCAATGCGAAGGATGCGGTTTGGTCTTGCTTATGCGTGGCTACGAGCGGCTGTGGACGACTCAACGGCAGTGGGAGAGCGAAGGGGTGATTCCGTGGCGGAAGGCGTAGTGCGACCGCGAAAGACAGCGACGAGAGGTGAAAGCGAGTGACGTGTCGGCGGCAGCGAGCGCAATGGTCTGTTTTCCTGTCAGTCCAGCGGCCGTTGGGGTGGAAGGCAGAGCTCGAAGGAGTCTTCTGTCAGTGTGCTGCGCGATCAACAACACGGGCGTTGGCCAGGAGGGCGCAGGCCACAGCCGGATGCGGACGATCGATTTCTCTTGGCACAGACAGTCCGCGTTTTAATTTAGCACAGCCCAACGCTCGACCGTAAATAACTCGGTCCACAAAGCAAACGCTTCGGCCTGTTCCCGCGACAACGAACGAGCGGCCGTTTGGAATACGTCCACCACACACCGCAGCGGAGCGTCCACGAGAAATCCGCGAGTTTCGCCGTTTGCCTTGCGCGACTGCGGGAAGCGCTGCTGTCGACCCAGCACCTCTGCAGCAGCGCAGAGCTGTCAGTCACGGCATACCTTTGGCACGACATTGCAAGCGAGCAATACAATAAGTAGCGCGGACTATAAGTACGGAGGCCATCGCTCACGGTGTGCAAGCCGGCCAAGCTGGACAACCCCTCGCGCTCATTTTCGTCTTTGTGACCTTGAGAAGTCAGTTCTCGAGACTGCCCGGATCTCCTTGTGACCGGCGTGATTGAAAAATTGAAAAAAAAAAAAAGAAAGAAAAAAGGAATGCTAGAGATGTTACCTGCGCTTTCCTCCTCGAGTCAATGCAAAAGCACGCGTTGGATGATGACCCGTTTTAACACATGAGGCAATTTATCCTACTCGTGCGCAAGTGACTATACGACGTGAGAATCACGGGTTGATCGCGAACCTCGATGCAGAGTGTCATGAATTACAGTTGAGAAAAGAGATCTCATCCTTGTCCCAGAACCGTCAACACGACCGTTAAGAGGTGTAGAGCCTCTTGTGTACCTTATACAAATGACGAAATACGCACCTTGAGAACACGATTTGCCCAATCACTCATCCCAGAACACGACGAAAGATCCACACCATAGTAACAACTCCTCTATATTTCGACAACTTCTGCTCACAGACACGTCCATACAGAACTCCACTGCGCTGGTTCTAATGGACCGACCCCCAGCGAAACGACAGATCCCAGCGACCTTTGGCAAATACTTCAAGACTACGCAAAAGGCACAGCGGCTCATGGATCCTGAGCGCAGACTGTGTGAGCTTGATCGCGGCAGTAACGATCGGGAACTCGTGTTCTCCACACACCCCGCTTATGGAGAGGGCTGGAACGAGATGACTTGGTCTCAGGCCTTGCTGTGGGAAACGGCACAAAATGGTACGTTGTACATGGTTCAGGCTCAACGACGCTGCTTCTTCACCAAGTTTACCCGCAATCCTTCAATGCCCATGTCCTCACGAGAGGTTGAATCACCGCATCACGTTCTTTTCACGATCGTTCTCATTGAAGTCTCGTCTGCCGATAGATCGGATTGCTGACAGGTTTGGCCTTTGAATAGATCCCACACTGCGAGTCGCCCGCAAGTCATTGGAATCAGTCAAACCAGGTGCCGAACTCAACATCCTTGAAACAGACATGTTCAACTCGCTTGGATCCTTCCGCGGCGTCGCACCTCAACGTCTCGCGACCGTCAGACTCGGCTATGCTCAATGCCGCCGCAACTACGTGTACCTCCTTTCGAGGTTCTGGTCAGCTGACCCGGTCTCCGAGAGAGTCCGGCAGACGGAGTGCGAGGATGAGGGATCCAACAAAGCTGCGGGCGAAATGCGCGCTGAAGACGACAAGCAACATGGCAGCTGAAAGCATGCTAATCAAGATGGCATTCCAGCAAAGCTTATGTGACTGGAACAAAATTGAAGAATTACTGCCTTTAGCAGTGCGATTGTGTTGGAATCCCCAGCAGTCCACTACTTGGAAAGTGATAATTCACAATCAAAAGACCAGTAGACACCAAAGTATCAAAGTCCACAGGTTGACGAAGACTTGAGTCCCGCGGGCCGCTTAATCCTTTTATGATTGCTCACTATCAAACCTTGTGTTGATAGCGAGGCCACTAAAGTCTAGCAAGTTACAATGGTCTTGACTTCCAGGACGACGAATGATGATGGGGCAACTGGTCGCCGAACATTTTGGTCAAAGACGGCGCGCCAAGGAAGTGAGTGATTTTGGGCTTCAATCATTGTTACCTTGCAGATCCAGGCCGTCAAAGAAATCTTGACGCCTCCTCTGTCTTGAACAATGCCCGAGCGCTTTACAACTCCCCAAATCGAATCTGGTGATGCTCTGTTGGGCTCTTTGGCAGATTCTGGACTTTCGGCGTGTGCCCAGCCAAGAACATTGTTTGCTGCAGGACGCTCGAAACGGGTACACTGGGCATTGCGCATCTATCGCCGTAGAAATTTTTCGCGACCTGTTTTTCATTCACGTCGTGAAAATTCCCATTCGTATTCGAACGAACGTGGTACCACGCGCCTTCGCAAGGGTTTCTAATGCAGATTAGGTTTAGCCCTTCTCTTTCGACATCGCTCGAGACGAGGACAAGTTGCGCACGCTTCGCGAACCAACGAGACCAAGCATGAAGTCGACAATACACACTTCCCTCGTTTGATTCTAGCTATCTCAACCCAAGCGACCCCAAGTAATGACCTTTTCGTATCGTTCGGCGCTCAACGATAGCTCCCAATTTCACGGCGATGTGCTCGAGATCAAAATTTACATACTGTTTTTAAACGGGCTCGTACGAAAGTATACCACCGGTTGTAATTATAATTGTCTGGTCCCAAAAGACACTTGAACTCAACGCAAACACAGAAATACGATATGTCAGTCGTATGGAAATGCTTGGCAGCATCAACAAGGAGCGTTTCCCTATCTTTCCAGCGTGTTGCGTCTGCTCATCACTCCACTTGGCCTCTTCCCAATGGTAGCTTCCAGCCCCTGCCTCAATGCTTCTTCGTCGTATCGTAGCACGCCGCCATCTTTTCCTTCAACGCTAACAGGCCGTCCATACAAGCGCATTGTCTCGATCCCTAGTTCTTTCAGTGCCTCCTTGTCCACCTGGGGCGTCCCAGGTCCGTGAAGATGAAGCACATGGGTCACGTATTGTTTGTACTCCTGCGGTCTTACGACAATGGAGGAGTCCGACGAGGGCGGAACCCGCGAGCGCGAATACACACACGCGCGCGCTATGGCAGCAACGAAGTCTAACGCCGTGTAGGGATCGGAGGACGGACCCGTTTCGCGATCTATGGTGCTGTTCAAGATCAAGATCTTGTGCTTTATTTGTGGGCTTGCCACCGCGTCGCCGATGCCGCGGAGGATCAAGTTTGGTATGATGCTTGTGTATAGCGAGCCGATGCTGTAGATGATGGTGCGTGCGGACTCGAGCGCCTCTATAACCTGCTTGTTGGCGTTGAAGCGCATTTCCTGGCCGTATGGGTTGATGTACCATATTCTCTCGATGCGGGCCGGTAGATCTTCCTCGCCCGATTTGGAAAATGTGATGTACCCCTTTCGCAACGTTGGCAAGCTTCCTGGTAGATTTGCATCTTCTATGTGATCGTGCTCTTCGGCCTCGTCCGCAGTGCCTCCCATGGTGCTGCTCGCTGCTTCGCCCGCGTTGAGGGCTGTTGGAATGCTCGGGTGTGATATGTTGTTCTGGCCAGTAATAACAGTTCCATCTGCGAGACCTGCCGATATGTGATGCGTGAAGTTGGTGTTAATTGCTGGTAGCACGGACACCTCGGCGGGAACGCGGCATATGCTGCTAAACAAATATATTGCGGACTCTAGCGAACCAGAGAACAGTCGAGCGCTGCTCTGCTGTCAGTTGTTTTTCTGAACATGATTCGGGGCCGCGAGTACCCAGTCAGGAACAGGTTTCCAATGCTTGCACTGCTGAAGTTGAACATGCTGCTCGGCCTTGCTCTTTTCACGGCTTCCAAATTTGCCGAGTTCAGAAACGATCGAATCAATTCCCGCTTGGGGCTTGATATACTTCTCCACAGATCTGAAGTGCCCTCTACAATATCTAACCATTCCAGTCGTGCTTCCATTGAGTCTTTTGGAAGTCGATGGTTGAACAGTGCCTTGATTGCAATCCGCTCTGGATCATCGCCATTATCTGGAATTAGTCTCACGAGACGGCCTTTACATGTTTTTGTCAGAGGCTTGCATTTTCTTTGAAAATGGACGCCAACCCACTTCTTAGATCTCCAATACCTGGTCATTGTCAGTGACGATATTTCCAAAGCCGTGCAGAGGCTGATAGTAAGGTGATATACCGGGTCCGCCAAACACTCGGATCAGCTCGCTTGAACTTCCACCATTGTCGCTGATGGGTATCACATAGCTCAAAGGGCACTTTTGGTCCTCGGAAACGTGTTTGAAGACATCAACAAGGTTGTTCGCCGCCGAGCCACCAGAGAAGACTACGATGCCTTTCGTTTTGGACCAGGAGGGGACGATCGGCAGTGTAAGCATCGTTGCTCAAGTTCGAACCCGAAATCTGGAATTTCTCTGCTAGCTTGCTATGAACAATCAAATGGCCACAGAAAGGCCTTCGAACTCTTAGGCATATCTAAATTCCCTAGTTGAGGACGGAATTCACAAGAAGACAAACAGACAGGGTGGCAGGTTCGCGTAGTGTGGTTGCCGCATTGGGTAAGAATAAGCCACAGTCAGGATACGAAGACTATGACACAAATGAGGACAGGGAGCCTGCATATTTGGTTCTGACATTCTAGACAAAAGTGAATTTACATGCGGTCAGTCTGATTATGATGTCTTGGTTTTAAGAATATTTTACATCTTAATGTGGAAGCAAGGAGCTTCTGCGTTGACAAGAGAAATTTGACGTATGTAGGAGCAGCGGCAAATAGGTAGCAGCATGAACTTTTTTGAATGGATGCAAAGTACAGCGGTTCCGACTCGGCAAGCGAGTAGGATGAAAATAACTGTAAGGTGACTTTGTATTGCGGCAGCACCGGGGCTCTAAACTTGGCGATGACATCGCCGCCCATAAACTATGTACACATTCTGCGTATTCATCACCGCCCCATGCTCAACCACCCGTTTCGCGCTCTTTTGTTTCTAACCTCAGCACCTAATGGATATCCACTTTTACCACACAGCACCTTGGCTGACATGCTTCACGATGCAGCCGCCAACTCGTCTCTCTTCCTTCTCTTCTCCAACAACCGCTGCTTCCGTTCTTCTAGCACGGCAAGCTGTCTCGACTCCACACCCGTCAACCAGTAGCCGAAGCTTCCACCGACGGCCGCGTAGACTGGGTAAGTCCAAAGATATGTTTTGCCAAAAAGAGGTCGCATCTCTAGGCCGAGTTGCCACAGGCGGACGGCAACGCCTACACAGATCACCTGTTAGTTTCCGTGAAGCATAGCTCTAATTGAGGCTCTCTGTTACCGAAGCCAGTCCAGAATAGAATCTTGGACACCATTGTGTATACTGTTGATGTGGTGGTAGACGGGAAGGTTTGGTGTGAAGAGCGGAGGCTCTGTTTCCGGATGCGCAGTCGTCTACGCCCAAATTAACAGGTCAATTGGCTACTCCAGGAGAGTTCTAGGCGAGCGTTGTGTCTTTGCGGATGCAATGGAGATTTCCGGAGGGAGATGGAGGTGGTGTCACAGCGCGTCTGATATTGACGAAGGTCGTCGGGTGAGCAGCTTCTTAGGCAGCTTCTTCGGTCACGGAGACGGTCCGTGCACAACGCATTTCCGGCCAGACAGGGATGCGACACAAGACAAGACTCTACCAAGTCAACTTACTACGCGCATTCCGCGACAAGCACAATCACGTCGACGAAGGCGAGAAGTATCGTCGTCATCACGAGGCCCACGCCTTGTGCCAGCACTCGTTGTTTGAATCAGTCGCAAGATCCTTCGTCGGCAACGATAAAGCAGCGTGCAATATGTCAATTAGCCATTCACTCGTTTGGAAGCGTCCTGTCACGCAGACGGTTCCCGCCGACGATGGCGAGTTCCGACGGAAGAAATTGAAGCTGAACGATCTACCCGTGTCGAGTGCGAAGAGAACGGCAATTGATGGCTTGCTTCTGACCTTCAAGAAGAGCGGTGAATTTGATAAGTTGCGGAAGAGCATCTTTAGTCAGTTCGAGAGCAGCGTACGCGGTTTTCTTAATCTCATCTACTCGTTGCGATGATATCACGAGCTTTCCTGTACTAATTTTGTTGCGTTCATGCAGGAGGCGAAGACGAAGATGCTCAATTCGATCGAAGAGTTGACCGAGCGCGAGATTGAACGCCAGGCGAAGATGCTCCTTTCCCGTGATCGACGACAAGCTGCTGCTTTGATAGAAGGTGCAGTAGAACGCAGCAACACATACAAGCTAGTCGACTCCAAGATCGAAGAGCTCGTTCAGGGCATCATTCTTGAAGCCGAAAATTCACTGCGAAAAGCACGCGAAACGGAGATCGGTACCGATGCCGCGCTTGAAGAACTTAAGCGTGGCGGTAAGACAGATGATGAGTATCTTACGGAGTATGTGATCCGAAAGCAGGCACGAATGCGAATCATTGAGGAAGAGAATGCGGCGTTTCGCAGGCAGGAAGAGGAGGCGAGGAGGAAACGTGAAGAGGAGAAAAAGCGTAGAGAGGAAGAGGAAGAGAGGAAAGAGAAAGAGGAGCAGGAGAGAAGAGAAAGGGAGAGAGAGGAGCGCGAGGAAAGAAGACGCAAGGAGAGAGAAGAACGTGAAAAGGAGCGAGAGAGGGAGAGAGAACGAGAACGTGAAAGAGAGCGTGAGTTGGAGAAGGAGCGAGAGGAGCGACGAGAGCGACGCAGGCGAGAAGATGAAGAGCGTCGTGCCAGGCATGACGTGTCCAGAGATCGATCGAGAACGAGAGATCGTTCGCGTGAATACAGGAGGCGCTCGAGGTCAAGAGATCGTTCGCGGCGACGATCGCCAGATATCTATCGGAGCAGACGTTACAGTGACGATCGGGGAAGCAAGGTTCTTAATGCTAGCGAGAAGGATCTGGAGGCTATTGCACTTGAAGAGCTTCTCAAAGAAGGCCAGAAAGCGGCATCATCTTCTGCGCCTTCCAAGGTAGCCGAGCTGGAAGACTCCCTGGAACTACCTCCGAGAAAGATGCTTGCTCCAAAGTCCATTGTTCCGCGCGACCCGCATGCGGCGAGATTATCGAAAATGGACTCGCCAAAGCCTAGCACGCCTGCCAAACCTGATGAGCGCAGCAGGGCCGGCTCGGTCATACAATCTATTGAAAAAGATAGAGAGAGCGAGGCAGGAGACAGAAGACGCACCCCGTCATGGAGCCGTGACAGACGTTCCTCACGATACAGTCGCTCACCAGATGACCGCCGGCGCTCACGACGCTATGACGAAGATGACCGAAATACGTACCGACCATCTCGACGCAGCCGTTCGCGCAGTAGAGAATCGTACCGCCGTCCCAACAGCAGACGGAGAGATAGGACAAGGTCAAGAACAAGGTCTCGCTCCCCGGTTCGAAGACGAAGGGACCGCTCTGATTCACGGCCTAGACGCCGCGACCGCTCGGAGGATGTGCCAGAAATTGATCGCTACGTGCCTAAGACATCACGAAGATCGCCCATACCTGCGAGTCGCCGTGACAGAGATCGATCTCGCGATCGTGATGATTATCGGCGGCGCGCCCGGGATGACTCGAAATCCCCGCCACCAGTGTCAACACGTCGTCGTTTGGCCTCGCGGAGCCGAAGTCGTAGCAGGGGTCGAAGACGAGACGACCGCGATGATTCGCGCGAGCCCGGGGGCAGGACAACGAGGCATCGGTACGCACCGGATGAGATTGATCGTTACGTACCTGAGACTAGCCAGCGTGCGGACCTACGTGAGTTCAGGGAGCGAGACCGGAGTAACACGAGGGATAGTCGTGTACGGGACAAGACTCCTGATTCGTCGAAGGGAAGAGACAGAAGCAGGAGACGAAGCCGTAACCGGAGTAGGGATCGAAGAAGAGATCGAAGTAGGGATCGAAGCAGGGATCGAAGCAGGGACCGAAGTAGGGATCGAAGTAGGGATCGAAGTAGAGATCGGAGCAGAGAAAAGAGGCGAGACAGAAGCAGAGATCGAAGAGAGAGTTACGACCGTCGAGACCGGTCCCGAGATCGCGATCGGAACCGGAGAGGTGATGACTTATACACTGGGACCTCGAGCCGCAGAGATCGTTCACGCGAACGATCTCGGTCCAGGAATCGCGATCGAGGCGAGGACCGATATCGAGGCGGCCGGAGACGAAGCAGAAGTAAGTTACTTGTGCCCCCATGACTAGACTGAGAGAGGAAATTTAACGCATGGGCGTAGGTGCAAGCTCCGCCGTTGATGAGAAGGCGTCAAAGACTGAGAAGAAGGAAGAGAAGAAGGAGGTGGGCAGCAATGCACCAAGGGGAAGCAAGATGTACGCGGCTGGTGCAACTCCATTGGCGAAGCCGACTGGGGGGTTGCACTTCACAAGTCTAACGTGGAAGAAGAGCGGTTAGCAGAAAGAGTTTGTGTGAGAGTGAGAGAGTTCTCCTAGATGTTCAGCTCGCCTGATTCCGATCGTGACACGGATCATTAATTGAAGACTGGGCTTTTGAGAACAAAACAATGAGGTTAGTAAAAATGAAATGGAACTGAAAGGCGGGGAACAAAAGGTTCACCATCAACCAATGTGTTTATTACTTCTATCCGTGCTTACTTGCAGTTCACATGCTCCAAGACGAACCCAATTTTAGCTCTCTTTGTTCGTGGGGCTCAAGAAGAGCAGCGTGCTTGCTGTTTCATCCCTTTGCGCCGAGTATGACACTGGACTATATAGCGGTCCCTCTCCTTGACAAATGTCGTATGCCCCGTACATGTCTAGCTGCCACCGTAGGAAGTACAAAAACCTGGCGGCAAAGTCTGGGAACAATCACGTGTGCCGTCTCCTTTAACTATGCATGTGCCGGCGTTGATGCAGTCGTCGGTTTCTCTATTGCAGAGACGTTTGGCAAGTCCGCGCTTAACGTAGTTCAGATTGATTACTCGGCCCAAGATACCTCTTTTGGAAGATGTTCAGGTTCTCTGCTGCCATACCCCTTGTCCATCGCCTGGCTGCGCTTGCACGAGTTCTGATGCACAACCATCAGCGAGCAAAAACGCGACAATCAAATGATGAGAGGACTCAGGCGCAAGGCGTTGAACACGGGAGTCTCTCGGAATGCTCTTGCGGCTTGAGGTCACAGAGGGCCTGTTTTTGAGTGCCGCCCAAGGGTGCCATGCAGCACGAGGGCTGCGAATTGTCTTATGGAGATCATGACACCGGACAGCTTCATCCCCTCAGCCTGGCCCCGATCGTACCCTCAACTCTTCTTCGGGACCTCAACGCGTCAGCTGTGCTTCCATTTCCGGACCGCTCACTACCCGTCTCCAGAGAACCAGCCCTCTCGGAACCCGACGTGCCGCTGGCACCCTGACTCACGATCGGTATCCCTCTCCTTCCACCACCGCCACCACCACCACCGGCCATAGGGAAGCCGGTGTTTAATCCGTTCATCAACTCGACCAGGCCGAGGTCCCTCCAGCTTGGTTCTTTTTGCTTCTGCGTCGCCCTCTGGATGCCAAAGGCGGCGTGCATGTCCGGCACTACGTCGTCTTCGTCCTCTGGATTCAGCGGCTGATGCTGCGGGGCCAAGTAGATCTCGTCCGGGCCCAGATGCGAAGTGGAGGGGTGGGTGAAGTCTTCGAGGAGCTCTGCGTGGTGAGAGAAATGGAGATGCAAGTACGTGTGCGAGGAGTCGCGCGACATTTTTGAGTTTCCGTCTCCTGGTCGCAAATTTGCTGTGTGAATTTGGCGAGCGGGTGTCGAGCGGTTCGCGTCGATCAAAGCAGGATGCTCAGGATATCGAGTTCAGCGCCGCCGACAGCACCTAGCTAGGGCTGAATGATGTTCAGTGGAGTTTCTTTGGAGCGCTTCGCTGTATACAGAGGTGGCACATCATCCAGGAACACTAGAGCCAAAGCGGCAATCCTTGTGGCGGGACAAGGCTGTTGCTAAGTTACATTGTCCAACGCCATTACGAGCTGCAGTACGTCTATACAGGTGTAACAGAAACCGGGAACTCCAGTTACATAATCGGCGGAGACGGGGCCGCCTTGTTTATTTCCTCTCGAAACCAAAAAAAAAAAAAAAAAAAAACAATAGCAGAAGATTGTCGTAGGTAACTTAGTAGTGGATCGATGAGCAAAATCATTTGGCAAGACCGGGGAAGCGGCGTTCGGCACGTGATCGGGCATAATTTGCCCTGCGCCACTCACGCAGGCACTGGCGATAGCGCAAAATATCGGATTCGCTAAAATGGGACATTCCGCAGCTCCTCCTTCGCGGCGGACTGGCTGAGAGATGGCGACATCAAAGTGGGATGGCGGGATGAAGATTTTTGGAAGCGAGGCCAGATGCAGCGATCAGTCAGCCAATCACAAGGCCGGAGCGTGGAGCTTAGAATTGCTGTGTAAGCAACACAAGACTGACGCAAACTGGTGCAGACTGGAGCAGCACAGCGCCGAAGCCGCTCAGGCATGTGTGTCATCGCTGATGAATAACGATGAGACGAGCTCTGTCGACCGGGGAGGACATGGCCGAGCGACGGCGCCGGATGAAGGACGAGGCAAAGTGCGGACACAGTCACCAGCATAGCTACGACAACAGCGCGGTGACGACGGCGGCGGCGACAACGAGCAAACTCAGGCCGGTCACGACGCGCAGAGGATAGGGTAAAAAGAAAGGTTAAAAAAAATTTCCATCTCCCAGGACCATCATTTCCGAGAGGGATCCGTTGGGAGAAGTCCGCGGGATCGAGAGCCGGGACGTGGAGGGGACATTCGCCTTTGCTGTCTCCAACACGCTAAAACGTCACAGGCTCAGACGGAAAAATTGCCCCACGTCAATCTGCTCGACTCGGGGCTTCAGCGTTGGTGGGCGACATTTCCTCAACACCACAAACCCTTAACGCTCTCTCTCACTCTCTACATCGCTCTCGCTCGCCAACTCACGCATCCAAGCAACCCACCACCTTTCCATCCACCCTCTTCTGCTCGTTCTTCCGTCAGTAGACCTTGTTGGGAACTCTCGACTCACACAAGATGGGCTACGGCAAGATTGATGAGCTGGCGATAAATACAATCAGAACGTTGGCCGTAAGTCCTGCTGCTGCGCATCTCTTTGGCCGTCCAACATACGTCCCAGGGAGCCCAGCGTGGAGCATCCGCGTCTCCAATTGATCAGTGCCACTGACAGTCGTCGACGCAATCTAGGTCGATGCCACGTTCAAGGCCAACTCTGGCCATCCTGGTGCCCCCATGGGCATGGCCCCCGTAGCACATGTCCTGTTCAACAAGTTCATGACATTCAACCCGAAGAACCCAAGCTGGATCAACCGGGATAGATTTGTGCTTTCGTGAGTGCTCGTCCGGACCTGCACGGATTGCCACACACACACACAACTACACGCACAGCGCCCCATTCTTCCGTCTGTCGTCATTCTTCATATCTCGTCCATGGCTGACTTGTCTCCCAATGCAGAAACGGTCATGGTTGCATGCTGCAATACGCACTTCTCCACCTCTTCGGCTACGACGTCTCGATGGAAGACCTCAAGAACTTCCGTCAGGTCGACAGCATCACCCCGGGTCATCCAGAATCGCACGACACCCCGGGCGTCGAGGTAACAACCGGCCCATTGGGTCAGGGTTTCTCTAACGCTGTTGGTCTGGCCATTGCGCAGGCGCACGCCGCTGCCGAGTTCAACAGAGAGGGCTTCGAGCTGTTCAACAACCACACCTACGTCTTCTTTGGCGATGGCTGTGCAATGGAGGGTGTTGCAAGCGAAGCTGCTTCGCTGGCTGGCCACTTGCAGCTCGGCAACTTGATTGCCATCTATGATGACAACCACATTTCTATTGGTATGTTGTATCACTCATTCATCATCATCATCCCACGCGAGACGACCTCGACGACTGATCCGCGCCTTTAGATGGAGACACTGCCGTTGCATTCACCGAGGACGTAACAAAGCGCTTCGAGGCTTACGGCTGGCATACTCTTCATGTTGAAAAAGGTGACACTGATCTGGAGGGCATTGAGGCTGCCATCAAGGCCGCCAAGGCGGTCACAGACAAGCCAACCATGATCAAGCTTACCACAACCATTGGCTATGGGTCCACGCTCCAGGGCACCCACGGCGTCCACGGCAACCCGCTCAAGGCGGACGACATCAAGCAGCTCAAGCAGAAGTTTGGCTTTGACCCCGAGAAGACCTTCTACGTTCCACAAGAGGTGTACGATGCTTATCATAAGCATGCGGCTGAGGGAGCTGCGGCCGAGGAAGAGTGGAACAAGCTCTTTGCTGCCTACAAGGAGAAGTATCCAGAACAGCACGCAGATCTTGCTCGTCGTCTCAGGGGTGAGCTTCCGGAGGGCTGGCAAAAGGCTCTCCCTACGTACACAACGAGCGACAAGGCTGTGGCTTCGCGAAAGCTTTCCGAGACGGTTCTGGAGAAGATCCACTCCGTCATTCCAGAGCTGCTGTCCGGATCTGCCGACTTGACTGGCTCCAACAACACCAGGTGGAAGGATGCCGTCGACTTCCAGCCCCCAAGCACAAAACTCGGCGACTGGAGCGGTCGGTATCTGCGCTACGGCGTACGAGAACACGCTATGGGCGCGGCCATGAACGGCATTGCCGCGTACGGCCTGCATATCCCAGCGGGTGGTACTTTCCTCAACTTCGTGTCGTACGCAGCCGGAGCCGTTCGCTTGTCCTCACTGTCGCACCAACGCGTCATCTGGGTCGCTACGCACGACTCCATCGGCCTCGGCGAGGACGGACCTACCCACCAGCCTATTGAGACGTTGGCACACTTCCGTGCTTTGCCAAACATGATGGTGTGGCGCCCAGCTGACGGTAATGAGACGTCCGCTGCGTACTACATGGCACTTACATCCAAATCCACGCCGTCGATCCTTGCCCTGACCCGCCAAAACCTACCGCAGTTGGGCTCAAGTATCGAGGGTGCCATCAAGGGCGGCTACGTTCTTGTGGAGGCTGAGGGGGCCGCACTCACACTTGTTTCTACCGGCTCCGAGGTTGCTCTCTGCGTCGACGCCGCAAAGATCCTTGGGGAGAAGGGCATCAAGACGCGTGTCGTCTCCATGCCTTGCGTGGAAGTCTTCGACGCCCAGCCCAAGGAGTACAGACTCTCTGTGCTTCCTGATGGCATCCCCTCCATGTCTGTTGAGGTTATGAGCACTCTTGGTTGGGAAAAGTACGCTCACGAGCAGTTTGGCCTTAACAGGTTTGGAGCCTCAGGCCCATACCTGGAGGTGTACAAGGTACGTTGCGCATCATCAGCCCCGCTTTTTTCTGCCTGACGAAGCGACCTTGAACTAACACGATGGCTTTAGAAATTCGATTTCACACCCGAGGGTATCGCGAAGCGCGGCGAGGCGACCGTCAACTTCTGGAAAGATGTCAAACCGATTCGCTCTCCGATCAACCGCGCTTTTACAAACCTGATCTAGTTTCATGTGGTTTGGCCATCATGGATAGTAGTCAACACGTCTTCGAGGATTTAAAAAGAAATTAGAGATGAGAACGGACTGAGAAAAGGCGCGAAAGACTGCAGTTACGGCTTCTTTGCTATGCATAGACAAACATATAGGGACTAATTCAGACTCCCAATTCTTCGCTGAAACATTCCCATTTTACAGAGCTTTGGGTAGATTCTTTCTCGTCTTAACTTTTCCTTAGACCGTGTAAGCCCAAAAGAGAAAAAGAATCAGAAAGGAAAAAGATGCGTCCTCGCGCTGCTGCGAATCAGTTGATTCCCAAGCTCTGTGGCCGGAATAGCGCCGCGCCACAGAGCCGCACGAGTTCTCAACCTCCAGCATCGTGTGAGACAAGGGTCAAGGTAAGGCAACAGATGTGAGTCGCGCAGAGGTTACGCACTCTGAAGAGGGGCATCACTGAGACATCAGACCTGCGGTCCACTCCTAGACCCCGAGGCGTATCTTGCTTGCTGGGCGGGCAATCCAAACCCCAAGACCGAGGCCGCGTCAACCCGGCACGCGCAGGGCTGTGTCGAACGCCGCGCAAAGAGGCCATCCACGCTGTTCGATGGAGCGGAGTGAGGCTGGCCAGACCAAGGGCAACGATCTCGTCGCTTGCTACGCCCTTCCGCCTCACTGTCCGCCCGTCTCGCGAGATGTGAGATGCAGTCATGCAAGGTGGGTGGGCAACGAGACGGAGACGAACAAAGCGCAGCGAAAGAATGCCGCCTCCCGCTTTGGCCTTTCTTCGCCCCAAAAAGAAGCCATAAGAAGAGAAAAAAAAAAAATATCCGGCCAGCCGGAAAGGTTGGCCGCGAGATCGATCGCATCGTCCGTGATGTCAACGAAGCCCCGCTTTCAGCCTTGCCTTGGGGAATAACTTCACGTGTGCTCTCTGTGCGCAGGACGACGAGAGATGCGATTCGTGCATGGCCCACACCGAGTGCTCGACCTGCCTCCGTTCCAGAGATTAGGAAACTTTGACTCCGTATGAGGGAAAAAAAAGAAAAAAAAAGAAAAAAAAGTTTCGATGTGTGTCTGGCCTAGCGATCGTGCGCTGATTCTTCGAGACGTTCGGTCCAACAAGACGGACTTCTTCGTCTCCCGGCGCGGCCTTCTCGATGAAGATTGTCCTGAAGGCGAATTGGTAAGCGTTGATGCAGTGAGGACGATTTGCGCCTTGGAAGCTTGGAAGCCAGGGAATGAATACAACATGCTTCTTTTCCTCTCGCACAGAGGTTTGGTTTTTCTTTTCTTTTCTTTTCTTCGTTTGCCCTTCCTCTGTCTTACAATTGAGTATCCCGAGCAATTGGACACTCTATCGCGCTTCCCCCCTCCCTCGGCTTCGGATCGATAGGAAGCGATGGGAACTTGACACCACTCCCTCACCGGCACCGCGCTCGACCAATCAGTCGAGCCTTCATGTTGTACGGAGGCCAGACCTCCTCCTCCCTTCTCTACAGCTTCTCTCTTATCTTCCTGCATACTTGGGAGGAGGGATGCGATGGCCTACCGCTCGTCGCATTCGGAAACCTGGCTGGCATATCATTTGACCGGCCAGCACGCACCTTTCAACAAGGATGCCAGTGTTGCCGCAGCAGATCCGGACGACGATTCGGTTGCCTGCTCAGCAGAATCGGGCGTCGATTCGCTGACCGGCGCTGCCTTGGCTTTTGCAAAGGCTGAGTGGTAACGCTTACGCCCAGTTTGTGCCAATGAGGACCGGCGAAAGGGCAAGGCTCGGAGGCCGTCCAGTAGTAGCCTCTGGGAGCCGGTCGACATGCCGTCCGCTAGGTTGCAATTCGAACGAACGAGCTCTGCAGGCGCGCTTGTGTGTCGCTTGCAAGTGAGCCAGCGTGAAGATCGTCTATATCTACGCAACCTCCTCGAAGCTTTGCTACGTGCCCTACTCCTGTCAACCTTCTCCGCTGTAAAACTGCTCTGCGTGCTTTGTCACTGTTTTCAAGTCAGGGCTAGCTCAAGGTTTACGGCTCGATTAGGCGTCCTTCCAGGTGCTGCGGTAAAGTTCCGTCGCGATGACAGTGCCTGGTAATAGTCAAGCACGTGCCGGGATGCCAACCACTGGAGCGGCTGGCTTCCGAGCGATGCCACTCGCTCAGCAGGCCAATCCAGTAACGTATGTTGCGTTCATTGTCGTAAGCACACGTCGCCGGAAACGTCTGATGGTCTACTAACTGCGCAATCAAGCGGAAGGGTCTGTCTTCATTCAGCAATCGAAAGGAATGGAAGACTCCGCATATTGAAAGTTATATACCGCGCGAAGAAAGTATGGAGAAAAAGCTGATGAAGATCAAAAAGGCTGATTTGTGGAGAGCTTTCGGTGCGCTGAACGATGATCAGAGGATGGTCATTAGCAACATTCAAAGGCACCAGAATGAGACTGAAAAGCACCCAGACGTGACCTGGGAATTGGTGACGCTCTCTGAAGTAAAGGCCAGACGTGAGAGGACCATCGGCAGTGACCGAGTCAAGGAGGAACATATCAAGTTTGTTCTGAAACGCCAACGAAAGATGGATATGAATATCCCGCCCTTTCAGCTTCTTGGAAATTCCATGAATGCCATGAATGTCATGCAACCTTCCTTTCCCCAAGAACAGAGCCAACATATTCCTAACCAAGGAGTCGGACTGCAGAGGACGCCTGGACCACTAGCACCCCCGCCGCCTCCTCCTCTGGGCGACTTACCTTTACCTTCACTCCCCGTCCCACAAAGAGCTACTTCCCATGGATCTGTGCCGGCCATGTCGAAGACTCCAGGGACGAAAGATGGTCTTGGACTCCCGAATGGAAAAATACCCGTTCCCGGTACCCAAATAAAGAAATCTGAGGCTCAAAAGCTAGTTCATGAAATGATGAACCGTTTGGAGAAAGAAAACGACCGGAAAAGAGCGGATAGTTTGTCAGATTCGGAAGATAGCGACTCCGAACCTTTTCGTTTAAACAGAGCCCGCTCCCATCCATATGAGGACGACAAGAAGCAGCTACGGCAAGGTCAGAACAAATTGGATCCTCCTCCGCCCATCAAGAGAAAGACCTCGACTATCAGCATCAAGACAAATAAAGGCAAAAGGGTCGATAAAGAGGTTACGGAGCACTTCGATCGCCGGGCCAAATATTCTAGCAGCAGCGATACCGATAGTAATTATGACGATATGGACGAGCATTCATGCAAGTCTTACAGCACCCGAGGAACAGAATATAATAACGATTGTTCAGATGATCATCCCTACTACCGAGAAATAGACAAGGATCGCCGACATGTTGAGCGAGGCAGAACACGTAGCGGAACTTCGAGTCAGAGTCGGACTCGCTCAAAAGAAGAACAGCGCCGGAATCGCAGTAGAGAATCACGTCATTTCAACAAACCAAGTGGTGTGCCTCCGCCTCATCATTGGCCATCGATGGCTTCGCAAGGTGATCGCCCTCCTCGTCGAGAAAGCAGACATGAACGCCAAGAATACTCCCTCTATAACGGGGTTACCTATCCGGGCTCCTCAACGGAGTCCCTCTGTACCCATCCAACATACAAGCCTCGCGTGCCGATGGTCTCAGATTTCATTGGCCAAGACCCCAGAACGAGCAACCCAAGTGAAATTCGGGAAACCGCTAGGTATCTTGCTCAAGCTGGAAATTTCGACGAGACCGAAGTCTTCCAACGTGGTGTCAGAGCTGCTCGACGTGAGCTTGACATTCTTAAGAGAGAAGTAGAAATCAACCGCAAGGAACAAATGGTTGGGGAGATGAGCAGGAAACTAGAAGAAAAACAGCAAGAGCTTCGATCCCAACTCGAGCTCATGCGGCTCGTGCGCAAAATACATGAACCTGCGCAACATCCAGAAGCTGTGAACCTTGGACCAAGGGACGCCGAAACCAGGTACGGCCATGCACAACCCCTTCCCAGCGTACTTGATGATTTTCAATTTCCAAACCCGCATCCCCTTTCGTACGGCAATTCAGGAGCCGGATAGCTGCGAAGCTGTTCTTCATGGCACAAAAAAAAATGTCGATAGCTCTTCTCAGAATATTCTGGCCTGCTGTTAGTCAGGGCTTGAAATAATTCCAGATCTATTCAGAAGCAGAATTTTTCCGATCCCCTTTCCCAAGACGTGTGCGCATGGCTGTCGAGAGCGTCTTGCTCCCAAGTACACGCACCTTCCGCTCTTTCGTCGTCATTGTTTGCGTCTCCACCCGCGGTCGGTGGCGGCGCTGCGATACAGCATGCTTCACGTGATATAGCGCGTCTCATCGCCCAGTCGAACGGTAGAATCCGATGCTTTTTAGCGAGAGTAAGCTAGAGCCTTGGTTGATCTAGCCGGGCGCGTGAGTGTTCGAGGGCATTGAGTCACATGTCTTGATGACAATGCTGAAGCTTGGTGACTAACCATTTATACGCGTCCCGGGATCTGGTCAACGATAGAAGGGAATATCACGTCCGTCCGAGAGCACGACGGCAGGGTGTCACCAAGGTACGGTAGGGTACGATTATCTGCGCCTGTGCTTCCGTCCCGTAAACCAAACGTTTTCTTTGGAGCACTGTATCTTCGTGTCAGACAATGTAACGGCTTGGATCGGGAATTTGTTGTGATCCATCCAAATTCCAGACGTCCAGCTACTGATTGTCCCCCTTTAAGTCCGCTTTTCCTTTTTGCTGTACGAACGCCAGACAAACTGCCTCTGACCACGTCTTTGCATCGCTTCGAACGACGATCAGTCTGAGGATGCTTCAGAACCAGAAGTTTCCAATCGTTTTTCCGAAAAAAAAAAGTTAAAATCCGACGCCGCTGTGGCCCGTTGAAATCGGCCGCGTGAACAATGCAAGCTCGCTGACCAGGCTGTTCATGTTCAGCAAGAGTAAGGGTCGGCGTGATGGATCGGCAATTGACTATCCATGGTCCTCAACTGCCGGAGATTTGAACGAATGAAGGAGGTGGATATGTCGCTCCTCCAGGCTCTTCAACCCATGCGACGAATCGACGAGGCTGTCCTTCGCCGCGCCCTCTTGCCGTCTGGATACAGCTCGAACCGACGGCTTACAGGACTGCAAAGCATCCTGGCATGGGCATAGGGCATAAGGCTGAGGGCTGGGCAGGTTGTGCCGGCGCAAGAAAGCACAGCCCAAATCTGGGTCCGCAGAGATAGAAAAAAAAAAGCAAGTTTGTTTGATGAGCACGTACGGCACGACGTTTGACGAGCGCTCTGGAGGAAAAGCGGGGATGGGCCAAGAGCAGCAGATCGAGACGACCTGTGTTAGGAACGGATGCTCGCCAGTGGGACGCGGCCTAGGGTGCTCGTCTGAACGACGGCTGAGGCGCCGATAACACGGACCTGATACACGGACTGCAGCTGCAGCACCGCTGCATCTCCGTTGTCCAAGCCACAGCAGGACAGACTGTCGCCATTCGAAGGCCTTGGAGGCGTGCGGCAGCCGTCGAGCTTTTTCAAACGCAGCAAGGCTTATTCTAGGCCCAGTGACTCCAGGTCGTCGCCATCCCGATTCAAACGAGCGAGCATGAACGACGACGGGAGACCCGTGGACGGCCTCCTAGCCCAAGCCTACTTGAAATGACTCGCTGGGCGTTGTTCCGCCAGTATGGTTGTCCATTCTTCCATGTCGAATGCTTGAACATCTCCCATCACCGCATTCTACCGGCATGCCTTCCATCCGAAACCTGACGTCGTGAAGTTCAGGGAGCGAAGACGGCGCGATCCGCAGCTGTCTGTTTTAGTTAGGAATCAAATTACCGCACCAAGGTCGGCTTCGCACAGAAGGTAAGACAAACCTTCGGAAATACACCTTTAAGGCCGTATATGGGTGTCCAAGAGTATTCTGTCCAAAACTCCGGAGTCCAGGCCCCGATATGGATCCGCTTCTCACAGCGCTCAGCGGAGCCAATCAGTGTGGCATTTCATGCTTGATTTCTTTTCTAGATGCCATGACGTCGTAATCCCCAGTCGTGGCCGTGAATTGATTAAGATAGCATGTCTCAGCGGTCTACAGGCCCCATGATATCTGACATAGGAAAGGACGAAAGGATCTTACTTTTCTTTTTGCAACCTCTTGTGTTTGAAATGGCGTGCGTGGCTGCCATTGAGAGGCCGCGACGCGTCCGTACCATCTATATCATTCTCAGATATCCGTGCTAAAGCCTCACCTTCCGCTCGTCGACAGGTTATCCCAGACATCATTATGTCTAGTCGACTTGGTGACGGGCTCGACCACAGACAAAAGCATTCCATGCCGGCAATTGCCATTACTATTCAGGTTGTGACGACTGCCTTGCTATGGACTCGTGTCGCAAGCCGCTTTGCTACACGTAGTCAACTTGGGATCGACGATGCATTCATCGTCATCGCCTGGGTGCTTGGGATTGGTCTCACCATAGTTGTTCTTCTTGGTACGCACCCTCTCAATTGCTTCAACCTTGCTGACCTCCGTCTTCACCAACAGGCACCGAGAAATACGGTCTGAATCGCCACATCTGGGACCTTTCGCCCACTCTTTACGTAAGTGGAGGACGGGTGAGTGTCGGTGCGCGTAATGTTCTTATATCTTTCTGCTGACGTCTCTTGACCAGGTCGGACTCGCCGTCGAAGTCCTTGTACTCCTGAGTCTATGCTTTACAAAAGTATCGGTACTCATGTTCTACAGACGGTTGGTGGAAGGCACCGTCAGCCGAAAATTCAAGTTTGCGGTCTGGGCGGCCAGTATGTCTCGACGAAATGGACTCTATGATGATTACGTGGTAACACAAGCTCCAGTAGCGTTCGTAGTCGCCTACACCATCGCGTTTGTAGCGATCACATTCTCCGGCTGTAAGCCCGTCAAGGCTTTGTGGCTACGATATGATATCCTGGGATGGGCAGCAACTCATGAATTCGAATGCTGGCCAGCAGCTCGTGCAGTCGTCGCAGCAAAGCTTGCTGGCGCTTTGAGCGTGGTCACCGACTTTTACTCGGTCTTTCTTCCCGTGGCATTGGTACTCCAAATTCGTATCAGCCGCAGGCAAACGATCGGACTTCTCATCATCTTTGGAATCGGGCTACTGGTCGTTGGAGCCGGCATTGCACGCACGTACTACCTTGGACGAGTCTTTGGCGAAACTATTGACAGGCCATGGTGGACGTGGGACGTTTTCCTTGCAAGCGTGATCGAATGCAATGTTGCAATTATCTGCGCATCTGCACCCAGTTTAAAGGCGCTGTTCGGCAGATACTTCAAGAGCGTCTCGTCCTATCATCCAAGTGCATCGGATGCGAGCAAGACAAAAAGCAGCACAAACAGCAACTACAACTTGTCTAAAACGAACGCCGGTAGGACCAAGCTTGTCGAACAGCCTACAGAGCTTATGAAGCCAAGAGCACGAACAGGCACCGCAGATTACTCGACCTTTAACGGCGAACATAGCACGGGCGACCTTGATCGCGGTATTTCCACAGAAACGTCTGTAAACTTTGCGACTGCTCAGGTGGTGCCTCATCACAACGGGAAAGACGGCCGTTTTCGAGAGTCTTTTTTTGCTTCGACAAGCTCGGCAGGTGTGTCTGACGACGAGATCGTGCTTGTGCCGAAATCAGACCCTGAGCGTCAGGATGTCATTCCAGGTTGACATACGTCCTGACCAAGAAATTGCAGCGTCGCTTTTTAAGAGTTACAGCGTCGTCAATCATTATAGGATGTCTACCGCGGAACGAGAAAGATTTGATTGATCCAAACCTGCCGCTGTTGTAAATGTGCCGTACACTGTACGGCATGATCTCGTCTGACCACGTGGTGAGAGGATAGAACTATGATCTCAAGTGCTCGGATCTTCGCTGCGGTAAATTCGTCACCGGCTGATTTGAATGAGGAAAAGAAAAGTATCTTGGCTATCGTCATGCATTCTTGGGAATGGTACGGAGCACACTGAGTTGGCGACAAGGTTAGAAGCTTGAAATTTCATGATATCAAAAACCGTGCGGAAGAATCCCTGATTATCCAACGCGAATCGCGCGTAACGTGTGGTCTGGTATGTCTTGCTCAGGCAATCGCAGAAGCAAATTTCTCAATGTCTTAGCCACATAATTTAACCGACCCTGCGTTCAAGCCATCTCGAGAATCCGTTTTGTTTTCTCCTTTCTTTTCTCGAAAGCCGTCTCGAGTCATCGCCGTGATAAGCACATGGGTTCACAGATCTGGCTCCCACGGTGCTCGGACATGATGTCTCACCCATCCGGCCAACGACAGATCTCACGTGTTTCATTTCGAGACAAGCCCGAAGAAAAGCACCGTGAAGAGAGAAAAAAAAGCAAGCACGACATGGCAGTGCGTTGTGATCAGTCACAATGACGTTCGTGGGGCGAAGAAATAACGGCAAGCGTACTTGCCGCTGCGTGCTTCAGGTGTAAGAAAGAGCTTGCAAATTAACGCACCGCCTTTCACGAGCAGAAAATCGTTTGGGTAATCGGAATTGCCATGTGCACTTCGTCGACACTTCCCACGATATATCCTATTGTTCCGGTCGCAGCATCACATAGTTGTTATGGAACCGCGTCTCCCTTTATCTTCCATGAGGGTTTCGTGAACGGCCCTCAAAGTCAATTATAGTCAAGATAGACATACCTACGATGCTGCAGATAGGATTGAGATTGCTGTAATTGAAATTCGTAATTCTGGGCAAACCAAGGATATGTGTAATTCTGGTAGTTACTCTAGCCATTTGTACACCTGTCTGTGACTGTATGATCTATTAACCCCCTGTTTGCAGAACTCTCTGACAGCCGTACTGTGCACGCCCTAATCGCAGCCGGAACATTGTAATATTCTGGGCGAGAATGACGTACGAGAAAGACAATGACTTTCAAAATATTCATGTGTCTTGAAAATCGACCGAAAGAACGCCAGCATATGCACATGATCAACCATTCACTTCGAACAAGTATCCCGTAGGAACTAATACATACGCCACGTCTACTGTACCTTTTCGATTCTACAATTCCATCCCGACTCCTGGCTCAAAAGTGGTAAACTACGGAAGATTTGTTAGCCTTGTGTGTGTTTACGCAAAAGATCCTATCCTGCGACTTACCTTGCGCCCAAACACCAACCTAGCTCATTCCCTTTGATCTTCTTAGCAATCTTCACTTCGCGATCGAGGGGCATCTCGTAGCCGGTATGTAGCAGAGCAAACATGAAATTCAAATCCAGACAACTTTCCGGGCGTCCTTTAAGCTCGTCAATGGCACCCTGTACTGAATGGAAAACGTCCCAATGGCTCTCGCCAGAGCACACACGATGTGCAAGATCCTTGAGCTCGGAAAGAGTGAATGATTCGGGCATTCCGAGAGGCTTGGTTCTGTCGTAGAAATAGGAGAACAGATAGATATCTTCGCGAGCAAAAGTACGCGATAGGGATGGTTGGTGAACGCCATTAAAGGCACACGGCTGGAGCTTGCATTCAGCATCCTTTTTAAGCGTCTTCTCAGCTAGGGCGCGGCACTGTGCAGGAGCGCCAGTCTTGGGGCCAGTCATCTTAACCTTGACAGACTTTCCTAGAGGATGATCTGCGTCGAGCTCGACCGTCACATCGCGAGACATGCCCGGAGTGATGCACGGATTTAGAACGGGTTCTGAAAGCCACGCAGTGTCTTCCTTTTTCTCCGCATGCATGCTTTCGATGACTACCTTGTGCAGATTCTCACGTGCTGCCATCAGACCGTATCCCAGATACGAGTGTTGATACAGGGTGAAATCACGACCACCGAAGCTAAGCTCGTACTTGTGATCTCCTTCCGCGAGCTTCTCTGGCATGCCTCCATCTTTCACGTCAGGAAAAGTGGGCTGGAACACAATCTGAGTGCTTCCACCGCCAAGATCGAACACAGCCGCCGTCGGATTTTTGTCTGGACCTCCGATCTTACCCAAAAGATAGTTTGTTGTTATCCAGGCATACACGCCTTCGTCCTTTCCATCCATGACCTCGACGCCGCCCTTCTCCTCGCTGACGACAGGAAATGGGTAGACCGTCTCAAGTCTGCGGCGCACAGCTTTCAAGATCCGATCGCTCAGCTCGGGACCAAGCTTGCGCAATCCTGCGGTGGCCTTGACCGCGACAGGAGTGCAAGCCTTGTACTCATCTGGAACATTCTTCACCGCGACATCCATGAGCACGTCTAGACTTTTCGCCGCACCCTCGGCATCCTCCCTGTAAGAAGAAAGACCCGAGCCGCCTTCCTTTTTCGCTGTCTGCTCGAAGATCTCGTCTTCCAGCTCGGGGGTGCTGCCGCAATTGTTGAATCTGTAAACATGGATTCTGCTTCCAGTGCTTCCGGCGTCGATCATCAGCGCGTACTGGACAACCGGCTTTTTTCCGTCGTGGCTTTTCGTGCACCTTCGTCCAGCATTGGCGGCTGGACCAAGCGCTCCCTCTTTGGAACCTCCCTTGTGTGAAATGTGGTCGCTCACATAATGAGCAGCGCCCTCACGTCGTTCGCTGGGAGTCATGTACAGAAAAACAATGAGCACGAATGCGATGACGCCGCCCCATTTCAGGTAGCGCGTCCTGTGCCCGTGATTCATACTGGTTTTTGATGGTGTCGATGGCTCATAGAAAGACCCAGCGTCGCTGCTGTTTCCTGTAGCCTGGTTGTCTCTCTCGTACTTGTTGATGCTGTAGTTTGGGAGGCCGACGGAAGAGACGCGGCGATGTCTCGTGCTCTTGCCACTCGACGACGAGGACGACGACGTGAAAGGTATGTAGGACCAAAAATTTGGGGAGCGGCGACCAACGGCGTCGACAACGCTGCTGGAGGACATGTGGAACAGAGTGGCTAGGAGACTACGTTGTCATCGCGCAAAGGAGCGACAGAAGGAGAGAACAAGAGGAACGAGAGAAGAGGGGGGAGTCGTGGATGTTTGCGTGATGACAATAATTCAGTCCCCTTTCCCGAAGTTGGCTTTCTGCCATGTGGACGATCTGGCTGTGGGTCCCAGACAGATCGCCATCGACGTTGTGGGTTAGTTGCCGGCCCCTTGCTGAGCCCGGCCTGGGGGTCCCGTTAGTTCTGCCTCTTTGCTTTCTCAACCCCTTTGACTTCGAGCAGACGCGCAGTTCTTGGCGAGACGTAAGGCTGAGTCCCATCAACTTTGTCGTTGGCTTTGTGGCGAATGACGTTGAGATTGCATTGACGCGACGCCGTGTTGTCTAACGCCTGCTTCTCAGGACGTATCAAGTCTGCCGTAGTCGTTGAACTCCCCAACTAAGCGTCAAAATTGCCTTCCTCCGTCTTGACATGCTCCATATCAGAATCAAGCATGTGGAAATGCGGAACAGAGAATCCGAATGTCCATTATTTGTATCTAGAAATTGCACAAATCTAGAAAATAGGAATCTATAGTAAACGCTGAAAGAGTGGGCTTTTGTGTTTCCGCCTTGCGCCAACGGGTGTGGAAGCGGCTCATGCTGGACGCTCCGAAACATACTTCAAATTACATACTCTCCTTTGGCAGCCGTCGTCTTTGAAGAACATGACTGATGACTATGCCTCCGACGATTGACTGCATTTGTCTTCCCGACCAGTACAATCTGCAGAAGTCTCCGAGTTTGGGAGTCAAAGACGATGGCACTAAAATTCTGAATGATTAGTAATTACAACTCAAAATCTGAAATCTTAGATTTGTCGTAAACAATGGACAGCGAACACTTCCCACCACAGCGGTATTTGTACGCGTATAGACATGTCATTACGCGAACGTCAAGGTGCTGTGTCTGGCTACTTCACGTTTCATCTAGAAGTAGAATGTGGGAGGCAACATACGCCTTGAAAATGTCGAGATCCTCTGAAAATAGGCTATGATTGCCATTAGGTTCAAAAAATGAGGGATATCAAGTTGTAGAGCTGTGTTACAACCCTCATTGAGGGCTTGACTCCGGGGAGATTTGTAAGATGAGATATGGGACAAATGGAGCCCCAGCGGCTCAACCTTTGTCAACTGGAGGTCGTCGCTCAAGCCTCAATGTGCATGTGGAGACGAAGTTGATGACCAAACGCTTCGGCTTTATTGACTTTATTCGTTGCTGAAATATTTCAAGAGGCCGTCATTCCGAGCTTAGTTCTACGCGTCCGCTATCATGCCTGCTATGGATATAGCGGGTGCTGAAGTGACGGCGAAGTTGTTCATTTAAAGGGTCTCTCGACTTCGAAATAAATAGGAGGATGGCCAATACCGCATGTGTCAGATGCACCAAAAGCAGCACGCCTACAGAAATGAGACCTCGATGACGGAATGGATAGAATGCTTGCTTGTAGTTGTTGACAAATGCTTTAGATGCTATGTCAAAATAGGGAAGCCTGCACAAGAAACGTCAGATATGAACTGGCGCTGCGTGGTAGAAGAGGTTACCTTGAGTAATATTGCATACTTCTTGTCAGGGTGAACAAAGCCTGCAAGGATTTTGCAGGACTTGCAGTCCTTTGCAAGGTCTGTTGGAAAACAATGCTTAGAGTCGTGGAGATACCTCGAGAGAGCGAATCACCATTGTAGCCTCCACAGAAAGTACATAGCCCGTACGTTATACCAGCTTGAGCAAAGATGCCGTCTCTGGAGACAGCAGATGTTGCATTATACCCAGAACCCCAAGGACGCTGTTCAGTTAAAGCTAGTATTCCCCTTTCGGCTTTGCTGCGACCTAGAACGCCCAGTTGTAAGACTATGTCGTCCACATCAGTCGCATAAATACTATCATTTTTCGGATCACGGAGAAATGGCTCAACTCTGTGCGGGGCACCACTCGCCTGCAATTCCAGGTCGACTGCACCCGTACTAACAAAGCACAAACTGAGTTGAATCGAAAATATGGAATTCGAAGCGTACGTTGCATTCGTCCAAGAGCCAGTTTGGCTCTGAATCCATTCAGTGATGGTGGCATTCTGTATGCCGACATTCGCAACGCTCTGATCGCCAGAGCTGACAGAAGCGCTGATTGGTATGGTGCTGTTCGCTGTGTGATTGAGCAGGACATATATCGACGTGTCCGCCGCAATACCATCCGCGAATGGAGAGGTAATGTTGACATAGCTATTTAGCTCTTGGATCAAACACATCGTGATAGGCCATTCAGCTGCGTTTTGTGCGAGTTCAAAGTTACAGCTGAAATTCAGACTGATGGCTGCCCCGCGATCGATTTCGAGGCCTTCAGGAATTGTACTGCCCAGGCTAAGCGATCCTCGGAGGCTCTGTGTTGGGAGGTCAGGAGAAGCACTCGGACCGGAAGACGAATACGTGGCATCGTCAATTATTGGAGCCATGCAAATGACTCGGCTGTTTAGTAGAGTAGCAAATCCATTATATTCCGCCACCGCCAGACGTTCTGGATTTGAGCCGATTGGAAGAAATGCCCTAAGAACTTCACCAGTATCGCTGATCTCGGATGTCGTTGTATCAGATTCGTGAGAAAACTCTGCGAAGCTAGGAAATTCAGTCGGCGCTATGGAGCTGTACTCGGTCTCGGCTCGGCTCAAATTCTGTAGACGAGCTTTACTGAGCCGGTATTGGATCCCGTTTCTCTCTATTTGTCCTTCGGGAACAAGGCCAACGGTGAAATCAGAGAAGAGAATGGTCGGAATGAACTGCAGCACTAAGGTAAAGAGAAGAAGCAGCAAAGCAGCAGCCGATGCCGACCTTGACCATCTTATTGAGTCGCGTTTGCGAAGCAGCATGTACTCTGTCCCTGGCGATTGATGCTGACATGCAGAATTTGAAACAATACAGAATATTAGAAGACCAGCAACAATAGCTTGAAACTCAGCAGCAATCCAGAGAATGCTGGCGGTCAATGACGTGGCGCGAACTATCCAATTGTTGGCCACAACTGAGTGCCAAGTTGTATCCCGTGCTGTCCATAGATAGCACAAAAATGCGAATGATGCAAAAACGCACAAGAGGGACGCAATGAGAAAGAAGGATAGCCGTGAATTGAAAAGATGACTCGTTTGTTCCGCTGGAGCACCTTTTGCTTTTGTTCCATGTTCGCTTGCTTTTTCCTCTACGTCGGCGATCACATATCGGGGTTTGGCTCCAGGAACGCTATATCGCTGAAGTTGCACGGTGCGAACTGGGCCAGGGGAGATGACGTCTTGGACGCGTGCACTTTCGCTGCCATAGTTGGCACCATACGAGGCGTCTGAGAGTGGAGATACAGGTATCGAGTTCTCGGTTCGAGCCGCTAGCGAAGGGCGGCTTTCGCCGCTGTTGCTAGAAACTGGGCGGAGCTGGTTATCAATGCTGTTGTGCCTTTGCGAAAAAGAATCCATTGCGACAGTGTGCGGAAGAAGCGAGAGACGGAAACAAGGACGTTGATGTAGAGAGCATGAACGCAAACTGAAAGCATCTAATAGGAAGAGAATAGGAAAAGAATGAATGCAATGCAGCTCAGCACAGCTACTACCTGCGAGGTTGAAAACAAGGGCAAAGTCTCAAGGTTGGGGCTATATTCCACATCTGCCGAAACTCAGCCACCGCAGGGAGCGTGTATACCTGGGCGGTTTACTGCTGTATGCCTAAGGTGCCAAGGGTTTATGGACGGTTATTCACAGTTGTGGCTGTTGGTCTTCGGTGTTGATTGACAGAAGATCAACCTTGGGGCCATGATGCTCGTTTGGAGAAGAGCTATTCTTAGGCTCATGTTTTGGATGTTCAGGCAGAGCGCCGTTGCTCCCAGGCTGGCAGAAACAGGCTAGCGCAGGAACCCGAAGGTTTTCCTTCCATTTCACTGGCTGGAAAAAGGTAGCGCCAAGTAGTAAGATACGACCAACATGCTTCCTTTCCAATTCTGCCGGATTGGCTATTCTCCCTAGCATGCCAGCTCCTCTTATATCCAAATTCAAAAAATGTACTCCGAATTGCATGAGCAGCATGACGTGGTGTGCACAATTAATGTTGGGGAACAACAGTCGAGCCACCACAAGGAATCGTTTCTTGTAACTTCGGCATCCGCTCCATCATGCATTCTTTGTGCAAGTCTTGCCTGCGCACCAGCTCGACAGGAATTCGAGTCGTCGAGGGAGAGAATGTTTGAATCTTTGGCCGGATTGGTGACGTTGCGTCCTATGTGTCGAGACGTGGGTAAGCTGAGTCAGTGTGCACAATGGACAACTCTGACCAACCGACCGCTCTGCGGGTTCGTTATCGCTCGCGTGTCTGCTGCACTGGCTTGTTCTGGGACCAGACTGCTCATCAAGGGACTTCAACGTCGTAAAATCATCAATGTCGACTCTGCTGATCAGCACCGCGAGCCGCTGCTTTACGCCAGACAGCACGCGCTTTTGTCCGCTGCCACGAGCCCAGATGGGTGACCATGAGCCCGTTTCGAGATTGAACCACTGCCGTGGATAGAGGCGAGGCTTAGTGCTGAGTGTGATGACTGCCGCATCTGCTCCCTGTGTGGCGTTACGGCCTTGGCGGCGCCACAGCGACTCAAGGTGACAAGGTAAGTTAACGTTAACTTGCAGGCCGAGTTTGATCACGTGATACTGGCCTCATCTTTGCACAATCAGGTTGTTCAGACACAACAAACTAAGTTAACTAAATCCAGTTAGCGCCCGCTGTCCCCCGCCGCTAGGACCTGCCCGGCTAATAATTTTTGGTTTCTCGATGGATGCAGGAAAAAAAAAAGTTCAAGCAGCTGTTCCTCGCAACATTTGCACGCAGCGTTGGTCGATCATGTCCAACGGAGCCACAGAGAAGGTGCAGGCTTTGCACAAGAAGCCGCGTCGCTCTAGTCGCGGTACAGAGGACGACTTCAAAGTGGCAAAGCGAGCAAAGACTCAGGACGAAATGCCGTCTACCTCCCGCAAAGATAAAAAGGAAACGGCGGCAAAATCGCAATTGACAACAAAGTCTGTTCTGAACCTCGAGGAACGTACCTTTCCACGAGGCGGTGCCAGCGTCCTCACGCCAATCGAGCGTAAACAGATCCAAATTCAGGCTGACCGCGATGCGCTCTTCGAAGAAGCGGGCAAAAAGCGACCGCCGCCACAAGACATTAGCGACGACGACGACCAGGGAGATACTATTGCAGAGAAGGCCAAGAAGAAGCAAAAAGAGATAAACCCGTCAAAGAGGAGGAAAACGAGACAACTTGACCACCCCAACAAGACTGAAGAGAAGGCTGATCGCATCGAGGGCCTGAGTTTCAAGAAACTCGTGCCCGGCTCGCTAATCCTCGGCCAAGTGGCGGATATCACGTCGAGAGATGTGGCGATCTCCTTACCAAACGGGTTGACAGGGTACGTGCCGTTGATGTCCATTTCAAGGCAGCTCAGCGAACGGGTAGAGAAGCTTCTTGAAGACGCCGACGAGAATTCTGAGTCCTCAAATTCTTCAGAATTTGAAGACATTGACATCAAGAAACTCTTCAGGATTGGCCAATACGTTCGCGCTGCGGTTGTCTCCTGCGGTGAAACGAAAAGCGGCAAGCATAAGAAGCACATTGAGTTGTCTCTCGATCCAAGACTTGTCAATGTAGGGCTCACTAAAGATGATATCGTCGTCGACAGCACAATTCAGGCTAGCGTCATCAGTATTGAAGACAACGGTCTCGTAATGGATCTAGGCATCGACGATGTTGACGCAAAGGGGTTTATCGGCGCCGATGATGTTGACGTGGACGTCAAGCATACAGACATCCCAGAAGGTGCTGTGCTCCTTTGCCTTGTAACCGGACATGGTGGAAATGGGAGGGTGGTTAAGCTTTCTAGCAGTACAGCGACGATTGGGAACGTTAAAAAGGGCAAGCACACTCTCACAAATAGTCCAAGCGTAAACGCCTACATCCCTGGCACTGCAGCTAGCGTCATCGTCTCTGAAGTCACAGAAAACGGCATCAGAGGCACGATCATGGGCATGGTTGATGTTACGGCTGACCTGGTTCACGCCGGTGGCGCTGAGGGAAATATAAACTTGGAAGAAAAGTTCAAGTCTGGGTCCAGACTCCAAGCCAGAGTTTTGTTTACGTATCCCAAGAATGAGTCTCAAAGACTTGGGATCTCAGTCTTGGAGCATATTGTATCCCTGTCACCCAAAAGCAGCGCTGACCAGCATCGCACATCTCCGCTCGAAAGGCTACCGCTTTCCAGTACAGTTGAGGAGGCCAAGATAGTGAAGGTGGCTCCACGAATGGGCGTGTACCTCGATCTGGGGGTTCCTGGCGTCTATGCCTTCGCTCACATTTCGAATTTGAGCGACAAGAAAGTCGATAGCTTGTCAGCCGACAGCGGACCCTACAAACTTGGCACAAGTCACAGGGCCCGGGTTATCGGATACAGCGCGATTGATGGGCTTTTCGCAGTGTCTCTTCAGGAATCCACATTGAGCCAGCCGTTTCTGCGGGTAGAGGACGTACATCCTGGTCAGCTCGTTGATGGAACCATCGAAAGTCTGCCAATCAAAAGCAATGGTGTCAGTGGTATTCTACTCCAACTCGCTGATGGAATCCGAGGTTTTGTTCCGGTAGAGCACATTTCCGACACGGTTCTCAAGCATCCGGAGCGTAAATACAGACCGGGTATGCGAGTTAAGGCGCGCGTTCTCAGAGTAAATCGAGAGAAGCAAACCATTTATCTAACCATGAAGAAAACTCTTGTGGGATCGGAGATCGAGCCATGGACAAATTACGACAGTTTAAACGTTGGCGATCTGGCCCCTGGCTTTATAACTCGACTGAGTCCATCGGGTGCGTGGGTTCAATTCTATGGCGACGTGCGAGCTTTCCTTCCAGTTGGAGAAATGAGCGAAGCTTACATAAAAGACCCTGCTGAACATTTCCGCCTTGCTCAAGTGGTTAACGTGCACATCGTTTCCATTGATCGAGAGGGAAGACGCATGATTGTCTCGTGTAAGGACCCAGCCAGCTTCAGCAAAGAGCGTGAGGAGGCATTCGCTGCCCTGGAGGTGGGTCAGCTTGTGGATGGCACTGTTATCGAACTAGCCAAAGATTTAATCACACTTGAACTCGCCAGTGGAATTCAAGGACATCTACGTGTTCAGCAACTCACAGATGGTGGAGAGAAAAAAAATGCAGCAGCATTAGCCAAGATGCGCGCTGGCATGCGTCTACAGAATTTGACCATTCTACAAAAGCTTGGAGGCTCGCGGGCAGTTGTTCTGAGTAGCAAGCCCAGCATCATGGAAGCCGCACGTAATGGGAGGCTTCTAACTAGGTTTGAAGATTTGCAAAGGAAGAAAAAGGTGGATGGCTTTGTTAGGGGTATTACAGCAACAGGCGTATTTGTTGAATTTGGCAACAGGATCGTAGGATTGATTCCTGAAACTGGAATGCCAGATGGGATGAAACAACTGCGAATGCAGAACTACGGATTGACCGTGGGCCAATCAATTTCCGCCATGGTGTGGAATATTTACGCGGATGAGAATCGCTTCACTTTAACGCTGCGTGAAGAGGTCATTCCTGACAAGGTAAACGATAGCAAGAAACCATTGCGGGCACCGCAAGCGCCTCGAGAACTAGGAAATCCAGTGGACCCTAAATTGGCCACAGTCGATGACCTCAAGATTGGCACACAGACATTCGCAAGAGTCAATGCTGTTAAAGAACTTCAGCTCAACATCAGTCTTGCCGACAACGTTCATGGTCGGATCCACGCCACCGAAGTTTTCAAAGCTTACGAGGACATTGAGAACCCCAAAGCGCCACTTCAGAGCATTAAGCATAATGCCACTCTTCCGGTTACCGTAATTGGCCTACATAACGCGAGAACGTACAAGTTCTTGCCTTTTAGCCATCGCCAGAGTGTGCATCCAGTCTATGAGTGCTCTCACAGACAATCCGACACGTCGGAGCCGGAGACGCTGTCTTTACTCAAGCTGAAAGAAGGCGAAGAGCGGCTGGCTTTCGTTTGCAAGTATACTGGCAGTCATGCATTGGCTAGTGTTTCACCAGACATTCACGGCATCATTGACGTTGTTGACCTTGCTTCGATAGAAACAGACTATCAAAATGCGTTCCCAATCGGCTCAGCGCTTCAGGTCAAGGTGCGCCGGATTGATGTTGAAAAAGGAAAGCTCCAACTGGCCCCTACAGCAGCTCCAGAGCTATCCAAGAGAACATTTGAAGAAGGTGGAATCTATGTGGGCCGTGTTACGCGGACTCATGCCGATGGTCTGGACGTGCAGCTTTCTCGGCATTGTTGGGGTCTGGTTCCACTAACAGAGCTTGCGGATGACTACGATCAGGCGGACCCAGATAGGTGGTCCGTTAAAGAGGCGATTAAAGTCAAGGTTTTAGCGAAACAAGATAGCGAAGGCAAATTTGTGCTTTCTGCACGACCATCACTCGCTGGAGTACACACCGGCGCAGCAGAACCCAAAGACCGACACATCCGTGGGAATAATGATCTAGCTACTTGCGAAGTAATTCGTGGGTTCGTCAAAAAAATTTCTTCTCAAGGAATGCTCGTTCGCCTAGGGTGGAACACTATTGCGCAAGTGCCTATTCATGAGCTTTCTGATGAGTTCATAAAGAACTACGCAGTCGCTTTTCAGCTGCGACAGCTCGTCACAGGCAAGATCACAAAGGTAGACGCAGATGGGGGACATCATAAGATGAGTCTACGCAAGAGCGTCTTGAATGACCCCAACTACCAACCAGAGCTCGGGTTCGCTGATATCAATATCGGAGATATAGTTGATGCGGTCGTGGTCAAGGTGGAGAATTATGGCGTCTTCATCCGCGTCGTACGCTCGAAAAATATCCGCGGACTATGCCATGTCAAGGAGCTGGCGAATACGCGAATAGAGGACCCTTCGAAGCTGTACAGCGAGGGTGATCTTGTCAAAGCTAAGATCATCAAACTTGACAAAGCGAAACGACATGTCAACTTTAGCCTGAAAGCTGTGCATTTCCAAGAATTGCCCGAAGCGAGAGTGGATTCAGAGGAAGAACGTGCTGTGCATGAGATGGATGATGCAAAGACAGGAACATATCCTGAACCTGTTCAAGCTGAGGACGAGGAAAGCGAGGTTGAGGAGGTTAACAAGACGCTTGATCACGCTCCAGCACGCAAACAAAGTCTTGCCAGTGGCCTGAAGACTGGTGCTTTCAACTGGGAGGGTGTCGCTGGTGAATCTAGGCAAGATGATGCTGAGCCAGAAGCCGACGAATATCGACACACCAAAAAGCGAAGAAAGGCAGAGATCCAGATTGACAAGACCGGCGATCTTGATTCGCATGGGCCCCAGTCAGTGAGCGATTTCGAACGTCTGCTCCTTGGCCAGCCAAACTCCTCCGCTCTTTGGATTCAGTATATGGCTTTCCAACTTGGCCTCTCCGAGGTTGAAAAGGCAAGGGAGGTCGCAGAACGCGCATTGAAAACCATACACATGCGTGAAGAAGAAGAAAAGTTGAACATTTGGATAGCGATGTTGAATCTAGAGAACACGTACGGTTCTGAGGAGAGCTTGGAAAGCGTCTTTGAGAGAGCATGCCAGATGAGCGACAAGAAGGAAGTCAACTTCCGACTTGCCAGTATCTACATCGACTCCGGCAAACACAAGGTTTGACCTACCACCTCCTCTAAGCGCGTGAACATTTACTGACTTTGTGGACAGGAAGCCGAAGCTTTGTTCAGCCGAATGCGCAAAAGCCGCGACATATCATGCGATCCGAACTATTGGCTCAACTATGCCACGCTCCTCATGACGACAATGAACCGCGCTGACGAAGCACGCGCGCTTCTTCAACGAGCGACTCAGGCTCTTCCAGCGCATCAACACGCTCACTTAATATCGCGTTTTGGTGCTCTTGAGTACCAATCCGTAAATGGCGACGTTGAGCGGGGGCGTACTATCTTCGAAGGTTTGATCGACGCCCATAAGACTGGGCATGATCTCTGGGATCAATATCTAGCACAGGAAATATCCTTGCTCCAAGCTGGAAAAGGCGACGTCGACAGCGTGAGGCGGCTGTTCGAACGGATGACCAAGTTAAAGATGAGACCTAAGCGAGCAAGATATGTGTTCAAGAGATGGATGAGTTGGGAGAAAGGACTTGTAGACAGTGGTAAAGGGAGTGATAAAATGGTGGCGAAAGTAAAGGAGTTGGCAGAGCAATGGGTGGCAAATGAAGGGCAAGGAAAGCAGCCTGACGCCTGACGGCCGAGTGACCGGACAGCTCCAGATACCAAGGCTTCGACACGTAGAAGCACGTAGAACTTGAGATATGCAAAGCTCCTTAAGCATCTTTACAGATTGGGCATGCAAGGCTATAAGATTAATAAAAACCAAGGATTCCGCGATGGCCACGTCAAAAGCCGTGTTGATGGTGGACAGAAAAGTGAGCAAAAGGACACACGTCCCAGGCGAGGATTATGCCGTCACGGGAGGACCTCCGCTCCTTCCCTCGACAATCAAGTCCGTGTGAAGGCCGGGAAGGAGCAGAAGGCCCGTGTTCTTGGGTGAGGCAGGCACGACCTCGCAGCCCTAGAGAACTGCGAACGGTGAACGGGGACGCGTGGGGCAACGCGCTGCCAGGCGCGGACACGACGATGTGAACGATGCTCAGGGGAGAGACCGCAAGACAAACGGGCGATAGAAGCGCTGGTGATGGTCATGCCACGCGTGCGGGCTTCTGTGCCATCCTCTCGTGGACCAAGCGGAGGAATCGGCTGAGAGCTCGGAAGGAATGGTTGACGGCGCACGGTTGCTGGATGATGGACGTTCGACTCTGCGTCTTTCGCGCACGGAAACGCAGAGACCATTCGATACATCGACCTGGGTTCAGGAGAAGGGAAGCTCATCCTATTTAGGATCACGTGCAGTCCAAGAGCTGTCTACTTGATCAAAATCTTAGTTCCTCACTAATGTACTTTCAACCCGCCGAGCACATAGCACTGCGCCGTTCCTAGACCACTGTTGGGCGAGACTTCGGAATTTGCAATACAGGAGGAATGTATGAGAATGAGCGAGGCGAAGCAATGGACTATCAAGATGCCAGCGGAACAGGTTTGAAGAATCTGTCTGTAAGACACTGCCCAACACCGGAGTCCCATGGGTGGACAGTCTAGCCAATAGATAGAATGCAAATACCACACATGCAGCCTGCAACTGATACAGGTTCAGAGGATGTACTGTTTGCGCTTTGATGCTTTCGCTTCCGACGCTGCGGATGCGAGCAGCGGTGGACAGATGGAGCCTGCAGCCTCAGGCCACTGCAGACGCTCATGGCCGCTGACCCAACTGTTCAAAGGATCCAACTAGTTGGTCAGTCCAGGCGCGAGCAGCATCCAATCACGGCTGCTACTGATCGTTATCGAAGGCCAGCTCGTCTTTCATATGCGAGAAAGCTTGCAGCTCACAGAAGCTGCGTGCAGACGCTTACTCGTTGCATGTGCACGACGCAGACTATACCGCGGATTGCTTTCGTCATCGGACCTCGCTGCTGTATAAGCTCTCCAAACACGGAGCATCCTTCTCTCCGTACACTTCTTCATCCCCCACTCGTCTTCAGTCTCAACCAACTGTCCCGGCACCTTTGCCGCCACTGCGGATCCCCTCGGCGAAGCTGGCGTCGGCCAAGGAGACCAGTCCACGGCGTAAGCGGCAGAAGCTCGACCACTCCCCTTCGCCAGCCACGAACATGTTGGAGCAGCACCTGCTTCCAGACGACATGTATTCCTTCCCTTCGTCGCGTCCGCGGGCGGGCGGCAGCGTCGCCGGCGTTATCGATCTAACTGCTTCGCCGAATGGTTCGTCGAAGAAACTACCCACTCGACCACGGCCAAATCTGCACCCCGAACTTGGAGTCAAGAGGATACAAGTCAAAAACCTGCGAACGGTCACAAGGGCAGACCCTAGAAAATACTTCGAAGACATCTGGGCCAAGTTGGATACATGTCTGCAGGCTGTCTTTATGGGCGAAAAGGCTCCCTACAGCTTGGAGGAGTTGTACAAAGGGGTAGAGAATGTGTGTAGACAGGGACGCGGGGAGGAGCTTAACAACAGGCTGGAGACTAAAGCCAGAAGCCATGTTACAGACAAGGTGAAGAATCGGCTCCTGGGCGCTGTTGACCGGAGCAACGTCGAAATGCTTGCGGATGTTGTAGCCGAATGGCAGGCGTGGGCTACTTACATGGATGCTATTCGTGGCATTTTCTTTTACATGGACCGCGCCTATCTCTTACCAAACAAGAGGCCAACGATACGTGACATGTCTGTGTCTCTGTTTCGTGACGCTATCTTTGACGACAAGCTGCTTCGGCCAAAGATCATCGGGGGTTTCTGTGACTTTCTAGCTTCAGACCGCAGAGGCAGTGGCGCCGGCCAGACACGACTCGCCCAGCAAGCGGTAGCAATGTTCAATGCATTAGGAGTGTACACCCAGGCTGTGGAGCCTAGTCTGTTGAAGGAGTCGCAGGCCTTTGTACGTGAGTGGGCCGACAGCGCGGTGAAAACAAAAGATCTTGGCACATATTTGAGAGACGCAGAGCGGTTGATGGACGCTGAACTCCTACGTTGCGATATGCTCGGCCTTGAAGTCAAGAGCACGAAGCGGGATTTGCTTGCCTTGTTGGAGCACCATCTTATTGAACGACAGCAGGAATTTCTTCTCAACAAGGACGCGATCGCGGATTTGCTTGATCAGAACGCGGTTGAGGATTTGGAACGTCTTTATTCTCTGCTAGCGCGGAAGCGGTTACAGGAGAAGATTCGACAGCCGTTCGAAGAATGGATCGATCTTACCGGCACGGATATCATATTCGACGAGAAAGAGCAGGATAATATGGTTGTGCGGCTACTCACACTGAAAGGTCAGCTCGACCGTCTCTGGCGTGATGCCTTCCATCGTAACACCGAAATTGGTCATGGCCTGCGTAAAGCCTTTGAGGTCTTCATCAACAAAACGAAGAAAACAAGCGGGACCTGGGGCACAGATAACTCGAAGCCTGGCGAGATGATCGCCAAATATGTGGACCTGCTTCTTCGCGGTGGTTCAAAAGTGATACCAGCTGCCCTCATTAAGAAGGACGCGAGCGCCGTACAGAGTCAGGAAGAGATCGAGGACAATGAAGACATAGACGAAGAACGTCAAGTTGACGACCAGCTAGACCAAGTTCTCGATCTCTTCCGCTTCGTGCAAGGAAAGGCTGTGTTCGAGGCATTCTACAAAAAGGATCTTGCAAGACGTCTCTTGATGGGTCGATCTGCCAGCGCTGACGCAGAGAGAAGCATGTTGACGCGATTAAAGACTGAGTGTGGATCTGGCTTCACCCAAAATCTTGAACAGATGTTCAAGGATATCGAACTCGGCCGCGAGGAAATGGCATCGTACAGAGAATATTTGACAGATCTCGGCTTGCAACCGAGGATCGATCTAAATGTGAATATTCTGTCCGCGAGTGCATGGCCGAGTTATCCAGATATCAAGGTCAACATCCCAAAGGAAGTTTTTTGCGAAATTGAACGATTCGAGCAGCACTACAAAAGCAAGCACAGCGGGCGAAAGCTCGAATGGAAGCACGCACTTGCACATTGTCAAATTCGTGCCTCGTTCCCAAAGGGCAGAAAGGAGATTGTCGTATCGAGCTTCCAAGCTATTGTCCTACTTCTCTTCAATGACGTGGATGACAACGAACACATCTCGTACGAGAGACTGCTGGCTGAGACGGGATTGCCTGAAAATGAGCTCAAGCGAACTTTACAGTCCCTTGCCTGTGCAAAGCTCCGACCTCTTCGCAAGCACCCCGCAGGTCGCGACATCAACGAGACGGACACCTTCACTCTAAACACTGGTTTTCAGCATGAGAAATACCGAATCAAGATCAACCAGGTACAGCTCAAAGAGACCAAAGAGGAAAACAAGGAAATGCACGAGCGCATTTACGAGGATAGAAACTTTGAAACTCAAGCGGCCATTGTACGGATTATGAAGGCCAAGAAGAAAATTCGCCATGTCAACCTTGTGGCAGAGGTTATCGAAGCGACGAAAAAAAGAGGCGTGCTTGATGTTGCAGGAATCAAGAAGAACATTGATAAGTTGATCGAGAAGGAATATATGGAGCGACTTGATGGCGGCGAGTATGGATACATCGCTTAGGCTAGTGCATCTGAGGATGAGGAAGAAAAGAGAAATGATGAACCCTGTAAGTTCTAGAGTCAACCGATATACGAAGCGTATGTTTTCTACGATTCATTCCACTATTCCCGAGCCCAACTTTCCTCAAGGACAATCACACAGGTTCTTTGCATATCGTACTTAGAATATCGTGTCCTAAGATCGATAGACTTCGGCATATGTCTAGGAATTGAAGTCGACAACTGCCCTCCCAGCTATCTTGCCAGCACGCAATTTTTCTACGGCGTCGGGCATCTTCGCAAGTGGGAAGACTTCACAAATCGGCTTGAGAAGACCCTGTCGCGCATAAATATCAGCACAATCTACCCGGCAGGCGAACCACGGGAACTCACTCTAGCCGCAAACTCGAGCGCACGTTGGGTATCAAGTAAGGAGCCTACTTTGGTGCCTATGATGTGCAAATTTTTGCCAACGAAAAGCAATGGATCAGCTCCGGCGACAGCAGTTCCTGTGGGTGCTGCAGCATGTGTGTATTAGAAAGACATATTTCCACTTGAGCAGGAGATACTTACGCAGTCCAACACACATAACCTTGCCACTAATTCTTGTCATCATTGGTGCGCTTGCGTAGGCGGAAGCGCTGGTGGCAGTCACGAAGACACCGTGAGCGCCTTTGCCATCGCAAATCTTGATAACCTCCTCGGCGACGTCTTTGACTTTGGTGAAATCCACGAATGCTTCACACCCCAGCTTCATGCACAATTCGCGCTTTTCGTCACCACCGTCTACACCCACGACCCGCATACCCATGGCTTTAGCCAGCTGGACACCCATATGACCGACGCCCCCCCCGGCGCCTGGGAAGACGGCCCAGTCGCCAGGCTTAAGGCCGGATTCTTTGAGCGAACAATATATTGTACTGCCCGAGCACATGATGGGACCAGCAACAAAATCATCCACCCCATCCGGAATTCGCGATGTGTATCGCGCAGGGCTAAGAACATATTGCTGGTAGCTGCCTGGGAACTGCAGGCCAATTTGGGGAGACTCGTCACAGTATGTCTCTTTCCCGGACCAGCATAACTCGCAATTAAAGCACGCATCGTACGCTGGCTTGATACCAGCGCGGTCACCAACCTTCCAATTCGTCACGTTAGAGCCGAGCTTCACAACCACTCCTGCGCCTTCATGGCCTGGCGAACGAACGCCAAAAGCGGACATCTTTGGAATTGGAAGATCATTGAGCATGTAGTGAATGTCCGAATAGCATATGCCGGTGGCATTCAGTCGAATAAGAATGTCGTTAGGGCCTGCAGATTTGTCAACAAGTCTTCAAGCCTACGTAGCTGTTCAAATATACCAGGCTCCGGGACGGGCACATCTTCAACCTCCAACCTAAAGTCGGGGCCTTCGTTGATTACCACGCCAGCCTTGCATGTCTTTGGTATTTCCATCGTGTCATGTGTAGCGGCCATGATGAAGAACTTGGCGCCTTCGACAGTGAATTGTGTAGATTTGAACGTTCGAAGATACAGACTTTTTAGCACATGAATGAAAGGGTTTGGTCACTTCCGAGATGCTTCGAACGAATATAGTCGAAGAGAAAGGTACCATTCAAAGCCTAGTGCTTCGCTAGCCCGATACCCCGCAACAAGATATTGCCGGGGATGTGATGACACGAGACAGTCGCTCACAGTGTGAATTGCAGAAACCAATCATTTTAGCTACTCTTCCAGCAGACGACGGATTTTTAACACAAGGCGGCTTTTTCCTTCCGTAGCTTCGCGATTTGAAAATGAACCTTTGCGTGGTTTTGCACTGTGTCAAGACTGGTGAGAGAAAGCATTTGGCAGCTGAACTGCCCGACCACGGAGTTGAGCTTGCGTTGTGTTCATTCTCCAGCATCACGCTCAACTGCTGTGTATATGTGTGTGTGAGCTTATGTTCGATCAGATGCGCACAAAACCTGTAATGCAGCGTTCAAGTATCAGGATCGCTTCCAACCGGCGATAGCTTTATAAAAACCTCTCTATGCCCACTGGACAGGTTTTACCATGCTCAATACGGTCGTTCAGTACGATAGCGACATGTAGCATGATGCACTGAAAGAAAGGCTAGCAATACAAGCGATTTTATTTCCTTCTTTCTTCTTTTTTTTCCCGAGACTTTTGATAGCATTAAAGGGCTGGCTTCGTTGTTGCCAACCAGCTCAAGAGCAAAGTGAACCCCCCCTGGCTGCAAGCACGACCAATCGTAACTGAGCTTAGCACGAAAGCACAGCCCAAGTTCAAGTCCCCCTATGAATCTCCTCGTCAAGTCAGACTCTTTCTGGTCACGTCCAATAAATCTAGAACGCAGGCTCGGAATCCGCATATGTGTATGTATTTTCAAGGCTTGTCGCATTTTTACGACTGGCTCTTGGTAAAAGAAAACCGTCAAAGTTCAAGATGGGCGCAAAGGGACGCATGTATGGCTCTGATCACGCCAAGCTCAACATTACACTACCGCCGCAGACCATGTGGATGAACATGGGATATTGGAAGGTGAGAGACATTTGATGGATAGCCCATTATAGATCTCTAATGACGACAGAACACTGAAGACTTTCCAAGCGCTTGTCGTGCCCTTCTTGAAGAAGTACTGAAGACAGCACAACTCATGAACAACGACAGCGTGTCAAACTCCCAAAGCACATTCAGCGTCGTTGATCTCGGATTTGGATGCGGCGATCAAACTCTTTACTTTGAAGATGTCCTTCGTATGCAGAAGGATAACGGAGACAGCGCGCAGTTCAGCCGAAGGCTGAATGCATATGTAGGCATCACGCTAGACGCGCAGCAATTCCGCATTGCCCAAAGCAGGTTACGATCCGATTCTTATGTAAAGATTCACTGCGGCGACGCATCCAAAGTTGACGCTTGGAGCGAAGAATTGAGGGAAGATCTTAGGTCAGCTTGTCAAACGAACAGGAAGGAAGGGCACGAGAACTGGCTACTCGCACTCGACACACTGTATCACTTCAAACCTGCCAAGTGGCCCGTTATAGAATATGCAAAGAGGGATCTGGACGCTTCTTTCATGGCCTACGATCTATGCATTGCGGACAACTTATCGCTCTGGCATCGCCTCATCATTCGCTTCATGGCTTTTCTGGGTCACAGCCCGTTCATCAATTGGGTGACTGTCGAAGAATACAGGGAAAGGCTCGTGGAAATTGGATACGCCCGTGAGAAAATCGAGATTCGAGACATCTCAGAGCACGTCTTTCGCCCACTGGCCCGCTTCATGAGACGTAGGGAAAGCGCATTAGAATTCTATGGAATATCAATCGGCCGGTTCCGGCATGGCATCGCCATGTTTGATTGGTGGGGGAGAAGCCAGTTTGTCAAAGGCTGTATTATCGTTGCCAGAAAATAAACTGCTGTTGATCAATCGTATGATACATGAAGTGAGGGTCACAGAGAAGAGCAAGTTACATGGGTGTATCCGCGCTTATCCGCGTCCAGCGATAAGACGTCCATGTCGTCACACAATTTCAGACTAGTATAATAGACCTCTGCAGACGATTTCTCGACTCAGGATCCGAAGTCAGTTTCCAAATTCTCGCTACTTCGGAACAGCACCATGTCCAATAAGAAATCATAATTGTTGGGGCCGGGTTCGGGGGCATGGCTATGGCATTGTTTTTGAGACGCTGCGGAATCGATTCGGAGATTTTCGAACTCAGACATGAGGATTATAACGAAGGAGACAAGATTGCCTTGGCTCCGAACGCTCTTAGGGTTTTGGATCATCTTGGTTTATATGAGCAGATACGGGAACATAGTTTCAGCTATGAAGAAGTTTACATGCTAAGTGATACAGGGCGGATGCTTGGTTTTGTTTATGGGGGGAACTTGGTAAGATGGGGCTACAAAGCCTTGCGAATAAAGAGAAAGATCGTCATTCAAGCTATGAGGAAAGAAATGCAGCGACAGGGGATCGTCATAACTTTCGGGAAGAAGGTCGTAGGCGCAGAGGAGAATTCCGAACAGGGACTCGTTCAAGTACGATTTGACGATGGCGACGTTGTAATTGGCAGCATGGTGATTGCTGCAGATGGGATGCACTCGGCTTTGCGAAACTACGTGGATCCCAAGGCGAACAAACCTCAATTCATGGATCAGGTTGGTGTCATGGGTAAGGCAAACAGAGAGGAGCTTAGAGACCTGCAACAATTCCCTTGTATCGTCCTTGGACAAACTGGTGCTTTCGGGTTGCTGCCTTGTGACTTTCGAGGAAGCGAGGTAAGCTTCTTCGGCAATGTCGAGATGCCGGAGCGACAGCAGTGGGATGCCCTAGCCAAGGACAAATCAGCTTTACATGACATTCTGCTGAGTCACTTTGCAAGCCCTGAGACGTGGCCGAAAGATATCGAAGAAATCTGCCGGAATGCAAAACTGGATGACCTCGGCTTTTGGCCTTTTTACACAGTTCCTAGCTTGGAAAAATACCACAGTGCGAATGGACTTGTTGTGCTAATTGGTGATGCAGCCCATGGTCTACCACCCACAGGCGGACAAGGTGCGGCGCAGGCGTTAGAGGACGCTGAGACGTTATCGTACACATTGGCTGAAATTCGCAACGCTGAATTAGAGCGGTCTGGGGCTGACAATGATGAAGTTCTTCTCCGTAAAGCATATTTGGCTGCATGGGGCACTCATAGAACTCAAAGAGTTGCAAAGATACTAGACGTGACAAATAAGAGTGCGGCTTCGAGAAGAAGTTCAACAAGTTGGATCGAGAAGGAGGTTAAAGAGTGGATAATTTGGGCAGCGCTGAAATGGATGGGACCTGACGCAGGTGCGGGATGGCTTTTTGGCTATGCTGCTGAGAGCGTGAAGTCCCATTTTGTAAGCTTGTAATTCTGATTCATCTAATATGGCAATGATGACCAAAAATCCTTCTTCCAGGCGTTGACCAGCTGCTTCACAGCAGGGTCGGAAAATGGATGTAGCTGAGTTGAGAAGAAACCGGCCACTCCTTTCTCCTTGCTGGCAAACCACACCGTGTTTCCTGCCCCTCCCCAGCCAAGTAAGTTCCTTGGTTGATTCAAAGCTGCAAATTCCTCAGTAACAAGTACTCCTCCAAGTCCGTGGTTGATTGCATCGTCTGGCACTGGTCCAGCAATGAGCTCCCATGCAGGACGAAATTGTCTTAGCATTGGCATGGCCGGAGAATTTTTCTCAATCTGCGGCTCAAACATGAGTGCGGCCGTTTCGGGTTTGAGGAGCTTGGGTGAGTCCGACACAATGTCCGCCAGCACCAGCAACCAATCTCTAGCAGTTCCGCTCAGCCCATGACCACCGTCCTGGTCAACTGCGTTGTCTCCTTGCCAGAAGTTGTACGGTCGCAAACCACCGTCTGGCGCGCGCTCTGCACCAGCCATCAAGCGAGTCTGGTATTCCGCTGAAGAGGAGATGCAGAATGTTGGGAAGGGAGCAGACAATCCGACTGGCTTCCATATATGCTCAATCATATATTCCTCGAGCGATATACCGTGTAGACGCTTTACGATCACTCCAGCCCAGTCGAGACCAACACCATAGCACCAGCCTTGACCAGGCTCGAAAACGAGCGGATTGTCGCAACGTTCGTGCACCATCAACGACGTCGAGAGTCTAGACCCTTGAGCGGTCTGTTTCCAGCGCATCAAGAGCGGATCAAGGAACCAATATGCAAGCCCAGATGTGTGGGTAAGCAAATGCCTTGGGGTGATTCGGTTTTGCGTCTCTTCGATCACAAGGTCGCCCGTCTGGGGGCATAAACCTTTGATAATGCGACGACCTAGCTCAGGCACAATCTTGTCTAAAGGCTCGTCGATACAAATCAAACCATCATCTATGCATTGGAGGAGAGCAATGCTGCTGATCAGTTTTGTGGCACTCGTGTACTTGAACACAGCGTCCTCCTTCAGAGGTGCAGCTCGGGGATCCAGTGATTCATACCCTGATACCTTGCTATATATTTCTTTGCCTATCGCTGAAATTAGCATCAGAATCAGACTGAGAGGGGCGTACGTAGGACCATTTTTATCATAGCACTTTGCTAATATCCCGTGAATCCTGGGACTGTCTCTTCTAGTATATTCGTTAAGCAGAGTAGCAAAGTCAGACATGGCTATATCGTCCGCATCAACGAGTCACAAATTTTCTCACCGTTGGCAGAGAGCGTGCTGAATTCGTTTTTAGAACTTTGACACTTTCTTGTTGCTCCAGGTCTCGGAAACCCTGCGCTCCCAGTGGCTGCTTGCGAGGCGCGGCTCTATGGACGATCGGCAAATAGAAGTTCCCTTCTGAGGCACCTGCATTAAGAACATGGCGGATGTGGTATAGATGCCGTCGAGAATTCAGCACCAAGATTGAGAGCACGAGGGAGATTTTGCGTTCGGACTAGTTTTGGTTTTGCTGAATGCATCAGCTCAAACTTTATGATTCATAACGATACCATCGCTCGCTTGGTAAACAAGAATGCGAAGCAACAATTCATGCCATTCTTCCCCTGTCATTGTTGCCCACCTCGCGAGAGGAATGTGAGAAGGATGAGTTATGATGCCAAAAGTGAAAATCACGTGGCTTCTACGGTACGCAAGTCTGGGGTACCTGATCAGGGCTTTTTCTCAATGTTTCATCTTTTAGGGCCGTGCGCCAAGAGGTTGCGTGTCCGTACATGATCGGAAACTTATCCTCGTTCCTGAGATCTGGCCTCGTTGCGAACGTCGCCGCTTTCATTTCTGAGAAAGCGTCTATCTTTTCTCAAATCTTTGTGTCCTAGTGAATTTCGATGTGTGCATGAACGAAGACACCATTAATGAAGGATGTTACCCAGGCCGTGGGGCGCGCAAGGGCTCTCGGTGCACGACAAAGGCCCATTCCATCCGCTGATTGATGAGGTCGAAATGCAGTCCCATATGCGCGACAATGGACATGAGAACCATGAGCCTCCTGCTTCAATGTTGCCATCAGAGCCACTGCAAGGCGGAGACACGATCACGTGCTTGAATGGCCTGAGAGGGATCGCTTGCCTCCTAGTCTTCAATTACCACTTTCTTTGGCCATGGACGGCGCACATTGCACTTGGGCATGGAGCACTACCGCCACGAAGTCCAGAGCCCTACAATGGCTGGCCTTTTTTACCCATCGTGTGCCTCCTGCACCGTGGGAGACCCATGGTCGCCATCTTCTTCGCCATATCCGGATACGTTCTTTGCCGTCACCCTCTGAAGGCCATTCACGCGCGCCGGCTAGATGTTGCGTACAAGAGTCTGGCATCCGCTGCTTTCAGACGTGCATTCCGTTTATTTCTACCCCCCCTTTTGAGCATGTTCCTTGTGGCGATGATGGCTCAGATTGGCATATTTCGCTCGGAACGCGACATCTACACAGGCCCCGACTCAAAGTACATCAACGGTTCAGTCACAGTTGGTTACGTAGGGCGCCCGTGCACGAATATCACCTCGAATTCCTCAACGCCAATGGAGATGGCACAGTACCTTAGGATATCAAATGCGCAATATCTAGTTAATGTTACAGGCAACACTACTGCTGATTGGAGCGGGAATAGCTTTTGTCTGAACACGACGTCGCGCTTGGTTGGACCAGCGACTCTCTACAACAGCATGAACGCGACCGAGCAAGTATGGTGGAAATTGGCGATGGGCATGTGGATCTCGGGCTACGAAAGCCGTTTGATACGTGAGCATGAAGCGTTAATGCAAATAATGGCGGAAAAAGAGCACAACCGAACACTGGCCGATCATGCAGTCAAGGATAAAATCAACAAAGGTCTGCCGCCAGGCCCAGAACTCCCTGCCGCATTTCCGAAGTACAACGATTGGTCTTGGGTCCAGCTCGGAGGTTCGTGGGAAGAGCATCCTATCATTCACGAAAAGATGACTTACGCTATCGGCAATCTGACAACAACATACATGGAATGGGCAAACCCTTTCAATTTTGGGCTTTACTTTCCCAGATACGATCCACACACATTTACGATTCCCCTCGAGTTTCATGGCTCAGTATTTATATATTTTTTTCTTCTGGCCACAGCTGCGCTGAAGTTCAAGTGGAGAATGAGCATCGGGGGGTTGCTTACTCTCTACAGTCTCCGGATGGGCCGTTGGGATATGGCTTTGTTTATGGGTGCCTTGCTACAATCCGAACTGGACATTCAAAAACCCTCTTGGGGTTGGCACGCTGAGTCATGGACTGTCAACCTTCGCTCCAATCTATGGTATCTACCTCAGGGGAGACAAATCTTACGTTGGTGTTGTGCTATCATAGCCCTCCATCTTCTTTCGTATCCTGATGCAGGTGCCGAATTTACTCCTGGTTTCATGCAGCTCTCAGAATGGGTGCCCCGATACTACGGGCCCTTGTCAGGTTGGATGTTCTATCAGGCTATAGGTGCGCTGATGTTGCTTCCCTGCATTCTGAGATCCCCGCTCCTTAGGGAGTTTTTCGACAAGCCGATCGTGCAATATCTAGGTAAAATCAGCTTTTCTTTTTACCTTGTTCACGGTCCAGTCTTGCATAGCTTAGGATTTTGGTTGATGCCTCGACTTTTTGATCGTTTTGGATTGCTTCCCGGGCTTTCCATTGGCTATGTTGTCTTGTTAGCTGTATCATTATACATTGCTGAATTCTGGTACAAGAAGGTAGATATTTGGAGCACGAGTATTGGCAAAAGAGTGGAAAGACTGCTCTTAGATTGATTTATCGTTAGTTCGTACAAAAAGTGGATAATCATGTCTACAATAGAAGTGCTTCCAGTGGATCAGTTTTCTTTTGCTCCTCGTGGCTAGAAAACAGTTCAAATACCAAACTCCGGTGCAAATTCTCTTGGAAAACCTCTTGGGTTCTCGAAGCCATCTCGCAGTTTGACCCATTTCAGAGCATTTCCATATCTAATCGTCGTCCGGAGAAGGAAGGGGTGTCATTTCCGTACTGGCGAGGTCAACGGTTACTATGGATTCCATCTTTTTGTCTAGATTTGATGGAGATGACTTTTGCACTAAGACTGGAGTGCTAAGGATCATGCTTGTACTCTCATATCCGAAGTAATCTCCCAGATTCTCGCTTTGCGAACGTGATTCGATGTCGTCTTGTGTGGTTATTTGACCCTCGATTGTTGTCGATCGTCCAGACGAAGTTCGGACAAGCGCATGGTCTTCGTCGTCCGAATCGTCATACTCCAACCAATCATCGTCACTGGAGGTTGAGTCGTCCTTGTCATCAGACGACATTTTGCCTTCACCCATCTCCTTCGAGGGCTCATTTGGCACACACTCCTCCAAAACTTTGCTCGAGCCGGAAGACGTGACGTCTACTTCGTCATCGCTGATATCAAGCTCGCTAACAAGAACGTCGAGGAAGTTTGCGTGACCTTTGCTCAGATTGGCATGTTAGCTTTTTGCCTTTGGGATGCCAGGTTCGTTCCACGTACCAACAAGTCGTCTCAGATCATGCGAGCCACGACGAGCCTCTTTCCCAAGCTTTTTATGAGCAGTTGGCGCGATACCCCAATACTTGACTCTTCGACTAAGAGATGGCCGTAATTTTGGCCGCATCATGTTGTCTTCCTTAAGCAGGCTTTGACTTAGCTCGTAGTTTCTCACTTAGGTCGCACACACTTAATAGTTTCCACAGACACCATGATTTGATGAATGTTAGGATAAAGCTATGGTCACATGTTCTAGCGCTGACTGAGCATAGCTCCCAGATCTCTAAGCATTTCCACCGGGTACAAAGCCAATGAGCGCAGCCGAAGTAATCGGCACGAACCGCGTTCGGCATCATTCTTGGAAATCTAGTTAACCCCGCAGTGTCGCCAACTTCAGCCATACTTGCCATTCTCGTTCGCGCGTTGGCCTACGGTCTGGGCTAAAACATAATTCTTCATAATATGCTGAATACATCGGTCAAGAGGTCTTTGGCAGATGTTGATCTTTCGTCCGACGCAAATTTTGTAAGGCAAATCGTGAGCTCCCTTGACACTTCGACAGACTGTACTTTATTCGTTTCAATTCTGAAGTGGCGTGATTCTTCTCGTATCGAGTGTGAAAAACAATGTCTTGAATATTTCAATGAAACTGCCGAAAGTCAACAACCTCTGCACCGTAGCTAGACTTCCAAGCTTGAAGCTCTGGCATATGTTGTGTCTTCTAGCGATCGAACGGGGCTGCTCGTCCATAGCAGAGCGGGTACAAGAGTGACAGGGTGAGAACCTGAGTGACTTTGGGTTGCTTGGGCAGAGATACAAATGATGACTCTTGTACGCAGATTTTTGAATCATGAAATCATACTAACATGGACTTAAAGAATCTTCTACCCGCAAACATCGACTGTATCAAACTCCTTGCTCCGTCTTTGAAATAAGCGCAACGCAATTCGGCCGTTTCATACGATTCAAGGCTTCTTCCACGTATCCTCTAATAGCGCCCCTTTCGCCTTCTTATTTGCAAGTAGTTCTTCGCGCCAGAGCCACCCCAAAGCAATTGTAGCACCGGGTCCAATAAGAACAGTGGACGCAATCGTACGCCCGAGCAGGCTGCTCCAGCTAACCTCAAGTTTTTCCCAGTATTTCAAGTCTCTGAACAATAGTGCAACCCAAAAAAAGGAGCCCAATAAAGCCAAAACGTGATCCCAAGCGATAAAATTTCTCGCACACGACCAGATACCCTCTGGTGTGTTCCAAAAAGGTGTAAATTCGTACAAAGCCGAAAACGGCGTCTGCGTTAGCGTATATAGCCATACTACGCTGGATATGCCTGCAGATGCCCACATTGTGAGACGAATTGATCTTAAATCCCGATTAGGCTCGTAGATACGGTCGTAGGTCAAGGTGTTTTTTGAGAAGCCTGATTTCGCCAGAATCCACTGTATTAATGCTACCCATACTGGAAATGGTTGCCAAAGCCACCCCCAGTAATATCGACTCTCGGGGTCAATTGCATCAGAAAGTGACAGGAAAAATGGGACATAAAATGCTGTCATAGCCAAAAATACTGTGCGAGTATATTGAAGGTCAGTTGTTCGTTGGTCCAGAGCCTTATAATTGTCCATTTGAGAGGAGACATAATGGAAGAAGTAGTAAAGCTGGCCACAGTATCCAATGCCCAATACTTGACACAACAGGCCCCAAATAACTGCACTGTTTTCAATAGTTAGAAAGCGAACATGCAAAATAAATGGATTATTCCTTACAACTTAGCCAGGGTCAATGAGTTCGCACAACGACGCGACTCAATTAGAAAGATCGTGTAAAAGGTTGCATAATCTGCAAAGAATGTCAGAACTTGCCATGAGGCCTTGGTATCGAAGCCTATAGTCCAACTGGCACAAAAAGTGGTGATGATCCGAAGCAGACCATCTATTTGCTCAATGCCAAAAAATGATGAATATATTGGCAGAGATCCCGAGTCCCAAGTAATCCGGCCAGATTTTAGCATCTCCGAAAGTTCATAGCTGCTGTTTGATGGATCCAGTTTTACAACTGCAAGCAGAAAGACTGCTAACAGTGGAGACGCGCGTTTTGCGCGACTCAATAAGCTCTCCCTTTGACCTGCACCGAAGTTCTTGTTAAACGGCATTGTGCCAGACACCGCAGCTTTCGGCGGGGGTATGAAGTCTAACATGTCCGCACCGACTTCCAACTCGCTGAAAAAGCCGACCCCAGAGTCGTTTTGAATGAATGGCAAGATGTATTCTTGTACAACCCTCAGGACTAGGTTGTACTTACAAATCAGTGCAGTGTGGCCGTTCGCTTTCGCAACATATGCGGCCACCCGCGACGACCGTGGCTTTTCATACTTATGCTTCAACGCCGTTCGAATCTGCTCCAGAGATGGTTTTTCACCACCACTTTCATCCAAAAGTTGCCGCAGAGTATTCGTCAGCGCAGCTGCGCTTTCCATGCATAGGTTTCCTCCTTGTCCAGCGCTAATAGTTTGCTTGTGTACTGTATCTCCAAGCAATGCAAATCGACCCCAAGCGCATGTTTTATGTTCCCCCATCTCCGTGGGCAGATATATTGCCACAGTACGATTCTCCCAGAGGTCTCGGAACTTTTGCGATCCATTGGGCATGATTGGACAGTCGGCTAATTTGTCGGCCAAAGCTTGCGCATCCGAGGACGTAAATCTCACTTCACCTGGTGCAAAAGGCCTTGGTAATGTGTAGCATACATACCAGAAGATCTTGTCATTCCCTACAGCCCACATTATAGAATGTCCTTTGTCAGGGATGACGTCAAAGTATCTCGGATGAAATTCCTTCATCGAGCGTGATATGCCAAAGAGACAGCTGAAGGTCGCATATGCTGGCTTTTGTTCAGACCTCGGAATCGCTCCATCTGTCTCATTGGAGGCTCTCCACATCTCTGAGCGCACTGTACTTCGTACTCCATCCGCTCCTGCAACAATATCGCCGCGATACGTAGAGCCATCCGTACAATGAACTATGACCTCGTCATTGAAATGGTCTACCTTTTGAACGCGCTTGTTTTTCAGCACTTTAGAGCTCCGGCTATGGCTTGGTAACCGATGATATAGGGCTTTCAAGATTTCACTCCGCTCAATGAAACCCCTGGTGTACCCGGATCTGCACTAAATTATGAGCTTTCCTTTGAAGAGTCAATATCAGTTGTACCTTTTATCACTTAGCGGCACTCCGCCTTGAGGAGTGGAAACGTAGTCTCCATTTGGATAGTGCATCCCTACGTATTGTAAAGGGGCAATTTTTGCGAATAGTTGCTCACGTATTCCGAGCTGTTCAAGCAGCGGACCAGATCCGGGATTCAAGCAAAGTCCCGCCCCGACGAATGGGGTTATGTCATCACGAGCTTCGAGCAGTATGTAGTCAATGTTCGCTAGTTCGAGACAATTGGCAAGGGTTAGACCTGATATACCGCCTCCTACAATGAGAACTCGGAAATGTTTGCCCGTTTGATTTCCTGTCATATTGAATAATTCGAAGAAAAATTGCAATGGAGTATTTGTGATGTACATATATATTGTCCGACTATTGGTATTTAATAACTACCGGAGTTATTACTGTATTACCAAGGTCTTTGTCCCTGCCGAGTTAATAAAGGCGGGGATTGTGCTTTCTCACCCCTGCAACAAATGAGGGGACAGCCCATTTATGAAATTGCCAAGATCAAATTTCTGCGTCTCCTTGATTTTTGGTGCAAATAACCGAAAAGAGGGAATATCTGATCTTGTTGACTCGATCATGTATGACATCAATGGGAGCTTTATTTGTCTTCTTGGTCATTATAAGCCTTCATCCAAAGATTCTCTGATCATTAAAACTGAAATGCACATTGCAAATTGGCAAATCTTTCACGGGCTTCGTAGTTACTGTCCACAGCGGAAGCTGTAGTCCTCAATTCTACTGCTATTAACTGATTAGATGTCTTTTATTACTGTTCATCGTATTCAACTAGCACTTTAAGACGCTTGTCGTAACATGAATACACTATCTGGTTAAACAAAATCAGATTGCTGGCCTATACTCCAGTCTACATTCGCCATATCTGTACAATATGCAGATACTATCATTTTATCCTAATATCAAATGTTGACACAAATTTGACCTCTTATTCAATTACTCTCATTCTATAACGAGGTATGTACCTATGTTAAATAGCTAGATTTTGGAGTGCAAAATGATAGTAGTTCTTGAATACATTTCTCCACAAAGCAGTTATGTTGAGTTTTCGGGTTCCTCTTACCAGACGCACGCTATATTCTTGCTGTATCTTTAGTTCAATAGTCATCTAAATTTGGAGTTGATTAAAAAGACATAAGTAGAACAACGCCGCAGGGTAAGGAAGCAAAAAAACTATTGTCAAGCTGATAGGGTATGCATATTTTGCCAGATTTTCTCGTAAAATTAGTAACTTAAATACAGATACCCTTAATGTTACTAAGCTCTACATGAGGGAGCGCCGAAAGAAAGTCTGGCATGCTTGAATATAAAATTCCTGCTACAATACTTACGGCGACCGCATTTATGCTCAGATGATTTCCCAGACCTCTCATGAGAACGCGGTTGTAATTAGCTATTGCGACTGTTTCTACTACCGAAAGTACAGTCCTAGAATCCTGCCAACAAGCCTGAGGCCATCTGCATTCTAGAGTAGCCCAACCGCGTTCTAAGGTTTCAATGTGACCAGCAGATATAAGACCAACTAGGACAACTGAAACTACTCTAGCCTGGTTGTGGCTTTTTAAGGTTAGTAGAGCTGTAAAAACGGCTGTGATAATAATTCAATCTTCTTTTAATTCTAGGGATTCCACGTTTTGCATATTAAAAACGCGTTGGCATCACAATATTGCTCTAAAGTAACTTTGATGGCGAAAGATAATTTATCATATAAATATTATGTTGGTATTGATATTAGAACAGCAAGTACTATTCAGTTTATAGTACAGGTGTATTCTGCAGATATAATTCCTGTACTACCCTGTGGAATACCCTGCTTTTCATCATCGAGAGGATCAACTCCTGTTTCTCATGCCCTGAAGACACTTGAATCAATCCACTTCGAGTCTCCAGGAACGCCATCCTCAGTCAAGAACACCTTACTAGGGCTACTATAAGGAGCGTAGGTCTTAGAATTCAAAACGGTTGTAATGTTGGAGTGAGCCTCAATGGCAGAGATGTTGTAACCCGGGCCGTAGTCTTCATAAACAGCCATTAAGGTGTAGTTGTTGATGCGAGGGTCAGTGGAGCTCCATTCAATATAACCAGCAGGAAGAATACTGGCATCTAGGTAGGTGTCGACAAAGATACTGCGGTGCTGGGCGTTCCAAGGGCGACCGAGCGCGCACTTGCCTTTGATTGAGGGTGCGATAGAGGAGTTGGCGGCAATAACATGCGAATTCGAGATATATACACCATACTTGTTGGTAAAGGTGGTGTTGGTTCCTAGATTCGCCTCAGTATAATTGCCAATATCATTAAGACAATCAGAGATTGCATAAAATGATTGACGATATTATTGCTTCTGCCCACTTACCCTTCCATGCAGTAATGCCACCACCGCAACCACGGAGAGCCAAGGTCGATTCCTCAATCCAGGCTGTACCAAAACCATAGAGAAAGTCAGTCTGACCAGCCACGATGGTGTCGTAAAAGTAAGCATTGCCGAGCTTGCCAACATAGACGGTGTCTTGATACGAGTAGAAGCCGCAACTGTAGAAGCCAGCATTGGCGTACGAGACGCCTACTGTCAGTGCAGGTCCAGAAGAGTACTCAGAGTACACATTCCGGAAGTCTATATTGTAGGCGCGGAAATCGGTATTGCCAAAAGGAGTGTCTTCAGGCACAGCAAAGCCCGTGGGGCCAGAGCCTGTCAGGGAGGCATCGTATGTTGGCGCTACCGTAAGCACACTTGTGACAGCGTTATCCACACTGAGACCTGTGTTGTCCGTATTGGACTTAGCCCAGATGACTGTCACGCCGTTCGAGTGGTCCGTGTCAGAGCTCACGTCACTATACGACTTGCCCAGATATGGCCGGTCACTGACGCCCAGAAGGCGCAAAGGTCCAGGACGCGTTACGTTGAGCTGCTCTGTGTAGTTACCCGGAGCAATGAGGATGTATTGAGTTGAGTTGTCGTTAGGGAGAGATTCAATCGCGGCCTGGATAGAAGAAAAATCCGCCTTTGAGCTAGTCTGGCTCACGTATAGCGTTCCCTTGGGACATCCTAACAATGGGTCATCGCATGTATTCCGCTGGCATTCTGCAAAAGAAGTTGCGGGTTTGGGGGTCGAAGAAGAGAAAGTTTGTCCCTTCTTGACGAACCTACTTGGCGCAGTTGCACCAAGCGGCACCAGCGCAGAGAGTATAAACAAAGACAGATACATAATGATCAGGAGGCTTCCTTAAAGATAAGTTTTAGCAATGTAAAATTCTATTGGCTCCGGTGTTTGGGCTGAGTCGAGGGCACCCAGAAGTAATGGAACGTTGAAACTGCACATTTCTTAGAACCTATGATCACTCTATATACACACACTTCTATTATTACATTTTAACATACAGGTACCTGAAAATGTGAATGATTGCACAATCTCATCTCTAGCCTGATCTTCTTGCCTGCCCCCAGCGCTATTGCAACAGAGGCTGCAACTCAGAAATGTGTAGTTCCAACCACTATTGGGCTCCCATGCTAGATTTTCGCATCTGTAATTTGACGGAAAATTTCTTGGATTATGGACTTGGTCTACATCACCGCGTTTGATTGAGCGTGGAGAAATACGGAGAAAATATTCCACGAAACGGAGCGATGTGGAGGACCCTAAGGGAGCAAGGGGTTTGAATTTGATGCATGTCATGTGAACATCATAATGCAAATTCTAGCATGAATGCCAATTTTATACTGGGAGAAATGCAAAAGCATATAATCAAAAAATACATCCTCATCTGATATTAGTTGTTGTTGCTATAAAGCTTCCTTGAATGCCGCGTAACAAGCACCGCCAACCTCAGCTAGCCCAAAGTGGAGACAACTAGGGAACCTCTGACAGCGCCTAGTTCTAGAAAGCAGGGTGGAGAACTCCCGCAGGAACAACAAACTTCTCGGCTGCGGGCTTGTCAATGCTTAATACGCCTAACGGCATTTCTCCGTTATGGACAGATATAAGCTACCCTGTTGGTTAATTTGTACGTTACGAAAGACGGAGCCACACAAGGTAGGACCCATGAAAGGTAATAAGACTAATAAAGTCTTACACTAAAAGGGGTACTTCTAAACTAATTAAAATCTGTATCTCTCTCTCTGTATATTTTAGTTCCTCTCTGCTTTGTATATCCCTTAAGATTAAGGGGTTATCCATACCTAGTATAGTGCCTTAGCACCCCTACAGCCCCTAACCTGATATGAGGACTTTTATACTGCCTTCCCCTCCTTAAGGACTCTAGCCCTAGAATTAGTAATGGTAACTCCATATTAAGAAACCTTATAGGGAAAAGTATAAGATATACTGCGCTTTTTCTCATATTACAGCGCCAGTACAGCAGTTCTATTTTTCTTCTCTACTCTTATTTAGAGTTGCCTTATAGCCTGTGAGGATATCGACACAAAGGCCTGAGGCGGACAGCCTGCGTGTCCCAGAAGAGGGGTAGCATCATCACCGCGTTTTCTTCGAGCCACTCTTCTGTATACTGAGATGTATGTATACGTGCGTTATCTTGCAGTAATAATGATTAATGTGCCCATTGATCTGCAAGTAAATCATTAAGGCCTGCACGTACGACCATGATGAATACCCACCCCATGGCGAAGTCTTTGTTACGAAGTAACACATGATTTGTCACGTGAGTGATCATTTTGATCATTTTCAGGAAAATGATCAAAATGAGCGCATCAGCCAATAGTTGATAACCAGGGTGTTGCTGATTGGTTAAAGTGATCATTCTGATCATTTTGCCAAGAATGATCAGAATGAGTGAGGCAACAAGGACACCAAGAATAAGGTCTATATAAACATCCTGTCTCTACCGTTGTTACACTTCTTCGTGATTTAACTGTCTAGTTTATCTAGAAGTTAGTTTGAATATCTTTTCATACTCTTAAAGCTCATACTATTCTAAGTCATAAACATAACTACCTTATTATATTCCTTCCATAATAAGCTCTTGTTATACATTGTTCCTCTGCTCTAGGGAGCTAAACCCTTCCGAAGTGGCTTACATTAGTGAAGCTAGTCGGTATTGGGAAGGTATTCCTAACAGTCTTATCGCGCTCTATTATGTGAATCGGGGCACACCCTGAGGTGCCTGAGAAGCCATAATTGATCATGAACGATGTAGCCTTGCCTCTGGTGCATTCTAATATCATTTTTTTGTGCCATTTTTCTTTAGGTGTTCTAAAAACCCAGGCTGTCGCTTTACCTGCACCTTTTTCAACTGAACGCTCATCAGACCAGATAACTCGACTCCAATCTTGCTCGCTCACTGAAAGGTGACGCCGTGCCTATTCCAGACGAATTTGAGCAAGTACTTCAGTTAATTCTGGTCGGTTTGCGGCTCGCCATCTCTTGATGTGGTAAAGTTCGAGGATGCGTTGAAATGTCCGTTTTGAAAATCCAACCCCAGCTCTTCTTGGGTCGTTTTCCACGTAGCCTCTAGATTTTTACATACGTAACGAATGATGCATCGTTCCGTATATACAGTGCATTTCTTTGGGCCACCTGATCGAGATTTTAACCGTTGGTGTGGTTGTTCATCGCGTCGAGCATAGATGGTCTGAACCATCTTGGGGTTGAGCGATTTAACAGCTGCAACTTCAACGGTCGATGAGTCCGCGTCTAGTGCACCAATTATGTATCCAACGGTAGAAAGAGAAAGCTGTCGTCTTGTAGTATTTCTACGTACATTATTTGAGACTTTTGCGAATGGTCTCCGTTGAGGCATGGTGGATAATTACAAGGCCTTGGTTCAGGATGCGCCGGACAGGAGATGTTTTGTTGGCCAGTGCTTCAAGCTCTTGGCATAGTACCGCGGTACATAGACGTTGTGGCGCACGCTGGTCTGACCCGAAATACAGGCATAATGTTTCCACGATAGTGTAATGTTAAGTATATATTATATGTTAAAGCGGTCCACTGCGGGGCTTTGCGCTAAGGTGCAAAAGCAGTTAATCAGTGGTCCATTTGAAACGGCCAACGACATGGGCCGTCAGCATCTAGCCTACGAATACTGCTTTAGGATCTTGTTCGATACTTTAAAAGGTTTATATGTAATTTCACAAACGGCATCGATAGTCAGAGAATAAAAAATTACTAAATGTTCTGCACTAGGAACTCATAAGACCAGGTATATATGATTATATTATCTAAACCGGTGTAAATAGTGCGTGTACTTAGTATCTTGGTTTCATACCGATTACGACAAGGTAAAATCTTGAAACTGTATTTATAATACTACTGCCTCCGTGACTTGCCCGTTAAAGCCGAGCAGATTAGAAATAGCTATGGCAATAAATCCAATGGAATCACTAAGAAAAATTTATATAAGCCGTCGTAATTCTCTATTCTTCTTATAACATACTCCTTCTCGTTGTTCCTTTACAGTTTTAGTATATCTATCTTAAAGCATACACCCTAAACAGCTATGAATAGCCTTAAGATTGTGTTTGGTGCAGCTGGTTTGGGACCTGGGCGAGACTATTCCAATACGAATTCTATAGAGAGCGTTTTGAATTTATGTCTAAAATATGGCATCAATACGATCGACACTGCTCAACAATATGGTCAAAGCGAGATTATACTTGGCGAAATCAATGCTGGTACCCGTTTCACCATAGATACGAAAGCGAAAGGCGGAATGGACGCTGGAAACTCTTTGAAACCGGAAACTCTTTACAACCAGGCTCACGAATCGCTTAAAAGATTGAAGATAAAACAAATGGATATTTTCTACATCCATGCACCTGATAGCAGTGTCAACACAGCTGAATGGGTAGAAATCATGGACAAACTACACAAAGAGGGTGTTTTCAAACGCTTTGGCCTTTCAAACTTTACGCTCAGCGAGCTGAGAGAAGTCGTTGAAGTATGTAAAGCAAATGACTACGTCTTACCCAGCGTCTATCAAGGAAACTACAGCGCTGTTGCTCGGCGCCAGGAGAGTGAACTCTTTCCTGCATTGAGAGAGTTAGGGATTGCATTCTACGCTTATTCACCGATGGCCGGTGGGTTCCTCTCGAAGACCAAAGAAGAAGTTCTTTTGGGAGTAGACGCAGGCCGCTTCTCTAATGACCAATCCATATTGTCTCGGCTGTATAGGGATTTGTACATGAAACCATCATATCTCTCAAGCCTTGATGACTGGGCCGCCGCAGCAAATCAAGAAGGTATTTCAAAAGCCGAGATGGCCTATCGATGGATAAATTATCATAGCCACCTAAAGCACGAATATGGAGATGCAATTGTCTTTGGTGCGAGAACTCTTGAACAAGCAGAGGAAACATTGAGAGGTTTACAAGCAGGTCCACTCAAAGACACGACGGTAAACATGATAGAAAAAATATGGGAAAATATTAAGAACGACGCTCCCCTGGACAATTACAATTCTTTCATTAAAGCAAACCTTCTTAAATAGCTGCGCTCAGTGGTATCATAGTTAAACAATAAAAGTATTCACTACTGAAAGTTTCCATTGTTGGGTTTGTGTATCATGTAAAATATATTAAAATTTGTCTCGCTCGAACCTGCACATGATTTAGATCTAAACGGAAGATTCTTTAATTAAACGAGTTTCCGGTGAATACTGCACCACAACTTTCTATAATCCAGGTGCTTTCAGGTAAACACTCTTGGAGCTGAAAAGATTTACAAAAAGAATTAACAGCCGTAAGGCTTCATACAACTATTCATTATTGAGTTACCTCGATCATTGTACTCAATTGTGCATTCCTCAATAGTAAATCTTTCTATATCTGACAAACCATAATTTTGAACTTATACTAACAAACTAATACTTGATGTATGTAGTAGACTATTGTAATCGAAGTTTCTCACTTATAACTGACCTATGAAGTAGCTCTCCAAATATTGCTTTTCGACAGCCTAAATCCTGTATTAACTTCATGTGGATAGTCAGCACCAAACCAATTACCTTGCTCCTCCTCAAACAGTCCATACGTTCCTATCTGGTAAGCGGGTGAATTAGGTCAATTTTGTACTCCAGCCTGTATCTTGATCCCACAATTCCTTCGCTTGGGAAAGGGAAGATGATACCGTTATATTCTTGCTTTTCCATCCTCCATGGGGGTCTACATCACCCAGCAGTGTTAGCAGCTCATTATTGCTTATGGCGCAATCTGCAGAATATGCCGCTTGCTCTTCAACCAAGAAAGACGCGCTTACACAGTCCATCCCTACTGCGAACTAGACGTCAATTGAAACGAGAATGTTACTTCGAATGGTGCTCAGAGTGCACACCCGAGCTGAAGGTGACACGAAAACAGAGGTGAAAATCGAACAGCGATTGCACTGCGCCCACGTCCGGGATGATTGTGAATGCAAGTGCGACGCGACATGCTGTCATTGCCCATCGTTCCAGTTGCCAGACTAAGGGATCACTTCTGACCAGATATGCGATTTCTTGGACGTTGTCGCTGCGAGTATTGCAAATGGTGACGAAGCATTTTGAGCCAGAATAGATTTTCGTGCACATGTGTCATGCAAGCGGAAAGAATCTCAAATCGATGCCAGACATGATGGAAGAGATCGAAGAAGTCGAGGATGGGGCTCCTGTAGGTGTTGAGACGATAGCCCAGATGAGCCAATTTTTCTCGTGTACTCCGTTCGTCTCATTGCTTCGACCTTGTAGGGCTGTGCCGTTCCATGACTCGATAGCTTCCGCCAGTACCGGGAGTCAACACGCAACAAATACGGTTAGTTAGCGTTGCTCCCGCCTTGTAGGGCTGTGCCGTTTCATGACTCGATTGCTTTCGCCAGTACCGGAAGTCAACACGCAACAAATACGGTTAGTTAACTAGAGTGGCAGCTCTGACTAAGCTGAAGGCTAATTTTTCAGGTCCACCCAAGGTCGTACAACATCGCAACAGTCATCCAACAGGAGACTTCTGTAATTGAATTTCATTCTCACCGGAAGCAAAGATCCAGTTGACCTAACCCACCTTCGGATAATTATAGCGAATATTGGTTTCGAGCTTATAGCAAAGCGACTAATAGCGCGACATTGCGCGGTCAAAATTCACGGTATATTAGAGTTTGTAATGCTTCGTGAATCGCAACTACTAGCGTAATATGTCAAGATATAGGCTCTTTGTTTACGTCTATAACGTAGATTCTTTACGCCCTCAACATTCAGGAAAAGATGGAAGCCAAGGTTGAGCGACACTTTGTTGTGGTCTCTGCGACTAATTTTGTCAAAACACCTAATATAAGCATCGTACGGAGTGCTGCAAGACGCCATGTCTTGCAGGAAAAGCTGGAGATGGAGAGTATACAGAAGAAAAACAACACACTTCAAACCAGGTTTTCAATCAAGGAGGGCCAGCGAACGACAAGACAGATTAACTCAAAACGCGCTTCAATACCCTCCAATTTGATCAAATTTAGTCTTACGGACGAGAAGAAAAAAAGACCCGAGGTTCCGCGAAAGGGAAGAAATAGAAAATGCGGAATGGAGCAACAATTAATGTCTCTTGGGGATGCGAAAGGTAGCTTTTCAATACTGCAGCAGCCATACAGCAATATTCTCAGCAAGTCACAAATCGCTGTAATCGAACTTGCAGACCGATGTGAGTATCTTTACAACTCCGTACCAAATGGTACTCAAAGGACTGACGAATTAGACGTTGATGTATGGAAGTGGGGTCAGTGAAAGGACTCGTGAAGCACCAATCGGATATGGGACGTACTAACATCAACATAGGACAATCTAGAGAAGATGTTATTAGAGAAACGATGTTCGATCAAGGAATATGTCACAGCTTTCTTGCCATGGTTTATCATTTGTGGAATCAGGATATAGTACGCGCAGTGATTCACGAGAATGCGACCATCAACTATCTGAACGATCAGTTTGAATCAATCCGTCAAAAACCTAATCACATGACCGAAGATGAGATAAGAAACACAGCACGGTCGGTCAGTCGGCTTGCCTTGATCAAGGTAAACGCCAAGCAAGCTAGTTCTATGGCATTCTTTGTTTACTAATCAAGATTAGGTAAACCATGGCGATTTTGCAGCTGCGACCGTTCATATGAATGGATTATCAACACTACTCACCCTGAGTCGTGGATTTGGAGAGCTGTCTCCCAGCAATACTCTGAGAGGGAGTGTGGGCAGGTATGAATCTCTTGATACATTCGATGATGATACTGATAGTATTTCAATGTAGCTTAGTTCTATCATACATGACGCTATGGAACTCTGTTCCTGAATCGATTCAGTATCCTCTGGGTCCCATGACGAATAGTGCATACGCAGATGTCAAGTCTTTAGGTTTTCGTATTGAAGAGAGCTCTGTTTTGTTTAACGACCAATTATCAACTTTAATCTCTTTGCCAATTCTTGATGCACTTCGCGCTCTGAATGCACTCTGCACTGCGACGCAGACAAAGGAGGGGGAAACTCCCCAGCCAGTTCAGAACCTTGCATATGAATCGCTAAGACTTGGTCTGAGGCTGGTTTATGTGGGGAAACATCGCAATATCGATGACGATCTGCGAACTTCACAAGATGACTTTGAAGAGTGCTTGCGATTGACGATGCAGTTATTCATTTGGTCTTTCACTCGCAATGTACCAAAGACGTCACCAACCATGAAAACTTGGCATAATCAGATTCAGATGTTCATGTCTTCGGAACAACTCCTTGAGTTCTTGATTAGCATCGCACTCACCGAAACAGGGATGGAGATCGTGGTATGGCTGCTGCTAGTGGTTGGATCAACGGTCAGTACCTACGAAGACCAAGCTTTTTATGCCCGTTTGATGCAGCGCCTTGTCCCCCACTCTCTGACTACTGGTTTTCGGGATATCCAAGAGATGTGCACTCAGATCGCTTGGCTAGTCTCCGATCGCACTGCAGTTGCGGAAAGGTTTTGGATGATGTGCTTGGTCTGTTAACTGCAACTTTTAAGAGCTCTTTTGTACGCTTTCCATTTGTTTCTATATCGATAAATCTTTAATCTGTTCGGATGGTCTTACAATACAAACTTCTTCGGTGCCAGCTTGCTGTGGACATGACGCTTCGAAATCCTGTCATTCGCTTGCAGAAGTCCCAGTGTAGGCTGGAGCAGTTCTGCCAATCTCTTTTGCTTGATGATGGCCTATATTTATTATTAGATACTATCACCTTTTTTGGCCCGTGATCATGTCGCATACGGCTAAAGTTATTGAGAACTAGTCTGTTCTGAGGCTGTGTTGGCTGACTTCTGTCTCACCATAGGGCGTAAAATATTGCATCAGAATGTAAGAATTCTTACGCATAATCCGGTCACTGGAGTAATTGAGAGTATAAATATGCATCTCCCATGGCTCAAATCCACTGCACAATTGATTATAACCTAAGCTATCATGTACTCATCCAAGTTCATCAATTTCATATTTCTCACCTACGGGCTGTGCAAAGCAGGCCTCGGAGCGGATTGCAACCCCAAATTTTCCCAAGCTCCATCGTTCTCCGTTGCGGACGGCCGTACATTGCAAAACAATATACTCTCGAACAATTTCAATCCTCCTCTTGACTTTCCACTACTCTCGACAGCACAATCTAGCAATCGCTTCTCATTCGGCAGCGCCACTGCTTGCTTGGAGAACGGCTTCTTGTTCGACAATACCCACATTTCGCAAAGCGACCTTGCATTTGCGGTCCAGAATATTCTTGATGTCTGCAACAATGGAGCCACGAGTCTCGGGTAAGGTGAAGCTCTTGGAACTTCGTATCGTGTGACTGACATACCATTTAGTGGAAAATTCCAGATCATTGGAGACACGGGGCTTCCTGTAGACCTATTTCTCAAGGCAAGCTCGGAAGGCTGTTGAATTTTTCCAATACTACCGACAAAGTCATCGAGATCATCAATGGATCTGTCCAATCTCTTGCTCGCAGACATTCTCAATACTTCTAAGTTCTCGTCACGGTGTCGCATTGGGTATTTTGTAATGGAATTTAGTCTAGAACCTTCACAATTAGAATATACAACCTACAAAAGCACGCGCATGCCCCGTAGTCCCAAATCATCCACATAACAAGCGGAACAAGGAGTCATGTCCATTCAGCCGTTAAAATATGTCCGCGCCACACGGAGAACTTGTATCCTGGAACGATAGTGTAGCAAGGTTATGTGGAAAGGTTCCTAAAATTACGCACATCTCTCTAACCCTTTTCATACTCTTGCTGACCAGACGGGAAAACTTGCTGAATCCTCAAAATATATATAGTCGCTCCTTTTTTTCAGATTTCTTCCTCTTCGACTACCCATTTCTCAACCCTTAACTCCTCTGTTGGAACTGCCTGAGTCTATCATGACCTACATTCCTTCTCAATAGAGACAAAAACACATCCTCGAGCACCCCTCGTATCAGTCACTTTAAATGCTAGACAGCTTCACGGCTGTTGTTGTCTAATTCGTTATGGGTAACACATTCAGTCAATGCTTCAATCTCCCATCCCCAACTCTTACGGAGCGCAACCTGCAGGATCAGACAGGTGAGTTGACACTTGATGGCTGGAAGGGCATGTACTCACCAAGGGCAGGAAGGGTTCACATAGTGACTGGCGGCTACGGAGGTTGTGGTCTGGAGCTGGTCAAGATCCTCTATCAACACAATGGCACGGTGTATATTGCGGGTCGCTCAAAGGAAAAGGGGGAAAAGGCAATTGAATCGATCAGAAATGCGTTTCCGAGTTCAAAAGGCAAACTCGGATTCTTACATCTCGACCTAGCAGATATGCAGTCGGTAAAACCTGCAGCTCAGGAGTTTCTCTCGTTGGAACAACGACTTGACACGCTCACAAATAATGCTGGCATCATGGTGCCACCGAATGGCTCTAAAACAATCCAGAACTTCGAGCTCCAACTAGGCACCAACGTGCTTGCGCCTTGGGCTTTTACCAAACTACTCACCCCCTTGCTCATAGAAACTGCATCAACTGCTGCAGCCGGAACAGTGCGAGTCACATGGGCATCTTCATTAGCCGTGGATCTTACGGCGCCAAAACCTGGAGGCGTCGTCTTCGATGCAACAACAGGACATCCAACCACCTTCAAAAACCAGCATGTCAACTATGGTCAGTCCAAGGCGGCCAATACCCTTCTTGCAGCCGAGTTTGCCAGACGCAATCCTGTTGCAGAATCGAAAGTTATCTCCTTGTCGTGGAATCCCGGCAACTTAAGGTGAGCTGCACAAATAACTCAACACGCATGTTTCGTTGACAAGACATTCAGCTCCGACCTGCAGCGCCACCTCCCTCGATGGGCAAGGTGGCTTCTTGACCGCACAATGTTCCATCCACCCCTGTATGGTGCCTACACGGAGCTGTACGCGGCATGTTCAACTGAGCTAGGCGAAGCTCAGAACGGAGCCTATATAGGGCCGTGGGGCAGAGTGCTCAGCTATCGCCCGGATGTGCAAAAGGCAGCTGCGGACGAGGCTAACGGAGGCACAGGACAGGCTAAACAGCTGTGGGATTGGTGTGAACTGGAGGCGCTACCTTACTTGTAAAGAGGAAGGATTGAGATTAGAGAATGTCAGAATGCGTCAGCGGATGTGAACGTTTGACCTAAACCACATTTGGTGCTTGAGCTTCCCGCAAAGGCGGCACAAGGATACGATAAGGACCGAGGACAAAAGGGAAAGTGAAAAAGCAGCAAAGCTTGACATCTTGGCTGAAGTTCTAATGCTCTGATTTTCTCTTTGCATTTTATCTGACTTACAACGTAGCGAAGCAGCATCACACCAGTTTATTTAAAATCTTAACTACGTTTCCCTACAATTGATCTGTGTTGCACATACCTCCTTCGCCTCAACGGACAAGTTGAGCGACTAATACTATCAAAAACATGCCAGACTCATATCTCGAAATGGTAGCTCGAGCAGTACGGGCTAGATCACGCATTCGCAGCTACATATACCTGACTCCACTGATCCCATCACGGATTATTGGGAAGGCTAACAGCACTGAAGTCCTTTTCAAGACTGAGAATTTCCAAACAACGGGATCCTTCAAAATCAGAGGCGCGATGTCCAAATTGTCCATCCAACCTTCTAGCGAACGATTGATCACAGCATCATCAGGAAACCATGGAATTGGCGCCGCGCATGCAGCACAGGCTCTCTCAAAGTCGTTGACAATTGTACTGCCTGAAACAGTTGTGCCTGAGAAGTTGAGCAAGATCCGATCATATGGAATTGATGTGGTCTTACATGGCAGTGAAACAGGCCTAGCAGAGCAGCATGCGCAACATCTCGCAAAATTTGAGAACTATACATATGTGTCGCCTTACAACGATCCGGATATCGTTGCTGGACAGGGAACTTTGGCTCTCGAAATGTTGGAACAATGCGACCACATCGACAATGTATTCGTTTCCATGGGTGGTGGTGGCTTGATCAGTGGCGTCGGGGCAGTCATGAAAGCCTTCAGTCCGCGGACAAGAATTTTCGGGGTTGCCGCAACGAATTCTAAAGCCCTTGCAGAGTCCATAGCTGCAGGCCATGTAGTCGAATCCCAGCAACTAAGCACATTGGCCGATGCGATAGCGGGAGGGATTGACACAGATACAATAACGCTGCCATTGGCGATGACTGTGGTCGATCAAGTTCTCGAATGCGACGAGGAAGAGATTAGGAGCGCCTTGAGAGAACTTGCACTGTCGGAGAATTTGATGGTTGAAGGTTCCGCTGCTCTTGCGGTGGCTGGCTTCAATAAGGTTGCCTCAAGTTTAACCGGCCAGACCAACGTTATTGTGATATGTGGTGGAAATTTCAACCAGGATACCATTGTGAATGCTATCCTTGCTGGCTAGCACTAGTACGTACGGTACCTTAGATTAAGGTCAGCAATGTGAACGATACAACCCGCTAGGAACATGATCCACATCAATCGGTATCTGCTAGAACACTAGGCGAATTAGTATCGTGATGGTTACGCGATGGATCACAACGGCTGCTAAGGCATGAAAGAAGAAGAAAATGACGTCGATTCAGAGACTGATTTTGACATGTAAAGTCCGTGTTAGGTCCGGCCGCAAAAGCCCGATCACACCCCCAGTTTTACCCCTTTGGGGTCTTGTCAATGCCACAAAGGGAGTGTGTTAATCAGAAGTTGATCCGTTGAACTGATAAACCGATAGGTAACTCACTATGTCGCTGACTAAAGCTGCATCAAGCCTAGGAAGCAAACGTGGTGTAGCTCATTCCTTCAATGACACTTGCCAGAAGGATACTTTCCACAAAGCAGAGGCAGCTTCCAAAGACGAATGAGTCTAGACAGTGCGCATTGTCACGGATATTAATCTACGTGTGTTCTTCGGGCAAAAGCCTTCGCATCTGGCGCTGGGTATAAATGGACAACGCAAATCATCGAAAGAATGGACAGGCAGTTTCATTACCAGATCAACTTCAATCGAGCCCAAGACCTACGCAAGCTACGAACTCGAATACACAGTAACCTGCTAATAATCCTGTAACAAGAGGATACTATTCTAAGAAACCCATGGCAGAGTACGCGAAGCACAACTTGCCTCCTACATTCGAGGGCTTGCAGTTCTCTTCCCCCACCGAGCCCGCAAAAGTCGTGCAACTCCCGACACCACTACCGACAGCAGGATCTGTCATCCTCCGACCATTGTATTCTAACATTGTGTCCTACGCAAAAGAAGTCTTCAGCAATGGAAACCCCAGAGGATACTCTTATCCCCTGCCATTGATTCCAGGAACGAATGCGATATGTCGCATTGCTGCTGTTCCTCAGGATACGCCCTATCTGAAACCAGGGATGCTGGTTTACGCCAGTGGTGTGATAAGACCAAGAGATAACACACTTGCGATGCCTCTTCTACAAGGAATTCACATGGGACTTGTTCCTGAGAGCGAAGCCTTGATGAAGGGGGAATGGAGAAATGGTACATGGGCAGAACTCGTCAAGGTCCCAGCAGAGAATGTTCATGTGCTGAACGAAAAAGTTTTGATCAAAGACCTTGGTTACAAAGTAATTGATCTTGGTTATATCAGTACTTTGATGGTCGCATATGGCGGCCTGAGTGACGTTAGAATTCGCCCTGGAGAGACCGTGGTTGTCGCTCCGGCAACAGGAAATTTCGGCAGCGCGGCTGTATTCGTTGCCTTGGCGATGGGTGCAGGAAAGGTGATTGCAATGGGTCGAAACACAGAAAAGCTGAGGGAGATACTCGAGGGTACCGACAACAATCGTGTCAAGATCGTTCCTGTGACTGGAGATGTGGATGCGGAAACGGCAGCCCTGCATGCACATGGCCCCATTGATATTTATTTCGACATTTCGCCTAAGCTCACCTCAACTCCATCTTATCTGAAGGCTGGCTTCGCTGTACTCCGACCGAGGGGCCGAGTCAGCTTCATGGGTGGGATGCGCGGCGACGTGGAGATTCCGTATCTCACATTCGTATTTAAAAGCTTGAGTCTTCATGGAACATTCATGTACACTCGAAAGCAGACTGATGAGCTCATCAAACTCGTGGAGACAGGCATGCTTCCCCTTGGTAGCCGAGCAGGATTTCAAGCAACAGGAAGCTTCCCCCTCACGAAGTGGGAAGAGGCCTTTGACCATGCATTTGACAATATGGGACCAAAGAAAGCAGCTTATTTTGTAGTCAACGAGGAGTAGACAAGCTTTATTTGCAAGCATAACAGAAAAACTCAACACGTGTCGCAAAAAAGCGAATGAAACTACATATTGCTTGAGACACTTTTCGCACTTTTGTCCCACAATGACCTTGGCCAATGTCTAAATATCTTTAAATATCCTCAGCTTCTGCACATAGTGCTTTAAAGACGGTGTTCCCCCAGGGGGGGTGATTTACGCGCCCGCATTACCCCGTCATATGATTACGCGGTACCCTACCCAGATTCTGGTTCGAACAACTTCCACTCTCAGTAGAACTAGCAGAACACTATATTTGAACTGGTTAGAACATAAAAGTTAAACCCTGGATCTCGCATCAGAAGCATGTATGACTCCATTCCATGATAGCCCGGCGACATGCCCCAGTAAGCAGGCTCCTCCACGCTACAAGGTTTTGTCTATGTATAGTATAGAACGAAACATGGAGATGCAATAATAACACCGTAGAGTACATTAGTGCTTATTCTATCATATCAGAGTTGATGGACTTGATGGTCAGTCATCAAAAACGTCCTGCCTTGACCAGACAGTACAAGATAGCATCAGGAACTCTATAAAAGGTTTTGTTCTCATGATCTGACTTTGCTACGACCAAGAAAAAATCAGAAAAGTAGTCCCCTGGAAATTTCAACGAGATGGAGAGCCCCAGTGCGCCACGGAGCAGTATTGATGTGTAAGGTTTTATGCCGTGGGTTAGGTTCAACTCTGACTTTCCGGTGCAGTTTGATCATCGGTGCAGGTCCTGCTGGCCTCACAGCAGCTACATGGATGGCGCACCTTGGTATTAAGGCTCGAATTGTGGATAAGCGGAGCGATAAAATCAGCATTGGTCAAGCAGATGGAGTACAAGCACGCACCCAGGAAGTGTTTGACAGCTTTGGGTTTGCGGACCGACTAGTGAAAGAGGGTAACCCATGCGTTGAGACATTCATTTGGGTATGCTACTGTACTCTTCTGTGTGCTTCAGCGGTTGGAGAAAATTACTGACCTTGCTTCATAGGTTCCAGATGGCAATGGTGGCGTTAAGAGAATGGGCGGCGGCCCGTTCGACATGTCTGGAATCTCTGAATACAAAGTCCGCACCCTAATGCAAGGAAGAATCGAACAATTTTACTTGGACAACATCAAAAAGTTCTCCAACATTGAAATTGAAAGGGCCGTCATCCCAGTAAGTCTGGAAATCGATGAATCGAAAGCCGAAGATGTGACTGCGTACCCGGTCACAGTTCGGCTCAGACATCTCACCGCCACGAACCCAAGAGAGTCACAACCGACCACAGGCACCATTCACAACGCTCTATCTCAAAGCAACCATAGTAATGATGACACGGAAGAAATAATTGCAAAAAGCGAAGAAAATGGAGACGTGGTCGAGATCGTGAAAGCCAAGTACGTTATCGGTTGTGACGGTGCCCATAGCTGGACAAGACAGCAAATCAGTTCTGTCTTGGAGGGTGATAGCACAGACTACATTTTTGGTGTCGTTGATATCATACCCATCTCAGATTTCCGTAAGTCTTCAGAGTTGTCCCGTGTGCAAAGGCTAATGAGCTTGGTACAGCCGATATCCGAAAGCCCACAAGCATTCATTCTGCTGAGCACGGGCTTATGTATACTATTCCTCGAGAAAGGAGGATAGTTCGATTTTACGTCCAGCTGGAGGAAGTTGAACTCGACGATCGAGGACGGATAGACCATTCCAGTGTTACTCCGGCAGCCATTGTGGAAGCGGCACGAAAGATTTTGTTTCCGTACACCCTGTCATACAAACACTGTGAATGGTTTACCGCCTACCGAGTAGGACGACGGATTGGCACGTCGTATCAGAAGTCTAATCGCGTTTTCCTTGCAGGAGATGCGGTGCATACTCACTCCCCTCGTGGAGGTCAAGGGATGAATCTGAGCATTCAAGATACTTACAACTTGGGGTGGAAAATAGGGTTGTGTGTGAAGAACGTGGCTGACAGAAGTATTTTATCAACCTATGAGAGTGAGAGGCGGCAAGTAGCTCACGACCTGATCATTTTCGACCGTCTTGTCGGAGATCCAGTTACGGGAAAACACGTGTCCAATCAGAACATCGAAAAAATTGATCCTACCAGATTAGGAATGCTATCTGCGGCCTTCTATGGTGGGTTCACTGTAAACTACGACCAAAGCGTGCTTGTCATGAAAGAGAAGGAAAAGCAAAAGGGCGTTGCCTGGACTAAGGATGTGACGAACAAGATTGAAGTCGGCATGCGATTCCCAAGCTTACAGATCGTCCGACAAGCTGACGCTTCTGTTTGGAGATTCCTGAACTGGATGAAAAGTGACGGACGCTTTCGAATCATTCTTTTCGCTGGTAACATCAAGAATCCAAGCCAAATGAAGCGTATCGAAGCGTTTTGTGATGCACTTGGGAATGAAAACTCGTTCTTGAAACGCGTTACACCACGAGCAGGAAAGATTGATTCAGTTATTGAAATCCTAACTCTGCATTCGGGCCCACGAATGGACACGGAACTCTTAGATTTTCCTTCCCTGTTACGACCTTTCGATGAAGAGATAGGTTGGGACTATAACAAAATCTTTGTTGACGATGAAACATATCATCATGGACATGGTCAGGCATACAAAAACTACGGTGTAGATCAAGAGAGGGGAGCGGTTGTCGTTGTGCGGCCTGACCAGTACGTGGCATTTTGTGGTGAGATAGAGGATGTACCAAGCTTAGAGCGGTACTTCACGTGCATCCTACTGGATGCCCAGTGATTCCTGAAACTTAGGCGTTAATCTCAGTTGCTAGGTGCACTATTTTCGTAATTTTGAAAGTGAAATCGAACTCCTAATTGAAGCTGGGCGGAAAGCGTTCTCTTTACAGCAGGGTACAAGTACCAGATTCTACTTGCGGCTGCTGACGAACTTTCCCTGATTACATGCCAACTCCCTTTCCCTCACGTATACCCCACGGGTAGAATGCACTGATGCAATGGCTCAGGCTCGGGAGCAACAGGGCAAGCTCGAACGACTCCGGGAAACGCCGAGATCGATACGCGTATTTCTGCGGAGTTGTGATTTTGCATGCTTCAGCACCGAAGCGCTTCGTTGCACAGGTAACTCCACACATGACTCTACGCATGACTTCACGTATGACTCCTATGATGGTATCGTTAAGACCTTGTTTTTCCTGCAGAGCACGTAAACAAAAATGCGATAAAACGCAGCCGACTTGCTTGCGTTGTGCTCGGTCAGTCCGCATCCGTTCCGAGCGATCAACTTCTCATGATTGATAGGCTCTTACTCAGATGCAACTATGAGAAAGAAACGACATGGCAAGTTGAATCCACCGGACCGAATTGGAGGTTCACGGAAGTGCTGCGGTGCAGAGATGATAACGTAGATATTGACATCCATCGCTGGATGCAGCAAGAATCGAGCTCCATTACCAATGTCGTCCAAAGCTACTTGAAATCCTGTCACCGTTGGCTTCCAATTCTTGACAGCACATCGATTCAGCAGCATTTGGCTCAGCTTGACAAAGATTGCCCAAACATACAAGCGCTCATACTCGGTATCTGCACCTTAGTCGCACCAATGAAAACTGCTGAAGATATCCTCTACCCTGCCACCCAAGCACATTTCAGGAATTGCCAGCGTGTGCAGCCTATCTCCATTGAGCTAATAAAAGCTGGAATTCTCATTGCTACTTATGAATATGGACAAGCACAGCCTGGAACAGCATATTTGACCATCACCGCCTGCAAAAATATGATGAAGTCCTTGGGGATTTACCCTTACAGTCTCCAAGGGGCCGCTCAATCTGAAGAATTCAAGGCGTGCTGGACGGTTGCACTCTTGGAAAGGCAAGTTAACAGCTACTACCTGAGAAACTCGCATAACAAACTTGACAGGATAATCAGTCTCAAGTTAGGCCTCCAGTTTCTCATCTCCGATACATTGCCGGAAGTTCCAGATGAAAATGACTCATTCGCACAACAGATCCGGGCGACTTTGCTACTAGACCGTGTCCTACATTCCATGGACATTCCCGCCAAAAAAGAACAATATCAGGGGTATGGACTACAAATAGTATACTTCCTACAAGGTCCCCTCAGTCAAGAGGTAAATGAACTTGGGTCTTGCTGCGAGGCTGTCGCAATAAGTGTCAGGTATGCGTGCACCCTATCCAGTGACTTTTCTAAGTGTTATAGTACATTTCTCTATTTGCATAACAATTGCTGCAGCCTACCCGGCATTGACGTCATCTGTCAAATTCTACTTGAGATGGTTCAAGAACATGTCGAACGAGTCGACGTAGTTTCAACAGCTCGTCATGGCGATTCGGCACCATGGTCTGTTGAGATGGTGCGTCAGGCAACCGCTGTGCTAGAACGGGAGAAAAAAAACGTTCAAACGCATGTCTTCAAGTCATTTCTGCTTAGGCAGTCCGTACGATGGAAGATCGCTCGTAAGTTAAATGCACGAAGCTGAGATTGATCGTCAATATCAAACTCGAATTCAGGTTAACGCTTATCATACTCAGTAAGCTGATACTATAATCATAATCATATGGCCCCTACTCCAGGCAGCTTTTGTAAAATGCGTGACATGGCCGCGCTCAGCGGTCAAGATCAGCGATCGTCTAGGCCCACCGAGGCCTACTACCGACCTCTGTGACCGATCCCTGCAACGGACCAATCTCGCCGAACCCTGTCCGAACCCTGTTACTGAACCCGGAGGTCGCACACCATCACAGGGACACGGCATGGTGCTTCCATTTGAACGCGACCTTAGACGCGATTGCGTCAAGTTTGTCCGAGCATCAAAGAGTATATAATGCGCACAAGACCTGCACTTCAAAAGAGCAACAAGGACTGGATCATTGATCATGACGCGAAGTATTCAAGGCGTCATTGTACTCGGAGTGAGTAGTCTTCACAACACGTCTTGCATATACTTATTGGTTTAGGCATCTGGCGATGTTGGTCGGGAAGTTGTGAACGCATTGCTGCGAGACCATTTTCGCGTCACCGTTGGGGTTAGAGATGGATCAAGCCGAAGCACCAGTCTGCCCGCCAGTGTACGCACAACCGTGATCGACTACAATAGCCAGGAGTCGCTGGAAAGGGCTTTCCGTGGTCACGATGCCATAGTGGAAACATTCAATCCGACTGTTGCAGTGCATCAAGATACGATTGTTCAGGCTGCGATTGCCGCGAAAGTCATTCACTTGATCACACCTGACTTCAGCACAGACACATTCAATGAGAATGCGGACGAACTGATGATTTTTGAACCAAAATTGAACGCACAGCGCGTGCTTGAGGTCTATGCCGCCACTGGTGCGATTCAATGGACTGCGGTCATTACAGGACCTTTCTTTGACTGGGGTAAGTGACCAAGCACCAATTGTAACGTTCCTGACGTTGAAATTGTAGGAATACTGAAAAAGGTCTTCTGGGTTGACAAAGATACAAAAGAGGTCATCATATTTGGAAGCGGTGATCAAAAAGTAAGCATGTCTGCGATTGATATGAGCGGAAGAGCTGTCGTGGCCATCCTCCGTGAGCCTCAGAAATTTTCCAATCGGGCAGCATACTTTGCAGACTATACCGTAAGCAACAATGAGCTGTTGGCCCTATTACGGGATATCGACCCTAAAGGAGAATGGAAAAGCAAGAATATCCCGATATCATCATTTTTCTCTCAGGCTAAGCAATTATGGGAGCAAGATACAAAGGCTGGAGTTAAGGATCGCCTCAATTCAACCGCTTATCAAATGCTAGGAACTTACGGTCTGTTTGAGGAGGGTTAGGGTTAGGGTTAGGGTTAGGGTTAGGGTTAGGGTTAGGGTTAGGGTTAGGGTTAGGGTTAGGGTTAGGGTTAGGGTTAGGGTTAGGGTTAGG